TTTATTACAAAGTAGACAACAACCTTTTTTATTCTTGTATATTTAATATTCTGATGTTTTTATGTAGTGGAAGGTTTTGGCACAACAAAATATATGTAAAAAAAACAAGTCAGTATTATCCGCACCAGTTTATTTATGCAATACAAGTCTTGAAATGATGTTGCAATGAGTTCGAACATTAATTTATTATTTTTCCACACCACGTTCTTTTCTAAGGATTTAATAAAAAAAGAAGATTCGATAAAAGAGACAATTCAGAATCATATCTCATCATAGCTTTCAGAACACTGATTTAGTTGCAGTTAAAAGCCAAGTACAAAATCCATTTACCTATTAGTCACCACCAACAACATTTGCAAAGCCATCAAAAGTTTAATGGGTGCATTTAATAGGACGTAATGAAAATATTATCATAATGTTATGTGATCAACGTTAATGGATATGTACTAGATACTAAAATTAATAAATTTTCAAGAGAACATATATCTACCTCTGAATTTGATTAATTTTTTACTTAAAGGGACGGCTATTTTATTTTCGATGTAAATACCAAGATTTTTTTTTACTTTTATTCACTGTTTGATGAAATTAATTATTTCTTATTCTCTAGTACTTTTCTTTCCGTCGCTTTGTAAAGAAAGACATATTTTAACTAATTTTCTTAAATTTAATAGTAGAAACTATTTAAAATATAATACTATTAATTTGTTATGAAAACAACATTTATAAGTAAAGGCAATAAACATTAATTTGTGCCATGTTAGTTACTACTACGTTATTGTTCTATGAATATTACAGGGTTGGGTAGAGGTTAGCAAAATTTGAATTATGCAGGTCATATCTGACTACTTATTAAAGGGGAATATAAATAAGTTTACGTAAACAAATTAAATATGATTTTCATTGAGTAATATTACTAAATACAATTTTTTATACTATTAATTTTCCATCATTTTAGATAACAAGGATCGTTAATAAAATTTCTGAACACATTATTTTCCTTATACCAAATAAATTTCTCTAAGTGTAAATTCGATACTTCCCCAGGAGAGGAAAAATCAAACCTGTTTAACCTTCTAAGTGGCATACCTGATACAGAACCAGAAAACTCACTGTGAGCTATAAATAAATCAATTTTCAACCGCGTGGGGTGTCCACATAGCCTGGGGAACCCTAAATTTCACTAGGGTGTCACTAAATCACAGTTATTGTTAAATACAATGTCCGAATAGCGGTAATATCGTAGGTATAGCTAAAGTGATTCGGTAAGTAGAATTATATTAAATATTAACTAATACAAATATCTTTTATTATAATTAAAATCTAAATGAAACTACTATTTTTCGGATGTAATCACGGATGTTATTCGTGATCACGGTTGCTATAAAGTAACCGAAACGTCGGGAGTATGTAGTTTTTGATAAAAATAAAAATCGCGTAGTACATCCGAAAAATATTAGTTTCATTTAAATGAATACTCCCGAAAATCTTAGATCTCATTAAAATCATAAAGCCAAGACGATATGTAGGTGTCGTGTAAGGAATATTTAAGGGTATATGTGTCTGACCTAGTGTACCTAATCTCTTTTTTGTTCTTATAATAAGTTATCTACGAGTATATCTTAATGACAAAGTAATATTAAACTACGTATAACCTTTACTTCATACTGTCTGACACTCAACATAAGAACCATAAATTTAGCAATTTTTGAAGTCACTAAATAGTTATAAAACGCAACGACTCTTTATATTTAAAACTTAGTAGGTACTTTATTACATTTTACCGATAATTATTACTTTCTCTGTGTTATTTAAATTTAAATTTATTATAGAAAGTATTTTAAAGTTTTAAAGAAAATAGAACTTTCTCGTTGCGTTCACCTTACTCGTACTTTAAGAGTAGTATAATATTTCTTTCTAAAGTTACATCAATGAAATTTTAATTTGTCAAATTAAATTTTTTTCCCCTCAGCTACATTTTTAAACTTTAATCTGGAGGAAAAATTTTTAACGTGGGGACGAATTTTATTACCGGAAAGTTAAAAAAAATATATAAATTACCATCTTTTTATAACACTTAAAGGTAACTTCGTTCCAAATTCCTCTGCGTTTGCCGATTTCATTAAGACGTAACTGACTAATTAATTTTTTGTAGTCTAAATTAAACTGGAAATGGACGATGAAAGATGTTCATTCGTGCGAAAATTTATATTTCATTTTATTTAAACTGTATTTTTAACGTCCAAAGTTAGTTAAATAATTTAACAAGGTAAGCGTTATAATATTAAAGAGTTTTGAGGGTGTACATTAAGAAAAATATGGGTTTTGGATTTACTTCGTGTTATTTTATTATTCTATATTTTACTCGAAATATTATTGCCATTTACTTACCATATATGTATTATCTGTCCGTGATGAAGGTAAAGTAATTTTATAACACAAAAAAATAACTCATGCTCCTTAACATTTAATTTAATGTTAGTGATATATATTTTTAATTTTTAATAGATTAAGGTGACTAGAGATTTATTTACTACAAATATTTAGTTACTGTTTAAATAAAACTATTTAATTTTAAGTAAATTTATTTCTCGTTATGTATTGAAATGCAGATGAAATAATGTTAAGGAGAATATGAATACCAATATGAAATCATACCAATATTTAACTAACAGACATAAAAATTAGTCACTTCCTATTCAGACTCTCGCAATATTTATACTTTCTCTTTATCAAAAGCGTGAATACTACTTTATTATGATAAATTTTTATTATATTTTTAAAACTACTGTAATTTTGTCTACTTTTTTCTTTATCTTAACTACATTCATTCAGGGAGTTAGTTTGGTACGTATGTATGTAATTAAGAAAACTTTTCGGATTATCCCAGTTTTCCACTTGCAGTAACCAATGTAACGTGATCTTGTTCCCCCTTTTTGGTATTCATAAAACGGGACTCCGGCGAGTGATCAGCGCTAAATTGAGGGTCATAGTAAATTGGGCGCTTTATCCCATTTTTCGGCCACTTATTTAGTTTTAGTTTATCGTCGTATTTTGGAAGCAGTGAGCCCCCAGACAGTGAGAAATTTCCCAATTTTGTTGTTGCAAATTTGTTTTGTTAGTTACATGGTTTTACTGGGAGCTGAGAAATTTGCTAATTTCTTTCTTGTATATTCATTATCATTAAAACAGTCCAACAAAAAAAAATTAGTTTCATTGAATTATTAATAATAGATAAGAACATACATACTTATAGTATTTGAATTGAATATTTATACGCAATAATATTTTAATGAAAATAATAATGTATTGTATGTTGGATACTGCGATACTGAAACAAGAAATGTTCAAGAGAACTGTAGCATAGATAAAGTACCTATATGGATATAGAGCACTAAGGTACCTATAACACTCCAGAAGATAGGTAGAGTAAGTGTAACATTTGAAAACAAAAAGAAAATTCAGTAAAATGCTTGCCATAAATTGTTTTTCTCGCGGGAGTTGTACCCGTTTGCATACCGACTTAGTAGGGTTACCAAAAGTATACAAAATGAGTAATCCGATAATTTTTGTATAATTTAGATTCGTATACATGTTTCAAAATGTAATTAATACTTATTGTTTTATATTAAAAGACTTGATTCAATAAATACCATGCAAGTTGTAAAGAGCCTGGAATTTTTTATTATTATGGTTTTCTCGTATTAACGGTCGTGAAAAGAATGTAAAGTAACTCTAGAAATGACGCAATTATCATTTAATAAGTCTGATTTTATATATTTTTTTAATTTTAAGACTAAGTTGTATGCACACACTCGTTCAACTTACACCCTATACGGCCGCACTGCGAACACAATCTTTCGTATGGGGTCACGCTTATACCGTGCTATTTTCACATTTGAATTACATTGTTATAGCCCCTGTATGTTGTTATAATTTCCCACGTGTCAGACAGAATACAGGCAATATGTTACATATCTCAATCATAGAAATGATCTTTAATATCAACAAACAATTATTTTTATGCCATAAAAACATGAGGTAACGAGCTTTACGTGTAATGAAAAATGTATATTATCTTAAATTTTTATTACAAATAAATAAACTAAAATTAAAATTAATGTTATGTATATTTTTTTTGTTCTGAAAATACAAATATTATTATAAAAATCTAAAATACACATCTCTTGTTATTCATCTTTGGCGAAATATGAGTCATAATAATTTTTTATCGATGTTTTATCTGTACTGCAAATAATTATAGCAATAGTAACGCAACGTTTCGTTTAATACCTTAATCATATATATTTACAAAATGAAACAGTCAACTCAGCACACTATTTAGATATTTTTATGTGAATCAAACGAAACTTATCGCATTAAACAAAACCTTAAAAATTAAATAAATGGGTTTAGCTCTAATTAAGTATATAGATTAAAAATATAAATGCATTAGATAAGTACAAAAATATATAATCAAAACAAAACCAGTTACATATCAAGTTTAACATTAAGGTGTTGGATTCTATTCTTTAAATTATTTGTGTTTTTTTAATATTATTACTAACATTTCAATTTATTTTATAATAAACTTTAACACTAGAGTAGAAAATATCAATATAAAAAACGAAGTATTAATCTAAAAGTTAAACTTTTATATTATGAGAATATTCAGATTTAAAATATTTTTTATATTTCCAAAAGAAAAGAGAAGACAACAGATAATTACGCTTCAAAACACGGTCACAGTATGTAAATCGAATAAAACTATAGGAAATAAAGTAATAAAAGTGACAATATTTAAAAGGTGTCGTAAAAATATTTTTCCAAACAATATATATTTTCAAACAAATAAAACCATCTCATCAATTCTAAATATAAGTTAATATCAAAATACGTAAAATTGAATTTAGATGCTGTTTTAGTGCATACTAATACATATTTAATATTCCTCTAATCATTGGTATAAAGAGGAATGTAGTGTGCTAAATATGCTACGCCTATCTAAAGCTGGCGGGTCTACTTGGACCTTCAGTTGGCTCGAGTACGATCCGTTTGTAGCAACCATCCGGTAGCTGATCCAATATATCCTTGATATTGTCCACTTCACTGCGAAGCTCATCATGTTCCTCCTGATATTGCTTCATCCACCTTGGTAAAATTGATACATAAAATTGTATGAAAAAGTATTACGTTTTATCTTAAAAAGTATGAATCATTGTTTACCTTTGGTGGTTATTCTTGGCCTCGGTTAAGGATTTGATTTTGCCATCCAAATCAACTTCCAGTAAGGCAGCTTCAGCTTTGTCGAGACTTTCCTCTAAAAGGTTATTACAATTTTATAAAACGAGAAAAACTTATTAATTTATAATCTAAAGGATTATCACATACGTAATCTGTCGAGCGCAGCATCGTCTAGTGTTGGTAGATTTTGCAACTCATCCATAATGACCTTCAAGTCTTCCAAACCTTTTGAGACTTGTTTCTCAGCTTCTCCAGCATCAGTGTTGGCTTGGCCCACCTAATATTTTGTTGATTACTTAACACTTTAAAGGATTTTACTAAACAAAATTTTCAATTATTGCTTACCTTCATTTTAGCATCCCTAGTAAGCTGCATATTTTCATCAGCTTGTTTTTCAAGTACTTGTATCTGATTAGCCGTCCCTTTCACACGAGCTAAAAGAAAGAAAAACATATTATTATAAACAACTTTAACATTTATATGTTTTATTTATTGCATCGTTTTATATGTACGACTTTATAGAAATACTGACTTGATAATTTATCAGCTTCATCCCGAAGTTTTCCAGCCTCCACTCGATATGATGAGGCTTTTTTTCGTATTTCGTGTGCTGCCTAAAATATATTTTTTTATAAGAAATATTATTGCACGTAAAATCGATTTCAATAATATTTTTAAGTAATAAAAACCTCAGAGGCCTTATCAGCATATTCTTTTTGCGCCTTCTGAGCTAAATCCCGAGCCTCTTTGGCCCTATCACTGGCGGTAGTGAGCTCTTCACTAATACTGGTGATGCTTTCTTCAGCAAGAGCTACTTTCTTCTGAACTCCGGGAACATCTAGTGCTGCTTGTTCTGCCTGCTGTCGCGATTCCGTCACTTGATCGCTGAATTCTGGGGATTAATTTATGTAGTCAAAACTTATTTAAACTATAATTAATATTCATAGAAGGCAAGACATTTTTTAATTCGTGAACTGAATGTCAGATTACGTAATATTTATGAATTGTAAGAAATCTAATACATTTTTTTAATATTTTATTACATCGGTTTCTACACAATTTACTGCTATTTCTAAAATAAACTTCCTCGAAATCATAATTACTATTCGAACTTATGTATTTACTCTATAACAAATCCTTTTCATACCCTTTAAGGTCTTATATATTTCATTAGCATCTTTTAATGTAGCTTTAGTAAGTTCAACATCATTTTGGGCCTGAGCACGCAACTGGTCCAATTTTGCAAGTAAATCATACAGTTCATCTTGTCTGTCGTGACCCTGTTCTAACAGGTCCTTGCCTCTTCGAATTTCCACATCCAAAGCCTCAAGCGTATCTTCAGTTACTAATATTAACTGTTCTAACTCTGCAGACTTCTCATCGATCTGTTATAAAAATAAATTTGATAAAATTATATCCGTTAAATCAACAATAAATTTAAAAACACTGTTTAAAAGACGTTATAAGTTGATAATAAAATAGTTTGATTCTTACGGTTCTGTTCATTTCCATGGAGTCTTGACGTAATTTGCTGAGTTTAATGTCTGGCAATAATGTGGTATTGACTTCAGCATAGAGACCCAATGCCTCATCGTAGACAGTCTTTGCTCTTTTTAAAGCCTGTCCAGCAAGTTCAGACATACTACTTAATTTACCAGATGCTGCATTTAGTTCAGTGGCCAAAATTTGCACTTCATTGCTACAAACAAATAAAAACTTTAATTATCTAGTAAACAAATAAATTTATTTCTTGTTAATTAGTTACCTTATATTTGCTTGTTTCTTTATACCATCCTTAGCAATTATATGAGCTGCCACAGAAGTGTTTAATGCTTTTTCAGCTATGTCTCTAATATTTCTAGCATCCTTTTCTAATTTTTCTGCCAAAAGTCGAGATTCTTTAGCCAAAGCAGACATATCTACTGATTGCTTTCCAAATTGATCAGATCTATTGCGGGCTTTAGCTAAAGCAGCAGCTCCTTCACCGTCAAGATACTCTAATGCACTCTGTAAATTTACAAGTACCATATAAGTATTAAAAATAAAAACTTTCGGTAGTAATAAAACGTTAAAATACAGGTATCATCGCTCTATTAAAAAAACTTACATTTATTTCTTTTTGTGCGGCTTCAATAGTTTCTTCAGCTTTAGAAACGTTGCCTTTACTTCTTTCTATAGATTCATTACCTTCATAACTCTCATCTTCGATCTTGAACAACATATTTCTGTAAAGAACGTCTTGTTACTATAAGGATAAACTTTAAGTGAAGATAATTAATTTCGTAATAAAATGAATATTTGTTTAGAAATTGAAACACCCACAAAGTTCTTCTTCTTCTACCTGGCAATATCCCAGCTTTAGCCAGGGTCTGCCTTACATGTTATGAATAGTTTTGGCTAATTGTTTTTACGACCGGCCGCCTGCCTGACATCAACCCTCTTTGGGAATGCATTAATCAGTGATGTCTAAATACTCTTAGAAAGTACATATGACTCGGAAAAAATCACATTGGTCCTTGCCAGATCGAACCCGCGCCCTCGTGTATGAGAGGCGGGCCTTTTAGCCACTAGACCACCACTGACTTTTTGACTTGACCCTCAAAGTTATGAACTATGAATGTATTACCTGACATCGGCGAGTCGATCAGAAAGGTCAGCCAAATTGTTAGTTAAACTTGAACTAGGCCCATTACCAAGTTCTGCTTCTGCTTCTTGAACGAGTCTATCTATCTCAGCTCTCACACGTTGCAACTCATTATCAAAGTCTGCATTCTCAATAACTGTTGGTGCTTTCGATATTTTTCCAAGTATCTGAAAGTATTAATGTGTAATAAAGGTAATTTGATAATATATCAAATATCATTATAATACTGATTCTCTACATTATCTAACTCCTTAAGCTCCTTTCTGTGCTGATTAACTGCATCTTGTACGAGGTTGTAACATGGCGGACAATCTTCACATCCCTGTCCATCAGTGCGTGGCCTCTTATTTTCCATACACCTATAAAGCATTTCGGAGGTATGTAATTAATATTTCATATATGTACATTCTTTGAAAAATACCAACTATATTATCCGAACAATTAAAGGTTAAGATACAATAAAAATAATAAAAAAATTACCGATCGCAACGTCTTCCTTCGACGTTTTGTTGGCAAGAACACTGTCCAAGCATATCGCACTGGTAGTTAGTGGAACCCCACTCATCGCAATCACAATTATTACACCCATCACTCGAAAATCCGTAGTGATAAGCAAGGCAACGGTCGCAATGAATTCTAAAATTATTGTATAAGTTATAAATTTATATTATATTGAAATACATATAATAAAGACTTGATTTCATTCATATTTCCTACCCGTCAATCCCAGGTTTACAGTAACATTGTCCCGTGACAGAATTACAGGTACCATTGTAGGAGCCTTCTAAATTACAATCGCAAGCCCGGCATCCCTCACCAGAGCTGATGTCAAAGTATCCATCCTATTGGTTACATAATTTCAAATACCATATTAATTGAAGGTTTTATTTATAAAAACATTATCTACATTCAAAGATTCTATTATTATTATATACCAAGTAATTTAAATTATTTATACCAAACAATAAAGGATCTTACCTCGCATTGGTCGCAATTCTTTCCAATAACATGAGGCATACATGAACAAAACCCTGTAAGACCGTCACATTGAGGGGGTCCCTCTGCACTCACTATAGTACCAGCCTCATGGCACTGGCAAGGTTTGCAATCACCCTTCTTTTTTTGATCCAAGGCATCACCAAAATAGCCTACAATAATTAGTTATTTCTAAATTACTCTTGAAATATTACTCATCTTTTGCGAAAGATACCGATTTAATAAAAGAAACCAAACGATTCCTAAATCCACTTACCGCTTAAACATTTATCGCAATGCTCTCCGGCTGTATTGTAAATACATTTTAGACATTCTCCAGTAGTTCTATTACAATTTCCAACTGCGTTAGGATCGACGTTTCCATTACATTGGCACTCTACACATTCGTGAGAATTTCCAAATTGACCGGTAGGATCACCAAAATGGCCGTCTGCACATACCTCACATCTTGGTCCTAAGGATTACAAATAATATTTGATATGTAATTGTATTTAATTGTAAAATATAATTTTGAAAATAAATATTTACTTGTCAACTCTTCCAATAAAAAAACGAAAAGAAGAAGTAATTTTTGATAGTCTATATTCAAGTAAAATGAACATCTCATAATTTGTAATTAACAGATAAGATGTATTGTATTTTTTTCATTTTTAAATAGGCATTTTAATATAAGGTGCATGTAATTGGAGAAGATTGAAAAACTTATCTCTTACCTGCATATCCAGAAGGACAGTCTGTACAAACAATACTTTGATCCATTAGTTGTATACAACCGCTGTCTTTAGGACAGGGACATGGCTTGCAGTCGTCAGGTGTTCCAGCTATAGCATTTCCATAGAATCCTTTTGCACACAACTCACAATTGCTGCCAGTTGTGTTATGCTTGCAAATACAAAATCCTGAAATTTACCATTCTATTACAAAAGACTCTCTAATTTATAACCATGAAGTTTATTGAAGCTTTTAAACATACCGGTAGCTGTATCACATATATGTGCATGGCCATTACAATCGCAGGGAATACAAGTCGAGTAAGGACCTCCATTTGCTGGTTCATGTTTAAAACCTGGTGCACATTCTTCGCAATAATCACCAACGTACGCTTTTGGACAAGAACACTTTTCAACCCAGTTTGCCGGTGCTGATCCTTTTTCTCTACCTATCTTGGCCGTATCTAATTTGAAATTCATCAAGTATCCCTGTCCACCTTTGTTGTAAGTTCCTCTTATTTTAATGGCCGTTAAGTTTTGAAGAATAGATATAAACTCAAAGTTTGAAAGTGTGGGGGTCCACCCATACCGAGGATCCTCGTGAAGTCTGAATGAGTATTCTTGGCCCTTAAACAATATTTTTTTCAATAACACCTTTCCAATATTATTAACATAATAAATTATATCCAAAAAAAATTCAATACACATTTTGTACGTTTAAATTCGCTTTCATAAAATAGTTCGCAGGACAACTCATTCGCTTAAATGTCGCAATGCAATTAATTTACATATAATGATAATATACCTGATCAGTAGGCTCTGGATTATTTTGACCGTATATATTCATCGATATTGAAGTGCGGGAACCTTCAAGAATAATGTCTTGAGAGGAAGGGTATCCTCGTTTTTCTCCCAGACGTAGGTTAAATTTCAAATCGTGATTATAAGACTGCCGTTGATCTCCAAGGAATTGGTTTGAAGCGAGGAAGTACACAACTTCGGTATCCTTTGAAGAAACAGCTAAAATATATATTATTTAATAAAATACCCACTTTAACAAAAATGAAATTGATAATAATTAAACTTAGGTATTATTATTTAAATTACCACTATTAAAACCTACCGATATTTTGGGTATTCGCATTAAATTGAAGCGTAGCTGGCTTGTGATTGCTGTCTTCAGCACTCCATTTTTCAGCATCTCTTATGAAATGTGCACTCAGCTCGTGGGCTTGGTACTTGGGCGCTGAAGTACATTGGGAAGAATGACCGAAACAGAAGCATGGTGTACATCCAAATTCATTTTCCAAGTCTAAGTTAAAGAAACCAGGCTTGCACCTAAAATTTAAAAACAAAAATATACCATTATTTAAAGTGCTTTTGAATTACATAAAACAGTTGTCATTAATTTCATTGTTTGGATTGATATAGTGTTTTTAACTTGATAACCATAAAAAAATTTAACCATTTTGATTAAAGTCGTCTTGCGTGAATATACATATTATTTAATAACATAATATGTTGATGAAAATAACGCAACTTACTCTCTACATTGTTTGCCTTCCACATTTTGTTTGCAGAAGCAGCGTCCAGTAATAGGATCGCACTGTGGAGTGTTATCAAAAGATCCGGACTCATTACAACCACAGGGTTTGCATCCCTGGTTTGTAAATTCATAATGATTAGCAGCACAAACGTCGCACTTATCACCTGTCACACCTGGTTTGCATTGACATTTTCCCTCGGCATTACACTGTAGACTTCTCGACCCTAAAAATATATTGATTTAAAATTATTTTTCACAACAAAATCAACGAATATTATTACTAATATATATTTTGATTTACCTGTGGGATTACAATTACAAGGCATGCAGATGTCCTGCATACTCTGGAAGTAATTCTCCTTACAGCGTTCGCAGTTAGGACCGTCTCGATTTTCAGAACAGTCAATACAATGTCCTCCATGCCCCGTAGTCTCATAAAGATCCTTATCAAAGTAACACTTATTGGAGAACCCGTTGCAATTACATGCTGTAGAAAAATATAAAACTTATACTTGTTACACCTTACAGTGTGGGTTTTACTTTGAAATCGCTCAGCACATTTTTCTTAATATTAAAAACATATTATGAAGATATGAATTAACCATCTTATTTATTTATATTATTATTTAAACAGAAAATATTAACAAACTAAATTATTTGTAAAGTAATAAACATGTAAAATTTATATGTAAAGGAAATCTTGAAAACAAAATCAATAAAAGTCACTGTTTCTTTTAAAAATTGGTAAAAATATATATATTTCTAATATTTTTAACGTAATATGTACGTCGCCAAGCAAGTAAATCTTTTCCTAGTAATGTTATTTTAATATTACGTTAGAAATACATACAAAAACTATATTTTGGAAAATATTATTGTCACTTCAATTTTACACTACAAGGTGTGGATTTAAAATAATCAATATGTACCTATTCAAAAAACTTTGTTACAATGTTTTGTTTCATTGTCTTAGATTTTTTCTAAAAATTATAGAAGAAAAGAGTAAAGTTGTAGTTACCAAACAAGGAATTGATTTTATTGTTGAAATTCTGTTTAAAATATGATAAATTATAAAGTACCACTACTTTGGATATGAAGCGGAGCCCATTCACGAATAATAATTATCACATGAGACATTAGAATAAATAAAAAAAACATCAAGTTAAAAAGAAAAACAAATTTTTATGCTATTTTTCTTCCTAATCAAATAATTTAATACAATACCTGTATATTTGTTTTAGTTTAGGCTATTTTAAAAATTATAATATCCCTAATGCTCAGAGGGTGGGAGAGGGGGGGGGGGTCAAGTGTTGGACTTTCTCCAATTCCTTAATATACCAACTATTCATTAGGTTGATCTTTATCTTGCCATTTAAAAAAAAATAAGATAACGATAGATTTTACCGCTGACTGCTTATATTTCGATGGAAAGTCTATTAGCGACCTGTGTGGTCGAAAGATTAAATCTCTTCAACTATTTAATAAACTATTTAAGGATTATCACGCTCTCCCACAACAAGACAACAGAATTCAACGAACTCTCATATCTAAACACAGCTTAAATTGCAGCTGGGATTGTGCTAACCTTAAAATCTTAACAAATCGAATATTTGTAAGTACTCGAAAAGAAAATAAAGGAGCCTTGCCTAAGCTTTACCAAGTAATTTCAAAAAAAGTCTTTATTGGCGCTTCCTGACATTTCCCCTCTCTGGTAAGGAAGACTACTATGAGGTCTTGGTCAATTTGTTCACCCTCCTGGCGGGTATATTCTGTTCAACTTGATATTTTACAAATATAAGAAGGGCTTTTTGCTTAGGTACAAATACTGCTTAGGCTATTAAGCGGTTATTGCCTAGCAGGACAAAGCTCTTCGTAGGTTGATATTTTTTGGAGGATATGACAGTACCTTTTTTTTCAAAATTCACACCACATCATGGATGGTGTGTTGTAATTTTTTTTTAAAGATAAGAATGAATTCTTAGTTAGATTAACATTGTTATGATTACATAGTTTTCATTTAAAATTTTGTTTAATAGTTGCGTGTATTTCATACTTACGTACTAAAAATAAATATAAACAACGCAAGTCAATAAATTCGCAAAGAGCAATATTTTAAACCAACTTACCCTTGCATTCATGTACATTAGTTGGTGAAGCGCGACCCCATGGAGCATCATTGTAAAAATCTAAACATCTTTCACATTCCTTGCCTGCTGTATTATGCTCGCATCTACAACCATTCAAAGGGGTCAGTTTATCTAAATCTTATAATGGGCACATGGATTTTTAAAACTAAAACTACCTGCAATATCTAACTCGAGAACCATCAGGCATTTCCTGGTTTTCACAAACAGAAGCATGGCCATTACACTTGCATCGAGCGCCGACAGCTACGTCAGCAATGGCATACCAATAAGATTGCAATACTTGTACGTCTCCGAATATCTCGTCACCGAAGGTGTTAAGGCGATCAAGGGAAATACGCAAGTCAGTAGCAGTAACCCATTCCTGTTAAAACGAAATATGTGATCTTTGCAGGCAGAACATACTTGGCGTTTATTCATATATTGCCTTGGTATACATATGTACATATCGTATAGAATAAATAATAGTGCTTACCTGTAACTCAGGACTGCTATCAAAAGTATAGGCCGAAGGTCTGCCTTCGAGAGTAGAAAATAAAACGTTTCCTCCAGACAATGGTGAAATATCTGAATACTCGCTAGTGCAAAGTGCTTTCGTCTCGGCTCCTATTTCCGCAGCGCGCTGTTCCAATACACCATATGTATCACGACATGAAGCACTGCAAAATATGGATAGTGTGAAACATATATGTATGTATTCAGAAGATTCCAAATAAGTTATAAGGTTGATAATAAATCCTACCTAAAATACTGATAGGGTTCCCATTCTGAATCTTCGCTGGCCTTTTTATAAATTGCAAAACTTTGTGGTCTTGGAGAGTAGAAAACGATACGTACATAGGTGATATCATATGCCTTCCCTGTTTTATAGTTATGTAATTAAAAAGTATATAAATAAAAATAAAAACACTTTAAATAAGTAAAATAAGATAAGTACCTAAATGTAACGTTAAATTGACTTGATTTGGATACTGTATTCCTTCCTTCATCGTTTCTGACTGCCACCACGTCTGATTGTCTTGTTCGTAATGGAGATCAGTTAAATAATAACTTGAAAATTGTCCCGGCTGACAGAAATCACAGGAACTGAAGAAGAGGAAATGAGTAAATACATAGAATACTTTAGCACCATTATATAATTATGTATAATAATACCGCATAGATGTTCCAGCCGAGGTTTGGATGCAATACATCTTTCCTCCGTTGTCCCCACATGTGTTTGTCGTCTCCATTTGTACCATGAAAGCGGCATTCTCAAATTCCGGTATACATCTCTGCAATTAGTGAAGGTATAAATTAAATAAGTATATTTGAAATATTTAGCTTATGAAAAAGAAATATAATTATAACACAACAGTATGTTTGAACATAATGTATTATTATTAACTTTCGCCTAAGAATTAATTTTTCTTAATTCCTAATAAATGACTAAATATCATATCTCATATTGTTATGCTTAGTTGACAACAATAAAGTGCCTTAGACATAATAAATGTATTGTTTATTTTATAAGTCATTAAGTTAACGAGCTCTCAAACAAAAGTTAAAGAAGATTTATTTGTTCCGAGAAGGATCGCTCTTTTGGTGGTGAACAAAATAGAAAATACAAGGAAACTGGTTTACGATTGTCTTCGCAGATGGTGGTTTTGCCGCCAAAATAGTAAAACTATATTTAGAACTTGCTCGTAGCAACTCGTATAACGCAACAGTCTCATGTAACCATAATACAAATGAAATATTAATGTAAAGATTATACATATTAATATCATTATCAATTAGGTACAAACGAAGTAATACGATTTTAACATTGGTAATTAAATGGTAAAATAAATAAGACTGTCATTTGTTTAAGACTTCTTATTTATTTTGAGGTCACGTATCTCGCAAGTAGTACAGTCAATGACTCCTTTGTTGCGTAGATTAAAGAATATCTCAGAATGATTAATTTATTTTTAAATTATACAGTATAAAAATCACTCAACTAAACACTAGTGACCTAGTATTATGTTAATTAATTGTGTAATTCGATCATATTCATTGTTTTCTATAAATTAACAACATAAACGAAAAATATGTTATATTTACAGTTTTTAATACGAAAATATAAAAAAAATAACTTTCAGTTTCTATTGGACGTACTGTGACTAAATTGCTATGATATAACGAAATAGTTTAATTAACTATTCATCCGCCAGAGATAAAAGCTACCAGCTAGGATGTTACAATAATTTACGATTTTAAAATCAAAAATGACGTAGTCTTATAAAAGACCAATAAAGTAAAGAACTTCTCATAATATTGAGTTAGATATATCTACTTACTAATATAAAAAATATATAACTTTATAAAAGTTAGGACTTTATCCTATTAATAGACCTTTCTTTCGCAAGAAACTGCCTCATACAAGTAAAAAAATTGAATAGAATGCGTTATCATAAATTTATGAGATAAAGTAACACTTAAATTGAGTATAAACGTAAAAAAAATATTAAATCTTCCTTTAACATTTTACAGTTTGATGACAAATTGTTGTAGTAGTTTAATAATTTAAATAAATGTTGATAAATTAAAAAAGCTACATGATATATCTGGGTACAACGGATGCAGCGATAAGTTCGTTCCGTTGGCCCCTGATAACAACACATTTGGCGTTGAGAGTAAACGAACTCGTGTCTCCACAGTATCAATTGACTTACAACATTTACTGGTATGTTCATTGATAACCTTTCGATAATCTGCCAAAACTAAAACTATACTAACGTCAGTATTATCGACACATGATGAGACCGAATTATTAGTTTTATGAATTAAAAATAAATTAAAGACAACTATAAAATATGAATATGTAGGGAACAACTTATTAAACTTTATTATTATCCTAGTTAGATCTTATTTAGTACTTAATTTAATTAGTTAGGTTTTTTTTACAAATAGATCTTGTTTTTAATAAAGTTTCTATTTTAGTTCTAACATCCTTAAGATATAAAGTTTTATAAAAAAAAACTTCACTAAATGTGATTTTTAGCAGGTACAATTTTTAAAACAATAGTAATATCTACAAAAGACATTTCCATTCATAAGATTACAACACATTACGGCAACAACTCTACTTGAGTCATTAAGTATAGATTATAAACAAAACTACGGAGATGTCAAAATTGACACAAACACAAAGTTTAAAAGCTCTGAAGCTAAAAAGGTGTACTTACTTGGGGTTGTCCATCATTTCTATAACAGGAAGCTAGTTTTTGTGATGTCCTATGTGTATGGAAGTTATCCTGTGCTGACGATATCGCCATAAACGTTAGAAAGTATGTGTAAATGAATGGGCGCGCCATTTTGTGTTAGCGCGTGGAGCTCGCGTCGACGCGCCTGCTGGTCGACCGAGTACTGACGCTCTTCTCGTTTCACAATATCATGCCAAAGACTACGGAAATAGAATCATACTTGGGTGTTATTTGTCTCTCAGAGGACTCGAAATTCCGGAAATAATAAAGGAATCTAGATATTACACTATTCAAAAGTTTTAAAGTTAATCTCAAGCAAATTTCGTTACATAAAATTATATAAAATATATATAAAGAAGACACATTATTGAAAAAAATACATAAAATTATTATTTATCGTGTTAAAAAAACCAGTTCGGTGAAAGAATTTAAATAACATTTGCCCAAATTAAATATTTAGGCCTATAAAATTTATTTTTTCCAAAAATTCATTTCTTGAATACTAAATTTAATTAATCACGTAAACATAATCTTTGATGACTGGTGGAACATATTTCTAAGCGCGGCTCGGTGGCCTCATAGCGACTATTTTTTGTGAACGGACCTGAAAAGGTCTGAGCTTTTGTTTTCTGCCAGATTGCTACCATGTGCAGTCATTTAAGCAAAATTTACTAAACCGTGGAAATTTTGCTCGGTTCTGAACCGAATTTGGGTTCTAAGCAATTATATTGTATAAAAACTACGCATATCGTATGTTTATGTTCACACAAACCAGAGAGATCCTTAAATCTATTATAAAATAACTTTCATATTGAATCATCCTTCAAAAATCTTATTTAAAGCCATTGCAATTATGGCACTATATTCTGCTGACGAAATATAAATCTCTAATAAATATAAAATCTGTCGATGACTGTCTGATACTTGCTTTTAATAAAGTAGCAGATTATTATTGTTAGATGTACCTTCTGAAATAGGTATTGTATGTGTTTCTGATTAAGTGTCGATAGATGCTGACGAAGTCGAATGCATTAGGTCATTGAGTAGCGCTATTTCATTCCTGATTCATTCTGTTTCACTCACACCAGGGCTTCAATGCGTCCTTTGATCTTTTCTCGGCTGTGCCCCTAAGGAAGTGGGCAATATTAAAGTTGCATCTGAGTTCGTGAAAATATTGATATTTTTAAGGCCCTTAGATTTTAGCTAATTGCAAAATATACTATTAAATAATCCACAAAATCTTCTAAGACACTACCACCTAACATAAAACTTCAATCAACTAAAATAAAAATATTTTAATTTTTTTAAATTTTTTAGTATAAAAGGATGTTCTTAATGGTTTGTTTTTTTTGGTGCACTATCATTCCCATTAAATAAATTTTGATATTCAGTTATTTTGATTAATTCTTACAATCAATAGTTGTTCGTAATTTTCTCAGGAACATGCGTCGTTAATTCATTTAAAATTCTAAAGCTTACATGTGGCAAACATCTGGTGAAACAACCTTTGGCTTAAATATACACATTTACATAATTCATCAGATTATTTCATATTGTAATACTCAATGAATGTATGGATGAATTAAGATTTTCTACTAATTAAAGTTGTGTTTACTCGCTTTTGAACATTATAATTTGTTGGTAACCCAATGTTACAACACTTAAGTACATCAGAAAATATCCAATTTTAAAGTGTGAAGGAATTAAAGGAAGTTATAGCTACACGCAACAGTTCTAATCTTAAATAACTTGGATGGATGACGTTGACAAACTGAACCTAATTTTAGTGAACGCGGAAGCTGTTCTCGTAGTAATGTATGTAACATCGAAGGAAAGATAACGCGGTTCAAGGAACTCATAAAATATTTTTCAAGTAATAAAATATTAAGCAAGACTTTTAACAATATTTCATTGTTCAAAACACCCTATTATTTGATATACAAAACTACATAAAATTGATTTTTATTTATTAAGTTTCAGTTGGTAGTTGACAATTTATATTCACGACGATAACACGTATATCTAATGTGAACTATTTTGGTTCTAATTTTTAAACAAACGATTGATAAATATTTTATCTGCATGACCTCCCTAGGGGTGATAGTCGTTTTTTTTTAAATTCTAGTATTCTTCAACTTTACAGTGTTGTTAATGAACAAAATAGATGTCACCAAAAATAAAATTTGTTGCGTGACCGACAATTAACAACATACAATACAAATCCATTTAAAATCGTACGAAATTTGTATGATTTATAATATTAAATAAAGGAAAGTATCCTTTGAATTCTTTTAAGGATTAAAATATTCTATTTCCATTCAAAAAAGTAAGCTTTATTGACGAAGAAAGAGTTCAATAGCATCGTAGTGTGTTTCTTTTGTTTTTTAACATTAACATCACCATAAAGTACTTACTTGTTTAATATTATAAGGGAGAAGATGTCTTCGACTTAACTTTAATGTACTTTCAATAAAATTATTCTATTAACATTGCTACAAGATTCATTTGAACTAATTAATTAATTAATCAAAAAGAAACAGAAATAAAAATCTAAAATTAAACTAAATATAACTAAATGAATAAAAATCTCTTCATTTCCCTTTTTTAGAATTCGAAATAAATGGAATACAAAAATAATAATTGGCTGTATAAAGTGTATTGTAGGACAATATTACTGAGTTTGTATTAGAATAACTTCGGACGTAGATATGGTTTAAACCTAGGCAAAAAAAAAATTAGCAAAAATCAAAAGTAGTTTATATGCACCGACCTTCTATGAAAACTAAGTAATTTGTATGAAATGAAATGAATGAAATGAAAACTAACTAATTGTACATAAGTATGTACATAATTTTAATAGAGGATTGAAATAATTAACCTTAACAGTACATGAGCTCAAGATAAAAACACTAATTTTACTTTTTCTTTCCTTCCTCTTCATATAATAATAAATTTAAAAAATCCCTTTTTAGTACATTTCTTCTAAGCCCCAATTACTCTTGATACATGGAGTTATTGAGGCACAGAAGTAATACGTAAGTCACTCTTTTAAACTAAGACCAATCTTTTAACACTAAAACTAACACTTCCATGTACCATAATCTCACGGTACCTTCCATGATATAAGACGCACGTATCCAAATAAACAGAACTGTTCAAACACTATGGATATAAGAAATAATCAGAACAGGTCGTTAAATGTGCAATTATACTTTACAATTAATCTAATGCTTTGTAATTAAATCTGTTTTCCCATTATATTGCATTGTAACTAGATTCGCATTTTATATAGCTGGAGGTGTAAAGCGACCTGCGTCGTTTCACCCCTTTTGACAACCCACCTCTGCGCAGCTTTTCACCCTAATTAATGTCGCATCTGAGGAAAAACAAAGTAACCCATACAATACTATTTCTGAGCAAATCGAATTTGATCTATTATTAAAAAACGATGTCGATTTTATTGATTTAAAAACTCTTATTAATAGAAGAAACAATATTATGTCAAAATATTTCAAATGCTAAATAATACCATAACATAGTAAACTAGATAGCCTTTCTATTTGGTAATTTTATTGTTAGCGCTAATAGTTAGTTCCACGAATTGTAAGAATGAAAGTAAAAAAATTACCAATTTTTGTATTCATGTAAATTACTCTACAATTATGGTAGTGAGCTCATGTACTGATGTTGGTGCCTGATAATTAAAGTAAACTGCTATAGAGCATTTTCCCAACAGACTGCCATCACGCAATACGAGGTAACCCTAGTTATTGTCAACTGTCGGACGTAGTCGGTCCATCACCATGGATGCCAAGGTAACGTTGCATTTTATTCATACACTTTTACCGTTGGCTTTTCTTAATTCTTTTATGATCCCTCTAAAGATTCTTTAACTTACAATAAATTTTTTCAGTCCCAATCACGTAGTTCATTCAAATAATTCCACTATTTTGTATAAATTTTACCGTTAATAGGTTTTGCCAACAATTACAATCTTGAATAATAATATACTAGTATATGGACTTTCTCAAAGTTATAGTGATATTGCACATAATATTTTTATTTTAATAATATTAAGTAATTAATTGTTATACTTCTGGTAAAAAAACATTATAAGTTTAATATTTCCAACCAAACTTTTAATGAAGATATAAATAAATATCCGTATTATTTGACGAGTATAACATCCGGAGCATGTGACATACTTACTTTATCTTAAAAAACAACAGCTGGTGATAAAATTAATTCCTAATAACGTCGAAAAAAATGACACAATAAAAAAATATTTTCAAATTATTTAATAATTTTATGTTACAGTTTCACATGTTTATGAGGTTTTTATAATAATAAAAGGATACATTTCTCTTAATATTTTAGCAATCGAAGTAAGTCAGGAAATTGTGTTCTTATCTAGAAAAATGTTCAAATTATTTTAAATATGTATCTAATATATTTGGTAACAAAATATTCTTTTTGGGTCAAACAAACTTGAAGAACACAACCGTCAGTCATTCCTGTAATATTTTCAAACCAACTTAGAAAAATTTTGTTTCTATGTATATTCTAATTAATCGATGAAGAGAAGAAGTTAAAATTTTATGATTATATTTTTTCATTAAACTGGAATAAATATTATTCAGGTGAAGGAGAAAGGTATTCTTAAGCTGGAACCGAGACAGCGCACCGAAACCAAATTAGAATTAACGCCACAGGTTAGTGTAATTTTTAATCTTTTTGTTTTTCATTATTTTAACGAAATTATAAGGTAGTAAAATACAAATTTATAAAACATTTAAATGGATTCAAGTTCAAATTTTGTATTGAGGGTTCACAATTCTTGCTCAATTATTTTATATATAATATCTTTAGACACCTTCATGATGTTTTGATTGGTCAATAATTTCTGCTAGGTTTTGAATTCCGCAATGGAACTTAAACATACTAATCAGAAAATATTAAGCCTCATGTTTCCATAAAACTACTGCATTGAAAATATTATTAGAATCAGATGCACTCTATCAGATGAAATAGGTTTGATTAAGAGAGAAAAATGGGTAAATGTTAAGGAAAGTTGTATTTGAGTACCAAATTTTTTTTAAATTTTTCATAAGAACTTGAAAAACCTGTACTTTGTATTTTAATATAACAGTAACAGATTAAAAAAGATAATTTCTCTAAAACAAAAACATAAATAGTTATATATAAAACGAAATGAGTAAAAAAAACTGTTATTATTCCATTAGTTAAGTTTTTTTTAAATAATGGAAGAAAAACCAATTTTTTTAGTATGTCATAAAATATTCCTTCCTTATTCCTTAACTACACCTCAGCGCCATTTTATAAATTTTATTTTATTTAATAAGTCTAAATTTTATTTATAATATCACATTCATGTTATTACTATGACAATGTTTCTTTTTAAATAACAAAAATAGCGAAGGATTTTGAATTCCTTTTCAGTTTTATTTGTATCCCAAAAAAGAAACGTTGAAGGAAATTTATGAAATAATAAATAATTTGATAGAAATTATTATACTTTTTCTTAGATTAAATGTCAATAATATTTTAGAGTAGCAGACCTTACGTGAGACAGGTGATCATTTTATTTTTAATACATTTATTCCAAAAATTGTAAGAGTGTTAGCAGTTTACATTTAAATATACAATACAGACAAGAGATAAAAAGTCATTAAGTACTAATACAATATTGTACAATAGTTACACGATGCTTATATTGTCCTCCACCTTCTAACTGGCGGAATGACAGTCAAGCAATAACCTGTTGAAATTAAAAATACAATAGACAACGAAGTCATGTCTTTATAAAAGAATTAAAAATTAAATTTCATTAGGTATGAATTCCACTAAAAATTATATATTCATAATTACATATTATGTTGTCTATGTCATCAGTGATGTGTGGCTAAAATAATTTTACACTTCAAATAATCTTTCTCCTACAGTATGATACGCGACATATACATTTCATTATTAAAACAATTAATATGTATATATCATAGTAATTGAGCTTGGTGAAATAAAATCGCTCCGTAATTATGCTACTACAAAATAAAGGTTGGGAACTTCATTAATGGAATGAGCGGTCAGGGTTGAAGATCGTGTTACAAAAAATTTGATTTACCAACCTTTTCATAACACGTTTTGATTTTCACTCGACCAATTAGACTGGGCGTAGTTACTTTTGCTTAAAGTGATATGTATAACTTGGCTTTGTACATATAATTATTAACGGAAACTATGTATTAACGTTACCTGATGTTATTGATAAAAATGTTTATAAAGATCTAATAAAATTTATTAGTTTATGGTGCATTATATTTATCTTATTTAAAACTCTTAAATGAGAAATATCTGAATTAATACGATAAAAAAAAATTGACTATCAAATTTTATTATTCACGATGTCATAGTTAATTTTTTTTTTAAGAATATAAGTAAGTATAATGTATATGTAAATTGGTGGATAAGAACCTTTAATAAAATCTTGTTATGACAAAAACTATTTATATTCATTCAATTACCACTTATGGATAAAAAAAACATACTTGCTCAACAAATACAAAAACAGTTTTGTGTGAAGTCTTTTAAATATGCATAAATTGTCATTAACTGTTTTATTAAAATTAAAAAAAAATGTCCTATTTTACATATATCGTACAAAATTCAGTATCACCCCTGTATGGATTTGTTAATAAGTAGAAGCGATTGGTCGCTTTTTGTCAGCCGAAGACTGACTGCTTTCTGACACGGCACTTGTCAGGGATTTAATAAAAAAAGTTTTAATTTCTTTTTAATTTAAATTAATGGTCCTCCTATCTAAACGTCTTTTAATGTTTGAAATAATGTAATTTGATAAATACTTTAAGAATTCTATATCACGTATTTTTTGTAACCATTGCATTTTTGTAATATTTTAATCTAAGACAAAATCTCCAACGCAAGGCAATAATAGGTTTTGGTCGTAGTCCAATAAATTATACCACACCTCACAATAATGGCCAAAGAATAGTTCTAATTTTTTCTTTGATAAAGCTCACCTTACACTAAAAAATATTAAAAACTGAGATTATTCGATTAAATTAAATACCTCTGAGGGTATTTTTTAAACAATTTTATTTTGTCTCACAGTTAAAATTAATTTGTGTATTCTAATTATGTCTACAACAAATAGCAGTATAACAAATTTATTACTTTTGTTAAATATTACCAGGTACGTCTTGTTTTGAATTATGTTAAAAAATAATTTAGGAATTCTATACAATATAGCAGTTTCTTAATAAGACTTGTAATTCCAGTGTTATTTAGTAAATACTTATGAACAAAGAGCGTGTAGTGTGATCGTTACGAGGCGCAGTGTCGAATAGCGATGCTTCGGAAAATGAATGAGCAGTGTAATAAATCGTTTAATTAATTGCCCCGTGACGAACTTTATTTCTTCTACCCACTGCCGATACCAACAGTCCGACTGTTACCCTCAGATAGCGAAGTAGCTTTCTCCCGATCCCTGATCAGATTATTCTACTATCAACGGTTAGTCCTGGAATTTATTTATTTTTCGTTATGTAGATTTTTTTTAATGGTGAAAGAAGTTCAAAGCGAATGGAAAAATTATAATGGTTTCTGTTATAGTGATTTTTTTTTGCAAAACTTTACAATAAGTACACATTTGTGCCTTATGAAGTGTCTTTTTATTTTTAAATGTTGGTGTTATTACTAAATCACTATTTGACAAAAGTGCAAATAGAAATACCGGAAATTAAAACACACCTCTGTAATAACGTTTCATTTATTAAGTATATTGCAGTCGTTTATTCATTTACAGAACTCGACGTACTAAAGACGTATCTGTATAAAAAAATGTCGACCGAACGTGTTGCTAGCTCACAAATTTTTATTCCATATAAAATCTATAATTTAGAAGTATATTTTCATTACTTAACTTTTCTGATATGAAGTAACTTATTAGAGTGTACAGATGTTAGAGGTTTGATAGCATCAAAATATAATTATTCACTTAATACCAGGGCTCCTATGACCGTCCGCCTGGTTCACCGCAACCATCCGTTGATCGATGGTCCGTCACCTGGGCGGATCCTGGCAGTATGACTTCTTCGGGAGTCAATCTCTTTCATCTGCCTGCCGACACACCAGCTAGTAATGAAGTCAAATTTTCACCAACAGCGGCAGGTAATCGTATCAAATCTATAATTTTTTTAATGCTTTTTTTACCCAAAATTTAATTAAACATTTATATCTCTATATTTAGATGGTTCTGAAGATGAAGATTACTCAAGTTTGAGTGCCGTCCTGAAACAACGTCGAGCTAGTGTGCGTCGCTCGCGTAAGGGTCGGTCGAGACGCCCATCTTCACCATTCCTGCCAGATGAAAATCGTTCAAGAAGGAGATCCTCCGTTTTCACTACCAGTTCTGGAGAGTGAGTACATATTCTCCTATAAAAAGTATGTTTATATTTCTGTTAGTCTGTCAATAAAAAGAAATTCGTACTTTTTTGCGAAGCTTATTAGTTATTATCTAAAGCTAAGACGAGTTTACCTCTAAGTCCCTTAGGTCCGATATAACATGGTCTTCTCATTGTCCTACTCTAATATAAGTAAAAATAAAATAGGCATTTATTACAAATCTTAGTGTTAACTATTCCTAAGGGAATGCATAAGGCTGAATACCAAAAGCTTTCATGTACCGAAGCATGTATATGCAATTAGCTAGATATACATATATTCTGTAATGAATAATGAAATACAAAAACAAGCCTGCTAACTTCATGAATATATATACAATACCACATTTTCGAGAGTTCGCCACAATTTTGACAAAAATACCTCTTTTTTATTTATTTCATCTCATATAAAGTATCAGATACATTACAAAAAGAAACCATTTAATTGTATACACCTTACTTATAGGCAAAAATCAATCATAAGTATCTCCAGAGAAATTGGTTTGTTAAATAGTTGTTGTCATTTAACTTACTAATATTAATCATAAATGGATGTCATATTTGAATAAACAATTAGTTTCAAAGCTTTTAAAAAGTAAGACGCAGGTTTAAAAAACTAATTTTATTTAAAAAATATTTAGCCTAATATATTACCAAGCATCTCTTAGTCACCTTTCCTAGATGACCTCAGGAAAAGTAGTGTTTCTTCACTTGGCAATACTAATTTGCATTTAATATATTTCTATGAATCATTACTTGACTAGTTAACATTACGTACGAGTTCTAAAGAATCATTGTTAGTCACTTAAAATTTGTAAAAAATAATATTGCCCAGGTTTGTAGTCGCCAGACTGGACACTCGTCCATATTCAATTAATTACATCAAGTTCATTAGTAGAATAGCATTATGTTTAACATTGAGTGGCAATATTAGTCAATATTCACGAATTAACTTATTGTGTGTACACACATAACATATGCAAAGTTATGGCAGTAGTACTTTATTTATTTTAGATAAATTGTGTTCAAATACATGTTATAAAAAATACTTTACGCACTTTTTCTCTACATTAACTTCAACTGTGTCAATACGCACATTTATCACTACGCCTAATATACATATAAACATAGATCTATTAACAGATCTATTGTACTTGGTTCCATCAACAAGTCACCTATAAGTGTTAGATTTAATAAACTCTTATTTCATACGACAGACTTGTTTGTATAGAAAACGAAAGATGACGTTAGTCAATGCCTACTATCAAAACGAGATTTATGTAAATATAACATTTTTTCTAATTTTATGAAACAACAAAAATTCCTCATAACTAACATTAGCGATTATAATATTCTTACCAATAAATACCCAACAATGCAATCACTGAAAATTAAATCAAACTTAAGTTTTAACGGCTCCGTAAAAGTCATGAAATAGACGTAATATACTATTGCGGGGTAAAAAAAATATTCTAAAAGATGGTAAAGAAAAGCAAGGAACAGAGAGTGTCGTGTATTCTTCTTAGAAAATAAATAAGTTTATTTTATGTTTTTAAATGTTTAATTCCTTTACTTAAAATAAGTTCAGGACAAATGGATCTTATGTATAGTTAGAAAATTATTCTACAACCATTCGGTGCCTCAGATACGGATTTTTCATACCATTAGCATATTTAAATTATTTTACTATCAGAATGTTGTCTGTTATGCAGACAGGCAAATCATCACAGTTCCCTTCTGTGCTTAACAAGGAATTATTATGTTATTTTATTGGATGAATCTTTAAAACTTTAAAAATATTTTAAACTCTATTACAAACTTACTTATAATTGAAAGTACATATGTTTATAAATATATATATATATATATATATATATATATATATATATATATATATATATATATATATATATATATATATATATATATATATATATATATATATATATATATATATATATGAATATGAATATGTATGTGAAACCAAATAGAAATTTATTTTGATAGGATCTTATTCCATTACTTTCTATCTATGGTCTGTCTTCAACAGCACTGCTATATCCATTGATGAGCAACCAGTTGTTACTCAGGAACAAATCTTTGAAAACATACATCTTCACAAAGAAGTTCTTGGTTCAGTCAAACAACAACCACTTGGAATGAGAAGAAAATTAAAAATTGTTCATCAGGTAATTAAATTTAATAAACGTCTTTAAAATTGTCCTTAAATATTAACCATAAATATTTAATAGGCAAAAGGTTACGTCAAGCGACATGAAGGACAACTGCAAGAAAGACTTGCTCAGTCTAAAAGTACAAGAGATATCTACGCAAGGTTTAATATACTTCTAGCAAGTGTAAGTATAGAATACAAAAGAAATACTCGTAGTGAAACAAAATATATTATAATAATGTTCTTTTCTCAACAGAAATGGCAACAAATGAAAAGGGAAGCTGCAAATACATCAAATCTACTCATTCCCTGGGAATTGCGTATAAAAGAGATTGAGTCGCATTTTGGCTCCGTCGTTGCATCTTATTTTACATTTTTGAGATGGCTGTTCTGGGTGAACTTAGTCATTGGTTTCATATTGCTTGTGTTTGTAATAATACCTGAGGTACGGTTGTTGAAAATGTTATAGAATAATAATAATTAATATTGTTTTACAAATTTCTATTTTGACTTTGTCATATTATAAATATTTTATTAATCTTACACTTAGATCTTATTTTAAAATGAAATATTTATTTTTTTATAATATTCTAGTACCTTACGGCAAATCCTCTTCAAGACGGAGAAAGAAAAATTATTATGGACGACGAGTATCGTAATGCAACAAACTTATTAACGCTTTGGGAATTCGAAGGTGTTCTTAAATACTCTCCTATATTTTACGGCTATTATAGCAACGTGGAACGAGACCAATATAGAATGCCACTCGCTTATTTTCTTACTGGTTTGGTCGTGTACATTTATAGTTTTGTCGCCATATTAAGAAAGTAAAATAATATTTCATTTCTTAAAATGTTTATTATTTTGTCAGCAACATTTTGAAAGACTACATTCCTTTCAGAATGGCTGAAAACTCTCGAATGTCTAAGTTGTCAGAAAAAGAAGATGAATGTATATTTTCTTGGAAGCTTTTTACTGGTTGGGACTTTATGATAGGTAATGCTGAAACCGCACATAATCGTATTGCATCAGTTATATTAGGATTCAAGGAAGCTCTACTGGAAGAAGCCGAAAAGAAAAAGAACCTAAGAAAGTGCGATTAAAAAAAGCTTATAAAAATTATATAAGTTTTGTTGACAAATCCGTAATTCAATTTATATTTTTAGTTGGCGAATAATATCCTTGAGAGCAGTCGTAAACATCTGCGTTATTATTCTTCTGGCGGTTTCAGCTTATGCCGTAGTGACAGTAGTTTATCGTTCAGACGATAACGCTAAGGTGCGCAGTTGGTGGCGTGAAAATGAAACCACTATAGTGGTTACTGTAATTTCTATTACATTTCCATTGTTATTTGAACTTCTTGGTCTTTTGGAACACTATCATCCAAGAAAACAACTCAGATTGCAACTGGCCAGGTAGACTTTTGTCCTCTTTAAAATAATTAAAATACAATATACGTACATATACAACAAACGTAATAAAATGACTAATAAACTTATTTTATTATTTTTTTTCAGAATTATGCTTCTTAATTTACTTAACTTATATTCACTTATATTTGCCTTATTTAGTAAGATTGAGGGCATGAGTAAGGAATTAATTTCATTACAACCAACTTTAAATATGAATGCCACATTTTTTTCTGAAAATACTTTAAATATGAACGAAACTCTAATAGGCACCTTACCAAAATCATGTTTTGAAATAGCCGTTCCCTGTCTACCATGTCATATGTTAACCGTGCCAGTCGATTTTACAATCACAAATTCTAATTTAAACGAAAAATGGAACAAAATACCATTCGCCACAGGGGATACACCCAACTTTTTAAATATTTTACCCTTTACTAAAAAAGAAGATAAGAAACACAACAAACCGAAGAGCGTGTCTTTTTTAATGAAAGCCAGAAGAGGAAAAAAAGATGTTGGTAAAGAAAATGATGCGAATATTGAAATAGCTAAAGAATTGGAAAAACTCAGGAATATTAGTAGATTATCAGGTGTATTGGAACCTAATGAGAGCTTAGAAGCAGACGATAGTGATTCCGACGAAAATTATGATATATTATACTCAGCACCGAAAAACGACATCACGTCGGAATCTTATTCTGATACTGAGAGTAATTTTTATACATCAAATTCGCTCTCTTTTTCTTTTGATTATTCTGATTCATCTACGGCGTACGAGAGTTTTATTAATGAAAATATTTCAACTCAATCAAATAATATAAATTGGACAGATATCACTACACCTGATTATGTCTATGATATAGATACCAGTACCGCTACAGAATCTGAATCAAATATAGTTAGTACAAGTAATGAATATACAACTGTATACACAGAAGAAACAACATATGTGTCTGAATTAAATACAGAAAGTTCCTCCTATTTTCCTTTAACCGACGAATCAAATTATATAACAAATAAATTGTATGACATTACCGTAAAAAACAAAGCAAAATCAAGCCCAGAGACGTTTCAACAAGATATTACTACAGAAATGTCCTCATATTATCCATCGACAGAAGAAATGTTTACATCTACTACTAATTTACCAAGTACTCTTGAATATGTATACATTTGCCCAAATATAAGTTTTAATTGTTCAGTAAGCTGTGGCGATAAAAATGTAACTCAAATTTTCTTCATGTCAAATTGCACTGTGGTTAATGTTAAATGTTACGTAACAAAATGTAATACATTACAAATGACTGCTGGTGCATATAATCACAATAAAACTAACGTCACAGTTTATGACACCGTATTTTTTGATAAATATCATAGAAAAATGTATAACTTGACAATGGGTACGAGAAAAAAATTATTGAAACTTTGTTGGGAAACCATGTTTGGTCAGGAATTGGTTAAATTAACAATGATGGATCTAGTAAGTAAAATTGTTGATTCGTAATGCAATAAAAAAAAAACTTTAACATTTTTAGCTAAGATATCTTAATCCTTTTTCAGGTTTTTGTATTGTTAGGAACTTTATTTACAGATTTTTTCCGGGCATTATTTGTCAGATATATGAATAGATGTTGGTGTTGGGATTTGGAAAAGAAATGTCCTGAATATGGAGACTTTAAAATAGCCGAAAACATCTTACATCTTATTAACAACCAAGGCATGGTTTGGATGGGAATGTTTTTTTCGCCAGGACTCGTCGTATTAAATGTTGTAAAACTGATGATAATGATGTATTTAAGATCGTGGGCAGTCATGACCTGCAACGTACCACATGAAGTAGTGTTTAGAGTGTCTAAGAGTAACAATTTTTATTTAGCATTGCTATTGACAATGTTATTTCTTTGTGTTCTACCTGTTGGATATACCATTGTTTGGGTAACACCATCATGGCACTGTGGTCCTTTTTCAGAATATGACAAGATTTACAAAATATTGACAAATAATATCTATAAAATTTTACCAACCAGTCTTAATTTCACATTGGAGTATATTGCTTCGCCAGCAATAGTCATACCATTGCTAGTTTTGTTAATTTTAATTATTTACTACTTAACATCGTTAACCAATTCCTTAAGAGAAGCTAATAATGATTTAAAAGTAAGAAAAATTTATTCGTTACGCAATAGAATTTAAGATAAAGTATTTAATTATGAATTATTTTTAGATTCAGCTAAGAAGGGAACGCACTGAAGAACGTAGAAAAATGTTTCAATTAGCAGATACAAGAAGAAGGGGAGGATCTTCATCAATAGACAACACACCTTTTTCAAGATGGAAAAAAGCATTACCTTCTCTTCCTGTATCAAAATCAATCGATTCTGATGATAGAAAAACCACAAGTGATATTACTAAAGAACCTGCCAAAAAGGCAATGAAAAAGAAAGGTAAAAATATTTAACTATTAATATATTATGTTCGTTTCAGATTTTAAAAAGCGTTTTTTGCTCCAGGTGGAATATTTGCCAAAATTGTTAGCTTAGCAATCGATAGAAAAACTAATGAGGTAACTATCAGTGAGACCTCACCAATCCCAAACAATATTGAAGAAGAAACGGATACTGATTTTCATGAAGTACTACCAAGAGAAAGTTTAAACATGAACGATATGGAAGTATCTATAAAGGTTGAAAATAAAAGAAAAACAATCGTGGAATTTAAAACCGAGGGAAATATAGAAAAAGAACAATTTAATATTTGTGATGATCTAAAAAAAACAGAGTCGCTTCCAGAAAATGGAGTTGGCCTGGAAGAAAAAAATAACGATAAAAGAAAACCAGGTCTCAGTAGGAATATAGATTCCGAAAGACATAAATTAGATTCTAGCAAACACTCTAAGCAAAATGATTCATTGGGGTCGGCTATACCAGTTATAACAATCAGCAATACAGAAAGCGATGACGAAGTATTGCAACCTCCAAATATAAGTCATACTCAATATGAAATGAATATACAGCGCAGTAATAAAGAAGGAGACAAGGTGAAAGGTCATCTAAAACGAAATAAAAAATGTTCCGACCTTAAATCCTTAAAACGTCAAAATAGTGTCGATAGTATAAATGAAAACAAAAGTCCAAAGGAAAAAGATTATGAAAGCGCTGGACACAAGTACCAATATTCGCTGTAATAAAAAATTCTGAAGATTTTATAGTTACAGAATAGCTAGCTTCAATTAGCTCAACTTATTTTAGAACTTAGAACAAATAAGGATCACAATTTTAGAGGATAGTTTCTAAATTAGTAAAAAAAAACTAATAATAAGATTTTTTTTAAAATTAAACTGTAAAACTAGTTTTTATGTAGAAATTTCATATAACATAAAGCCAACGCTTAAAACGTGTCACGCATATTAAATGTCACTTTGACTATGGAAATTGTCATACCAATATTTTTTTCTACTATTTTTCTAAGTCTTTTGCAAACAATATTAGGTTCATTATTGTCACGGCTAAAAAATCGTTATGAATATCTACCAGAAGAAATAAACGCTGACATAACAACGGAAGCTTTATATGATTTCGAATTCATAGGTGTAAGTCCTGAGGATAAAGTTGAACGTTTTTTACGTACAAATGAAGGCTTTGAATATGTACAGTATGATAACGAAACTCAAGGCAATGAGTTGGAGACCACAAATTATGTAGAAAATCAAATAACCAATAATGACTCCTTATACAACATGAATTACATTTCAACTGATCCTTTCTTTATTTCGAGAGCGACAATCGCCTCTACTTTTGAATCAAGAGTGACATCTATTATAACTAGAAGGACTTTTCCAACTCATTTCCCTACATTACAAACAAACAAAAACAAAATATTAGGTAAGTATTTTTAATCTCTATTTATTTATGTAGCGAAAAATTTTATGATATACAAAATATTATTCCTATATCATATAATATTTTATTCGGTTCGATTCCATTTGATCTATTCCATTAATACTTAAACTATGAAATTATTTCTAGAGTAACAAGAAAGAAACCGTACAATATAACGATATTTAAAACAAATTATAAATTGTTAAGGATGTTATTAAGGGACAAAAGTATGATTTAACTGATTTCTTATTCTTACAGATTTTTTTAAGACTATGACAGTTTCGTCTTACACAACAATTCCAACTCGAAGTATGCAACCTTTTTATTTAAAAAGCAATGAAGAGCAAAATAAAACGGAAGCTTCCAAAAATGATTCTAATGTTTCTAACGGCACATCTACATCTGAAAACCTTACCAATATAACTAGTACGACACAATCGCTTGTTACAATAAGTACAACAAGGCGGAAAAAGAAGAAACCGTCGTCTACTCATAAACCGAAACAAATTAAGGCTTCATGTTATTATTGTGGTTTAGATGTTGGGAATCTTTCAACATCATATTGTTATGATGTCTTTGGAAATAATGATAATAGGCTTCATCGATTACGAAAGCATCTGAAAATAAAATGTTTTCGAGGAACATCAAAACCCAAACAAGGGAACAAGTATTACAGCCCCAACTATATTGGTGGGTGTTATAAAAGATACCTTGACGTTGGTTCTACGTATAATGAGAGAGGATGTCGCAAAAGCCCTCCTGAGACTGGAATCTCTTACGCATCAACACGATTAGCCAAGTTGGAGATATTACTTGATGACATTGAAGACGGTTGTGTCGCCAGTCCCCATGCATCGTTGACTCCATTTAGTCGTCCAATTTCTTTGTATGTTCGATATCACGTTTGTGTATGCAGCACGAGATATTGTAATCATGCAAGTAATACAAATTGTTTAATCTTATACTATTTGCTATTTCTGTCTTTAACAATATATAATTTAAAATAAATTTATTAAATTAGTTTGATTTAATGTTAGTGTAAGTATGTATTTTTTACTTTTATATTTATTATATTTTCAATTACTTGCTAACCTAACATAAATCTTAGACCCTGATAGTTGTTTGTTAAAGTTATTCGATAACGTTTATTATACATATATGTCTTGCATTATCTCAGGAATAAGCCTTCTTGTGCTAAACGACATTTTTTTTTCTTTAGCCTCAATAGTTACTAAATTTTTATGACAATCGGATCTTAAAGGTTGAATATATAAAACAACAAAACCATTCACGCTTAAAATATTTGTTGTTATAACACTGCCCTGATCCAAACAATAAATATTATAAACTATACATTTATAACTATAACACAAACGTTGACTTTAAAAGCAACGCTGGAGATAATTGCATATAGAAACAGGTCTGCCATGGGCGGCGCTTATCTTCTTTGAATTTGATTTAAAAAATAATCTATACCACCCTTTCCCCATGCCTTCCTGTGCTATCTCAGAGCTCGGCTTCATTCTACGAGTGGACGGCGCGCGCGCAACATGGCGCGTGTTGTCGCGCTACTTTTATTGTACATTAGCGTCGCGTGCGCAGAAATATTAACACCCCCATACTTCAACTTGGCGCTTGGAAAAAGAATTACGGCGACAGCAACATGTGGTGATGAAGGACCGGAGTTATACTGCAAACTAGTTGGCGCCAATGCAGATCACGATGAAAGAGTCATCCAAGGACAGGTGAATACATTCATTGAAAAAATATATATAGTAATAACTTTGTAACTTCGTTATTTTAACGGTGTCCGTGTTGTAGATTTGAAGTGAGCCTTTTAAAAATTATTTTTCTTGCAATAGTGTCATTTCTATATACAATAAATATGGTGATGGTAACTAAACTAAACATTCTACTATTATTAGCAAAAAGTCATACATGCCCTTTTTATTATTGCACTATTATTATTCAAATATTTGTCAATATTTTCACAAACTCATTTTGTCTCAAGAGTCCCACAATGTGCATCTTCTAAATGTACATAATATGTTCATATATTAATATTTAATAACAGCCCCTAAAAGGATCACTATGTAATTAAAAATATGTGTTTAAAATATTGGTCCCTTCTGTCTCTGTTGATAAAGAGAACACGATAACTTATCAACTTCGTCCTGTTTCCTCGCCATCCTGTGATAGCGAGATGACTTAATTGTTTTTGGTCCATTTTAATAGCGCTTAAAAATTTAATTTAATGCATTTTAAACAGACTTATTTTCATAAAAAACAATTCATAAGCGTTTAACAACTAAAAAAAATATTTTATTCTTTGTTTCATTAAAAAAATAATGATTGGAGATAAAAATTATTCTAAGTTTCTTTAAAGATATTGAGATCATAGGTCACCAGATTATTTGGAACATACCGAATAGGTCATTAGTCTTACTTTATCAACGCTAGCATACGTCCGGTTATTATTATATACGATATAAAGTATATAAAGATTACGTTATTAGAACCACTACCACGATTTCTTTTATAATTTGTATATAAAAAATTGTTCAGCTAAATCTTAAAATATTGTACAGATTTTTTGGATTATTTTGTTAAAGTTTTACTCAAAATGACATTAAACCTTCCTAAGGCCGGCACACAACTTTTAAGTCCATATTTTAGAACCATTCGTATATTTTCGACAAAATTCGGCTCGTCTCGCTGCGTTTTTGTGGACATGTGGTAGCCAAATGCGTTTGCGCATCCCGACTCCAGGCGTTCTTTTGTTTCATTCGGAACGAACACAATGAATTCCAAATTTCAATATGTTTTTTGCGAGCACATGCGAGCTTCTTCGCATGTTTAAAAAAAAAGAAAAACATATTGTGAATGAACGGATTTGTTGGGTGTTTTAAATAGACCTTTGATGTCACGAATACCATTTACGATGTAACATGATACTTTTATTTAGTTTCTTTATAAAGAAAGAGATATTATAAATCCGTCCCATTTAAAGATACAATAAACATTATTGCAGTCAGAAACTAGCTTCATTGTAAGTCTTATTTATGATTAAATTTCTAGGAACAGATTAGGAATTCTTAAAATTGACGACAATAATATGAGTAAAGGCTTTAGTAAGAACTAATTCTTTTGTGAATTGTAAAGTTAAGCTATTTTTATCTAATTTAAATGTATGAAATCTACTCTCTATTTTCTTCTAAATTATAATACTAAAGTTACATATAAATTATTAATTAACACTAACAAAACTTGATGCATAAAAGTACTTACGATGTTTATCAAAGATAAGTTGTTTTATAACAGGTGTGTGACATGTGTGATGGTACAAACGAAGTCAAGAAGCATCCACCAGAATTCGCCGTGGACGGTATGGAAACATGGTGGCAGAGTCCGCCGCTTTCTAGGGGAATGAAGTACAATGAAGTCAATTTGACCATTGATCTCGGACAGGTAATGATAAAATTACTTAACATTCTCTTCGAAATTACATAATTGATTACATAGTTTACAATTTACCAAGCACATATTACTAACAAGATATCAAACTCTTTGTGAATTCGGTCGTATGTTGTTATAAATATGTACAGTTATATAACAACTTTACAATCAACCTCTATTTATAATTTACATTAAAAGTACATAATATATATTTATTCATATATATATTATAATACATTTACCTTAATAAACATAAACATTATAAATGTTCAAAAATAATATCCCAAATACGTTAGCAAATAATTTATATCTTCTTAAAGACTTAAAATTTCAATCTTTTTATTTCAATCCAATGACGGGAAATAAAATAAATTATGAAAATATTTATTTATTACTAAATGTTTGAATCGATTGTTTTTCCTTCTAGAAAGTGATAAGCACTATTTGAATAAATATTTAATAAGTTACGTAAATCCTACTAAGTTTTTACATAGCCACAAAGGATATTAAAAATGTGATAAAAAACAATTGATCTGAATAACATTTTTGTATTTTTAATACAGACGTAAAATTTTCATTTATGATGAGGCAGCGTATTCGCTTGTCGTGTCGTGTCATTATATGTACCATAGGCCATAAACAAATGCAATCTCAACACATAATAATAGTAAGCATTACTTCTTGTAATATCTGTTTGGGTGAATGTACCTTTAAATAGGAACGAATATTTAAATATACATAGAGATTATACGAAATGTTTCATGATACTTCACTGATTTTTACCATTTTTTAACATTAAACTGCCAGAGTCTACTGAAGACAACATGCTTATTTTCTTGTATCCTAGTTCCCAAAATAGTCGAGTTATTACGAAACGTGCAACGACCTCCTCGAATTTCCGCTCTAGGCTTACATGAAAGACATAAAATAATTCATTATAGACCAGATCTAAACGCTGTGTACTAAAATTTTATTAAATCTTAAGGTTTCGAACTCCATTTTTCTCGAAAGTTTAAGTAGTAGGTATATATTGTATGAATAATAATTGGCTTGCTTAAAACTGCTGTGTGTTTGATTATTCAAATGTTTTTTTTAATCCTTGTAAGCATTGATACTTTTTGAAAGAAATACGCTGGGCGAAATGTAATTTAAAAAAATACGTATGTGTAATCTTTAATACTGAATAATTACGGACTATGACTTAGTGTCGTCTTGGCGAAATATAATAATGTTGATTATAGACAGCGAAATGCTTTGCGATTGTAGCAAATTTTTGTAATACTATACACTAAAAAGTTTTTATCTGTGGTGTACAGTTGTTTATTTATTTTTACTTCTTTTTATATTCAAATTGTAGCGAATTTAAACCAAGCGTTCGAAACCTTAAGTTTTTTTTGAGTCAAATATGTATATGTTAAATATGTACGCACGTATTTCGGGCCCTATTCCAAGTACACATAAAAATTTTTGTGTCTCCGATAGCGCAGGTTCAAAACACTGATAATAAAAAGTTTAATCTGAACCATGATGAAACAAGTAACCGCTTTGACGCATGACTACAGACCTATTTTAACTATAGTCATAAAATGGTCCAAATTTATCTTTAACAAAAACTAATAAATATAATGAAACCTGTTACTCTAGGATTTCATAAGACAAAATTCGAACTGAAGTGAAAAATAAGATCTAAAAGTGAAGGAACCCATATAGACAGTACACATATTATATCACTGTTCTTAAGTCTTGTCAACAAAATGTTACTTGCTATATATAAATCTAGTGAATACATCAATACAATACAATCTAGTAAATACATCAATACAATACAATCTAGTAAATACATCAATACATATCATGAGAAATTTAGATCAGTACACAATATCAGAACTTGAAATTGCTGTCTAACCTGTAAAAATTATAATTAAACTTTAAAACATCAATTAAATAAAAGCCAAACCTATAAAAGCTATGCTCTAAAATAAAGAAGTTATGCATGGAATATTAGTTGTCAATTAATTTTGTTTGTATACACTACTAATAATTAAAAAGTTTTATGATAAAATAATACATTTCCTCAAAAAATTAATACGTATAAATAAAAATAAAACAGATAAATTCCTTAATAAACCATTTTTTATAATCTGACCCTAAGAGCACGTAATGATATCATATCTATTTGAATATAGATTTTTATACAGACAATTTTCTAAATGATAGCAAAGTCCAAGACTTGTATGTCCATTATGTATATGTAAAAAGTTTAATATTAAACCTTTTGAAACATAAAAGTTGTGATGTTTTTTAGGAATTCCATGTGGCGTATGTGTTCGTTCGTATGGGTAACTCTCCACGACCTGGTCTCTGGGCTCTAGAGAAGTCTACCGACTACGGAAAAACCTTTAAGCCCTGGCAATATTTTTCGGACTCACCACAGTAAGCGAAAACTTATTAATAATAATCTTATTAAGAAAAGTAACAATATTATTTATTATAAAACATTAATTATTTTTTTTTTGAAGACTTCGTGTTCAAATAAAATTTAGATTTAAAGAACTGCTTCCTAAAAAATCATCAATATTTATTTTAAAAGGAGATATTGTTTCTAGTGGGTACAAATGCATGTTTAATAACGTTTTTATTAAATTGAATACAAATTGTTAATCTTGTATTTCTATACGTTGTAACATTTTATAAATAGACTATTAAGTAATTTGCCAGTTTCCTAGAAAGAACTTTATTTCAAGTTGTTAGCAACTTTCTCAAAAATCGAATTCACAGTCTTGTAAATGGATGTTAATGGTTTGAAAGAATTTGAACATATCATTTAAACCGCGTCAATTGCAATATAAACTATATGTTAAATTATTAATAAAAATAGTTAATATACTTACTATTTATATTTAATCTTTTAATTATCTATTTGTTAAATAAAATGTTATGGAACTGTGTTTTACTTTAAACTTTGTTCTCAGGGACTGTGAAAGATACTTTGGCAGGGAAAGCCTCCAGCCTATTACACAAGACGACTCTGTTATTTGTAGTACTGAATACTCTAAAATCGTTCCTCTTGAAGGTGGAGAAGTAAGTTCGATGATAATAAGTTCAATCAAAAATAGTTTTTCTTCTATGTAAAAAAATATATGATGTTAATTAAAATGTTATAATAAAATGTTTTTTCAGATACCTATATCATTACTGAACTACCGGCCATCAGCAAACAAATATTTCAATTCATCAGTTCTGCAAGAATGGACTCGGGCTACGAATGTTCGTCTACGTTTGTTGAGAACTAAGAATTTGTTGGGTCATCTTATGTCAGTTGCTAGACAAGACCCAACTGTTACAAGAAGGGTAAGTAAAATTAGCACACTATAACGCTGATATAAAAATATCAATATTTTTGCTTACTAATATTTCTTCCAAACAGTATTTCTATAGTATTAAGGATATCAGTATTGGAGGTCGATGTATGTGCAACGGACATGCTGATACTTGCGACCCAGCCGAACCCGGCAGCGACACCAGTATTCTCGTTTGCCGCTGCCAACATAACACATGCGGACCTCAATGCGCTGCGTGCTGCCCCGGTTTTGAACAGAAGAAATGGAGAATATCGCAGAACTGGGATAGATTTGCATGTGAACGTAAGTGCTTTTTAATTTCAAGGATAGGCTAAGGTATCCGTCAGGCCCTTAAAAAAAATTTAAAGTTGAATTTTATATCTAATATTTCATTTTTTTAGCCTGCAATTGCCACAACCATACCACGGAATGTGAGTATGACGCAGAGATTGATGAAAAACATTTATCCCTTGACATCCATGGTCTCTATGAAGGAGGCGGTGTTTGTAAGAATTGTCAACATAACACGGAAGGAATAAATTGTAACAAATGTAAGCCCACCTTCTACCGGCCTTATGGCAAAAACTGGGACGAACTCGATGTATGCCAACGTGAGTATTACTAGTTGTTCTCAACATCACGATTTACTCACTTTTTACTCACGACGAATACTATTAAATTATAAATTAAAATTTCTAGCATGTAATTGCAACTTACATTACTCTACTGGTAACTGTGAGGAAGAGACCGGTCGATGTGAATGCCGTTCGGAATTCAATCCGCCTAATTGCGATTCTTGCGCCTACGGTTACTTCGATTACCCCAATTGCAAGCCTTGTACTTGCAATCTTAATGGTACTGAGGGTCAACATTGTACACCAACTGACGGAATGGTAAAACCTTAAATCATCATACTACTGCACAAAGTTGAAAATTTCTTATTTATAATACTCTTTTTCATGCTGAATAGTACCTGCAGGACAAAACCCCTCAATAATTTGTATAAGACAGTTTAAGCTTTTAAAAGACGTATTTGTTTTTTAATGATATGATTGCATTATATGTATTTATTAATTATAATTTTCTAGTGTCCGTGTAAATACAACTACGCTGGCAAATCATGTGAAATGTGCGCAGATGGTTATTATTCTCCTGAATGTAAAAGTAAGTGTTGCAAACTTAAAGAAACAGTTAAAATAAAAGATGTATTTTAAATCGTCTACAGTAATGAAACCATAGAAAAACAATAATAATGTGCAAGCTAACTAAAATATACCTAAAATATTAATAAAAACATGTTGTTTTTAGATTGTGAATGTAATTCCGTTGGATCTGTATCCCAAGTGTGTGACAAAGAATCCGGTAACTGCACGTGTAAAAGTAAATATAGTGGTCGCACATGCAATCAATGTGAAGCTGGGTACTACGAATATCCAACCTGCAAGCGTAAGTCACTTATCAGATTAATATCATTTCATTTAAGTCTCATTTTGGTAAGAAAAGGAATACCCTAACTAATCTTAATCTACCTCATTGTTTTATATTATGACACTTACTAGTTAGCTATACCTGAATTGCATTGACACTTATATCAACAATTATTAGTTACAACTACGGATGTAACTTTTAAACCATCTTGGTATCGCAACAAGTAAAATAAAATCAATTGATTAAGCCGCCAATAAAATGGTGTGCCACTTCAGACCGTTGCCAAAAATATATAGTGATATGCACGAGTGGAGTTGTTTCTTCAGTCAATAACCTCAATAAATCAGATTAATATCATTTCATTTAAGTCTCATTTTGGTAAGAAAAGGAATACCCTAACTAATCTTAATCTACCTCATTGTTTTATATTATGACACTTACTAGTTAGCTATACCTGAATTGCATTGACACTTATATCAACAATTATTAGTTACAACTACGGATGTAACTTTTAAACCATCTTGGTATCGCAACAAGTAAAATAAAATCAATTGATTAAGCCGCCAATAAAATGGTGTGCCACTTCAGACCGTTGCCAAAAATATATAGTGATATGCACGAGTGGAGTTGTTTCTTCAGTCAATAACCTACCTCTAAAAGGGTTGTGTAGTTTCATAAAACTACGACAAGTCGAACCATTTTCGAGTCGTAAGCATTATACCAAAAATTATCGACTAAATATTTGATTTCAATCTACTGATAACAATATTTAGATGTATAAAACACGTTACTTAAAAAAATACATTACTTCAGATGATGAATGCATGTTAAAAATTAACGACTATATTTGTTGAAATCAAAAATCATAATACAAGTGCTGTGGAGAACTTTAAAGTGTAGACATAACGGGCACATAATTTGCACATTGGAACCGTTTGTAGGCTAATAAACCAGTCTACTCTGCCGAACCTCTTCACTTAGCCCAGGGCAGGATGCAATGCACAATGCAATTTAATATATACATATATAAATATTTTCCAGAATGTAACTGTGACGTAAGTGGTACTGAGCCAAATGTATGCGATGACGTTACTGGCCAATGTGTCTGTAAACCAGGTTTTGGTGGTGTTCGCTGCGATCAATGTTTATCTGGGTATGAAGTATATTTTTTTAATTTTTATTTCATTCATTCAAGTAACAATGATTCAATAATAAAATAACAACAATAATAATAATAATTGATAAATTGTTAATAAAAAAAATCTAAATTCCTGAAACTATCATTAATTTCACTAATACCCAACTACTTTTGAATGCAGATACTATATGGAAGTTAAAGGACGCGAACGTTCTTGCGTACCTTGTAACTGTTCTCCCACGGGTTCGACCTCAACAAGCTGCTCCGCCGATGGCAAATGCAACTGTTTAGTCAATTTTGGTGGAAAACAATGTGACCAATGCTCTCCTGGATATTATAAATTCCCTGAATGCCTACGTAATTATACCTTTCTAAAATACAAACATTAAATTATAATAGTAATCAATAACCAATTGTTTGGTCGATAGTATATGTTACCTGTTACAGTAATATTATCTTTTTTTAGCATGTAATTGTGATGAATCTGGTACATTTGGTTCCACTTGTGACGATAGCGGTCAATGTCATTGCAAACCTAACTTTGATGGAATCAAGTGTGATAAGTGTAAAGAACAATTCTACAATTTCCCGGCTTGCGAAGAATGCAACTGTGACCCTCGAGGTGTTATAGCCTCTTTTGCAGGTATTTTTAAATAAAAACATAAAAAAGCTCTTCCTAGTATCAACAAATATTACCTAATAAAACACTTTTTGCAAAGGCTGTGGATCAGTACCCGCTGGAGAACTCTGTCAATGCAAAGACCGAGTACAAGGAAGAATTTGCAACGACTGCAAACCATTGTTCTGGAATCTTCAAGAATACAATCCTTCGGGATGTCAAGGTACTTAATTTAGAGATTAAAACAGAATCATTAACATTAAGGATATCACAAAACCATATAATGTTATAATTGTTTTAGAATGCAGCTGTAACTTGGCTGGAACCCTCGGTGGCCTCGGAGCTTGCAACACTCGTAGTGGCCAGTGTACCTGTAAAATGAATGTTGGCGAAAGACAATGCGATGAATGTCAAGACGGATTTTATAAATTGGAATCTCAAAATCTATTTGGTTGTGCTGGTAAGAGATTACGAGTATATTATATTGTTATTTTATTCGTTTCTCTATTTATTTACTAGCATAAAAATATCATACACTGTACATCTGTAATCATTTAAAACATAAAATAAAATACTATAATAAATCTGTCTTGTAGCAATTTAATACGATTCATGAACAAAATTATAACGAATACCACAAAACTTAGTTCAAACTTTTGAAAAACTTTTCAAAATAGGAAACGGAAAAAAATATTAATAGAAACATTAACTATATTTTTCCGATTACCTACATATATTTCAAAATAATTCGAGACGATGCTAAAAATAATAAAGGATGAAAAGATAACTATAGGTTATGTGTACTATATACGCTAATAATTGCACTATTGTTTTTAGCTTGCGATTGCGATATTGGCGGTTCTATTGACAACAACTGTGATAAACGTACCGGACAATGTCGTTGTCATTCTCGGGTAGAAGGCCGACGGTGCGATCGACCTATCCGAGCTCATTACTTCCCCACACTGCATCAGTTCCAATACGAAGTAGAAGAAGGTCTCACTCAATCGGGACCTGTCAGATACAGAAATTCAGAAGATGTTTTTCCAGGATACTCATGGAAGGGTTATGTTGTTTTCTCACTTTTGCAGGTTAGTCGCTTTGTTCAAAAATACACTAGCCATCTAATTGTGGTAAAGGAAATATAATTATGATATTAAATTTTCAGAACGAGGTAATAAATGTCGTCCATATCGGAAAATCTTCATTATTCCGTATGGTCTTAAAATATTCAAATCCTCTACGAGATCCTGTTACTGCTACCATTATTGTCACACCGGAAAGTGTTATTGATACAAAACAAGGGTACGAAAGGCAAAGTTTTTTTTAAAACTCACAAACGCCGATCACTGTCTAACTAAAAACGCTTATTACAGGTTTAATGTACAATTAAGGCCAACTACACAACCACAATTAGTAACAGTTTTAGTTGAGAAGGGTATTGCTCCGGCGCCATTTGTAATGAACGCTGGAAACTGGACTGTCACAATAAAAACCACTAAGGAAGTTATGATTGTAAGAAATGAAATATAAAATTTTTGCTGTCTCTTCAAATTTCATTAGGCGAAGCATTTTTCTTAATTTTCTACTTTTTTTAGGATTACTTCGTGCTTATACCTGAAGCTTACTACGAGGCTACTGTTTTGACTAAGCTTGTTGATAAACCATGTATTATTGGTGAAAAGAAACTTTGCAGACATTTTGCTTATCCCAGCCTCAGCGGGTTTCCAACTGCTAATGTATCTGATATGGTATCTGACGTTACTGAGTTTATAAACGATCCTGAGGTAAGTAATATTGTAAGGACATAAATAATAATTTTTTCTGCGTTTAAAGGTTCCAAGCTAATGTCTTTTTTTACAGCAACTGCAAGAACACAATGCTGGTCCAAATGATATACCAATTATTAACAATGAACAAAATGAAATTGAGTACAATATCAAAATTGATCCTAGCGGCTCCTATATTATAATAATTGAATACATTACTCCAATAAATAGAACAGCTTTAGCAGCAAGTGAAATAAATTCAGATCAAGGTGGAATGTATGATTTAGCCCCAAGAGGTGCAGTTGCCATAAGATTTCAATCTGGAGATGGGCCTGAAACTATTGCTTTTGCCAACCTCAATGACTGTCCATATACAGCACCATGTAGGCAAGTGGTTGTTGATGATTTGTCAAAGATCTCAGTTTTTAATGTACAGGAACCAAATAATGTAATTTATTTAGATGTAAGTACCTACGACTAAATCCATTATTTATTTTATTTTACTTAAAATTTATTGAGACATAAAATAAGATTTATATTTCTAGGGAGATACTGACACTTTGGCTGCTATCAAATCAATTATCGTGGTCCCAGAATCTCAATGGCATCTCGACTACATCACGCCACGACCATATTGCTTAAGACGAAACGGACGCTGCAGCCCGGCTGTTTTTTCAACAGCAGTAGATTCCAAAAAGGTTGTCTATAAAATATAATGATACCACAATGGAAAATATTGACCTATTATTTCTTACTATTATAAGAATTAATCTAATTTTACAAAATACTTTTAAAGGTTGAAATAGAAAGCGGTACTGGAGGAGATCGCGAGAGACGTCCACCAATCTTAGATAACTCTACCATGGTTGTATATTTAGTACCACAATCCGATCCAGTTAAAATTGAATCCAAAGTTCCGTCTCCCGGAGACTACATATTCGTTATACATTATTACCAACCAGATCACCCAGGTAGCTATCGTCATAAGATGTAACTGAATATTCCAAAACACATTCCCTTAATACATAATTAATTACCTTTTTTTTCGAAAACTAGAATCCAATATTAGTATAAACATAACAACTGACGGGCAGCAACGCGATGCCACTCTCCCTATAGAACATTGTCCTTCCAATTCTGGATGTAGAGCAATAATAATCCAAGCAGGTGGTAATAAGCAATATGCAGTAAATGAAAATTTCACAATAACGTTCCAGGTAACAATAATTACTCATAATTTTTTTAATAAATATAGATTAGCTTTCTCTTTTATCATATTCAAAAAAATATAAATATCTGATTTCCATGTTTTAGGGGAACACTAGTAAAGGAGTTTGGTTAGACTATGTGCTCGTCATAGCTAAATCAGATTTTATTGACTCAGCCCTAAAAGAAAATAATATGGTGGATTATACAAGAGAATTTATTGAAAAATGTGCTCTGAATCATTACTACATTAATTCAAATGAAACAGGTGAAATATTATTTGTAAAATGGTTCATTTCAAAATATTTCAAGACCTTTCATTTCCAGTCATGACGAATGAGATCAAAATAAATAATCTCATATTTTTTATTCAGGTTTTTGCCACGATGCAATGTTTTCAATAACATCAGAATACAACAGCGGCGCATTAAGTTGCTTCTGTGACTTTATGGGATCTACAGAATTAGAATGTAACACTTTTGGCGGCCAATGTCCCTGCAAAGAGAATGTTATTGGTAGAACATGTAGTGCTTGCAAAACTGGATACTATGGTTTCCCTAATTGCAGACCCTGTCATTGTCCTTCTACCGCCATTTGTGACGACAATGGTATGAATAAAATATTTGCAAATGAAACTTTAATTGTTGTGTTCGAATAACTAATATATATTGATATATTGGTTTCCTTAACCAATATTTTATTTAATTCTCATTACCGTTTCAGGAGAATGTATTTGTCCTAAGAATGTGGAAGGAGAGAACTGCGATCGTTGCAAACCGTACACCTTTAACTTTGATGTGCAGCGCGGCTGTGATGATTGTAATTGCAACCCGATGGGAGTCATAAACGACCAGCTTCAATGCGAAGCTGACAACGGGAACTGTCCGTAAGTAAAACGAATTTGGATTTGGTTTTTATTCATCTAAAGCAACATAATTTTTATTGTGTACATTATAATTATTATTTTTAAAGATGCAAAGACAACATTATTGGACGAACTTGTGATCACTGTGAGCCTGGACATTACGATTTCCCTGATTGTGTTCAATGTAGCTGTGACCTTAACGGTACTACTGATGATGTTTGCGATCAAAATACCGCCCAATGTTATTGTAAGAAGCATGTAAAAGGCCAAGTAAGAATAGACGCTCTTTTTTATTTTGAGCTACAAAATATATTAACTGATAAATAATCCACTGAATCTTTGTCTTATAGGCATGTGACGTCTGCAAAGAAGAATATTTTAATCTCCAATCAGATAATCCCGAAGGATGTACGAAATGTTATTGCTTTGGGAAAACTACGAGATGCAGTAGCTCTCACCTTTCATGGGCTGAGGTAAAAATACATCATTTGTACTAAGAAAACATAATTAAATATAGAAATTATATAAAAATATTTGTCTATTTCAGTTAAATGGAATGTCAGACTGGTATCTAGCAAATATTGAAGCCAATCGTACCCTGAGCATATTTCGTCTAGACGTTGATCCTACATTATTAAATGACTCTGTAATTAGTGCTGATCTTTCGGGTAGCGAGGAAGATTCACAAAAAGTTGTTTACTTTGGTGCCCCAGACTATTATTTGGGTGAGTAGCTTAGCAAGATCTTAAATACATTGTATTTCATATTTGAAACTAATGCAGTCAAACTCAATTGTAGGAAAACGTCTCAATTCATACGGTGGATATCTTACCTATTCCATTTTCTATACAACCCGTGATGATGGGAGGGCCATCGCCGCTGCTGATGTCATTATTGGTGGTTCTAATGGATATATTGTACATAATAGTGTGGAACAACCGCCTTCTCAACTTAATTGGATGCACACTGTTCGTATTTCTGAAGACGAATTTACAAATTTAGACGGTAGTGCAGTTACCAGAGACCAATTCATGAATGTTTTGGTAAATGTAACTAGTATTTACATAAGAGCTACTTACTGGAATGAGGCGATTACTACCAGGTGGGTACAGTCTCAATTTAGCAACTTTAAAGTTTAACCTTTGAATACAACTATTTTTTATAGAGGTGTGATATTTTCCTACTTGTTTTATTAAATGCCCTTTTTATTTATTTATACCTGAGACTATCAATTTATATTATTTTACAACTATGTAATATATTATCAGTTATCACTGTAATAATTATCATATTTTTCTTACAAAATTACAGATTAATGGGAGTGACCCTAGATTTTGGCGTTGAAGAATATGCAGGATTAGACAAACAAGCCTCTTCTATAGAAGATTGTCAGTGTCCCAAAGCGTATAAAGGACTTTCTTGTGAACAATGTGCAGAAGGCCACTACAGGCTTAGTTCTGGTCCACATGCTGGATTTTGCGTACCTTGTCAGTGCAATGGTCATTCCAAGGAATGCGACGTTAACACTGGAATATGTTTGGTAATTACTGACTCTACTTTTTTATAATTGAACAAATACGCATACATTGTTTCCTTCACTTAACTATATTTTAATAGGATTAAAAAATATTATGTTTATAAATTATTTTCCAGGAATGCACAGATAACACAATGGGCGATCATTGCGAGCAATGTATCCCGGGATACCATGGAGATGCAACAGTTGGCACACCTAAGGACTGCCTCATCTGCGCCTGTCCAATGCCTTATCCATCTAATAAGTCAGTATACAGTTTGAAGATAGTTAACTTTACAAGTGTTGTAGGTAGCACATACTGACCCGTTTGTATTTTTCAACAGTTTTGCCGTCGGATGTGATCTTAGTGAAAACGGATCTCTAATTTCATGTGTTTGTAAGCCCGGATATGGCGGAGCACGATGTGAATTTTGCGCAGCTGGATATTATGGAGTTCCTGAAGAAATAGGTTTGTACTCTACATATACATATATGTATATGTATATATTGCTTAAATAAAAAAGTAACATGAGCATTATTGCAGGTGATTATTGTAAACCCTGCAACTGCTCCGGTAACATAAATACGGATGACCCTGGTTCTTGTGACAGTATTACTGGAGATTGCCTTAAATGTGTAAACAACACTTCTGGTGCCGCTTGCAACCTATGTGCTCCAGGATTCTTTGGTGATGCTGTATTCTCCAAAAACTGTACAGGTATTTTTAACATTTTAAAAACTTCTAACCATTTACCCGTAAACTATCATACGACGACAAAATCTGTACAAAGTTGTTTATTGATTTAATATTAATATTATTTGAACAGCTTGCGTTTGTGATGAATACGGTATGGAGAGGTGTGATCCCAGTACTGGAACGTGTATTTGCCGTCCTGGAGTCATAGGAAGCAGTTGTGATCTCTGCAAGCCGGACCATTGGGGTCTGAACAGTGGACAAGGATGCACACCTTGTGACTGTGGAATCGCTTCTGAATCTTCTCAATGTGACGAAAATAATGGGAAATGCAAGTAGGTTGATGAAAGGTGTAAAACGATGTTTTACTTGAACGAACAGGTTTTTGCTTGTTTAGTTCTTAATGCATTGAAGGAATTAAGATTGGCACAAGTTTTAAAAAACATATTTTGGTAGCAAACACATCTTTATGATCTTAGTAGTACATATATATATACTTAATGATGTAATTATTATTTTTAGATGTGCGAAGGGTGTAACAGGAATGCATTGCGATCAATGTGCAGCGGGATACTGGAATTACTCTAAAGACGGATGTGACCGTAAGTAACAAGTAATACTTATATTAATAACTTATATTACAGTATTAATATTTTATATTATATTCTTACAGGTTGCAACTGCAATAAAGGCTATTCAGTTGGATTTATGTGTAATGCTACTGGGCAGTGCGAATGTCTTCCAGGAGTAGTCGGTGAAAAATGTGATCGTTGTCCAGAAAGGTATTTTGTCTATTTTTCTAAAAGGAATATATATCGACTATGAGATATATAATATTTTTATCTGTAAGGTTTGTCTTTTAAAAAAATCACTTACGCTAATGCGACTTTTTTTTGTTTCAGATGGGTATTAATACCTCAAGAAGGTTGCTTGGAATGTGATTCTTGTACTGATGCTCTCATTTTTACTGTTCAAAATCTAACTGAATTACTTAATAACGAAACACTCGACTTTAAGGTGAGAATGAAACAATAATTTAGGACTGTGTGTCTTTTGTACCGTATAATTGTGATAAAATACTGAATTTAATTAAAAATTTTCGTTCACTTTTCAGGATAAAGCCGATTCATTCTTTACAACTCAACGTCTTAATTACATAGCAAACCAAACTGAACTTTTGAAACCTAGAGTCTCTGAATTAAAGAACGTCGAACTAGAAACAGTTACATCATCCGTTAAAACTCTTGAAACTAGTGCGAAAAATCTTCTTCGTTCGGTAACCACTACACAGTGATCATATAATTTTAATAAGACTTAAAAAGACTGAATAAATAATGTATTAAAAATATTTCAGGCCGAATTTGCTGCGACCGACAGTGATAAGCAAATATTACGAGCGGCAGATTTAGCCAATGTTGCCAACGATATTCTTGCTTCAGTAAGAGAAAATAGTGACAAGGCCAAGAAATCTGTATCTCACGTGTCTGAACTAGCCACTGGTCTAGAACTAAGTCAGCAACCAAAAGTGGATAGTGCAGTAACGGAAGCAAGGCAAATTAAAAATGATATTGCAGGTAGCTATACAATCAACAAATTTTATGACATATAAATAATATATTTTTTTACATATATATCGTTTCTCCTTAGAAAAGGATTTCAAAAACAAGGAAGTGCAAGCTTTCAATGCTTATACAAATAGCACAAAACAAATAGAACGAATGAATCTTTTTGTACAACCAGTTAACGAACAAGTAAAGGTAAGATAACTACATCTAGCCCCTTATACATATAAATATCTCCCCTCCTACTGCTACCAATATTAAACGGAATCTTACTAAAATTACAGAAATTTGAATCCCTACTGAACGATACACGCAAATTAAAGAAAAAACTGGATGATATGCTTGAATACACAGATCTTGCCCAACACACAGCGACGGAGGCAGAAAAACTTAACGATATAAATAAGTACTGAAAAACTTTTTAAATAGTTTTCATTCGTTAGTGTAACAAAGACGATTATCATAAAAAGAAACTATTTTTTCAGAAAATCAAAGTTCGGAAATAAAGTTTTATCAGTTACTAAATTAAATGGTGCTGCTATGAAAGACTTAATTGACGCTGCTATCGACATTAATAATGCAACGTTCTGGACCATTAAAGTCGGAAACATTGTGCAAAACGCCTCAAAAGTCTTAGACGAAGTTTATAATACCAACGGGAATGTTAAAGATAGCTTAGATATGATAGCAGACAAATTACCTGAACTAACAAATCTTACAAACGAAGCATTAAATCATGCAAGTAACTTAAGAAATAGAGTAAGTATCTTAAAAATAACATTTTTAATACCCATGTTGTTAAATCATATTATTATATTTAATTGATTCTTTTTTATATATTTAAAGGCAGATAAACTAAGAGCACTAGCAGAACAGGAAAATAACAATACGCGTACCCAGCATGCTTATAGTGCCGCATCGGCTTATTCATCAATAGTTCAAGAAATTCAAGATGCTAAAAGAGCAAGCGAAGAAGCCGAAGAAGCCGTTGCCACGGTTACGAATATTGTATGTTATTGTTATTTAAAAATGTCTTTTCTCTCTTGAAACCTTATTCACGAAAACATCGTGGAAGTTAGCAAGTTATTTTTCAAAAACCCTTTTCTTTACAAAAACGATGTAAGAATAACATATTTAAAGTAATAACAAAAATATGACTTTAATATTCGAATAAAAAAAAAATTATGACTGTATTTTATCTCATAATAATCTGTTAAAATATTTCTAAAAGAAAGTTAATTTTGTTAAGTACTCAGAATCGTAAGATTTGCTCCTACCAAATATCGCTTAAGGCACTAAAAATGATTTCACCTTTTGCAAAATTGCATGCATCAATTTGTTTACATCCATTTAATTATATTTTCAGAACAATGAGCTAAATGAGCGTGTTATGCCCGCGAGAGATGGATCCCTAGCACTTTCTGATCGTGCTTTGAAGGCACTTGAAACTGTTGAACAAAAGCTTAGTCCTAACCTAACCCTGGCCAAAATAGGACTGCAAAATGCAACATCCACGCTTGGCTATGCAGATGATGAAAATAATGCCATTCAATTGTAAGGAACTACCATTTTTTTACTCTTTATGTTGATATAGAAATTATAAATATTTTTTATATTAAAAAATACAGGTCGCTTCCGAGTTCACCGCAAACTTCTTTACACGATGAAACTGAAAAAGCAGAAAAAGTGGCAAAAACAGTTAAATCAACAAAAGGAATTATGTCTACTCTTGGAAGTGAATTGGAAGTCAGCAAAGAATTCGCACAAACACTGCCAAAATTAGCGGACGACGCACAAAAAATGACTTCAAACATTGATAACTTAGGTAAGCATTTTAATTATACATTTTTTTTTGTTTCTTAGAAACATTATATATGTACTTAGATACTAATTATTTTAAATTTAAACAGTAAATAAAATTAATCAAATGGATCCCACAATATCGTCCACATACCGAACTGTTAAACTGAAACAGGAAAATCTCGAAAGTCTTCGAAAAGAAGCCGACGAGAAACTTCAAAAGCTAAGGGAATTAATTGAACAGGTATCTAGAAAAGGAGCATAATGAGTTAGTGAAGGTACATAAAAGAAGGTGTTTGCATAATTATTTTTATTCAACAGGCTCGCACCGTAGCAAACCGTATACAAGTTGGGGTAACATTTGACCGATGGTCAACTCTTCAGCCACGCCTACCAGACACAGTAGATGAAATGTCAACATCTACACACGTTTCAGCCTATTTCAGAACTAAAGAAAAAAATGGATTCATTTTATACCTCGGAAATCCTAAAGACACAATGTTGAGAAGAACAAAATCGGTATGAATAAAAAAGTATTTTATAATATACATTTTTACCTAAAAAGAAAGTAATAGTACATAATTGTGCCATTTATCAAAACTTAGAAATTTTATTGAGGATTTTAATGAACGTAGGATAATGTTGTACCTATTAAGAAAAAATATTTTTTCTAAACAGAAAACTGTAAACTTTATATATTTGTAAAAATTTATCGCAGGATGACTTTATGGTTATCGGAGTGCAAAATGGTTATCCTTATCTTGTCATGGATATTGGAGAGACCGCAGAATCTGGGCGTGAACCAGCTAGAATAGGAAGCGAAAAGTTTGTGGCTGACAATAGGTGGTATCAAGTTATAGTTGACAGGTGAGACCCGAATAAGTCAAACTGTTTAAATACGAAAACTTTAAATGAATATAAATAAAAACCATTTATTATATCCGTCAACAGAGTAGGAAGAAACGTAAAACTATCCATTCGGGAAAGTCTTGATAGCGGTTCAGACAAAATTCATGTTAAAGAAGCTGTTTTACCAGGCCAGCATACCATTTTTAATTTAGATCGTGACAAATCTAAACTTTATGTTGGAGGAGTCCCATCAGATGCAAAACTTCAAGGCATAAGCTTCCCTGCATTTGAAGGACAAATTGAAGAATTAATGATTGGCGACACTCCTGTAGGTTTATGGAATTTTGTCAGTTCGGATAATTTGAAAGGTGCAAGACAAAGGTAAGATAAGTGACACTTCCATTGCTGTATTAAAAAATTAAATGTAATAACCTTAAATTTTTATATCCAGGGATAAACTCATATCATCACAATCAGGTCCCCAAGAATACCGATTCAATGGTCGTTCACACGTGACTATGCCCGGCAGAGGTTACCTTAGTCCACAGAAGAATCAAGTGCTTCTATTCTTCAGAACTTACGCTCCAGATGGTCTGATATACTTGGTAGGAGAAGGAAAACACTTCTTCTCAATACAAATGCAAGACGGTCACGTTTATTTACAAGTATGTCGCTTTCACTATAAATCCCTGTTAATGGGTATATATTTTAACATTGAATCAATATGTACGTTTTATCTTCTTTTTAGGTGTCTCTTGGAAATACCAATGACATGGTTATTATTGGAACAACAAAAGCATATAATGATGGCAAATGGCATAGACTTGACGCGGGAAGATACTTCAGTTCGTGTTCTCTTAGAGTAGACAATGAAATACTTAAAATGGTATCGACATCCGCAGCTAAAGAGATACCTTCGTTAGATACAATGAATTTCGGAGGAAATAATAAGGACATTATACAAGTTACAAATAAAGGATTTGACGGTTGTATAAGACAAATAAGTATCGACGGTGTTAATATTGATTTAAGTGAAAATGTTGAATCGGTAGGAATAGCCTACGGATGCCAGGTAATGAAATTTATGACTCCGCAGATGTTTATTAAAATGTAATAAAACAACCTAATTCTAATTCTAATTATTTTAGTTTGCGTCACTAGTATCTTTATCTGGTGAAAACAGCTATTTGCGCTTCGTAGACATTTCAACAGAGAATCTCCAATTAACTCTCAAATTTAAAACAAATGAGCCTTCGGGCTTATTATTCGTTTATGTAAGTCGAACACAAACAACTTCAATGCCAGACAGTATTTCACTATCTCTTAACAAAGGTAAATATTTCTTTTTTAATATTAGTTCAAAAAATACCTACAGTCTTTCATAATATATGTATTTTTGTAGGAAAACTAGTATTAATGAGCCAGAGAGAATCACTAGACACTGGCCTCAGCACATATAACGATTCCCAGTGGCACGTGGTGACCGTTACTCATAACGACAAAGCTTTACGGCTAGTAGTGGATGATTTTGACTATTTCAGGTACGAAAAAGTATAAAGGCACTGGTTTATAATAATTAATTTTAATTTTAAGAATAATAAGACGTTTAAACAGGTCGATACATCTGTAACTGAAAAATAACAAACTGCTAATTTACTTAATATAATGTTGGTTTTCTAAGGTGGATTTATATTAATAGATGGCGTGAAAACGTTATGTAGTACATTATTTTAAAGAAAAACGACAGATATACAAATCTTAATGTCTTACCTTTTTGTAGGACAAATTAACTTTGTTAAAGACTGGTAAAAATGGCCTCGGCCCTAACATTTTAAAACAGGGTCAATCTTTTTGATCCAAAACATATTTTCTAATGCTTAACTTATTATTTTCTACAGCACTGACTCGGCTCCAGCACCATTACATATTATAAATGGCGTACTCTTTGTGGGTGGCGTCCAACCAGGTTATGTAGTGGGCGGAGAAGTAGGCTCTAAGACACCCTTCAAGGGTTGTATTGCTGACGCAACATTTAATGGTCGGGTACTAAATCTATTAGAACCATTTAGCAATCATAGCGTCACATTTGGAAGATGTGGTAAAATTACAACCACCGGTGGTGTTCCTCCAGGTAAGGAGCATATTAGTTTTAGAACAGTTTTAAAATGATCCTTTAATTTAAAGCATTTATTTTTTTTAGATGTTAGTTTATGGCCTACTCCAACTCGCGATGATGTTCTTCCTACGCCAGTCCTGAATGTACCCGTAGATGAAAAAGGTAAAAACTATAAAGCTAAACTTAAAAGACTTATTCGAAAATCTAGATCTAAATGGGAATACAACTATCATTCCAGAACCACCAATCTTACTATTTAGCGCAGAAGAAACCACAACAGCAACTTCAGCGCCATCGACAGAAACTTTGCCTCCAACAACAACAACAATGGCACCCATTCCCTCCACTACAACTGCTCGTGCATCAACCACTACCAGAAGGCCTCCTCCAGCACCACAACCTGGATGTGCACTCGCTTTTGATCCACAATATGAAATTGGTGATCCTATGGAAGGATACAGATTTGGTAATTCTTTCAAAAAATTATACACATGCATATATCCACAAAACCATAATACACTAAATTGTACCATAATTTATTTTGTATGTAGGTACCAAAGAGGACAGCCGCATTGAATATGCTAAATTACCCGGAAGACAATTAGAAGGTTTCGATTTAACTATAAGTTTCAGAACATTCGATCAACATGGCGGTTTAATATTTTATGCCGCTGCTGAAAGAGTGCCGACCCAATTTTTGGCGTTATATATGAAAGATGCTAAGGTATGATAAGATATTTTTTCAATTGAAATCAAATCTAAATGCAGTACCTATTTACATTTTTATCGAGAAAACAGCTTAAACTAAATGTATTACTAAAAAAAAAACTATTTCATAACGTTGATACAAATGTCTTTCAGCTACACTTCACGTTTAATTGCGGTGGGGAGACAGGACTAGTGACGTCATCAACAACTTACAATGATACTGAATGGCATACAGTAACACTCGTAAGAAATAACGGTCACGGCAAACTGACTGTTAACTCTGAAAGAATTGGTGAAACTAGTGTGTCATGTTATGCACCTACCGTACTCGCTCCACCATACTATTATGGTGGATTAAGAAATGTTACTAATACTATTAGTCAAAATCTAATGGTGAGTCAATGACGTACTGTGTCAATTGTTAATTCAATGTCATGAAAATTTGTTATATTGTCTTAATAACTTTCTTTTTAAATCATTTTAATAATAAAATATATTGTCTAGGACTTCTACCAACCATTTAAAGGATGTCTAAAAGGTTTGATGATGAATGGCCAGTACGTTACAAACATCTTAGACCGAGTAAATGCTCTACGCTGCACAGACAACGTCGAGCAAGGTGTCTACTTTGGTCCTTCAAATAACAATCATAGTAATTATTTGAAGGTAAGGCCCTATTTTCTCGTTTTATATAAATATTTTCAATCATCTTTCAGATTAATACCACACACTTTTGTTTTTTTCAGTTGTTAGAAAACTTTAAGGTTGGATATGAAATTTCTATTAGTATGGAAATAAAACCTCGCAATTCAACTGGTCTAATATTAAGTGTCTATGGCAAAAAAGACTTCATGATTTTGGAACTTTTAGAGAACGAAGTCATTGCGAATGTAGAAAATGGAAAAGGTCCCTTCCATGCTAGTTACAAACTGGGCAACAAATTCTCCTTGTGCGATGGAAACTGGCACAGAATACATGGTAAAGTCAAAATAATTTGAGAGCTCCCTAGAAATTACTAATTCTATCCTCAAACCTAATTAATACTGTTATTACTATAGAATCTGTATATTCTCCCGGAATGAGCATAAAATTATAGTAGCTTGAATTCGCCTTAAGCAATACACTTACTAAATAGGATATTACAAATTCGTCAATTATTTTTTTTGCACTAGAGACGAGTAATAGGGACTAATATTTTACCACCACAATGTTACCTAACAATTCATTCATTTTCAGCTGTTAAGTCTCGCCACGTGGTCTCAGTGGGCGTTGATGGTCATTTCTCGGACGCGGGTCTCGGTCAATCCGGCTCCACGGACACCAGATCTGCATTGTACATTGGCGGGCACGTGCGTCCTATCTCAACCCTACGTGGAACCAGCTCCAAACGTGGTTTCACTGGCTGCATAAGAAACATAGTCATCAAAGAAACACCCGTACATATTCCACTGAGTGCAGCCCGAAGAGACACTCACGTAGGAGTGTGCCCCAGTGATTGAATAAAAAATTAAATTTGTACTTAAAATGATCATCACCGATTTCATCAGCTTTTTTAACTTTAGTATTTATCATGTTCTTTCTCTTAATTGCATTTATAGTATGTAATATTGTATTAGAGCAATTCATATAGACCACCAAAGATTTATGTAAACTTTATACAATAATTATATTATATTCATTTATCGAATATTGTATTTTGTTTTATTTTTAGAAATAACCGACAAAAGTTCTTGACGACGAAATTCATAAAATAGGCACATAATATAAGATAACTAACAAGCCCCTGTTAATCAAATTAAATGTAAAACACTTTTATACTTATCCTAGTTTGAAGAAACTGCTTATTCAAATTAAGTTTATAAAATTAAAGAGGTAGTTAAACAAAAAATGAACAGGAATCGCCATAACAAAAATTTATTATTTTAAACCCGCTCTCTTACAATAAAATAAACCAACAAAACTATTTACAATTATTCCATAAAAATAAAACGACATCGGTATTTTGAAAATCAATTATACAAAATACTCGTAAACCCACCAGAGTACTTATCACGTCCAAAGATAAAAATTTATGGTATTTGGTGCTGTTTTAAAACCAGTTTTCTTTTGTGAATCAAAGTTTAAATTAATTTTTATAATCATAAACTGACAGAAAACTCGGCAACGGTGTGTGTTGTGGCTGTTTGTTTTTAAAAGAACTAATAAAATGTTTGTTCCTTTAAAATGTATTAATGATTAATCCGAAGTCAAGACAAGATAAATTCGGTCAAACTATATACAGGTAAAAGTAGTGGCATACTACACTACTGAGTTTGCGTTGACTTTTATGAAGCTTTTTTCAGAGATCCTGTTATTAAAAAGTAAAACATCAGTGAACCTACAGACTAGCAACAAATCAATCAGTGTTATACTAGCTCATTTTATAGACAATCGAATAATTTCTGTGAATACTTTTTATCTATTGGGCTAGCACAAATTTTCAAAAAAGATATAATGATGTCTATAATTTTAGCTTATTTTTCATTAAAATCAGAAACATATCAATATATTTTTTATTTTTGCCTCTAAAAATAAATTACAGTTAAGTAGCACATCACAATAATTTCCCTTTTTTTATAATAAAAGTAACTACCAACAACCTAAATAAGTTTTTGGAAGACTCAAAACCATTTGCATGAAAGAAGTAACTTACAAGTGTTGGAATTCATTTTTATCTTCCAATAAAATAACACAGAGAAAAAAACAATTACCAAAATTTTGGCGTCTACGTTTACTCTTTTTTAAAATTTTAAGAAATTAAACAGCCATCATAAGCCACGTAAGGTAAAATAAAGTGAATATTTTTCCTATTTCGTTAATAAGAATATTGGAAATTAAGTTAGCGTATATCTAACGTTTTTTTTAACGTAGAGTTATCACGAAGTCCGACAAGATAATCGTATGATAACTGAAGTAATTACAAATTATATAACTGAAGTAATTACAAATTAGTGGGATTGCCAACATATACTGTGATACGCATTAGATTTTGTAAAAGTGATAAAGGAAAAAAGTCTACATACATGAACAATAAGTCTTTTTTGACCATTATAATTCATTAACCTAAAGAACGATCATGAATCAAATTTATTGTTTAAATTAACTTAGAAAGGGGCCCTCTACATGTCTCTCAATAAGTTATGCACTGATCGAAGAAAATAATGTTTTAGGTATTAATATATTTTTTATGTTAGAAAATAAGATACAGCCAACTGGTAAGATTTTGCAAGAGGTTTTATTAAGCTGGCTATAAATGGACTACTTTTCTTTCAGTTTACGTTGTTTAAAAATAATATAATGAAATTTAAAATAAAAATATACAATAATTATTTTTATATGCACTGTGTTCGATCTTTGAATAATGGCATTAAATTTAGCATATACCAAGAAAACTTTTTATTTCTTGAAAGACGATATGTTGAAATGACTTGAGGTGAGAGAATCTAAAAACAAATAAAAGTTTTAAAAATAGTTAACAACGTTAGCTTCGTTGTGCTGGTAGTCTATCTAAATATTGAAATGTATAACTTAAAAATATCGCTCCAATGTTCCAATGCCAAAATAAAATTGTTGCCTGAAATATCAATAAAAAATTACCTTTACATAAATAAATAAATAATTAACTGGGGTACAAAATGAATTTTCTAAAGATTTTAATAATTATGAATGGCTAGTAGACAAATAGAATAGAGTATCTATTAATATGAAGTACTCACGCTATCAATACATATTTATTCTAATTAAATATATAACCAAACTCTATCACACCTACAACTGTAAACAAGCACAATACTTGAAGTTGTCACTCCTAAATGTATGAGTAAAAATAGTACTCACTTATGTATATAAATATAAATATTAAATATGTATTTATTTATACAAAAACTACGAATTACATAATATTCTTTGGATATTAAACTAGCATAGTCATGATTATTTGTTACTTTTTATTATTAACAGGCTTAGTTATTGCAACATATTAATATATAATGAAAGAGCAAAATATTTCACCTAATTCCTAAACGGTATATTTCTTAAACACTTAAATTGTATGTTATCTATAAAAAGAATCAGAACACTAAACACCTTCGTCGTGTGTCAGATTCTTTTTATATTACAGTAATAATTGAGTAAAAAAGGTCACTGGCATTGAGGTAAAGTTGGTTAAAACTGATGCACAGACTACCACATTAGGCATGATGTCTTCACTGCTTTATTTATATTATACCAGGAATGATATTAATAAAAAGGTGAATTGTACACTTATCTCAATACTAAAAGTAAATTGTTTATTTTGAATTACATAATGATAAGCAAACCTCTTATAACAGTTACATAAGTTAGGTTGTAGACTGTAGCTATCTTCAAAAAGTCGTGTCATTTTAGAAAGTTAATTTTACTAATTACTCTCGTCCCTGAGTCGTTAAAAAGTAACAATTTAACTATCATCTCACTTTCAAGAAGTTCCCCTAGAGTCATCAATAGTCATATGTTAATTAAAAGATACAGAAAATACATAAATTACATAAAAATAGTTAAGAGAACACTAGATAAAATGAAAAAGTTTGATAGATATCCTTTAACGATACATGCAAAATTGGTGTGAAGTACTATTACCTAACAGCTAATTAGTGTTAAATTCAATTACTCAATACATTAACCACTATTCAACAATCGTCGGCTTTTTAAGACGGCTCATTTAAGACATGATAAAATGCCTTCCCTTTCTCTAAATATAAAATGTAATCCCAAAAATTATTGTAAATATATCAATTTATATTAAAAGTATTTGTCTAATTTATACAATAAATTGTAAATACACTACTAATTTATTAAAATACGTTTAGAAGTGATGCATTAAAAATACTTAATCAATTTCTAGAATTAATTATTCTAATCAGGAGATGTTGATTTTGTTGTGTCAATATGCAACACATTCCATTGAAATATTTTTACTCTATTAGTAGGTCCTTTCATCACATGCCTTGTCATTGAATAATTAAAAAATATTGCTCTTGATAAGGTAGACATTTTAAATATAACGAATTACAGATTACATATCAAGTATTTAGCCAAGCTTGGCCTATCAACAAAACAATTCATTCATTGTATCCATAAAAATTTACCTACAAGTTTCTAGGTATAACAATGGTTTAGAAAATGTCTGTCAATATATATGTAAATGTTTTAAATAACATACAACAATCAATGGAATAACTTCAACTTGTATAGGTGGGAACTGCTTTACAAGGTTATTCTATGTCAGAAAAGTGAATAAAAAATATAAGGCCATAGGTGTGGGATAATTGATATACAGTTGTAAAATAACTCTACATGTGTTTATAATACAACCAAATTTTTACACAACTAGTAAAGCGTGATCTATTAGGTCGTCATTAGTAAATCGAATTTAGGGTGAACATTGTTAAAAAATTGTGAACTATGTCAAAAATTCGATAAAAATGTCTTTATAGTAAAAACTAACTTGGGTGTCATCAAAATGCTACGATATTAAAAATTGCTAGTCAGATTAAATTACACATCTTTAAATTGAATTCATACCGACAACTTGCCATTCTTAATTTATGAAGTGTAAATATAATGTAATTGTATAATATAACAATACTACATTTAATAGTAGTTCTCTCATCATAATGGAAGATTGGTTGTCCTTACAAGACTACCCTTAGTTTTTTATAAACAATGTCTTATATAATTCAATACATACCTATATATGTATACATTTTCAATTAGATGAGGCACGAGATTAGTTATTTATTATATTTGATATAAACGGGTGTTATAAAATAGCGAGTATCAAACAAATAATGAGTAATGACATACTGCAAGGTATAAAAAACAGTATCTCGAGACACATCTTAGGAAACTGTCTCACTTGTAGAAACATAAATTACAAGTTTCTATATTTATATATCATCAATTTTATTGCTTGATACCCGCCTTAGTAGTTACATCAACAATATAAAATTCTTCTACCACTGTTCACATATGTATTTTCTCATAAAATATATATTTCTTTATTTGTCTATGCTTTTGTTGACCCCGAAATATTCTCATGTCAAACACAGTATAACTTATACATGTTTAACACGAAGACGGCATACAATAACGAATAGTCCAGTTAGAGTTGAGACAGAGTCAGGCTCTTTTTATAACTGTTTCATGCGAAACGTCTGAAAAACAGTAAATTTTATTAATTTATTACCAGCTTTTAATTAGAAGTAAAATATGAATACATATTGAATCGATAATTATTATAAAGTACTAGAAGACCTGGCGAACTTCGTATCGCCCTATAATCAAGAAATATCTATTACGTTTTTTTATTTATATTTTTGGAGTTTACCTGTAAGCCATAAATCTCCGTGTTTTGAAGTGCGACAGAATGATTGACATATTAGTTAGTTGTCAAATCTAATGTCAAAAAAAAACGTTTGTATGGGAAATAGAAAAGGGCTGTTTTTATGGTTTTCCCAGTAATGAATCAATTTTTTTCAGCTTTTATACCTTCCCTGAACCTCCATGAACATTTCAAGACTAAGATAAGATAAATCCGTTCAGCTGTTCTCGAGTTTTAGCGAGACTAAGGAACAGCAATCCATTTTTATATATATAGAAGAAGAAGATAGAAGATAGAAGATTACCATCTGTATACTATTGATGCGGGCTTTCTACAATTAGCATAATGGACTGGTGCTGTTGTGCGTCTGTGTGTATTGTAGGCACGGATCGGAGACATTCAATCTGATGTGCAGCCCAGTCTTTTTTTTGGCAATATGTCGAGCAATACGGCGTCCGACGGCAGAGTGAGCATTCGGCAGAAGCTTCCCGATTGCAGTTCGCACACTAGAAGCAATTATCGTTATATTTATATAATATATAATGTATTCTGTAGGACTCGGTATGACAATATATATATACGAATATCTACGTAATCATAATTTCACAGTCACAAACATAATATTTTTTAAATTTCCAAACTGGTTAAAACGTTATTTTATATTTAATTTTATGTCAACGATTGAATTAAAGCAGAATAAAATGCAACAAATCCACAAATATTTACTTAAACGACAGAACTAATGACATTCAAATTTATTTAAACTCTAAGTAAGCAATTCCTAATGATTTAAATTTTCTCGTGTTTTATTATAATTTATATTATGTTTTAATAATAGTACTAATTTATTATCCTATTAACAGTACGTTGTTATCAGGTTCACATATAATATGTATGTATCTGCCTACTCGCAAATTTCTTTTAAGCCCAAAACGATTTAAGCGCACAGAGCGGAACATAAAACATGAGAAAGATCTGTATTTATTTATATGTAACTAGCTTGTGCCCGCGACTCCGTCCGGGTGTTATTATTATTAGAATAATTATTATTCTCTGCTACTACGACCACAGAACCCGAACATACATATAGTTTTTGGATTAGGATCGGGATCGGTATAAAAAGTAGACTAGGTCCTTGTCCAGGGTTCCATCTATCTCTAAAAAAATACATAAATCGGTTAAGTGGTTTAGATGTGAAAACGTAGCAGACAGACGGACAGAGATACTTTCGCTTTTATAATATTAGTAGATGTAATACGTATAAACACACCTTCTTAGCTTCAGATTCGTCAACATTATGTAATGAGACCTGTTCCGCCTCTACATGAGCATCCATACTCGCTGCTAGTAAAGCGGACGCACGCTCCTGTTCCAATCTCTCCATCTGTCTCGTGCTCATGATCTTAACGTCTTCAACACATTGCTTCAACTCGCCAGATAACCGTGTAAGATTCTGACCGATATCTTCGAGCCGTTTCAATACTTTTGTCATGTCTGGAATAGCTACAATAGTTGCGTAACTTCGTATAATTACAATCGTTAAAAAATCTTTTTCAATACATTGTAGAGGATGAAAAAAAAATAAAAGCACAAATTATACCTGGCTGTACACTAAGAAAGATTTAAAGAAAAAAATTCGATGCTGCTTAGAAACTCGCCAGTCTGAGAAGATCGTTATTATGACTGCTTGTAAAAATAAATGCTAAAAAAGAGCATATTCAAGAAAAGAAATATCATCATCGATATCAAAGAACAATCGTTAAATAATAATTAATTTTAAGTACATATTTCCCTTAAAAAATTGTTTAATTTTTTTTTTATTTTTTAAGTTCTTAATACTTTGATGAAACATATGAAAAATTTCATATTTGATAAGCATCTATTTTTAATTATCTAACATACAAAACAATGAAATGAAAACCAGGTATTAATATAATGGTTACAATTGCTATAAATAAATTATAGTAGTCTTTTGAACCTAAATATGATATAATATGTAATAAATATAGAAATATACATGTAAAAATGTTTCAACTTAAAAAAAAAAGATAAACTTCGCCAAACTTATATAGAAAAAAAAAAAGAAATCCCTTCAGTAGTTTCAGAACTTAAAGCCATATGCAAAAAAAATATATTAATAATGAACATTTTTGATCCAAAATTTTCCATTTGAAACTGGTATTTTGGTAATTGGTTACCAAAAAAGATACAATTTATTATTTGTGTCACTCCCTGTTTTGTCAGCAATGCAATCCAATGTATTTTTGAATTGTTTCATATTGAATTTCCAGTATTGAATGACCCTTACCATTTTCTTATTCTTTTAGCAGAAGTTGATTTATAATATTTTTCTGTGATTATTGTAATGTAGATTTTAAAACTGCCAAACATACATAATTTTTTGTTTTGTATGATTTAGTGTATAACAAATGTAAACATATGTTTTAAGAATTTGCTACATAACATTATAATTAAAAACATAAATGTAAAAGAAAGCAATGCCATAAAATATGAATTTGCAATAGCCATTTTTGGGAATATTATTAAGTTGATAGCCAAACACTCAGCAGCCGTAATAAAACCACAAAAAAAATATACAGGAAACAATCTTTGTACAAAAAATATGTATAGTCTGTCATTAATAAAGTGATTTTTTTCCAACAATATAGTTATAACAATATGGTATTTTTTTTACCCAAAACATTTCTTTGAGTGCACTAAAAATTTGAAAAAAATATGATAAATTTTAATATGAAAAACACAGAAATACTTTTACTTTCATATTAGTTCAGAAGTTACAATATCAGAAACAACAAGAATAATGTATGATGCATAAATGTATAAAGATTAGCTGTGACAAAAAAGTGTCTATTATTTATTGTTACTTAGCATGTTTTTTTTTTATTTTTTTAATAGAAATCACAGCTGGCAGCACTCTTAAACTCATTTACCTATTTTTCAGTTATTGTAAACAATAAACCAAACCTTGAGAAAAAAAAACATGTTACTTAATACATATAAAACATTGAGCATATAAGTAAAAAATAAATAAATTTTTGCAGTTGCCATATTACTCTAGAGCATTGCATAGCACAAGATGAATAAAAATGTATGTAAATTATTTCATTACAATATTTTCATGTCAGTGGAAACAATTTAAAAAACTCCAACAAGTAATTTAGGCTGAAGGCAAATATAATAAAATTCTTATTAAATAATTTCTTGCTAAACATTAAAGCATAGCATATTTAGGATATCATTACAAAACATTAAATTCTTATCAAGTGCAATTAAAGAGCTCAAATAACATTAGTTAATATAAAAGTAATTGCAAAATATAAATAAAATATGAGGTTTTTTACTTAAATTTTTTAAAAAATTGTTTCAAGTATTACAGCAACAATTATTATAGGTAGAAAAACTGTTTCTTTTGTATTTTGACCTCATACCTGCAGTTATATCTGGTGGAGGTTCAGGACTTGCTAACAAATGATAATCCGAGTTTGTGTCCAATCCCTCAGCTATACTCTGCCACGCTTCTTTTGAATGACTATTGCTACTTGTCTGATGAATACTGTCTACTTCAGCATCACTCAACGAAGTATCACGCTTTACTTTCACATTCTTCTCATCTGTTCCTGTAATATTTAGTTAGTATAAGTTTATTATTTTGTTATATTTAAAACTCAAAATTAATATGACACAATATTTACCATCTTGGTTTTTTCTCTTCCTCTTGTATGGGGTAAATAGTCTTACAGGTCCCATTGCTGGAAAAAAAATTAAATTTCCTAAAATTGCAAAAAGTGATATAATTCTAGAACTATCACAGAATGCACTAATATTGAATAGGTCTGGAAGTAAATCATAATAATGATAAATTTACATACATAGTCATAGAACCATCATCTAATAAAATCTTTTATTAGACCTCTCTTCATATTATTTTAATCTTGAAGTTGTTTAAAATCATCATATTCTATAATTTGGGATCATATACATATATCAAATAAGAAATGAAAAAAATATGAGAATGTCTTACAAATGTAAATGATGAAATTTACCAGTTTGATCATCACAGCAAGCACCACAAGTGCAGCTAGTAGCATGAGGTGTCAATATCCCTTCATCAATCAAAGCCTGAATACTTCTCCCACCAAATCTTATAGATCTCTTCCAGTCCTTGCTTGATGCTCGCCCACAAAGAGCTTCAAATTCACTGGGAGTGTACCATTCACTTCCATATTTGATGCATCTTCCACGGCCTCCAGATCCTAACCTTTGTTTATGTAGTTCTGCTGAAGTGTTCTTACATCTAATAGGGAGAATAGGCATGTTGGCAGTTTCGACCCATGATCGATTGGTCATTGATCTATTACTAGTGGAATTAGAACCTGTTTCATGGCTCTTTTGTTCACGAGCAGCAGTCGTTGACGAAGTGTTTTGGATTACTATGTGAGTAGGCTTTATATCTTCCTGTACAGGACCACCTGATATAAAACCATTATCAACACATATCATAGGTTTAAAGTGTTGCAATTGGTCAGAAGTTATGACATTAAATGTGGTGCCAGTAATGAGCGTGCCAACTGGCAGTGATACGGGGACCGTAACCACACCGTTTGAATCGCTTGAACGTCTTGTATCTTTGATACTTGCCGATAATACGGTATCGCCATCAGAACAATCGGTATCGTGCTCGGCAGCTGTCGACAGAGGATCGGGTTCGCTTACTTCGGTAATGTCCGGCATAACGACGTTTTCCGAACTTCTATTCTCCGCCATTGCTTTCTTCCACCCACCCCGAATGACCCCCTCGCGTAGCGACCGAATTTTGAATAAATTACATGACCTCTTAACTATTAAAATGACCAAAACTGTACCGAAAATGCGAAACCACAAATATCCGCCATGACATTAAAATCTGTCTAAACAGATAGTCTTTACGCATATGTTATGGCGGCGTATTCAAATTTTTCTTTATCGAAGGAATTGTTTTTAGACAATGAATTTATAAAAATTTTTTTGTTTTACACTCAACGAAAACTATTGAAAATAAATATTTTTTGGACATTGATTTTAAGATTGAAGCCTTTGTAAAAACATATCGTTCTATTTGTTCAGTAATCACCGGTTAAACAATCATAATAAACGTCAATTAATTCTAAAAATCTTTATTTGATATCTAGATCTAAAGGGCAATTATGTAATACTTTTTTTTAATCTACTTTAAAATAAAAAAAATGCAACATTTTTAATTATGTGAAAATTTACAAAATTATATCTCATAACGAAATACAACTTTATAAATATTAAATCACAAAGTACACGTTATATATATTTTATCTTAATATTATTTATACAGCAAAACAGTTTAATTATTAACAGATAAATAAAAAATGAGAAAGTCATTTACTTTCTTCATATAAACACCGTTTACCTAGAAAGGCTTGAAATAAACAATAGATAAGTAATAACTGCAGGTACAATAGTTATTATTTTAAAAAACTATATCTATTAAATCTCTGTAATTATACGCAGTGATGGATTTCATTATTATTTAAATATTTATCTATTATGTTATGAGTAAAATACGTAATGTATAATAATAACATAATTGGGAATATAAAAAGATTTATATGGGTTGAAAATACTATAGAACAACCATTTACTTAAAAAGAACAAAAAAAGACTTAAAAATAATAAACGTAATTAAAATCCTTTTGGTCATCTACATACATTATAAACCATAACAATAAATATTTCCATTTCAATGATTAAAGATTTTATTTTAAAGTCTTGATTTGTTAAAATAGTAGGTCCTCTATAAAAATGTTTTATTTATAACTTTAAAACAATTATCTTGAGTTTATGAACTACGTTCGGAAACATTGTGACTTATTGATTTTTCGAAGTAGTTGCGCAATGTTAAGCGGCCAAATTAAATTTTGTTGTTGTTGCTGCTTACCTACTGCACTTATGGTCCTATATATAAGGTCTTCTGAAATAAGTCACTTGTTTACTATATTCTTATAAAGCTTCCGTTGTAAAGATCTGTCAATTAAAACGGAGGGAAATATTGAAACACAATAAGATATTTGGCGTTTTGCTTTTACTATTTTTGTAAATTTCTATTCCTGACAATTAGTTGGATTTTACTCTAGTTTAAAAATATAAGAAAATGGAAGATTATAGAAGTAAACATAAAACCATACAAAGTGCAGCACACCATATCGCTTTGGAATGTATACACCCGCAGGTAATTTATTTAAAATTTCAAACTTATTAAAGTAAATAATCTGTGCAATATTATTTTTTTATTACAATGTTTTGTTCTAATTTTATATTTGTATTATTTTAAATAGTTATCAAGCAGCTGCAAAATAACTGGGTATCACGAAACAACATTTAACTATGTGATTTTTTTATCCATGTCTGTACTATTGGATTGCACAGTCTACACATGGCTCACCCTATCATGTACATCCTTATCCCTCTCCAGTCCGTCTACAACATGCTTTTCAGGCACAACAAAGTCCACAGATGTTTCATCCAAAGGGGCTGAAACCATGCATTGTGAGTAAAGTGTAGAAAAACCTATATAATCATCTTATTTCCAATATTATAATATTTATTTTTTTACAGGATCCAAAAGCATTTTTGACTCCGAGTGATAGTCCAATATTAGGACGGGCTCTTTGTCTCACTCCACGAGGCAGCCCTCTACCTGGTTGTGTATCACATCTAAATGAAAAGTTTCAAGACTCATTAACTCTTAATTCTGATACAGAAGCACTAGTTGCAAAAATCAGTGCCATGTTTCCGACAGTCAGTGAAACACATATAAAAATTTTATTAAAAAAGTATGCACATTAGGTTAAAAACCATAAACATTTGTGGATACTTTATATTCTTAACTTACAGTTCTTGTTTTAAATCAATAGGTATTATAATCGTGAAGCTGTAGTCATCAGTGCTTTGCAAGTAGAAAAACATCCAATTACAACACCTGGCCCGCTGTCCATGTCTCCATCTTCCACACGTTTAACTAAAGGTGCCATGGGTGTGTATTCAGCACTGCAACTCGCTAAAGGGGTATCTGGTTCATTGCACAGTGCTAATCACTTTACTCCACTCACTGGAACCCCCCAGGGTAGGAATTGGATATTTATAATTATAAAGTGTGGGCCTTAATGTGAAATAAGTGTTCATTTAAATGTTTATTTAATATAAATATTGTATTATAGAAACATCATGTAAAATGACTAATGTCTATTTATAAATGGTAATGGATGGATTTATATTAACGCATACTGCATGGCTTTAGCATGATTTCAACATATTTTACTTAAATTTTAGATAAAAATTAAGCTTTTTTATTCAATAAATTTATATATACTACTAACTTATTGTAACATTTAGTAGCACTTAAACTTTTTCTTATAAAAGTTTGCCATTAGTTAAGTAATTATGTATTTTTACATTTAATTAATGTAGTTTTATATTTTTTTTCAAGCTATACAAATTATATATTATTATTTACTCATTAGGTTTGCTATTGCTACAATAATAAAAGAATGAACTGATTTCTATAAAACTTAAGGTAATTTTCTAGGTTCACCACAACTACTTCGACCAGGCTCCTGTGCTTCCAGTTATTATGGAACAACAAAATCTGATCAAGCGCCAAGACATCAATCACCTAAAATGAAACTCAAGTATGAGATTGGTAACATATTGTAATTCATTTATGATGATAGTTATTTTAAATTGTAATTAATATTTTCAGGTATTTAAAAAGCGTTTTTCCTAAGGCTGAGGAAACTTTAATACTCGATGTTCTTGCTAACAAAGATAATAATGTACAAAAGGCAAGTGAAGAACTTATTTCCATGGGTTTCTCTAAAAAAGAGACGGTTTTCATACAACAAAAAAAGAAAGAAAAAACTACACCACAGCCACCTAAGAAAGTTGTCACAATAGTGAAATCAATGGAGGAGAAAAAAGAATGTATGAACTTTTTTGTTGAGAAATTATTTCATTATATGATTTATATATAACAAATAAATAAAAAATTATGTTTCAGTAAAGGAGAAACTCCAAAAGAAATACTACAATAAAGTAGCTGAGAAAGTTGTAACAATAGCATTAGAGAGTGTTGATTACAATGAGGAAAGGGCAGAACAAATATTAGCAGCTGTGGTTCAAGAGGAGGAAACACCCAAAGTTGCCCAAAAAACAGAAGTGAAAGATATGAGATGTCCAAATAATGTTGTTGTTATTAAAGAGTAAGTGTTCTAGATATATGAATGGCAATAGAGGGGATGTACAAGTTGTTTACAATAATGATGGTGAATGTAGGTTAAAGTATTGTTTAAACATGACCTTCCAAGAGAAATCATGTAATTTGCATAGCATGATGCTCTGTACAATTATGTCTATCCAGCAAACATTTTCTCATACACCACTTATACTACTAAACCTCATATTCAGATCTGCATTGCACATTTTTCATACTACCCTTCAAACTGTTTGGTCTGATAAAAATATTGCTCAAGATCTTAATTGTTACGTAGATACTTATTTTTATTTTCTGGCAAAAATTTATTTGAGGTACAACAATATCTATCTATATTTATTACCTCAGCAATATTTTTGCTGGATTTGAGTATAATGATACTATCTAGTTGAAATGAAATTGTAACTGTATATCTACATTAATTAACACAATCCCCTGCTTCTTAGCTTCTCATAAAGAGGATTGCTGAAATATAGATGTTTTTTTTTTCATTATCTATATTATTACTGACACTATATTTGTGCAAATCTTCTAAAATATACCTATAGAACGAGATTGGTTATGCATACATTTTGTTATGGTGAAGAGAAGTTTTCTAATTTCCCATTTCTAAAGTTTTATATATCTTTAATAATTTGATCTGTAAATGCTGATATTAGCTGCAAGTTGATCGTTCACTTGATATGTTTTTAATAACATCGTGTTAGTTAAAAATATATGATACATATTTTATATCGGCACACTTGTGCACATTTAAAAGTAACTGTCCGACGTTCTAGTTTCATATCCGTAGTAGGTAAGGTTATGTACAGATGGTTTAACTTTGCCATCCATAAAATAAGTAATGTTTGACTGTAAAGCATGGCCAATCTCGGTATCACATCACCCATTAGTTCGCCGAGCCCGCAGCGAGCTCCGAGTCCACCGCCACCACGCCGTCTCAAGATCTGGACCGAACATTTGAAGTACGTCTTGCATGTGTAGTCGGCGATATTTTAATTATGTTCGTATACGATGTGTCGGAGGGGCGGACATGACGTCACGTCTCAGTTTTTGACTGTAATGAAAGCTTTAGATTGTTTATGGGTTTTATTTAATCTATGTGTTTCTTTATCAAAGTGAATACCTATATGGTAATTGAAGGGTTTTTTTTTTGGAATTACTGTTGTATTTCTCTATACTGTGTGATATTTTTTTCGCGTTGTTATATTAGTGGATATAAATTTCATTATTATTTTAACGCACATGCTGTTCAAATTATATCCTTAATGGTGTGTGCTTTTTCTTAGAAAAAGGTTTGTTTGTAATATACAAGTTTATTGGACATGTAAAAAAAAACATTTTTATTTTAATTGTTAGATTATGATGATTTTTTATTACACATGGAAAAATGTGCCTAATAGCAAATAGTTTACATTAGAAATGAAGTTAGATATTTAGGGATAATAGAAAATCATCTTTTAAGTATTCATATCCATTACCATATTTTAATTAGCAATTTTCTTATGATTTATTATCCTGTAGATTAAAATTATTTATACAACATACATTAAACAAAATTATTTTTATAGTGGTTTTGTTCTTTGATAAGTGTGTGCATGGTTTTTAGAGGTGGTATTTGAATTTGAATCCAATATATTTTATCAAATAAAAAGATATCATTTCGTGAATACTTTTTTTTAGGCCAATTTTGAAGCCAAGCCAAAACAATGAGAGTAAATTTAAATCTCAATACACCATTACTACCAATGGACCAAATGCTGCTCTGCGACAGGGGCCGAAGGACAGTCTACTTTTGTATGTTATAATCTATTTAGCATTACTAAAATTCGAAGAGGAAGATATCATTTTGTCGCTTATTACATATTTTTTATTTGGTCATTTACTAAACGCAGTTTGTTTCAATACTTTTAGAAGACCAATATTTTTTTCATAATTTGTCCATGGGATGGTATTTATAATTGGTTTTTATTCTCGCTGCAGGGAGGATTATATGACTTGGAATGGCCCTAACCCTGAGCTGCGTTGCGGGCCGGGAGTGAAGCAAGACGGTCCAGATACAAAGAGTAGTGCTACTTCTATGGCGAGAGGGGCGGCGGGACTAGCTAAGGGACCAGCGGGTATTGCTAAAGGATCTATATATCAGAAGATTAAAAACAAAACGGCCAAAATGTGAGTTGCATACTAACTTTTGTATACACTACTTTGGTTTTTACGATAACTTCTTATTATATAACATATAACTTAAATGTAAATGAGGTTTATATCTATTACTAAAAATTAGTTAAATTTCTAGAAAGTCCGTTGTAGCACAGCAGTAAGGTAAAATATCTGCTATTTAAGCAGATATTTTTATTCTTAATTATTATTATAGTTAGAAAATAACTTCTTGTAAAATAAAATAGATAACCTTATATTTTAAAAGTAAAATTTATGTTTTAACAATTTCTCAAACTTTCATAAATTTATATATGAATCTATATTCTAAATCATCACCTCCATAAGAAAGTAAACAATTAAAAATTTCTGTACAGTTTGACAATGTTATTAACTAATGAAATGTTATATTAATCAAATTCTTTATAGGGGTCGGCTGAAGACCGCCATTTTGTAAGACATCTATTGGTCTGTTTGTTTTAATACATTATTTTTCTTACAGAATAGTTTGAATGTCCAGAAACGAAAACTGAAATGGTGATTTATTACCTGTTTTTTTTTGTAGACCTTAGTTTAATTTAAATTTGGAATATTTGAGTTTTGGCGAGTTTTTTTATAACTCACTTATTGTAAAAAAAAAACGACTTAACACAATGTTTAATTTTTTCTTCTATGTAAAGTTACTTATCCAAGGCGTGATAGATCTCAGTTTTATTCGTTGTAATAACATTTCTTCAAACAGCTTTATATATTGTTTAAGTTTTTGTAATGTTACGTTTATGTGTATTTAGAATTAAAATTTTATTTCTTAAACTGTTGATTTATATCTTGTAAGTAACATTTATATCTTGTAAGTAGAATGAAATTTCTGTGCCAATTTTTATATTAAAACTTTTGATGTGTTATTTTGATCTTTTCTGTCGCAACAGTTTTAGTGATATACACATATAGATAATTGTGAATTAGAAAATATCTTGTCTTTATAGATTGATTATATCTATTTTGTTTATAATAGTTTTAAATGTTAAGAGGCTAATTGAATAATGTTGCAAGTGTCAGTTATTGACAATGAAGGTGGCTCTAATTTATTTTTACCTCATGTTCTTCCGATGTCTTCTATAGGAGAAATAAATCCTTCCAGTTAGCATCGAAATTAGCCTTAGCATATCAACTATATTAATGATCTCAAACATTCTATTTCATATCGTTTTGGAGAAAAGAAAAATTAAAATTCATCATTTTTATATAGTACCTGATCATTGTTAATATATTTTTATCTAGATTATGTTATAAAGCTATTTTTATAAATTGTAAAACTTTTTAACTTATTAATAATGTTTTTATTATCTTTAACTTAATTTAATTCAACTTTTTGTACATTTAAAGTCAGTATTAAAAGAAACTTCTTCCGCTAATATATCGATCTTTTAGTGATGTATTGATGCCAAAAAATAAAATGGAGTTATAATTATTTTACTATGTTCAAAAATATATACGACATAATTCATTTAGTATAAGATTAGTTATTAATTGAGGCTCAAATCTAGTCAGCAATGTAGTCAATTAGGATTTATTTAGCTTAAAGGACATATTTTGTGAATCATTTCTTAATAAATTGTTATACTTGATCTATTAAATAATGTTTTATTTTATGAATTAGTTTTACTCTTTTTTATTACATCCCATTATCTAATTATTTCGAAGTTACACTGTGCACCATTCTATCTACTTATAAATTATTCTAAAACCAAAATGACTTAAAAAAATACTAACAATAAAAAAAAAACCAGTTATTTAACCGTATATCTTTATTTGATTTCTTTCCCAGTAAAGATAAATATATTTCGATATTAAAAGATTTGTCTCTAACCAATGTTAAATGAATTGTCAAAAAAACTTACGTTCTATAACAATATGCATTTAAATAATAAAACCTTTAAATAAGATAGCTGGATAACAAAATATCATTGTGTGCAGAAATGTTTAATTACTGTTAATTTTAAATAATAGACATATTGTATATGACATACATAATTATGTAATAAGTAATATCGATAATGGTGATGACATTAAATATATATATATATAAATTTTGAGTTTAGGCAAATAAAATTAATCGTACACATAGATATATGGATTTGATTCTACGAGGGCTATGTCTTTTTCTAGCTGTCGTAACTCCTGTTCCATTTTCGTCTTTTTCAAAATCTTCGGAATTGTATCCGTTAACATCGGCAATTGTAAAAATGCCTTCTGCATCAGTTGCCAGTTGTGTTTTAAATCCTAAAACAAATATACTGTTTTAAATCTCGGGAGATTGCAAAAATAGTCTCATTCAGGAAGACATACCTTCAATAACGCTTGTCTCTCTTGTTCATTGATGAGTTTACATAAACTTTCCTTATGTTCTTCTGCATATTTAATTCGATCCAGCTCTCTCTGAATTTTTCTATTACGTTTTACTAAGTATGCTGGCATCTGTCCAAAATCTTTTCTAAGACAAAATTCTGGAACTTCTCCGGACCCTTTAATTTTTTTTATGTGTCCATCCCGTGTATCCACCAATCTGTAAAAGATTATATGTTTGCTGTAATTACTTAGTAATAACGTCATGAGATTATCTTTTAATGAGCGAATAATAAATTATAAACAACGTTAAAATTTTCATTTTTTGGAGAGGTGGTAAAAGACGAACAGATATTATGTACTTAATTTTTTTAATTAAAAAATTTGTTGACGTACAAGTTAACCATAAATCATTATTGGTGAGTATAAGTTACTATAAGTACAAAAGTCGGTATTCGAAAGTTTCATTATCATTGCTTAATGGTTACTTACCGCGGTTCTAAGGGCTTAGGTTTGGTTTTAATCGCCTTTTTTATGTTTAGTACCCTAAAGTTTACTTTGGGCTTCTCTTGTTTTTTGGGCATTTCTGAACGCTTCGGCACTGGAGGTAAATTGCCTGAGACAAAACATTTGTGATCAGATGTTTTTATAGGCTGTCCAATGCCTTCACCCTTTTTTAGAAAATTGTCAGGTGGATTGAGCGGAGTTTCTGCATATCCAAATGTTCGCCTCTGTTTCGGTATTTTCATTTCCTTTAGCTGTTTCTCCAATTCAGATTGATACCTTTTAGTTTAGATGAATTATTAACATTATTATTTTTTTTATTAAGAAAAGAACTGTCACAATGATTAACAATTTTTGATTTCACTATGAATAGATCATCAAATTACCTCGGTGTTTTAGGCGGTTCTGGTGGTGGTTTATCTAAAATTGTGTATATTACTTCATTGTGCTGAATAATTTCTACAATAGACATTTTAATTAATAATTGGATAAGTTTTTCTTTTATCCGTAGCACATATAAAAATTGTCAAAAATCTAAACTGTTTGAAATTTGTTGTCAAGGCAACAACGCTAGTCATTACGTGATACGATTATCTATAGGTACTTGTACGTGATTTTGTCTCAGTTGTATATTTTATTTCAAACGGTGTTAGAGCCGTTCAAAGGTAAACTTGTTGGTAATGTTCGGTCAGCATAAGTAAACTTCGTGTAATCGCTACTAGTACTATCGTGATAAAAATAACAAGAGAATTGTTTATGTATATAAGTGAATGAAAAAGGCAAGAATTACCAGTTTGCCTTAGATTAGGTACTGAATGAGATATGCGAGGAAATCATCAAAATTATGTTAATTACTGTCGAATTTATTATGAAAATATTTACTTAGTAATATTAGAAAAAGTTTTTCTAAACAAGTATTGCCTACTACAGGAGCAGTTTTGACTTTATCTTTATGATCACTGTTCAGAGATAAAACGTTGTAACTTGCAAGGACTCCTTATATAAAAATAATAAATATATTTTGATACACAAAACTCCTTTTGTGCTCTTAGTTTGTTGATGTATATAGAAAATTTTAAATCTTCTCGAATACACTAAAGTCTAGAGTCTAGACTTAGACATGATTTATTTAAAGGCTTATTTAGTGTTACAATAAATTGCATAACTATATTCGTCAGTATAAATTATTCTTTGGGTATAATACTTAAAAACTATTATTTAATAATTCTCGTTATTCAAAGTCACTTATTAAGTAGCCTAAGTAATAAGTTAGTCCTAATGACATTAATCATCTGCGAGGAAAATTCCGGTAAAAATCGGTCTAGCCGTTAAAGAAACTACTCGGAATATACTAGCAGATAGACAAGCATCTAAAAAGTCGCCTTTTTGATGTGGTCGTTATCATACATACTTTCATATGATTTTAATAAAATAGCATTAATTTTTAATTATAATTTAACACTTAAATTATTTAAGGCATTAATATAAATTATTTAAGGCATTTAAAAAATGAAGAAATATTTCCTGTCGTGTATTAAATTTTATTTTAATACCATATAATTGTATTGTATTGACTTGGAACTTAAAATATTAATTTAATTCTAGATAAATATGCATAATATTTAATAATAATTTTATTATTGGATGTAATGAGATGTTCAAAGCCTTAGATACATTTAAAAAATGTTAGAGAGTTGTCAAGGAATTGTCAAACAAATGTCATTGCTGTTGCACTAAATATTTTTAGATATTAAAAATTATTGATGTACACTGTACTAAAACCTTGCAGTGCAATTGCGTATGTGCGCAGTAGCCCATTATGTTTGTGAGTCGAGTTCGACATGGCGTCCAGAACTATACAAGATTTAAATGCATCAGAGATGGATCTAGGTCTTTATCAACCCTTGATTCTCTTGATCATGAAGAAAGACTCCGCGATTGTTTGTCATCATTACCTTCTAGCGCAAGGGTTGTAATATGCGGCGGTGGTGTTATGGGAGCTGCTGTTGCCTATCATCTTGCAAGAAGAGGATGGGGCCCCCATACTGTAGTTATAGAAAAAGAAAAGTGAGTAAGCATCCCATTAAATTGGATAATGTTAATAAGTCATTATATAATAAACATTATGTTAATGTTGGGACATGACCTAGATTTTTAATCATTCTTTATTGATTTTGAAGGTGCAATCAATATTGCACTTACTCCACCACTCTTCCAAAAGTAGATTAATTTGGTATTCTCTCATCTACATCTTACTTTTATGTTTTATGAAAAATTCATTATACCCTTTGTCTATTTTATGTATTGTATACATTATGGTGGTGTTGCTGTTTAATACATGCACTTATCCAAAAACTTTTGTGTTTAAAAATTTACAAAACAGATTTTGTTTTTGTTCAAAATGTGTTGCTGTGTTTATTCTTCTTCTTCTTCTTCTTCTATCTGGCAATTTCCTAGCTTTAGCCTGGGTCTGTCTTACATGTTGTGAATAGTTTTATCTAATTGTTTTTACGTCTGGCCGCTTGCCTAACATCAACCCTCTTTGGGAATGCATTAATCAGTGATCTAAAATACTCTTAGTACACATGACTCGGAAAAATCATTGGTACTTGTCAGGATTGAACCCACACCCTCTAAAATTTTACTTGTACATATAAAAAATTAATTAAAACTAAATATATATCACTTTACTATAATTTTTGATATAATGAAACATTTTTGAACAGAGTTGGTGCTGGCAGTAGGTGGCATTCCTCAGGTCTTGTTGGAGCCTTTAAGCCAACTCTTGCTCAAGTTCGTATTGCTCAATCTTCTATAAGGCTCCTAGCAGATTTGGAATCACAAGGAAGACCCACTGGTTGGAAACAATGTGGATCACTGCTCCTGGCTCGAACCAGGGACCGCATGACCGTCTATAGAAGAATGAAAAGTCAATCAGTGTATGTAACATTTTTATTTGCTAAATAAATTTTTGAGCACTAAGATTTTAAAACATTTTTTCCTTAGACAGCTCCTGGGGCATTGATTGTGAACTCGTCAGTCCTAAGAGATGTCAAGATATATGGCCAATGCTGAATGTTGATGATGTCCTTGGCGGTCTATGGATACCAGGGGATGGAGTGGGAGATACTCATCTATTTTGTATGTCCCTAATGAGGGCTGCTGTGGAAAATGGTCAGATAATACATTTTATCTAAATATTTAAATTGAAATTTATTATTATTATATAATTCTACATTAATATTTTTTCTTAGGAGTTGGTGTTATGGAGGATTGTTCAATAAAGGCTGTACACTCTAAAGATGGTAAGGTATCTGGTGTAGATACCACAAGTGGTTCAATTGAATGCCAGTATTTTGTTAACTGTGCTGGATTTTGGGCTAGACAGGTATGTGCAAAATATTTTTGATCTCAAATCTATGGTCATCAATAGGTTTGTTGAATCATTTTCTTCTATCTTCCTCAGATTGGACAGCTGGCGAAGCCACAAGTCAAAGTCCCCTTGCTTCCCTGCGAACACTACTATTTGCATACAAAGCAGATTGAAAACTTGAGTCCTATGATGCCAGGTAATTTAAAAACATACTCAATAATTTGCTTTCTTGTTGTATAAAATATTAAAACTTTTGGTATTGGGGGTTGTCCATTAATCACGTGATCTTTTTTTAGCATTTTTTAACCCCCCCGCCCCCATTGGTGATACGTAGTGAGGTTTAAGACCCCCCCCCTCCCCCTTCTTAACATCACGTGTATTTTTAGTACCTACAACGAATCTTAAAATTTTCTGAATATTATCTTAATTTAAATACAGGTATAAACTATAATCTTATTTTATTCTGAAATTAAGGACCATAATAAAAATGTCTACACCAGCTTGCAAGTTCTTTTTTAAAATTTAAAAAAAAATTTTTTTTTAAAAAGTTTGTTAAAAATCGCGCGTTAGACGAAAAAATAAATACACGAGATATCTTACTACACCCCCCCCCTCCCCCTTGTGTTATTTTCGTGATTTTTATCAAACCCCTCCCCCCCCTTTCAAGCCTCACGTGATTAATGGACAGCCCCTTGTTTTAGTTGTCCGTGATCCAGATGGCTACATCTACCTACGAGAGAGGAATGGCTGTATACTGGCTGGTGGTTTTGAACCAATTGCAAAACCAGTGTATGAGGAAGAAAGTAAGAGAATATGTTTTTAAATGAAATTGTGAATTTGGAATAAAATGTAAAATAATAATTAGTACCTATTAAAATGAATTATTAATCTAAATGTTTGAAGCAAATACAGGGTTTTCTCAGAATTTGTAAAAGTTTGGAACACTTTCTTTCAAGTTCTCAATGCAGCCCAACGGTGTGTCGCTGAAGATTGGGATCATTTCCACATTTTATTGCAAGAATTGCTGAAACGTGTTCCCAGTCTTAATCAGGCTGTTTTACACAAACTCTGCAATGGACTCGAGGCTTTTTCACCGGATTGTAAATGGATCGTAGGCGAATCACCTGAGGTAATGACGTTAGTACGCGTTATTCATATACTATTTTTATTGCAGTTTTAAGAACAAAAAATTTTGCGTCAATCTATAACGGAAGATACATTGAAGAATAAAAATTGTTTCTCGCAGAACGCTCGATGTTGCGATTATAGCTGTTACAAGGTGCTATTTACCCAGCATTGCTAAATTCGTTATATCGAGCGTTTTGAGAGAATATACTACTGCTTAAATGGAAATAGTAGTAACGTTGTGTTATATTTAAATAATAACTACCTAATAAAATAGTATATTAACTAATAACTTGTAACTTCTTGAGTTTCAACCGTTAGTTGAAGAGTAATCGATACATTGTATACGATAATACATTGTAAGATTCTTTCTTTTTAACGAGACGTCCTTGTAATATGTGTTATAATTTAAATGGAATTATTATAATAACATTTTTCGCCTCCAAGCTAGTCGTATTAACGAGGAGTGTGGTATATGTGATTTCTATTGTACTTTGCTTACAATCGGAAGTATAATGGTAAAAAAAAATCGATATCAAATTATAAAGGACAGAGTCGTTTCTTCAGAAATGGAACATATCAATAAATACTTTTTATTAGAGAATGTTAGTTTAAATCAATCGATGATTTTTATTAAAATCGTTATATTTCTCACATCTCTATTTGGAATGAAGATTAAAGGGTCATTCATATTGATTGGAAGTTGCCAACGACAGGGTCAGATGTTGCCATCGTCATTGTCATAACCGTTCATGTGAATGATCTTTGAAAGCAATTTTTATAACATAGATGGCAAACTACCACGTTGCTTGCGGCATGAAGACAGTTGGGATATCAGCAGCGGGAGGCGTCGCTGAAGCTACTGTAGATGAGATCGTTGATGGATATTCAAAATATGATATGTACGAACTAGATATAAACAGATTTCTCGGTCTGCATAACAATAAACGGTTCCTGAGGGATAGGATGAAGGAAGTTCCGGGTCAGTACCTATTTATCTACATATTTGTTTATTACTTTATAAATAACTTTTATACGTTATGATTTACAATAGGTGTTCATTATGGGTTGCCGTACCCATTTTATGAATTCGAAACTGGGCGGAATCTTCGACTGTCTCCAATTTATCAAACCCTAAGGGATAAAGGTGCTACGTTTGGGCAAGTGATGGGATATGAAAGACCAACTTGGTTCGAACCAGTCGGTAATATAATCTTAAATATTATAATACTTTATCAATGACGCTTTTATAATTGCTCGTATCGTAAATACAGTATTGTTTAACAGATACAAGCACCGATTCTGATAAACCAAGACCGTTTAAAATAGCTCATACAAAAACATTTGGCAAACCACATTGGTTCGATACGGTGCAAAGCGAATACTGGTCCTGTCGCGAATCAGTAGGCTTAGCTGATTATTCTTCGTTTACGAAAATAGACATACAGGTAGGCTATTCAATATTTCATTTCCTTTACATTTAAAAGTCACTTAACTATATTATTTACATGCATGCAGTCCCAAGGAACCGAAGTTGTGGATTTACTTCAATATTTATGTTCAAATGACGTGAATGTTCCAATCGGCAGCATCATTCATACTGGAATGCAAAATGAACGAGGCGGCTATGAGAATGATTGCAGCCTTGCCAGAATTGCAGAGAATCAGTAAGAAATGTGACATAAGTCTTAACAGTTATATGTTTGTTTGTATCGCTGTCTTTTATTTTTCAGTTACATGATGATAGCACCAACAATCCAACAAACTAGGTGCAAAGTTTGGCTTCAAAGACATTTGCCTAAAAATGGTAGTGTGACTTTATCTGATGTCACTTCAATGTATACAGCTATTTGCATATTAGGACCATTTACTAGAAGTCTCCTGTCTGAATTGACGGATACAGATTTATCGCCATCTAATTTTCCATTCTTCACATTTAAAGAGCTGGACGTGGGCCTAGCTAATGGTATTCGAGCGATGAATTTGACCCATACTGGGGAATTGGGTTATGTTCTATATATCCCAAATGAGGTACATTACACAAATTGAAATTGAATTCTTTTTTATGATCGTACATAATGAACCTATTCATATTCATTGTACATACGTAGTTCGCTCTCCACGTTTACCATCGTTTGTTGACCGTTGGCGAGAAGTTTGGTATAAGACATGTTGGGCACTACGCAACTAGGGCGCTGCGTGTTGAGAAGTTTTTTGCCTTCTGGGGACAAGACCTCGACACTATGACCACGCCATTAGAATGTGGACGAACTTGGCGCGTCAAATTCGATGTTAGTAGCTCAATGTATTAGGTATTATAATTTACATTTCACATTTATCTAATTTATGTATTTTGGTTGAAATTTTTTAAATATCCAATTATTTCATTTGCAGTCTGATATATAATTCCTGTATTATTACTCATAACATTTCAGAAAAATATACCATTCATCGGCCGTGACGCCTTGCTACGTCAGAAAGAAGAAGGTATAAGGAGACAATACGTACAGCTCCTGCTGACAGATCACGACCACGAGATGGATCTGTGGTCGTGGGGCGGTGAGCCGATATACAGGGACGGTGATTACTGCGGACAAACTACTACCACTAGCTACGGATATACCTTTAAGAAACAGGTGATGAATTGCTAACTTGAATCATTCTAAAACTGCATATGTACATAATATTTTCCTAAGTGTTTTGTTTGGTATGATAGCTAGTTGATTTATAAAGAATATTGGGACAATCTCAGTAAATAACTATTCCATTTAAAATATATTTAAAAGGAATATGACATGGTAACCTTATGTTTAATCCTTGTATGTATTTAATAGGTCTGTCTGGGCTTCATACAAAACTTGGATAAAAATGGTATGGAACAAAGGGTTACTAACGACTACGTTCTCAGTGGGCACTATGAAATTGACATCGCTGGCATACGGTAACGTTTTATTTTTTCTTTGTCATCGCTAATAATATGAAAATTATTTATCAATTTGATTTTTAATAAGCTCTCATTTGCAATTAAATGCTATATAATAAAAAAATATATATAAAATATGTATTAACATTTGCCCCCCATTAAATCTTAATTTTTTTTAAATTGCTACATTAAGACTGAACTGAAAAAATGTAAATAAACAAACAACCATAGCCGTTGGAACGTAAGGGCATTCTAAGTTCCGTAACATTACCGCTATCAATTCTGTTATAATATGAATTTTATAAAAGTTGTCTGACATATCTTTTTTGTGCTACAGTTATGCAGCGAAAGTGAACCTTCATTCACCAAATTTACCTACCAAATATCCGGACAAAGAGCGAGATGTTTACCAAGCAACTAGAAAACAACACGAACATCAATATATGGGGCGTCATTATCAGCCTTAATACTACTCAATATTTATCAAAAGTTGTAGGTATAACCACTTGTACGAACCTGTTATAGTTTCCATGTATGTTTAAAATTTTGTAATATTCAACGTTTTTATTAAGGTATAACTAGATATGGGCTGTGTTGCCTATATAAGAACAGTGCCTGATTTAGTCAGTAGCAGTCAATTAGTATTCATCTTGTACATCTAATTATTTAATACTAAACTTATTTCGGCTCAGTTCATGCAAGATCTCTAGAAACTTTCAGATATGATGTTCATGGGCATGAAAGATATTTCAAACAATTATCTTAAAAAATTAGGCAAGAACTGATCACTGAAATTTTTTTGTATTTTTCATAACATTAATGTACTCTTTTTAAGATTAAAGTGAAATCAGTGTGATATGTATTTATATAAAAACAATATCCATAATTGAAATGGGATCTGCATTACAGATTCCTTTATTTTTAGTCTTGTGTAAACATTGCTTCATATATTTAGAAAGTATAATTTAACACAACCTTAAAAATCAAATAACCACAATGTATGTTTTAATATCATCAATATAAAACTCAACATTATAAAGCATATAAATTTTATTTGTATCTTCACATGTCAGTATTTAATTTATTGTAATACATTTGAAATTAATAAAAAAAAAACTTAAAAATGTTTCCCTTTTATTGTTGTCATATTTGAAATTATTAACAATTTTTAAATAACCATATATTCCTAATCACATTTAACACATAAATTTCAAATTTTAATAAAAATATTTTGTATCATTAATACATAATATTACAATGTCTTAAGTCATTTTAATTAAATCTAAACTTAATTATTTTTGAGCTCAACTTTATATTAAAAGTATAAAAAATACAAGAATTAAAATAACTATCCAGAAAAGTATATTGTTCAATGTATGGATTAATTTGCAATAAAAAAAAATCCATGTATCAATAACACAAAATAGGGTAATTAATAATTATAAAAACAAGTATCTTGGAGGTTGCAATTTAGCTTGCCTTATAAAAATGTAAGTAAAATAAAAACTCAAGCTATTTACAATTTAACAAGTACTTTTTGGACAATAGATTTAATATAAAAACAGTATTTTCTTTATTTTTGAACACTAATTCAATTATTTATTATGTATTGTTATTAAATGTCTCTTAGATGTAAGTCTAATCTAGTTTTGAACTTTTTATTTTTGTCTCTAATCACCACCACAAAGTAATACTATATTAATTATTATGATTAATTATTTTTTATAATATATTATTTAATACAATATTGCTGTTCATAAGCAACGTAGTATTTTGAAACATTCTAAAACTTACAGAACAGAACAGAAAACATTTTGATTTCTAACATTAATTTACTTTAATTTAACTTTGTTTATCCTCTAATAATTTTTAAACAGGTCCATGTTTTAACTTTAATTCAACTCTAGGCAGGCAATTATGAGCTATTTTGGAAGCTATAGATGATTTCTGATTTTATGGCATATTCTTAAACTATAGCTTTCTATCCCTTTTATTTTTACATATTCATTATTATTTTCATCTTAGGTTTAACTGTTTCTATGTAAAAGTATAGTGGTAAAGAGTGTCAGTAAATGTAGTCAAAAGGCACTGGTCTGATATGTCAGCCAGTAAGAGGGATCGTGAGAAAGGTAGAGTACATACTATGTTTTCTATTATTTTTTCACATGGACAATTTAGTTCATTATTTACATTGATATATTATAATTTAACAAAATATTATCTCATTAAAGGCAACTTACATAAATTTCTTCTGTCATGTATGTACCAATGTCACTATTGGCAACATTTTTAAATACTTTTTATATAATTTTTTTTTTACTTGTTTAACAATTTTTTTTTATTATTACTCAATTGACAAATTTAGGGCTAATTAAATCTTATCCTATTTACAACATTATTGTCAACATTTCATATTTCAATGGTAACAAATTGTCAAATTGAATTATAAAGAAACAGTCACATTATGTTACTTACAGTATAAGTGCAAGATATTGTTGGTCTTCTTAATTTTTCTTTAATGGCATCACAAGGTGATATGGTGTCAAATCTAAATCTAGTAATAGTTGTATCAATATTTTCTCTAAGGTAAACTAAAGCAACAGGACATAATTTGGCTGCAACCACTTTTCCAAATTTGGAACATTTAGCTTTTTTAACTTTATTTTTCAAGACATATGACAGATCTGTAGTACAAGGTAGCAATGGTTCTGGAGTCTTAGTTTTTTCAGGTTCTTTATCACAGTCTGTAAATTTTAACTCAAAAAGGGATTCAAAGGAACTGCTACTGCTCAAAATATCTTGAGAATGACACATGGGTTCAGGATGGTATGAAGTTTGTAAAGCCTTCATTAAATCGATGACAGAGTTTTTTTCATCCTCAATTTTAAGTTTTTTCAATTCTTCTTCCAATTTTTGTTTCTTTTCTTCTTCTTGCTTTTTTTCTTTAGCTTTAAGCATATTTGCAACTTGTTCAGCTAAAACATTTGTTATTGGGCTTTCACCAGAATTGAGAGTTGGTATTGGTAGTCTTTGAGTAGGGGGCTGTGATAGCCATGTTTCGGAAAGACTACCAGTCCGCAATCCATTTAGAGATGGTATTTGTATTTCATTATGCGAACCAACACTATTACTTTCGTTAACACTTGTTTTTGATAAGTGACTATCTACCAACGCAAATAATGATGAATATGCCTTTGATTCATTCATCTTTTTTGGGTAGAAACTATAGCATTCACTCAGTTAAAATAATGATTTATGAAGAATATTAAGGTACAGTATGTTTTATAACATAAATTCTTGATTCCAATAAACAGTATTGCTTGTTTCTTTATTTCCAAAATTAGTTAAAAACAAACAAAGAGACACAGAGTGACACATGACAATTATAGTCTCTATTGATATATTCTATAACATGGCAGATTATATATAGTACACAGAGAGCAAAATTATTAAAAATACAAACAATCTGGTTACTGGTAATTTTGTGCTACTAATATATCTAATTTAAGGGGAAAAAGGAGGAAATGTTTAAATGCACAAAATAAAATAAGATTTTATATTTTAAAATTATGGAGTGCTAAAAAATAAGGAGCTAAATAAAATTTATGACAAACCAATATATATTTTTTGAAAATATGTGGTCATTATTATGCTTAAATTAAATTATTTTGCAGTTTTCAACAAATACTTTAATGATATGTTTAGAGATTTGAGAATTCATTTATGTGTTAGTTCCATAAGACGAGTTCGACATAAAATTGACAATTGACAAGATTCGAGGGCGCAACTCGAATAGGTAGGCATTTAAAGTATAACACAATTGGCATTTCGCGATAGGTCCCTCTCTAATGTGACTAGCTTTATCTGTTATTAGTTTTTTCTTATTATTTTACATTAACATACTTTTATTTTGTAAATAATATTTTCCAAAAATTACTTCATCATTAAGCTGATATGCAATTGTGTGATATTATAAGAGATTACAAAACATATTGCGCTCGCGATGCCAGGCGCAAAATATGAACAGCTGTCTTTGAATGCCGACGCCGATGAAGATGTTCTATCGAATAAAACTAAGGCAAAATGGTCTGACGTGTGTTTCCAAAAAAGTCTTCTATCTCTAGGATTAATACTTCTATATTTTTCTCTGTCTATTGGATTGACCTTCTATCAGAGATGGCTTTTAAAGGTTTGTATACTTTACTACATTGTTCATTTTAAATATTTAGTTACGTAAACAAATATATAAGTAAACATTCCTTATAATTATATTTATCATTTATCATCACTAGGACATTAGTAAAATTATATTGAAGTGCCTATGTCTATACTTTTTAATCTTAAACACACCAATTTTATTCAACTATTCTATATTCTATAAAAACCAAACTATCTCATGTAATAGAAAACCATGTTAATAATATGTAATCATTAACCATACAAATAGACATCTAGTGCCTATGTAAACCTGTATATTTTGATGAATTTCACTTGTTAATATCATATCATTAACATAGAAAACTTACATACAGGTATAATAAAGATTACAATAAATTGTGGGAAATGTTGTCTGCCAATATTATCTCAAAACTAATTTAGATTTTCTTATAAAACAATTGATTGTAAAAATGAAAAGAGATTGTCTTAATTTTAATTAATATCAGATTTTTTTATTACCTCAAATTTTTTTTTTTGGTCTGATGCTAATCACTGGACCTGTGTTAAAGGTACCTTAATTATTTTTAAATACAAAATATATTTTTCCTTTATGTTCTAAAATGTAGGTTTTCAATGTCAAATATTTTAGGCTTCTATATTAAGATTTATGTATTGTTAGGCTTGGATATTGTATATATAATAGATTGATTTGTTTAAAATAAAAGATTATCTGAGGCTCAAGAAATAATATCAAGGAACATTCTTATTTCAGGACTTTCACTATCCTTTGACTGTGGTGATGTACCACCTAATTGTCAAATGGGTGCTCTCAGTTTTAGTCAGGGTGATAATGCGCTTGATAACTGGTATTCCTCAACTCTTGTTGCCATTTATGACCTGTTTGAAATCAGTTGGCCCTACGGGTTTGGCTAGCGGCATAGATGTTGGATTCTCAAATTGGGGGCTTGAACTTGTAACCATATCTCTGTACACCATGACTAAATCAACTACTATCATATTTATTCTTGGATTTGCTATACTTCTGGGATTAGAAAAGAAGGTATGTTATATCTATTATATATATTTTATACATGTTTTATAGATGATTGATACCAGAAACACAATTCTATCATCAACAAACAATAAAAGAAATTGCTTTGCTACAATAGAGTAATTACCAATGAAAATAGTTTATACCACTATAAACAATCTTCAATAATGACGTAATTATACACTTACAACTATTCAAGAATATGACCTTGAATATATAACAATTGTTATTTTATTGTTAGCTTTCTTTTTCATATCTAGCTTTTTTAAAAAAATATGGTTAATTGAGCATAACATTTTTTCCTTAAAATGCACTGTAAATTGAAGCTACAAGGTCGTTTTGAGGTGTTTTATGATAGATAACAAAAGAATTGTAATTTATTTTTTTGGTTATGTTAGAATTTTAATACAGTGATAATATATGTGTGATTTTATATGTGTGTAACTATATTATTTATACATAAATGTGTTGCTAAGTGCGAATTTGTTATTTAATTATGGTACCAAATTCTAGTTGAACAGATGTTTAATCAAGCATGCAATATGATTTGCATATGACACAACATTCATGCAAATTCATGTTAAAGTTTTGTTATCTGAGGCGAACAATTTTTCATAGTCATTGAACATCTTACTAAGAGTTGTTTATAAAATAGAAATCAATGAGACTTTATGTCAAGGTCCACTTGATATTACAGAATATTTTATGCTTAGCTGTGATTTTTAGCAATGAATCAATACCTAATATTTTACTTGAAAAGAATGTTTTTCAATAATTGTGGATTTTGATTTACATTCAGTTGTATTTCTGTTATATAATTTGTTTGCCTGCCATTTCATTTATTGACAATATTTTTTGTGATTGTAAATATTAATGATAATTCTATCAACACCATGTCATAATTTTTGATAATAATTATAACAACATTATCATTATGTCATTTTAATATTTAGCAACAGTAACCATTATATTTGTACATTATATATAGTTAATAAAGTTAAGAGTGGTTTTTATCAACAATTTTTCCTTATTATGATAACAGTAAAATATATAATCTCTATAATTTTAATGCCATAAACAAGGATTATTCATATATAGATATATATTTCGTTTATGTATTTGTGATAATGGACTATGCGAAATAATTAAAAAAAAAAATTTAATTTAGTGATTTTGTTATGAAAAGTTTTAGAATTAATTTTTGAAGGTGTTTTTTAAAAAAATATTTTGATTTTAGTCATGGTCATTAGTCGGCATTGTCCTGATGATAGCAGCTGGTCTGATTATGTTCACATATAAAGCAACCCAGTTCAATTTGTTGGGTTTTAATTTCCTACTTTTGGCTTCATTTGCTGCTGGGCTAAGATGGACCTTTGCTCAGTTGTTAATGCAGAAATCAAAACTTGGACTCCACAACCCTGTGGATATGGTTTTCCATGTTCAACCCTGGATGTTCCTGTCCTTACTTCCATTTACTATTATGTTTGAAGGTATGTTGTACTATTAGCTTAAATTATATGTAATCCTAAACCCCCAAAACGTAAATACTCAATTACACATTTTCAAACTTTGATTGGGATAAGATATTTAGGTACAGAAATTGACACACCTTACAGATTCCATGATAATCAGGTTTTCAGAATTTTGATTGAAGGCAGGACACTTACAGTATTGGATATTTATTTGTAAATAAACTGTTAGGTCGGAATGTAGGTCATCGCGATGCGTAGGAGAAATCTACTATTAAAAAGTACTGGTTATTGTTACTGCTTTTGACAAAATAAACTCCTTAATTTGGCAATGACCTATTTTAAAAATATATGGTATATTTATAATCGATTTCTAATAATTACCTTATCGAATGATAGATTTCATTGAAGAAGTATGTTAAAAAGTTTCTTTTCATTGTTCTTTAAGCTTTTCAAACACATAATTTTATCTAGATTCAAAAGTATATTTCAAAAAAGTTTTTATCGATAACTAAGTTCTTTCGAGGATTATTTGTGAATCTCTTTCTGTGAGAATCTTTTGATTCCTTAAGACCTCAGTTTTAAGTGAAATATACATTTTATTTCAAATTCATATTTATACATAAATATGTATAATGTTCCAGGTATGAACTGCCTTCAGTACATGTACGAGTTGCCACCATCGCAACTGTTGCCATCTGTGCTAAAAGTGTCTGTGGGAGCCACTATCGCTTTCGCCATGGAGATCAGCGAATTCCTCGTGGTCACCTACACGTCTAGTCTTACTTTGTCTATAGCTGGAATATTTAAGGTACAGTTTTTATTAATAGGATGGTTGCCTTTCCCACTATCGAAAGACACACAACACAAAAAAAAGAACTTATAACTCAAAAAATAATAGAATAGGCTATGTTTAACTAACTGTGATATTCATATCTAATATTTCATAGATTATTTGTATGCTGGATGAATGATAAAGGAGATCATTCAGGCTTCATACATTTTTGGGCCTTTTTTGAAAGTGCCGGCCAACAAAAAAAAATGGTACTTATTTGTAGAACTAACCATTTGGAACAATAGTTAATATGGCGCAAAAGTTGTAGGATCCAAGATATAGAAGTTATACAAGTTTCAAGATTCATCATTTTGGTACATTTATTTTTTTCTGAAAGTGCCAAGAAACATAAAATAATGATTGATATTGCTAGAGTTAAGCTTCTCAAGCAAATCATTATAGCCATAATCTGTTAGAAACCTGTCGTTTTTATGTAATACTAGCGAACCCGACAGACGTTGTTCCGCCAAGTATCTGAACGCATGCAACACATTTCTTGATGATTTTATTATTTGTCTAAACTAATATGTATATCGGGGTGCCATTTTTATATATTAAAAAAAAGGGCCTAGAAGCACTTTTAACCGATTTTGTACCATTTCGGGTTGGATTTGATCATATGACGCGAGAGCAAGTGGCGCAGAGGTACCTCATAGTGCCAGAGCGATTATTTGGTAATCCTGATAGTCCGCTTGAAGAAACAAAGACCATCTCTATACTTGATGGCACTTACATATTTTTACAGAAGAGCACTAATTACTTTTTTCAAAGAAAATCTTATAGCAACCATAAGTTTCGAAATCTTTTAAAGCCTTTTTTAAATACATTTGTTGCAATGGAACCATAATAGCGGTAGATGGACCATACGCTGCAACAACCTTCGATGCCCAGATTTTAAATGATGCACTGAATAATGTGGATGGTGTATTTCACTGGTTTTACCGGCCTGGTGACATTTTTATATTAGACCGTGGTTTTAGAGATGCTATAGAAAATCTGGAGTCATGCGGTTATGTGGTACATGTACATGCTCTGCGCCACTTGCTCTCGCGTCATACGATCAAATCCGACCCGAAATGGTACAAAATCAGTTAAAAGTGCTTCTAGGCCCATTTTTTTAATATATAAAAATGGCACCCCGATATACATATTAGTTTAGACAAATAATAAAATCATCAAGAAATGTGTTGCATGCGTTCAGATACTTGGCGGAACAACGTCTGTCGGATTCGCTAGTATAACATAAAAACGACAGGTTTCTAACAGATTATGGCTATAATGATTTGCTTGAGAAGCTTAACTCTAGCAATATCAATCATTATTTTATGTTTCTTGGCACTTTCAGAAAAAAATAAATGTACCAAAATGATGAATCTTGAAACTTGTATAACTTCTATATCTTGGATCCTACAACTTTTGCGCCATATTAACTATTGTTCCAAATGGTTAGTTCTACAAATATGTACCATTTTTTTTTGTTGGCCGGCACTTTTAAAAAAGGCCCAAAAAGAATGATCTCCTTTAATTTAAATTTACACATTCAGACAGTATTTATTCGCTATGGTTAAATTTAACTAGAATAAGAGACTTGATATATTATTTAGACAAGCATAATAAATACTTTTAATAAATACATATGTTGAATTTCAGGAAATGTGCATTCTAGTCCTCGCAGTTGAAGTGAGTGGAGACCTCCTTAGTCCCATAAATGTTGTTGGGCTGGCTTTGTGTTTGCTGGGTATAAGCGGCCACATAATACACAAAATATTGGTTATTAAATCGGTAACCGGTTCGGTGCGAGCCATTCACTACAATAATATGAGAAGTCGGCTTGCAAAGTCCAAAGAAGACCACGGCGAACCTCTACTAGTAGATGATAGCAAATGGCAGAATGTTCCAAGCGAAGAAAGTGACATAGACTCCAATGTTGTCATATATGAAGTACTACAGAGAAGGGATGGTAGATAGAATAATGTCAAGTTTTTCACTTATTTGTACAACTACGATTTATATATCTTATAAGAGAATATATTTTCTCTAAAGGGACACATGATATAACATAATGCATTTCAACAGCATCATTAATCCTGTTTACATATCAAATAGAAAAATGTATTTTTATACAAAACTTTGATGCATATTAAAAATATTTCAATTTCAACAATTTAAAATGTGAATTTTTTAAATAAAATATGATAAATCAATTTGATATCCAAGCGCCTTATAACGATTGACAAGTGATATATTTTATACATAATATTGTTATACAGATGATACATTTAAATTATAATATATTGATGTTCAATGATCAGGATTTAAACATTTGATGATCTTCATTTGGTATTAAGAAGTGCTGAGTCTTGTTAGTCAAATTATGTATAACTACCCTTCCACATTAAACCTAACTGGTTAAATTTATCACATATATGGAACTTTAAACTATCCCAAAATGTTGTTAATTTAGGTAAGATGTTTTTTTTTTGTTAAAAGTTATTTGTTTTACATTCCATATATATTGAAGTATTTTTTAAATTATTCTAATTTATAACTAGTGTGAATATATTCTACTTTCGATAGCAAAATAATTCACATAGATTAAGTTTTATTTTGAGAATAGTTACTTTATAGAATGTTATTATATTTATTGTAGAACCGGAATTTAGTCAATGGTTTCATGAATTGAAGAATTTCCAATTGAATTTACCAAATATATATGTCACTTATGGCCTGAGAATGAACGGAATTGATTTCATGTAAAATATTATGTAATATCACATTTTACATGAGTCCTGCATCAACAATTATATGTGATAGTTAATTTTCATCTCTGCAATTATCTCGCCTTAGATGTTATAAAATTTTTAAACTTTTACAGTTTTATATAGCGAATGTTTAAAAATGCATTGCTTTTTGTAATCTTAGAATATAATATAGGATAATCTATTAAGTGTCTGTCTGGAAAGTACATTTCACACATAACATAAGGTCTTATAATCACATTTTAGTGTAATTTATGATAATTATTTTTATTAATTTGTATGAATCACAGCTGTTTGAGTACATTTTGAGACGCAAGTAGCTTTTTTCGTTAACAGCCTTTTAATTTTATTTTAAGCTGTTATTGAAGTACAGTTATTTTAACTATACCTATATAATTTCTGTGAGCATAAAATAGATTTAATTTGTTTTAATGAACTAGCAGTAATATAGTTATTTAATTTTCTAGGTAGACTAAGTTATGCTATGTGTTGAAATGACCAAAAAAATATATAAATAATCGCCTTACTTGTCACTTTTAATTAAACTATAGGACCAATAAAAATTCATATATTAAGATTGAAGTTTTTTAACGGGATTTAAACTAAAATAAGTGTAAAGACAAGAATTGAGATTGTTACAGCCTTTGGATTTGCTTTGCAGTGATCCTTTCTTCCTCCACTTGGAGACAGTGATTTTGCTTTTCAATATAGTTTTTGTATTTATTTAAATGTGTCTTTAAAAACGTTGATGATAATGCATTTACAGTAAAACCACTGAAGACTAGAAATTGCATCGACTAAAAGTTGAATACCTAGTTAGTTGCTAGTTTAAAGCTACAGAGGATTTAAAACTTTATAACTATTTAGCTGGGCTGTCGACGATAGTCGATAACAAACATTGCAGGTTTGGGATAATATTCATTTTGTTTTTTTTTTAATACGTGCACATTGTATGTAACTTTATAAACTATAGCTATGTGCAAAAAGCTGCCAAATTACTGCTTATGATTTTTGAACTAAAAAAAAGCACAAAAATTCAGTGTTCATAAATGTGCGTTCGCATAAATATTACAACTTATATAGTAAAGATAATATGAGTTATAACGACAACGGAAAATTATGCAGAATTGATTATGTAGTACCGATCATTGTTGGTTGTATACTGTTTCATAAATATAATATTTTTATACATAAAGTATATTAATGTTGTATAACTGTTTTATACATTAATTTTCTATAAGATACAATTTACGCTGTAAGATACGAACGATGATCGCCATTACATAAAAATGATGACGTAGCATTATTGATATTTAGAATATAATAAACGAAAAAGTTCTAAATCCTTATTTACCTTAAACAAAACTGATCTCAGATCTTATCAAAAGCGTTGCTACTTATATATTTAAAGGTAAAGCTTAATCATGTATATTACGTTAAGAAATAAGTATGGCTATGTTAATATTTCATGTTGCATTTTTGTTACTGTATTTAATATTTAGTTTTATGTTATTAAAAATAAATTTTTAAAATATAATAAAAATTGATTGAGTTTTTAGGTTTCCAAAAGTAAAATTATTAAATTAATTATTCTTGTTTACTACCACTTTATGTAATATATGTTTTTTTAAGCATCAGTCTTAATAAAATGCCTAAGAAATATTTTTAAATTAATATACGACATATATTTGAAGTGACGAACAATTATTTTATAACTTATAGCTTGGTCGGTTAAATTAATTAAAGTTATTGTGGAATTTTTCGCAACTAATAATTTTACAAACTAAATTATTTATCTTTTCCTGTATTTTTTTAAGTATCTACTTTAAATGTTGTATTTTATCTAGATGTATGTTTATTATTATACCTTTTAATTTTTAAGAATTATTAAAAACGTACACAATTATTCTTGAAATTTGGTTTGAAAACAACCCATTGCGTGTCGAGTATCAGTCTTTTATAAGTTGTGGTAGTTAACTATGAACGTAAATTTAAGAAAATAGCGATGTCGTTAGTTTTCGTCCCAATTGACCACCGCTTTATGATGATACGTAGAGTTTTCGTTTAATTTGAAAGCTTTCCTACTAATTCTTTGTCTAAGAGATTCCAGAATAATCATCCAGAGTTATGGAGGACGTCTTGAGGAAAAATGTAGTATTAATTTCTATACACTCTTTAAAAGCAGCTTTTTGGTTGGCTATTTTATGTTTATTAAACATCCTATACCAAAGAAATATTTTTCAGCAAGGTCTTACAATTGAAATGTTTTGATAAAAATTTCGAAGAGCGAACAACACGTGTCAAATATGTATTTTAATTTAATAATACAATATTTCAACAGTTGTTAGTTAAGAGGGAAAATTAATTAACATTTTCAATAAATTGAAGATGTACCCAGAGGGATTTACAGAAAAAAATCTGTTTTTTATTTTAATGTAATTTGACTGGGGACCTCATTTTATAAGGGTTATTATATTTATTTTTTATAAGGGTTTCTGTATAGTTTCAGTTTTTTTCTAATGGTAGGGAGGATATTATAATTTTTATGAAAACATTTAATTTGCGTCACAAAGTGTTACAAGGAAAATATATGTACACGTCAAGCTGCTGTCTTTTTTAATCAGGCTTTTTTTAACACAAACTATCTCGCAAGATATACTATATAAATCAAACTTTCATTGAACTGAATTCAAAGCTCAATTCAGATGGAGTTTGAGGCACTAGTTGTCCGCTCAGTCTAAACAATTTGCCATTAATAGATGTGGCAGCCTCCATCCGCCTTAAAAACATATTTTTACAGCTAGCATGCAAAGTTTTTTCCGTTAAAGTCTTATTAGATTCGGAATCTAAAGAATTGATAATAGAATCTGCGTCGCTATCTAAATTAAATACGTTAGTCTGAGATTCTTCCCTCCACAACTTTTGTAAATTCAAAGCCATCAGTTCGAGTTGGACTTGAGATAGTTCTCTTATTATATCTATTTGTATAGTCATATCGTTGTCACATGTTTTGAGTAAAGAATTTAATGTTTCTAGAATGTCTGCTCTTCTTTTTTGTATGCTATATTGGTTGTCAATATTCTTCTCAAAGAAAGCCAAGTGTTCATACAATTCAGCTTGTTGTAGCGAGCAAGATATGTATTGAGCTGAATGGTGTTCAAAATCATAATAGTGTTTAGCTCGCATCAACCACTTATGCGTAAACGTAAAAAGTTTTCTTGCATCTTCTACTGTACGGATAATATCTACCGGAACTCGGCTTTCCATTTCTTTTAAATCTAAAGAGGGAAAATTGTAGACGTTCTCAGTTGTAAAATCGCCTTTGCCCCCCTTCTCCGCTCCATGATCTTTAGAATTTTCCTCGTCGATCTTTTCTGGATTTTCTAGAACTTCGCTTAAAACGTCTAAAGGTCTCCATAAATCAGGTCCAGAACTGGGCTGTGAAAAATACCGTGTCAAGATTGTTTTCCGAGATAACTTATAGAGTGTTAATCCATACTTGACCCAATGGTGACTCAATTCGAGAAAATGCATTTCGAAGTCAGCTTTTTGTAAAACAAATTCCTCTGGCATAAGTTTACAATTATCGTGACAGGTTTTTAAGATATGATATGCTGCGCAAAGATGATGTCTGGCGTTTCCGATTTGGTTGAGGTAAGTGAAATAGTTACCTAGTCTAGAGGTTCGTAATGCCCAATCTTGAGGAGTGCCTTCCTTCATTTCAAGTTGTCTTCTTAATGCTGTATGATTATACAAAGCATATTTTTGTGGCATATTCAATTTGTTATACAAAAAGGCTAACATCTGTACGTTATTAGTAATCACTTTATCAATTTTCTCTGGATTTAATCGCTTAATATTCTCTATGGGTTCGGATGTAAACAAATCTTCAGCATCTAAATACATTTCTGCTTTTGATTTACTTATCTTGTCATACAGTTCTTCCATATTCTCTAGTATGTCCCTTGCTACGTTTATCTCATTAAGTTGCAACAAATAATAACAGAGTAAGTTTTGGATTCTTAGAAATATGAAAAGGCATTCCTCACGCAATGAAAATTGCTTTATTTTGTCAAATGCCACTGTCAGGATGTTCTTTTTCTCTAAAAGGGATATTGGTAATGTTTTTGCAGAAAGTAAAGCTAAGTAACCTTCCATGGCAATGGATCTAATGTACTGATCAGGGTTTTCTTTACCAAGCACGAGCAGTTCCGTCTGGAGGAATAGAATATCCTTCTTTAAGTTTTGTAGACGGTTTGCAGAACTCTTTTCTCTTATAGTGCTTTTAACATTTTCAAAAGTATTACTTATTACATTTAAAGTATTCATAGTAAAACACGACGAATTTCTCTTGAAATACAAATTTAATGTCACAACAATTTTATTCTTTAACCCAATGTGATTTTCTGTATTTAAATATTTTAATCAATGTTTTATATTCTAGAGACTGTAATGAAATAAAAAGTATTAATATAATTAAATTTTACTTTAGGGCTCTTATCTGTTTAACATTTATTTCTATAATAATGGTCTAAAGAAGGACAGAAAATAGTAATTTAATTATAGGTATTTCATTACCTTCTTAATCTATATTTATATACCTGTCTTTTGAACGTAAGACTATGTAAGTATTATTATCTGGATTTTATAACATTTTAGACATAGTAATTCAAACAGTTTACTTGTTAAGATATAAACCGTTACAGAAAAGTAGACTTAGTTTTACAATTGATATAACTACATAGTTTAAATTTTACATATTTATGATATTTTTTATTATACCGTTGAAAATCTTAATTAATTGCGAAGATGAATTTTTTAAACACACTTCCTATCTACCGATTAAAGTTTAAAAATTGTACTCGTAGAAAGTTGTGTTATTAATACTTGTGCCTACATCTCTTTCGAACAGGAAAGTCACGTGTTGTCACAACACGAAAAAGCTTTATGGCCTGTGGAGTACAATGAAACGTTCGTGACCAATAAAAAAGTACAATCTAGATAATGAATTTTGAAAGTATTCAGAGTTATATATTACTAGGATCTCGTAGATAGATTATGTCCATTTGTCATGTTATTGCTTTTATTATATAAATGCTTTTATGTAAATGTATATTTATAAAAAAGGGCCACGCATGTATGAGCCTATTCAACTTTTCTGAGCGTAATATTTTACCATTTAAGAAATAAAATTTAATGACACATGCTAATTGTTACATAAACTTGAGACTTTATCTGTCCATGGCTTCTATGTGAATTCGATTCGTCTAAATAAATTTGAGAATCCACCGCAGTTCAAAGGTTCTTCCAAAGCATTTGCTGCATCCTTGGAGCTTAGTCGGTCCACGGCATTCCAAATGGGCTTAAAACCGTAATTTATTTAATTATTTTATAAAATAAGTAAAAAAAAGTCAATAGAATCGGCTCAATAATCTATTGATATACTGGTAATAAAGTATGTACTAAGTAAAAAAAAGTCAATAGAATCGGCTCAATAATCTATTGATATACTGGTAATAAAGTATGTACTATGTAATAAGCATATACTTAAACCTGAAAATGACTCTAAAGGTTCTAAACAAAAAATAATACCTATATTCAATACTCTAAATATGTAAATAAATCGTATGGAACGACCCGTAAGTATCGCTTATTTAATTCTCTGTAGGCGCCTATTTATATGAAACAAACGGCGAATAGACATTTATTTCTTAATTGACTTAGAAGTACTTATAATTGTTTCATTATTTCAAATAAAAAAAATAAAATACTTACATATACGTGCCTATAACAAAGTTACTTCAAATATATAAGTTAATATTTTTTCTTATTGGTTTATATAATTCTTGAAACGAATTATTTGCTTTTGAACTGTAAGGTAAATGTGAATATTTAAAATTATATTTAAATCATTGTTTCTCGTTCATCGAATTACAACAAATTATGAGAATTGTGTTTATAAAGTCAGGTCCTTGTTAATTTGGAACATGATTTTTTTTAAATATTATACACCTATATATGATTTATTAAGAAGCATACGTTAGAAGTAATTTAATTTAGAAATTGTTTAAAAGACGTGTGTTTAAAAAACTATTGCTCTTAAGAGCGTAAGTAATGTTTGATTTGTATTCACGAGATATTTCACTTAAAGGAAACATCATAAACATACTAAAAGCATTACCATGTATCATGTCGTAAATACTAAGTAAATAATTGTAAAATAAAATAAAATGTCTTATCCTAAAAGTAAGTTTCACTTTATATGTTGGCAAAGAATGAAACGATAGAAAATAGTTTTCCACGTTTACTTTAATGCATTAGCAACTTTTCCAATAAGAACTAGTTTTTTTCCACTCACAGTTATTGGTCTAGCCGCACTAGTTTTACCAATTCAACGTCAGTAGCGAGGAGAGTACAATGTAGCGAGCGGTTAACTAGTACTTGGTTGCACGGCCGACGGCGGGCGGCGGGCACGTACGTCGTACGTCTCATTGCCGTTTATCAACGCCACATAGCGCATGCGCATTCCCGTGTCGAGTCTCGCACCGAGAGAACTGCGTCCGCAACCTCTTCGGAAATCAATTAGACCCTTGCCCTTACCCATAACCCATGTAAGTATTATTTGGTATAAACATAATATGTAATTATTTTTATATGTCATTAATAACATTCGTATGATTGTTGTTCTCTTTAACAAATTTGTTTTGTTGCTATTTTATACATTGTTTTATACCAAAATTTGTAAAAAAAATATTTGTGAATATTTTTATATGTTAAAGCTGATTTAAAACTCTACTCACCGGGATGGTTGTCTAGGTCGTGGAATTAGTTTTAAAAATGTAGAAAGTAATATAAATCAACACATCATTATTTGTACTAATATTTATAAATTATAATGAAAGTTGAATTAAAAATTAACATACGTATCAGATAATTTTTCAATTAAATATACGTATTCCGTTACGCACAATCAATTAGTGTCGAAACTTATGTAGGTATTATTTGACTCTGAATCAGCAAAAACGGATTCAAGCTAGGATGTCACACATCTTGTGTAAGGTGTTTGCATAACATTCATTTCGAAACGTGCATATAGAATAACCGTTGAGAATTCATTTCCGATGTCCCGCAATCTTTATCATTAAACAATGCTTTTCTTCTAAGGAATTCCTTTTGAAATGGCTTCATTATTATCTACACTTTCGTATTGTACATACAAATAATGTTAAAAACATCTCCGTATAATAATTTTGTTTCAACGTCTATTCGTGAGAATCTATGATTATTCAATTCGTTATTTATAATAAATACTTAATAACAGTTTATGGATAACTACAAACATGGTAAAAATTATTAAGAAATATTTAAAATTATACCTATTATTAAGTACCTCATTATAAAAATAAAGTTATTGGATCAAAACAGTTATGTTTGATTAAATTTTTCATTTCAACCCGATTAATATTTAAAATTATTCATTTAAAACCTTATAAATATTCAATTTTTTAACCAACTATATATATGTCATGTCGCTATATAAGTATTTTTCGTTTCGGATTTGTTCAAAGATATCGTAAGAAATTAAAATATTAGTACCATACAACATATGAATGGTACGACAATGCAGGTTCATATTATTAAGTATTTAGGTCATAACCTATTTAAAAAGTAAATACATTCTGTTCCATTTCTTAGTGTGAAAAGGGAAAAAAGTCTATAAAAACCTTTATTATAAGATTAAAGTACCGTACTTGTCCTAACTTTCTTAAACAAGTTTAGTGGACAATAAATTACATTTTTTATGTTTAAAACGTGGGAAGGGAACTTTATAACTCTAAAACCCTTTTAACATATTACACTGACTGATAAAAGGTGTCTGCATCCGGCGTATCTTTGAGGCTTAGAATGATAAATGTAAATTTATTTTAAAAGCCCTTTCCAAATGCATATAGCATTATAAATGAAAATAAGTTATGTATATTATATGCATTGCAATCAGACCTGTGTGTGGATAAGACCTATTCATCCAAAATACAATTTTATTTAAATTAATTCAGTGCTGTTACTTAGTTTTAGACAGTTTTCGCATTTCGAATATTGATATATGCTTGCATAATTACCTTAACCGTAATACAACTTTTGGCGATAGTATTTAGATTTTATATTGTACGTTACTTTTACTTTTTTTATTCTCCGGATGTTTTACTGACATAAGAAATATAAAGATAAAATCTGCGTAATTTTTAGTATATTAAATTTCAATGTTTGCGGTAAGGCTTTATATTTCAATTGTGTTTAATGCTAATAAAGATGTAGTCTTTATTTACTTCCAAGGATCGTAAGTCAATATTAATTCTATACTAATACTTTACTGCGGCTTCATCTGCCTCTCGTCTGTTTTTATAAAGTTTAAAGATTAAATTATTAAAACGTAATTAACTATTAAAGAAAGTGAGGGACTAACAAATTTTAAGTTTTTTATATATACGTTGTTCTGAACCACTGTCTTGCTTAAAATTAAAAATAAATTATCCATAAATTTTACTCAAGGTTCATTTTTTTAAAGATATTTAACAGGCTTTGTTATTTTAGGGATTAAAGTCATTGGTGACTTATAATTTATGCTTTTCTGTACAAAAATACTGAATAAATATTAAACAATGTAAATAAAAGAGAAAACACGAAAAATACATAATGAGTGATATAACCTCACAATCTCTGTGGACAGTCTACTACCTTCCATATATGTACAGCTATTTGCTTCAACAGGGAAATGGTCTAAGTGATTAGAAGACGCGTGTTTTAAATAAATCTCTTTCCACAGTATGAAGTTTAGAAGTGAGGCAATTACGGACTATTATTGAATTATTCAATTAATGTATCAGTAAATATATCACATGTTAAAACTGCAATAATATATATTGATATAGAGACAAAAATCTTAACGTATGAGCCTTTCTACTTCTAACTTTTAATTTTATTATATCACAAGGTCTCTTTGAGAACATCTTTTTCATTGGTCATATTAATTAAGCCATCTTTACCTTCGCAATATGTAAGCAAAACCGCTCGTGCTTTTCACTTGACATGAGTTGACCTCGGCTGTGTCACCATAAGTTTGCACTTGAAAGCTGCCAACTGAATTAATTGATGGTGGCGAGTTTTAATTACTAAAATACTCACAATAAATAATTTATTTATAAATCATTATATTTTCTACGTTACGAATATTCAAGACTGCATCAAGCTAAAGCTAAATTGAAATACCAGTCTGGGTTTCTTACTTAATGTAAGAGATATTAAACCAGCGAATATAATTTAGCAACCACGTGCGTTCCCCAGTAACGTAATTGCAACGATTAAAACGTCAACCTTTTTAACACCAGTGGCAAGCCATTAAAATCACGCCTTATTAACGGAGAGGTAGCCTCATTAAAACTTTAGAGATGTGGCTGTATGGTTCAGGTATTTAAATACTTTTAAATTACTTGTTTTTTGATAAGTTATTTGTGTTTACATTATTTTTTTATTTGCTTATAATTTTATATTATAAGGACAAGAAAAAACAATGTTATGTTATAAATAAATTGTGTAGTTATACTATGGATGATAATCTAAATACACAATCAACTATGTTGTTTATTAAGGTGCTTATTTACATTCTTCTGGGCTCGTAAAACGTTCTCATAATTAAATTGCCTAAATAAGACATTATACACTTAAAACGCTCGATTTATTCCTCTTTAGGCGAAAAGTGGATAGAATAAATCACGGTCTCTTCGGATATTATGCTAAGCTCGTTTTACCCTACATATATTATCAATGCTGATTACCATTTACGTTAATATACTTCATGTTAGGGCTTCATAATAATTAATTGTAAAGATTTATCACAGCATGTATTATTTCAAATTTCTTGTTCATAAGGATTATGAAAAAAACAAGACGTTTGAATTGAATGATATATTAAAAAAATTAATGGATCTTAGAAAAAAAATTCAAATCCACTAGATACAGCTTATCATAGTAATAGTATTATATTTCGACCCCATTCTTAGACATTAAGTCTGATAAAATGTCATATTACTCGGTATTAGTTCCGGACTACCTGTTTTTAAAACGTAATCTTTAAATATAAAGGTATCTTAAATATAATGTTAACGGTTAAAGTCAAGAAATTTAGCTATCTACATCTACATATTTATTATGGCAGGGTGTGTTAACGTGTGTTTTTGGAGTTGGCCGGTGTCAATACGTCACCTTGTACGACCTTATTGTAGGTATGACTCACATCAAGTACCGCGACACACATATGACATTATGGTGCCTATCTTTCGTGATATTGAGACAGAAATAGCATTTTTTTTATAAAATATTTTTATATGTAGTATGCTTTGACGACATACAGAAATAAATCTAAAGAGTTAATGCAAATGATGTAACCATTTTACGAACAATAACCGCTCCTTTTTTTGTAAGCAGTAATAATTAACGTGTTACTCATTAAGAGTAATTCATCCGAATACTTTTCACTTAAAATTGTTTCGTAAATACATAGTTATTGCGTTCAAAATTTAAATAAACTTTTAAGGTATCGTATTATAACTCTAAGGTATTGTATTATAATTCTAACATCTAATAGAATATATTATTTAGAAAAAAGGAATTTCTGCTATTTGAAAGGAACTTTTTAAATAATGTTATATTCAAGGTAATTATTACCTAAAATTACTCAAAAATTCTTTATCCGTAGTACGTATATTAATAAGTACGTATAATTAACTGAATATATACCTAAACAAATTCCTATTTAAAAACTTCCAGCTATATTGTAAATGGATAAGAGAAGTTTTTCTAAATGTACATTTTCTATTATTTATTATAATATAAATTACTTATTTTCTTTACAGAAGACTGAATTCCTGTAATCAGAGACTGGAAAAGAAAAATCCTAAGCCAATTATTTATTTTTAAACCTATTTATTATTTTTATTTATATAGAAGAAGAATTTTTGCATTTACATATATATAATACCCAACATTTCAATGGCGAATGAGAATAATAAATGTATGTTAACATATTTGGAGATAGAAGAGCCTTTAGAAGACATAGTCACGGATGAATTTACACGTATTGTTTTCAAATGTAAAATAAGTGACAGTTCAGAAGAATGTGTGTCTTACAAATGGTACCATGATGGGAAATGTCTAGAACAATCTCGTAAACATACGATAAGTTGTAATGGAAAATGGCATCAACTTGAGATTACATCTATTAAAGCTTACGACCAGGGTGTTTATAGCATTATACTAAAAAGTAGTTCGCATGAAACGTATTGTAAAGCAAATTTGTATGTAAGGCCAATTAAAGATAGGTATTATAACAACAACAACGATGTTGTATACATGAACGTAATTCCTAAAATGATTGGTGTAGTCAGACACTTAAAATGTTCTAGGCTGTTAGTAGGCAGCACCATAGAGTTAGAAGCTGAATTTGATGAAGATTGTCTTGAAGACTACATTTGGTACAAGAGTAATAAACCGTTTATGCCGCATGATCGAACCATAATTTTAAATGATAAGAGATCGACTACATTGTCTATATTGCACGCAATGGAAACGGATAGTGGAATATATCACGTAGTATCAAAATCTGAATATGGTATAGCTTCCACTTATGCAAGCGTTACAGTCATAAATACCGACTTCAACGTTTTGAGTAGTAGTGAAGTTGTGCCAACTGTAGACGACCTACCGGATGAAATTGAAGTTAGTAAGGGAGAAGAGGTGAGAATTGTTTGCAAAGCGACTTGTGATATAAATACTCTAGTGTTTTGGTCAAAGGACGGATCAGATCTTGAGAATAATGATAAAGTGACTTCCGAATACATTAATAATAGCTGTATATGTCTTAGAATAAAAAGTGCAAATTCAGATGACAGTGGCGAATATACTGTTACTGTGCAAGATGATATTACAGGACATTTGGAAACATCGTCTTGCTTCTTAAACGTTATCAGTGAGTTTTAATATAGATAAAATAAATTACATTTTACACCTTTAATACATTTATGTCGCGTTATAAAAGTTCTTATGAAAATTTTTCTTTCTTTTTAGTGCGGCCTAACAGTATACTAAGACCTATAAAATTAAAATCATCACTCATTCCAACTATGGCCTGCTTTGGATCGAGTATAAGTTTCACGTGCAGTTTTGATATAGAGGATCCAAGGTTTCATTTTTCGGTATGGTACATCGGTAATTACAGGGTTGAACGTTCCAATCACCGGTTCCATGTAAGTATTTATAATAAGTATAAAAATTAACAATTAATTTCTCAAAATTTTGTGATGGTATGGACTTGTTTTTATTGCAAATAAAGAATTTAATTCAATGACTAAACTGATGATTTTTCAAAATCTAAAGTCATAAATGTTATTAATTCCTAACATTAAGTTATTGACAGTAATGAATACTCATTCACCATTCTTTGGTGGCTTTAAATTTTAATATTCTCTTCATAAAAAAAAGAAATCGTTATCTTGCACACTAAAAATACAAATACCCCTTCTTTAAATACTTAAATAAAATATTTGTATTAAATATACTTGCATTTATGAATAAAATTATATCTAAAATATGTGTCTGCAACCTTGGATAATTTTATAGTTACATATATATATTGGTATAATGTTTCAGGTGATGGTAAAGGGAGGAAATTTTATTTTTGTTGTTAAACAAGTTGAACCAGGAATGGAAGGTGAAGTGACTTGTGAAGTACGTAGAGTCTTACCTAACGGAAAATCATTTTTTATCGATAAGACAACCACAACACTAGTAATAGTCCCACAAGCAGTCATTGAGGAAGAAATTCAAAATGTCTGTATCAAAAGAAGCGTCTACTACTATGTCAGTTCCAAGATAGCCATCGTGTTAGTGAATTCTTTTAAAGGAATAAAAAATGGCAGTGGAATTATGCAAGACAACGTAAGCATTACTTTAATTTTATATTAATAGAAAAATAATTTTTATTTAGAGAGATATATCTCGTTTTTTTAGGTAGGATTTGCCTGCTATGCGAATATTTTGTGATTACAATGTGATTTTTATCTTATCGCAATCTATTCAATAATCATAATACATAATAGCGAAACAAATACATTGACTGCTTGCCATTATTACCTTATTGTTTATTGCCAAATATGCGTTAACGCGACCCAACCTTTGACAGAGATATCCATTCGTTGCATTTCGTATTTCAAAAACATTAGATTCGTCAAAAAAAATTGCGTTGCGAATACTTGATCACATACATTATTTTTAGTATAACAATATCCCGAACAATTTCAATATGTTGCTTATATAAATAAAAAAGCTACTAATAGACAACGATATAAAATATAATTAATTTCTAATGTTCCACATTTATTTATTAAATCTTATATTACAGTTTTCAGACGACGAAATTACACATGGATCTCATGACACAAATGGCAGTTTCATGATTACCTATTGCAGGTGATTACAATGCTAGGTGATTACTATAAGTTCAAATTTCAAAAAACGATATAACAGAACTTTATGGAATTTCATACACTATTTAATTTTATAGATTTTTTTATTACTTGCTAAGTAACAAATGTAAGGGGCTAAACATTTCATTAGATGTAACTTAACATGCACGATACAAAACTAAAGAGCCTAAGATGGAGTAATACTGTAACATTTTAAAAACCATAAGCGAAAAATAATAAATGAACTTGTTTTGTTTTGCTGTTATTATTTTTGTGGAATTATTTATTATGAAAAATAATGTATGTACTTGTTTTTTTCGACTAAAAAGATAATATTATTTTTTCAGTTTAGATGATGAAAGCTTTTATTTAGATGTCCGTAATAATGACAGAGAAATAGCCGTTGAGAAATTATATATATACAAAAGGTGTTTACAAAGTGATGAAGCTAACTCAAAGATATCTTCTAAAAGTGTTATAGTGATAGAATGGTAAGTATATTTCACAAATACTTATTTAATAATTAACAATTGCCGAGATACGTAAGTGAACAATATTATATTTATAAGGGACGTGGCAGAGTTTCAAAAAACGAACGAAAAGTGGTACATGATAGAAGTCGGTAAAAGCAATGATAATTTTGTGCAAGCTGGAGTATCAAGTAAGCCGATGTTTGAATTAGAAGATCCAGTTCAAGAGCAAATTATGACATTTCGGGTGTCCGCTGTGTCTGCTCCAAGCACGACAGACGAATCGACAGTTCGAATAGGTAAGATTTTCGTTACTTTATACAAGAATTAGTTTCTTCCTAGACACTTCGAGCCAGTTATTCTGCTAATCAAGGAAGAAGTAGTAGTTAGTTGACATGATTGTTTATTGTATAGTAATATAGGTAATTGTTTTATTTTATAAACTAGAAAACAGTAGAAGAATAGAACAATAGGAAGTTCGCTATTGATAATATAAAATTTGAGCTTATGAACGTAATTCTATCCGAATGTTGTCGCTTAATACGGCACTAAAATAATTTACATACCGATAAATTTACGTGGGACTTTTTTCACAAACATGTACTGGTTTTCCCGAACATGGAACAAAAGTGTCACAAAAACACGAAATTAAATACATTTTAGGGGCTACAATGGTATAAGAATCTCTTTTCTTGCATTATTTAAATTTCGTTTAGATATACAACTTTATATAAATTTATGGATAAATGGAGGGCTAAATCATAACGTAACAGTTAATATTAATACAAGTCTATTTTAGACATATTTTAATCCTTAGGTCATTTTCTTTTTATTTACTCTTCGAATATGATCCTGAAATTAAACTAGATATTAACGAGATGACTTTTAAGTTGCTAATATTGTTCACTTTATTTAGTGCCAGCGCCAAAAAATGCGCTATCAACAAGCAAGATTTGCGAGCTTCAAACAATGGAAGATTTCGAAAAGGCATATACTAAAACCGGTTCATTGATTGGCTGCGGTGCGTTTGGTAGCGTCGTTCTTGTTATAGGTACAGACGGAGAATATTATGCCGCAAAGGTGTTGAAAACAAGAACTCAGAAAAAGAGGGAACTTGGAATAAGAGAATATGAAATGATGAAGCAGTTAAGGCATCCCAAACTGATTCACCTTTTCGGCGCTTACATTTCCAAAGATTCCTTTGTACTTGTAATGGACTAGTAAGTATTTTAATATGTATTAAATTTAAGAAAAACTACAATTAGTGGATTCTTTTTCTATGTACTTCAATAGATGGAGCTTCTTCATAAATGTATATGGTTTTAGGAAAAAGAAAAAAGGAACCAAAATACATAAGGTCATTTTGATTCCCCGTTTTTGAGTCAAGGCTTTATGTCTTCTAAATGCATGAAGGTATCGAATTAAATAAGCACCATAATAATGTGGGTCTGTGTTCTCTTGAACCTGTACCTTGAAAAAAATGCACTTTTTATCTAATAATAGTCTGTTTGGCCAAAAATCTTGAAATTGCAACGCTATTTTTTAGCTCCATTATCTTTGTTTGTGAGCTTAGTTACGAAATTAAATTCTGTTAAAAAGTATTTTTTATACATTCATATGCTATGTATTCCACAATATAAGATAATTTTATAGAATTTGCGTATCCATGCATCAAAATATAATTTTTTAATTAGGCTAGGCAGTTTTAATTTGTCTAGTTGGCTTGAAAATTTTTAAATAAAAAAATACAGTAAAAATTATATTAGTTTCATGAAATTATTAATGATACTTCTTCAAAAGTTGTCATTAAAAATTACTGGAAAATTAAAAAAAGTATAAAGAGGTACTTAACCATATAGGCAAATTAACTTTAAGTAGGAAGTAAACAAAAAATAAGTTTATCTTCAGGATACTCGTGCAGATTTTAGAAGTTTTCTTTTACATTTACCGATGTGTAAATATCGTTACATAAATTATTATACTCACTTTAATTTACACACGCAAATCTGAAAGCAGGACATTTTTTTTAGACAATTATTATAAAATAATATATTTGGATTAAATTGCACTTAGTATTCATTTAATTTTCAAACAATTTAAATAATTTATCTTAAGAAGGAATATCATGTGTAATACATAATTTTTGTTGTTTTAAATTAATCACTGTTCTGTTGAGTTGAAATTTGACATGTATTTTTTCTTTTCGATATATTAATTATTATCAGTTCTTTACTGAAACATTTCAACAAACATAAATAACTATACATTTTTGAATTAGAAATATCGACTAAAAATGAATAGGTAATATATCAAAAAGATTTTTTTAGTTTTAGTTAACCTATTACAAAATCTTCTCATAGATACATAGTTTTTAATTAAACGATGGTTTTTGAATAGTACTACGCGTTTTCATTATTTTATGACTACATAATCTCGATGTTTCGGTTCCTTTGCAGCAGCCGTAATCACGAGCAGTCGAGATGGAAGTGTAAATTTTTCAGGAAACATTGGGATTATGTAGTCTTAAAATAACAACACGTAGTAATCATAAAATAATAAATTACTAACTGCCAAAAACTTAGATATCGTCAAATATATATTTATTTATTAAATTTAAAGCTTGCTAGTTTACTATTCTTCCCAACTACGCTTTATTGTGAAACACGTGGCTATTTTAATAATAATTTTGTTTTAAATGTTGTACTGCTTAGGGGACAAAACTGAATAAAAGTGATGTCTAACTTTAAATGTACATTATTAAAAGATTTTATTCGCTTTCAGTTTATGGGGTAATGAGTTATTTGACCGGATCGTGGATGAAGAACATATAAAAGAAGTGGACGTTGTTCCATACGTGCGTCAAATTTGTGAAGCTCTGCTTTATTTGCATGAACTAAAAATAGCGCATTTGGATTTGAAACCAGAAAATATAATTTGCTTAAGTCCTAACTCTCTACAAGTTAAAATCATAGATTTTGGCTTAGCTAGATATTTGGACGAAAGTCAACAAACCAGAGCTATATATGGCACTAGAGACTATGTAGCTCCAGAAGTATTAAATTTCGATCGACTGACCTTAGCATGTGACATGTGGAGTTTGGGTGTGGTTACATACATGCTGTAAGCAATAGAATGAGTTAAACAAATCCTAAAGCACTTTTTATTTTATTGTTTTATACTAAATTTTACTGCACTTACAGATTGTCGGGTGTTATGCCTTTTGTGGGTGAAAATTGGGCACAGCGGTCGGCAAACATCACCAGGGCTAAATATAATTACCATGAGTCAGCATTTAAGGAAATATCAGATTTGGCAAAAGATTTTGTTGATCATCTACTTCTTTTAAAACCGGAATATCGAATGACTGCATCCCAAGCATTAAATCATAGATGGGTAAAGGAAGGTCCACCTTGTGGTGCTAAAGCGGGTCATATGAAACGAACTAGAGAAAATCTGAAGTCCTACCTAGCAAACTATAGAGCTAGGTGGCAGGTTTGTAACGAATTTCAAATGTGTTATTGTTATCTTAAGAATGAAAATAGACATTAATCGTTATTTCATTAATAGAGGGCTGGAAACGTCTTGATTGCGGCCCATCGTCTACGCACGCATCGCTCTACGAACGAACCAGGGGCGCCTACGGTCACTTAATTAGTTAATCACCAATGTGTTTTATTTAAGCGGGTTATGATCAATTAAAATATATCTAACAAAAAAAATATGGCAATATCAATAAAAACGACTGGAGATACATATGAAACCTAAATGTACGTTTGTTTATGAACCGAAAATTAATATTTATTCTCGTTTTATTATAATGGATCTCTGAGCGCAAAGTATTACACATTTTATTTAAGGGTTCATAGGTTTAAAGTATTGTATTATATCAGTAATTTATTAGACTAAATATATGTATTCGACTCTTACCATTGCCTAAATTAAAAAGAACAACTTTTTATAAGAACAAATGGACGCCAGCAATAAAGCATAGCTATAAATATCACAACAAATCGCTTTGACAGAATAAGTAAAATCGCGTTATTCCTTGTTTGATCACTAATATTCCTAATTTATAATTCGATTCAGTAATAAAATTTGAGAAATGTTGTAGTACTTCAAATATTTCAGCAAAGTAATGTTAATAATAAAACATAAAGCCATTAGTAATTTATTTATTGTTTAATGACATCAAATCTTTAAAATAAATTTAAAATCTTAATAAGACGAGCTAAGAAAACAAAAATCACACTTGCTGCACAATTCGAAGTGTCCCGTTACTTTGGGAATATTTGACATACATCTAAACTAAAAAAACCGAATACTTAACCAAACAATTAAACATTCATATTGGCAAATTCAGGTGTTACATTGATAAATAAGTTTTATAAAACAAAAAAACAGTCTAGCATAAATTGCCTAATGATTTTTTATCTACACTAAGCTATATATGTAAAAAATATGTTTATTGTCGTTATTTCATGAAACGTTTTACTCGATTCTGATTTTAAAATGCACGGAAACAGATTCAAGAAAATAAACACAAATTGTTCATCTTCTCCTCCTTATTTTAACCTGTAAGAAAATAGTGTTTATTAATAAAAAAGGTTAAGAACAAATATGAAAATAAATCCTTCGCTTCGCACTCTGAGTTAAAATAGGGTACCCGAATCGCATTGCGTTTTCTATTCTATACAAATATTATAAAATACCTTTTTCGTCGCTTTGTGTTCATATTTTTTATTTCTAAAGACAGTTCTTAGTCGAATCTAGAAAATGATGGAGTTCTCCTTCTGTAGGTCAAAGGTCTCCTGCTAGGAGAAGCGCTAAATGATCTCGTAGTTCCGTGGAATTTCCCTTTTCCTGATATAATTTCCAGCCTTGCTGAGGCTTCCGCTCTACCGTAATCATTCTCTAATGTTATTCTGTATAGACCAACATCCTCTATTGTTACTTCTTCAATTTCTAAAATTCTAAACATTTCGTCTTTTTCTTTTATATTTATTCTTGGAGAGGCAGTTATTATTATTCCGTCTTTGTCCCACGTAGCCCAAGGTGGAGGGAGGCCTTTAACAGCACATTGGAATACAACAGTGTCACCTTCTTCGGCTACTCTGTTGAAAGGATAAGTGTAGAATTTCGGTGCTATTTCCCGAGTCGGACTACACAACCGTCGTGAATCTGGACCTGTTAAAATAGTTAACTATTATGATGGAAAAGTTTAATAATAATTACTAACTTTAAAATAATACATCACAAAAATCAATAACAAACAAAATAAATAATTTACAAATTAATCAATCATTACTTTATTGAGACGTCCGTGAGGAATGATACAGTTTCTAGACATAATATATTTTCCACTCAGACTATTGAAATACTTTGGATGTACATATATAGTGTTACGCACATGGTGTGGTTGACAATGACCGTGCGGGTGTGGTGCGTGGTGTGGAGCGCGGAGTGGAGGCAGCTGACAGCAGTGCCGGCGGCCGCCGCAGATTCTGGCTTAATGTGTTTGGCTCTCCAGGTGCTGCAAATTATATATATCTTATTAAATCATTATTATACGGACGTGTAAAGTAATTTCCACCCAAACTCTTTATTGTGCTGACATTGGATCACTTCACATTCATATGAATGTAATATATTTTTTTTAATTTCCAGGCATAAATATATATATCGTTTACTTACGGTAAACAACTAAGCACGCACTCGAAGTTGCTTTTCCTAAACTATTTGAGGCTTCACACTTATAAGTGCCTTCGTCTTCCGCGGTAACTTGATTTATCTTAAGTCGTGCGGTACCACGATCGTAGGAGGTAACAAAATCGGGACAGTCTGGGACCACCTTAATAAAAAAAAACAATTTAATTTAAATTAGGCAGTAGCAAAAGGAAGTCGCGGAAATTTTAAAAAAATATTACCTCGGTATAATGGTACCATCTTATGAAAGGATCTGGGTTTGCGGCGATACGACACTCGAACTCAATCGCATCACCGTCGTAACATAGTAGGTCAGTTAATTCTTTTTCAAAACGAGGAATTTCTTCAACAAGCCTAAAACACATAATTTGAAGTACTTTTTCATTTTAAGTTAAAATTTAAAACCAAGTAAAGTAATGATTGTTTGTTGACTTACCCATATCTTATGTTGTGGACGTCTTCTTTTGAATTGGGATCTATAAAATTGGGAATAATATGATATGGTTGTCAAACAAGACTTAGCAATTTAGAAGGTATACCAAAATTAATAACTATTTACCTCTCGCTAGTATTTGCAATGATATAATAGCCTTTGCTTCTCCATGTATATTCTTGGCGACTACAGAGTATGTGCCTGTATAATCGAATTTTGCATGCGGAATTTCGAATCTATACTCGGGGCCGGCGCCAATCCGTTTGAAATGTTTTGCGTCTCGATAGTAATCCGGCTAAAAGGTTTTTGTAACAGGGTTTTATTATGATTGATATCAATTTGGGGCTAAAATATTTGCTACGACGACGGAAGTACAATATCCATACCTTTAAAAAGTCTCGTAGCCAGTAAACTTCAGGCTTAGGATCTCCAATAACTTCACAAACTATAATTACTGTGTCACCTTCTCGTGCCTCACTAGACCTAGGTTTTCTTAGAAATCTCGGTTCATTGGAGTAACTGAAAATATTATATAATATACTAACAATATTCACATGAACAAGTCTTATGAATAAAAATAAAAAACTCACAGAGCTCTCGATGTTTCATCGCTCACAAAGATTGGCGGTGCATTCATGTTATCAACGTTGTTTTCTTCCGCTATGATTTCCACTTTACCCGAAGTAGAAACCCGGCCTACTTCATTTGAAGCGGTACACGTATATACGCCAGCATCTCGGGAAGTTACGGCGGCGAGAGCCAGTTCAATTTGTCCGTCTCGATCTAAGGTCATGACCGCCCGACGACTCGGCCGTAACCTAACACCGTCTCTATACCAACATACACCGACAGAAGGATACGCTTCCACTATTGCTGAAATTCTCAGTTCTTCGCCTAGATAACAAGAACAAAAAATCAGTCTTAATTAATTTTGTTCAGATACAGCTCAAGTCTACCTCCTTATATTACGCTCTTTACATACACTACAATAAAGCTCATTCGCTTAGTAAATATCCCGATATTACAAATGTATTATTTGGTTTTTACATAAATGAGAGTTAAAGAAATAATCATCACCTTCTTTTAACTGATATAGTGGTTCCAGGCCACAACAAAATTCAGGGGCGATATATGCCCTGATGCCTTTGTCCACAACCAAACTACAGCGGCAACTAATCGCTCCACTGTTATTTCTAGCCATTACTTCATATACGCCGCCATCGTCCAATGTCGTTGGTGCTATCTCAAGTGTATAGAAAAACTCGTCTTGGGACATGCTGTGGCGGTCTGCAGATTTGGACAATCCATTTTTAATTCATATATTAGTAACATATTCTTATTCATTTCAAATGGTGCAAAACAACTGTCTATTAAAAAACTTAATGGACATATATTTTTCTATTATTTTCCAAATACCAATCTTATTTTTATCATAAACTTCAATGATTTGTAATTTATTAAGATCGAATCGAAAATTTATTAGGATATGAAACGAAATATTATTATTTTACAAATGCATCAAGAGTTTGCATTGCGGAAGCTTTGGCAAGTGTCAAGTGTAAACGACATCTCACTTGGCACATATTCTATTTTCGAATACAAGATGACATGATTGTAATGAATTAATAACGATTTGTATGTTTATGTCTATGCAATTTACCGTCAGTTGTGATTTCTTCGCCATTTTTAAACCATACGATTGTGGGCGCAGGACTGCCTACAACTTGGCACGTGAGACGCACAGGGTATGTTGCTTGCACGCGTCGATCACGTAATCGCATAGTAAATTGTGGAGGATACTCGCCATCTAAGCCCGCCGACCTCTCTCTGTTATGAACCAATTGACATTTTCAAATAAAACCATAGTTCTAATAAAAATCTGAGTCATATTTGTTTTCATGAATAACACACACGATCCCAGATTTTTGTAACAATAAAATAGACAGTGCTCTGTTTATTGATGTAATAAAAGTAAAATAATAATCTTACATTTTTTTAAATACATAACATGAAGAAACTGATAACCATATTTCCGGATACAAAAAACAACAAACCTTTTTAGTTTGGCGTCAGCCTCCCAAATATTTCGATCAGTTATGACAGTCATTCTTGCGTATGTTGAAGATCGTCCATGAATATTCGTCGCTTCACAACTATATCTGCCCTCATCTTCTATATTAACATTCTCTATAGTTAAACATGCCTTTAAATTATTTTGTGTTATTTTAATTCGTTTCGTATTTTCTTCTATTTCATGACCATTTTTCATCCATACTATTTCTGGAGTAGGTTTTCCCTTGAAGCTACAACATAATGTTGCTGTTTCGCCTACAAGAACTTTACTTTGACCAGGAAGAATTTCAATGAACTCCGGCCTTTCGCCACTAAGACCAATTCCAATCGGTGTTGAAGTCTGTACGGATTCACCCCAACCGTAGCGGTTTCTGGGTGTAACTCTAAAATGATACTCTTCTTCTTGTTTTAAATTAAAAGCATCGAAAGAATTTCGTGGTGTAATTCCCAGTTCAGTCCACCGCGCACCTCCTTCTTTTCCTATCAACCAACTTTCTACCTTGTAAGCCAAAATTGGAGCCCGTGTTTGACAATCAGGTTTGGGCCAAGCAAGTGACACCCAGTTCTTGCCGCCTTCGATGACGCTCGGTTCACTCGGTATGCGATCGGGAACAACTACAATATATACGTCGTTACCGTATCTTTAATAACAATTCATACTTGAAATATTGCCAATTTTAATATGTACTCCTCCAATATTAGATTTTAAAATGAAAGTTGTAATTAATGCTAATTACCTTTATAATTTCGATCAAGAGGCGAAATGGCCAAATCATCCATTGGATATGTCCAGTCTGAAACAAGGTTTTCTGATGTCGCCCGTTGTCTTATCTGTTAAAAAGATAAATAGTTTAGGTTTAGTATAATAACATTTAAGCTTGAGCATAACTTAAAATAAATCGTACATAGACAATTTATTGATTTTTCAATCTGGACCTATTAATTAGGATTACTAAGCAAACTCGTACATTGACAAATAAACATGCATTAAAAAATCAGTTTCATTCAACATTTTTTTAAAGCTGTGAGAAATTAATTACCACGACAGTAACGAAGGCTCTATCACAGCCGTACGCATTACGGGCAAGTATACAGTAAGTTCCAGCATCAGATATCACCGATCTTTTCAAAGTAAACTTCATATAATCATCAGAAGTCATTTTGCAAACTCGCTGACTGTAGGTAACATCTCTTAAGCCCTTCATGAAAAACACTAAAATAAAACAATACAGTTATTAATATTACAGTTTTTAAAAATTAAATTTCATTATCGTCATATGTACAAGTAGGTAGGTCTTATAATTTATAAAGAAGAATTACATTAAAAGTGTGAAAGTTAGGTTTAAATTTTATTGAATGTATAGACGTATTTGTATATTTTGTGTATATATATACCTTTGGGTTTAGGTTCTCCTTGTACTCTAAATGAAATATTTATATCTTCGCCTACAGAAATAAGTATGTCTTTCGCTGGTCTACTGACGATTACTGCAGGTTTTCCATCAACCTGATTTGGTTGAACTACGGTTATGGCCGCATTCATATCAACATTTCCGTGGCTACTCCAAGCCCTACAGGTATACAAACCCGTTTCTCTCTCTGTTACATCCGAAAGAGCTAAAGTGTAAATACCGCGATCGAAGTATGTTTGGGCGTTTCTGTAAGTTTCAAGTACAGAGGACCCATCTCGCAACCATTCGACTCTTGTTGGTGACCCTTTAATTTCTACTTGCAAGCCAATAGTGCCGCCACTGACTACTTTATAGTCTGATATAACATTTGTAAAATGAGGTTTCCGTGATTCCATTGCCTGCCGGGTCAAATTTACCTTTTCCAACGTAACAATATTTCGGCTTATACTATTTTCTTTACCTGTTATAAAAAATATTCATCAGTTATATCACCTATTACCCTAATTACGAAAATAACGAATACAATATTACTTACCATCAAATTGAACATTATGAGAGATTTCGTCAGACCATATAGAGCTTTCAGCGTGACATGTATACTTTCCTGAATCTTCTGGAGTTGGAGAGTTAATAGTTAGTCTACAGACTCCATCAGCTAGGTAATGTGCTTGATATCGTTCAGATAACGTAATTGGTTTATCGTTTTTATACCAAGTTATAGATGGAAGTGGTTGACCACGAATTCGACACTCCAAAACTAGTTCGTTTTCAAATGAATGATAAACCTCTGTAAAATTACATATGACAAAAGTTACTTGTTTAGAAAATAATTTAAACTGCATTATTAATACCATTTTTTAACACACCTCTAATAGAACGCGTAAATGTTGGGGGAATAGGGGACGATTCAAAACTTGGGTACACTTTAAGATTTGCCGAAGACGTAACTGTTCCATTCTCATTCTCAACGGTGCAACTATATTCTCCAGAGTCACTGGGGACTGCATTCAAAACCTCCAAAGTAATTAAACCATCAACACATTTAGATCGAAACTTTTGTTTATCATCCAAAAGTATCCCATTTTTATACCATGTAATTAAAGGATCACTTAAAGACAATATGCTGCAAGTAAGTTTTACTCGAGAACTTTCTACAGCTGTACGATCTGTAAGAAATGTCGAGAAAACAGGTTTTCTCTTCAGATCACGAACCGCCCGTTTCTCCGATGTAGTACTTCTAGGCTCACTTGCAGCCATGGATCTGGCACGACTCCATTCTCTTTGAGTTTCTGCAGGACCATTTGAGCTTTCATCGGTTTGATCGATGTTTGACGTATACGATGCCCGTGATTTGTAGTCATGTAGTAAAGTTTGAGCTTTATAAATTGTAGGGTTTTTGTTTTGTATACTGGTTTCCGATCCTTTAAATTCATTTATATCGTAAGATTTTGGTATGTAATTTGGTGGTCTAGCAAAATATAATGAATTGTCCACATTGCTATGGTCAATAAATATAGGACCCACTTTTGAACTTGCATTATCTTCATGTCTTCCTGGTTCTAGTATGCCTTCTTGTTGATGGTTGATGTTTTTTGTAAAGTCTACCTTTTCTCCATCATGTTCTTGTATTGCTTGGTTTATTTCAGTACTGCTCTTGTTAAATTCAGTACTGTAATTATTAGTTTCAGCCGTTAAAGTCGGTTTATTTTCATTATCTGTTGCATATGTGACGTTTGTTGTAATGACATCTTGGATTTGCTTATCATTAACTGATAAATTTAGATTATTTTCAAACCCAGTATCTTTTACTTCAACTTTAGTATCATCTTTTGTAATTTTCCTTTTAGTTAGTGCATCTTTATTTGTTTCAACGTTAGAATCAATTACCTTTTCATGTGTCTGGTTTCTTTCTAACTTTGATTTCTTTTTACTTACTTTTATTTTTTTCTCTCGATCGTTTGAAGATTTTACCTCACCAGCATTTTTATCCGTATTATTTTCGTCACAACTTTTATCGTTAATTTTTATTCCACTTCCTTCGATCTCATCCTTAATAAAACCTGCTTTTTTCTCTTTGTTTTCCGGACCAGAAATTTCTTCACAAATATTTGTTGTATCTTGTTTTAGAGTATTAAAGTTTTTAGATAGTTCTTTATCATCACATATATCATCACTTTCAATAACTTGCTCTTGTGCTAGTTCTTTATTTATATTCTGAAAATTATCTGTAGCTCCTATATTATTCTCATGCTTTAAGCTATTTTTTGGAACTTGCGAAGTATTCCCATCGTTTTCTTTTTGTGTTTCTTCTTGATTTCTATCGAAAGGTTCGTTGTTTAATTCCACCAATTTGGTATCAGATGGAGATTGATATTTATTTTCTACGTCGTCATAACCTACTGGCTCTAGATTTTTACTGGTGTCTTTTTCCTCAATGGCCACTTTTTGTGAATGATTTTTTTCACTTCTGTCTTCTTTGATGTCCTTAATTAATTCTTTCTCTGTCAGGTGTGTCTCATCATCAGTACAAATTTCGTCACCAGTATGAAGTTGAGTTTTTGGAGGAAACACTTTTTCTAAAGATTGTGCTTTCGTATCTTGTACCTGGGTATTTGTGTCATTTTCATTGACAGCAGTATTTTTCGTTTGGATTTCCTGTGCGAATAGCTCATTTTTTTCAGTAATATCTATGTTTTCATGTGCATTTGATTCAAAACCCTTGTTTTGGGTATCTAATTGTATTTCTGGTTCTTCAGAAATAATTTTGTCTCTTTTTTTATTTACCTCTGCCTCTGCATCTATTTCCTTTATAATTAATTCTTCCTGATTTTCCTTTATAATTAATTCTTCCTGATTTAATTCTTCCTGTTTGTTTGAATCACTTTTTATTATATTAGAACCGAGCTGTGGTTGCTCTTCAGATGTAGAAATATCTTTCTCATGGTCCAAACATGTCTCAGCACCTTCCAAAGTTCTTCTATTACAAATATTGCTTTCTTCATGGTCGATTAATTCTACACTTAAATTCTGCTTTTCATCGCTTTTTGTACCAATATTAACTGCAAGTTCATCATTGTCTTTCATTAATTGATCAGAACTAAAAGCTTCTCTTTCAAGAGCCAATTTTAACATATCTTGTTTATTTATTTCAGTTTGTTCGTTATTCACTAGCAATTTTTTATTTTCGTTAATAACATCATCGTCGTCATTGATAATATTGTCTTTAATAATTGGATTTTCTATTACATCACTTACATTAATTTTGTCAAGTGTTTTGTTTGATGCAATTTCATGTACAGAATCCAAATACTTTTCATTTGCAGATGTTACTTCCTGTTTTTGTATTTCATCTGAAAAGTTATTTTTATTCTGACTGTCTAGTTCATTTTTACTATCTCCTTCTACAGAAGCATTTTTAACACTTGGTGAAGCTCTTAGTTTTATGTTTTCAGGGTCCGAATCTAAACCACCAAACAAATTTGTAGATGATGCTTGTTTTTCTTTTTCGATGTCTTCATTTAACTCATTCTGACTACCACTTTCTATGACAATACTTTTGGTTAATTCTTTCTCTTCAACTTTATCTATTGCTTTATGATCACTAAAGTCTTCGTTATTTACTGTTATTGTTTTTTGTTCAATATTTTGATTAATTTTATCCTTCATCGCTTCATTGTCTGAGTGGTAGTTTGTATCAGTCGTTAAATTTTCTTCATCTATATCTTTTATATTTTTTTCGTTGACATGTATTTCAGGAGATTCGTCAGCTATCTCTTTTTGTTGTATTTCCTCAGCGATGTTTGCAGAGATATTTTTAACAGTTGAATAATCCACAAAATGAGTATCTTTCTTTTGTTCTGAATTATCCTTTATTAAAGGATTTTCTTCATTCTCATCTACTTTCTTACTAAGTATAACTTGATAATCAGTTGTCACATTCGGAATGTCCAATAAATCTTCCTGTTTGATTTGAAGGATCAAATTTACTTCATCTTCATTCTCATTACCTACTTTAAGATCCATTTCATCGGATTTTACTGATATTTCACTCACATTTGCTTTACATTCAGATTTTGAATTATCACTTTCCGAAATCAAATCCACAGGTAAATCTTGTTTTACTTCATTAATTTGGTGACGTTTATTTATATCAACGGTGTCATTGACCATATGAACTGATTCACTTTCAAGGCATTTAGTTAAAGGAGCTTGTTGATCAACTGGACAAATTACTAAGTCTTCTTTTTGGTCACTATCTCTATTTGAAAGAAGATCTACTTCACAAACTTCTACATTGTGTGTGGTATTACTTGTTCCATTTATGTTTATATTTGAACAATTTAAATTAATTGCTTCCAAAGTTGAAATATTCTCATTAATGTCTACAGGCAACATTTCCTTTTTAAGAGAATTATCACTTAAATTATTGTTATCATTACTTTTAAAGTTTTCGTTTCTTTCTTCTTCATCTATTGTGTTTTTCCTTAAATCTCCTTCAACTTTATAATCACCTACCTGTTCTATAGCTTTATCTTCTACAATATGTTGTTTGTTTGTAATTAATTCTTCTTCATATTTGTTCATATTTTTAGTATCATCTTTACTGGAGCAAACTTCCACTTTAACTTGTGTGATTGAAATACTATTCTCACATTCGTTGTCAATTACTGTAGCAACTTTTATGTGAGAATTTTCATTATCGACTATTAATTCACAAATTTGTAGGACATCTTCTTGCAGAGAACATTCAATTCCTTTATTTAATTTTATATGACCCTCCTCTAATTTTTTTTCTTCTCTGCTTTGATTATTGTTTAATTCATCACACATAAACTCGGAGTTAGTCTCTTTGTTATTATTTATAATATCAATAACATTTTCTGTCTCATTTAAACTTCGATTTTTATTTGTATCAACATTGGTCGTAACTGCGAATATTTTCTGCGAGTTATCATTAGGTTCGTCCTCTGCTTTTATTAAAGGTTGACTTTTATTGACGTCATGAAGATCTGGTTTTAAAGTTTCAGGTTCATTTCCATGAATATCTATGTTATCATCTTTAACTACCACAGTTGAAACATCATCAGATCTGCATGCGGTATCCTTTTCCGTTAGGGCTATTTTTAATGTGCTAATATTTTCTGCCCCTTGCAATAAATTAACTTCTTCAAATTGATTATATCCGTCATCTTTTACTATAGCAGAATCCACGAAATTTTCAACGTCAGTAATGTCATGCTGATTTTTCAATTCCGTTCGGGGTTTTTCCCCAAAGTTTGAGTCATCATCAATCGGTTTTTCATCCATATCCTTTATTATACTATCTATGAAAAAACCTGCTTCCTCAGTTTCTTTTACAATTTCATGAGTCTCCACCTGTTTGTTAAATTCACAATTTTCAGAAGGAATTTCACTTTGTAGTTGTTTTTCTAAAATTATTTTACTGGTTGTTGGTGTCGTTGAGGATTCTAGTAGCTGATATTCGTTTTCTTTATCATCTTTTATAATGTTATCAATACTGTTATCTTTTTCTAAGTTATTTGTAGTATTAATATTTCCTTCAGTTTTTTCTGATTTAGATATCGATGCCATATCAATCTCCTTATTGGTTAAATTATCATTTATTGTTTGATCACCACTGTCACAATTATTTTTATTTTCGTATTCTAAGACATTGTCTAATACGGACACTTTAGAAATACCCTCACATTGTAATTCGTTTACATTTGCACTCGATAGGTATACATTCATATTTGCCCCCTCAGTCAAACAGCTTTGTATTTCTTGATTGTTATCAATATTCTCTTCATTTTTATCTTTTAAAACTACAACTTCATCGTATTTCAAAACTGGTTGATTTAAATTACCCTCACAAGAAGCAGCCTCTTGAGTGTTCTTGCTTTCGGTGTGAATCGATTTAATGTCCTGTACGGTCTCTGTAGTAATATCATCGTTATGATTTTTACATTCATTAGATTTAACAATAACTTGTTCCTCTTCATTTAGATTCATTTTCTTATCCCCTATTTTCTCGCAATCTTCAAAAAGTACTGGAATGGTATTTGACGAAGCTATTTGTAACGTTTCTTCTTCTTGTATTATCGCTTTAATCGGTTTTTCGTTTTCTTTCGCGCTATCGACACATAATGTGTCAGTATTTTCTGAGTTCATTTCAACAATGTCTTGTTCAAGATTGTTTGATTGTATTGTTTTTAAATCCTGAAGTTGTAGTTTTATATCTTCAGTTGCTTTCAGTATTGCTGTGGATAAGTCTTTAAAAATCGGGATTTTTTCCTTTACTTCTAAAGTGGTCCTATCTTCTATAAAAAATCTTCTCTCTTTTACGTAATTTGACAAAATTTCAATAGTTTTGTATACCTGAGCATTAATATCGTTTAGATTTTGAATCCCGTCCAAAGCAGTAACAACTTCTTGCAGAATAATTTTTGTGAACGCTGCGTCATTTGGGATTCTTGCTGTTCTGTCAAAGTTTATATAGAACTTGATGTCTTCAAAATGATTTAAAACTTTGCGAAATATATTTGCACATTGCTTCCAGCTCGATACATTACCTAGTTGTTGCTTAGAAATAATGCCAACATTCTTTAAAGATTTTAGCATGTTTTGTGTTGGTTTTCCATAATTTTCATACATATAATGCTTCTGTATACTAGAAACAGCACCTCTCATATTTGAAATAGTACCATATACAGAATGCATAGCCGATATTACATTATCCTTGGCATTAGTATCTATAAATTCCAATTTATCAACGTCTTTTTCTAAAGAGAAAATTTTTTCCTCAATTTGATCTAATTGCTGCATTACTTCTATACCTTCAACAATTAATGTTTCTGCGTTTCCTACAAAACTATTTCGCAGCGACTTTATTGTGTTTTTTATATTATCCATGCATAAGAAAACATTTTCATATTCCAAAGTTTTTTCTAAAATACACGCCTTATCGAGCAAATCTATTGTTTGGTCAGAGTCATTCTGACAGCTTTCCATAACGTTGTTTATTTGTGATGTTAAGGCCTTTTCCTTTTTAGGTTTTAATTCGTTTTCATTTAAAGAAGAAACTATAACCTGCAAATTTAAACAGGCTTCCTTTAAAAGTGCAGGAGCACTTTGTTCGTTTATTTGGAGTTGAACGCTTCTCACATTGCACTCTAAATCTTCAAGAGTTTCATTGAGAGTTTCATTTGTAGTTCCATCAAAGTCACATTTGAGTTTTATGATTACCGATTGAATCTCATCAAGATCATTTTCCAATATTTCAGAATATTCAACATTCGTTAAAGAGAGATCTATGCACTCATTTACTTCTTGTAAAAGTGTTTCTAGCATCTGTATTGAACTAAGTTCCTGTTCTGGATCTGAAAGTTAAAATGTTTATTATACATAATAATAAGTTGCAAAATATAATAACTTCTGAGAATGTCAAATCATTTATCAATATTATTGATACTTATAATTCTTACATATATTTTCTGTAAAAAATAATTTACCTGAAGAAGGACACAAAGGTTCTAGTACGCTGACTAAAGGATTTGCGAGAGAATCATCACTTTTTTTTATATCCTGGACAGTTATTTCATTAATTTTTTCTGTACATGTATTAAAAGTTTCTTGACTTTCAACTTGTGCAATAGAATTTAAATTTTCTATAGACTGGCTGGTTTTAATAGTGTTAACATCTTGCGAATCGATATTTGATGATTTCCTATCTAATTCAGTTACTTGTTCCGAAAGAATGCACTGTTCAGAAATTATGTTTGTCTGAAGAGCGTCATTAAGATTCTTAATTGATGACATAGCTTTTTCGATTGCGTCCTGCTTAACTGAAGTTGGTAAAATTTTGGCAAAACCACATATTTCTTCATAAATTAAAATTAACGCTTCACTTAATTGGTAACTCATATCAATTTTTTTCTCTGTAAGGTCTTGATAGTTAGAATCATCAAAATTTGTCACTATACTCAATCCAAATAATTGATTTGCAATTACATGACTTTTCTCGAGATTTTCTATGGTTAAATATGGCACCATCTTTTTCAAAGTTTCTGTTACTTCTTCACTGATATAGTCACTGATACATAAAGCAAGTTGTCCTGGAAAAATTACGTATGTTTAAAAAAGTTACATAGGCTTGGAGGGTAATCGATTTCCGTTAGGAATTATTTTAATCAGCTACATTTAAAAATGACTTTTACCTTTTTTGGTTTATTTGATTAATCTGGTTATTATTTCTGTTTTTGAAATATTTCAATAATTACAGATATTTTAGTAGTTTAAAGGTAAGTAGACAAGCAATAGCGATATGTTTCATGGGTATATATTTTATAGTTAAACATTTTGTAAAGAACATCAAAACAAACTATTTGGTCAAGAAAGTAAGGTGACTGCATTGTTAAAATTTGAATTTTCAGAAGCCCCGAAAGATTATTTGTAATGTAAAAATGGCTTTAAAAAATTCTACATAATAATACAAAAAATAATTTTTTTTCCCCATAAATAATATTCTTATTAAAGTGATCAAAGGAAGAAGTGATAATTTATTTTTACATATTTACAAAATTAGGGAACTAATATTGCATTTTAAATGGGAAAATACCTTCTTTTTGCTCAATTGGTTCCTTGCTTTCTTCTATTCCTAAAGAAGTATGTTCAGCCTCATCTTTTTTAGAAGTAATGTCTTCATAAATAAGTTCATTTAATTCTAGTGAAGGTTTTGTATCTTGTTTCTTTAATAATTTTTCTTGGTTTAGCTGATTAATTTTAACTTCTTTAGATTTTTCTCCCGGTTCGCAAATAATTGTTTCTGTTTCACTTATAGTATGGCGAGGGTCGTCAATCTGACAAACTTTCAATAGTTTGCTTGAATCTAAATCATTTGGAATGTCTTGACATAGAATATTACTTTCAACAGAACTTGTCGTAGCAATATTCCTTAAATTTTGAACGCTCTCAATGGCTGTGCATAAATTTTCTACAACATGTTTAAATTCTTGTAATTTATCTTCGATAACCACTTCATTTAATAATTTTGCCGGTTCATATGTAAATACATTTTGTAGACTGTTATGTAAATCGGAAAGAATTTTTTGTTTTTCGTCTGATATAAAAAAGGATTCTGTGGTGTTCATACTAATAATTTCACTTAAATCGCTTTCCTGGCAAAATTGTTGAATCATGTCTCGAGTAATCTCAATGGCTTCATAGTTTAATAAAGATGCGAATTCTTGATCTACTTCACTAAAATCATGGCGTAAATATTCTTGAATATTTTGCACCAGCATTTCTGTAACAAATATATTGTTTATTGTCTCAAATAATCAAAATTACCTATACAGGGTGTATGAAAAACTGTGTCAACCCTTGAAGGCATGTATACATATAAGTATAAGCTTATTATAAAAAATAGTATAACTTAAAAAATATCAAGCAGAGGTCAATTACAGTGCATAGGCTAAATAAATTTTAAATCGACATTATTTGAATAAATGTTCCAAACATCTGACCCGTACAAGGTCAAGGCCCCGTATAGTCGCGACGACGCATGCGTGACCATTGACCGCAAGCGCCGGGCCGCCGGCGTTATTATTACTTGTTTGTTAGTTGTTCGAGTAGAGATTTGAAAGTGTAAAAAATAGTTATATCGATAAATATTCTATCGACATTTTCAATATTGCTATAAATAGTTATGCTTTTCACATTAAAATAATTTCATCTAAAATAACTTTTATTAATAATAAATATTATAATTTGAAACTTGTTCAGGTAAATTAACTACATATGTTGTATTATTAGGATAAATCGTTAATCTATTTCTGTTAAAAATGGTGTTTTACAATCAAACATAATATTAATGTTTGATATATCAAAAAAAGTATCGAAATAATATGAATATTAAATATTTATTTATTGTTATGATTTTTTAAATATCGATATTTTCAATAATGTGAAAGTAACTTCAAGGTCGTCACTAGTAGCGCGGCAGGTGTGATGACGTCATTGCGTGTCATCGTGTTATACCAGGGTTTACAAACATTTTGTTACTCTACTTATAATAATCATTTAATTTTTATTGAAGAGTTTGTAAATGTAAGTTGTTTTATTGTGTTACATTATCGATACTGATAACGTAGTTAAGAGGGTTGACACAGTTTTTCATACACCCTGTATATATATATATATATATAAACTTTTTATTGACACATTACCTAAAGGTTTTTCTGTGGTAAGCATATCTTCAAGAACGCATATTTGTTTGTTGCATTCGTCCTTGACTTCACTCAACGACTGTAATTTATCAGTAATAACAATGCCATTTGTGGTTTCGTAAGAATTATCCGCGACAATTTTATCATTTTCATGTTCTATATCTTGAGTCATGTTTGTGTCATGTTGTGCCAAGTTTTCTACTGATATATCATTTAATTGAGCTAAATCTTGTTGCAGATCAGATACAACATCTATAATTTGTTGACGAATGTCTGCCTTAACACTTGTAGTATCTTGTGTGGAATCGAGAACCTGGCTCTGTAAACATGTCAAAGCCTTTTGCAATTTGTCAGTCAGTTGTGTTTGATCAGAATTCATTAAAGAGCATTTTTCGCTGTCGCCTTCCGTAGCAGTTTCTGCCCCCGCAATGCTATCTCTTAATTCTCGAACTATACTTGCTGTTTCCTTCAAGTCTTCAATTTTTATAATTGCACTAACTTCTTCAACAATTTCTATTATTTCAATATGCTGTTCCATTTGTTGTAAAAGAGCATCAACTTTTGCTGCAAATAAACAAAACGTTAAAATTTGAGGAATAAGCAATTATCATTAATTTTTATATATACATACTTACACTTATTATTTTGACTTTTTTTATCTATAACATCTTTATAGGAAGATATAACTAAACATAGACTTTTTTCAATTTCTTCAATTGGTTGGACCATTGCTTTAATGAATTCAAAACATGGTGTATTTTCTAAATTCTTAACATTATTAAAAATCAACCGTATTTTATCACTCAATTCAACAGCAAGGTGTAAATCATTAGTTTCAATTAAAATGTTTTCATTTTCAAGACATATTTTTATGTCGTCATTTATTTTTTGAATTTCATTTATACTACTTTGTAATAAATTCACATCCGTTACATCAGTATCGTTTCTTGACGCTAATAGTAATTTGTTACGAATATTCATTATATGTGTGTTGATAGATTCAAGGGGATTGGAGATTTTCATTAAAATTTCATCCATATTAAACTCTTTGGCTATTAATAATTCAGGACGTTCTTTTTCTCGACTTCCTGAGAAATATTGTTTTAAAATATCTAAGCAATCACATAAATTGTTTGTGAATATTATTCTGCATCCAATACCTGAAATATCTTTAAGATCTTCTTGCTTTTGCAGAAGGGCAACGATTTTGTCATAAACTTGTTTTATTGGACCTCCCAAAGAATTTGTAGCTTGTTCTATAAAAAAACTGGTGAGCTTCTCGTTTATGTCGATAATATCAATTTTGTCTTTAGGTAATTTTGTAGGATCAAATGTACTCAATTCTTCAACCAGTTTAGACTTCAGTTCATCTTGAAAAGGCTTCAATGTTTCCATAGCTTCCAAAATAGTGATAAACGTTTCACGTAATGCAAAGTCACTTTCAGATTGTAATATATTCTTTAAAAATTGTTCTCCTTCTTTCATTTTAGTAAACGGGATATCGAAAAGCAATTCTGATTGGTTGCTTATATTTTGATTTAAAGTTGTTTGTACGACTTTTAAATAATCTTCTACATTAAGTACAAAAGATTGTAGAAGTCTTTCGCCTTCTTCCGGTAGATTATTATGATAACAAGATTTAAATTCATCGAATCTTCTGTTTAAATCATAAAACACTTGAAGTGATTTGATAATGTTTTTAAGGCTTATAGGATTTTTATATAAGTAATCCAATAACGATAACTCCTTTGTAAACCTAATAATAAATTCGTCCACCAATTTCCTATCCTTTTCAGTACTTTCTTTTATTTCTTTTTTAACTGTTGTTACTAAATCAGTACCAATTTGATTTAGCTCAATTACTGAATCAACTTTTGTTGCATTGGCAGTTTGAGTTATCTGGTCAGTTTGCGATGTCTGAGTTGCGTATTTTTCATCAAAGTGTTCCAATGTGACGACGTTCTGTTCTATCTCAGTTAATAATTCTGCTATCTTCGCTTCGTGTGATAAATTATGAACGGTGAAATTGAAAACCTCTTCTTGAATTTTTGGTAAAGTTTGATTAAGTTTATCAGTGATCTCATTAAGATTTTCTGCAATTTCATTATCAGAATTAATTACATCTAAGGTATCATTAATGTTTGTATGCAAATTTATTACTTCTCTTTTTAAGAATGGATCAACTGAGCCAACATCGCTTTCACTCAATAAATTCTCTAGTTTCATAGATATTTGCACTAAAGCTACTTTCTTAGTGGCTTTATCAAAAACATTATCAACAATTTCCACTGCCTCTTGCAAAACATTTAAAAAGGCAGTTAAGTCGCTTTTTAGATGAAAAAGAATGTCATTAAAATTGTTTGCTTGGCTGTGCGTTTCTGTCACTTCTTTATATATTGGTTTATCTTTCATATTAAGATTTGACAGAGTATGTTGAATATTTATAAATGGCTGAACCAATAAGGCCAATCGTGAAGGGCTTACTTGTGTCTGTTGGTGTATATCCATTTCAATAGGATGCAACATGCCCATAATAATTGAATCAATTATTTCTAAATCTGACAGAAGCAATTCAAAGTCTATTGTTTTATTATCGTCACAAATTTTCTTAAAATCTTGTTCAATGTTCAATGCTTTTATATTTATAATATGTTGGTGTAGTGTCTGCAAAGCTTGAACCGAAATAGTTTGTGATCCAATAGAACAAATATCAGAAGACTCCTCAATTTTAACCTTTTCAATTGTTGGTACCATATATTCTTCAATAGGCATCACAATATCGGCAGTTGTTTTAATAGCTGATATATCAGCTAATGTGGACATGTCGTCAGCAACTTCCACAATATCATGTTCTTGAATTATAACAATACAACTTTGAAGATTATCAACGCTATTAGCTACGCTTCCCATTATTTCACTATTTGAAGTCAGTTCGTCATATTGTGAAATTAAATCATTTTGTAAAATTTCTAATGTTGTTTGTAAATGTATGAGAGGTTCAGCAAAAACCGTCAATTTATTGATTTCCAAATTTCTTGCACTTTCACAGATAACTTCATTAAGAACACAAATGTTATGTTGTAATTCGTAAAGTGGATGTGCAATGCTTTCTGAAAATGAAGAGACACTAATATCGCACACACTTTCAGGATTTTCCACTGTATTAATATTCAAAGATGCTAAACAGCACTGAATCTCTGTTAACGTGGGATTAATATTTTGTAGAACATGGGCAATATTCAAATCGCCAACATTTTCGAATGCATTCACTTTACTTATTTCTACAATACTTCTTTGTAAATGTTCTAAAATAACGTTCAATTTGTCCTTTTCAAACTGTTTTATTGATAAATCGACAACTTTTTCAGATTCTACATTAATTGAGGTTTCTTCAATCAAGTTTATGTTCTCCTCTATATGAAGCAGTAGATCATTAATATTATTTAAGACAGAACCCTTGAGAGAATCATCAAATACAAATAAATGGGAACTGTTTTTTATTATTTTTAACGTGTTACTAATAACAGCAAGAGATAACATTTGTCGAGATTCCATATTATTCAGAGAAGTATTTATTCTATTAACATCGTTACAAATTTCCAACAAAGAGAAATATTTTCTTGAATCATTACTTTCTATAACATTCTCTAACAATTTTGTTAAATTCTTATGAAAATCTGACATATGTGTTTTTATAATAGGTATTGGATCCAAGATAGATAAACTGTTTTCAAGAGATATTAATATCTGAGCCATTGTTTGCAATACTTCTAATTTGTTATCGCTATTTAAAATGTCAAATTTACCATTCCTTTCTTCGAATGTTACTAATTGAGAAGATATATCATTTATGTAGTCTTTTATATCCACTAAAACTTCTTGTATTTTATTTTCTTTCTCATTAGATAATTTTTCAAAGGCTGTTCGTAGCTCTAAGATGGAACTCATTACTGTTTCTATAATTTGGGTATTGTAATGAGGCAAATTTGAACTCGCTTCAGATACAGACAATAATTCTATTTGTTCAAGGGAATTTTGTAATTCTTGAATAGGTGTCGATATTTCATCAAGAATTATTTCCGAATTCCTAATACCAGCAAAATTTTTAGGCATGTTATCCGATCCTTCTATTATTAATAGTACAGATTTTAAAGAACTTTTTAAAGCATACAAAACTCTCTGAGTATGATTTAAATGTTTACTCTCCAAGTTTGCCTCTTGCATGCTAATATCACTAGGTTCATTTAAAATTTTATCCTTCATACTAGCATCCATAGATAATTTAAGACTCTTTAGTATATTTTCCGAAGCTGCCTTTATGTTATCACTACATATATCATCTATCAAAGCACATTCTTCATAACTAATTGTATTTACAGTAGTTATTAAGTCTTTTAAGGTCTCACCACATTTTTCAATTAGTAGTAAACACGTTTTTTTCACGAGAGTCTTATTTTCATTTTCAAAGTCAATACATTTCTCAACTATAGTCAATGACTGTTCAAGCATCCTAAGAGACTGAGGTAATCGATTAAATAGAGAGGAAATAATTTCAGAAGGTTCGTTTACTAACTCTATTACAGCATCTGTGATACTGTGTATCTCAGATAAAGGTGTAATGAGACTGTTTATTATTTCTAAGCTTTTTGTAGCTGTAGCAGCAACAGACATTAATTCTGATTTGAGAATAATGTCTCTCTCAATAATTTGAATAGCATTCATCACCTTTGTCAAAGAAGAACTCATGGCCATCATATTTAATTTAATATTTTCGGTAATTAGACTAGATTTCTGGACTGCTTCTACAGCTGCTGTTTCCTTTACAGCAGACTTTTCTCTGGATATTGATTTTCGTAATCCCCTACTGCTGTTACTTTCTCTCTGTCCTTCAGCACTATTACTTTCAGGTAACTGACCTTTTATATCTTCTCTAAGCACAACTGTTTTTGTAAAGTCTGAGGATTCTTGACCATCTTCCAATGATGGTTTCGACGACTTTGACTTGGGTTTTGCGGTACTGTGGGCACTGGCAAAACTTTGTAACTCACTTTCAGACAAAATTTGAGTATCGTCATCCTTTTTATCGGTTGAAAGAGATCGATCATGAGATAAACTAAAGTAATCATCTGCACTCTTTTGAGAATCAGATTTTTTTCTTTCTATTTTCTTAGGTATATCCGCACATTCCTCCGATAATAAAGCTATAGTCTTTTCTAGATAATCCTCCCCATTAGCGTCTTGATCTAGTGAAAGTTGTAATTGTCCATTTTCATCTGCAATAGAAATATCTTCTATGTCAGCTTCAGTCCTAAGATCTTCTTCAGGAGACGTAAAGTATTCTGGAGAAACGTCAATTATTATAGCTTCCATTAGTAAGTTACCCGAAGTTGAAGTTTCTTTAACGAATCTCAAAGGTGGAAGCTCAACCACATTATGTTCGGTAACATTTTCCGATAGCTGGTCAGCATACATCTCTACTATTTGCAGAGCTTCTTCTTCAGTTAAATCTGGAGTTTCATATAACGATACAGAAACTTCTTTTCCGTCAAACGAAAACGAAATCTCTCCCTTGTCATCTAATGTGATGTCACCTACTGGTGTATCGTACATTTGTGAGGTGCGTTCCTCATGAATAGTACTCAATGATAAATTTCTTTGCAGTGCTTGATCGTCGACCTGCTTTTTATTTTTAGCTTTTACAGAATCTTCAAATCCTAGCAAAGATGCAGAACTTGCTGCAATTCCCATACAATTTTGGGCTTCACATGTATATGTTCCAAGACAACAAGTGCCATCTTGACCAGAAATAATTCTATGAATGTCCCCTGGCTTAAGCTCTTCTCCATCTTTATACCATTTTAGAACTGGTTGAGGAACGCCAATTACTTTGCATTCTAAATTAACAGCTCCTTCGTCTGATAGTATAGCTTGTAGATTTTCTAAGAATCGAGGTTTCTTGTAGTGTCGAGGTATAACTAACTTAAGAAAACATGATGTAACACTTTGTCCATAATCATTCATTGCTACACATTTCCACTCAGCTTGGTCCATAAACTCTAAGTTTTGTATATCTAAAACGAAAACACCACGTTCTTCATGTCCGAGATGACAACGAGATGATTCATCTACAGGCTGTTCATCTCTATACCAAAGAACTTTAGGTTCAGGCGGAATAGCAACTGGAAATAAATACGAAAAATTAAATTGTGTTAAACAAGAAATTAATAACATATAATAAGTATTTACCTTTTATCATAAATCGGAATGGTTCATCAATTTTTGCTTCTACACTTTTTAAGCCTTTCAAAAATTTAGGTGCTTGATTTTTGGAAAACAATTGTAATTTTTCTTCTTCGTTTAACTGATTTTGTATATCTTCTACTGTCAGCTCTGCAGAACTACTTGCTTGTCCCATGAAATTTTTAGCTATGCAACAATACGACCCCAAAGAGTTAGTGCCAGTTAATTGATAAACATCTCCCGGCTTTAACTCTTGGCCATCCTTGAACCAGCTCAGCACTGGTGTGGGAAAACCGACTACTTTGCACTCAAAAGAAACTAAACCCTCTTCAGTAAGCACTGCTTGTAAGTTCTCCATAAACCGTGGTTTCCGATAGTTTTTGGGCACTGAAATAAAAAATAAATTAGCTCTCTGCAAAATTTATTACTTTATATATCCACATAATTTGAAAAAACGAGGTACATACACAAAATGACTACTTTTCTTTTTGTACATACGTTTAATTTAATTTCAAACATATTTACCGTCCATCGAAACGTAACATGTTGAAATACCAACTCTGCCGCCTGCACTTGTTGCTACGCATTTCCATTCGCCTTCGTCTGCAAATTCTGATGTCTGAATTTCTATGAAATAACCACCTACACCGTCTTCTAATATGTGGTACCTGCGTAATGTTTAATATTGTTAACACCATTTAATTTATCTATAAAGCGATTCTTACTTTTTTTTTGTTTCATACTTATCACTAGCTTCGACTTTTCCTTCTTTGTTGTACCACACAACGCTTCTTGGCCAAGGCGGTACCACGATTTGACAACTCAACGTTAAAGGCTCACAAATTCTTACAAACTGGTCCTCAAGTTCTTTTGTGAAAATTGGAGGAGGCTCTATTATTCCTCTAGAACAAATATTTGAAATCAAAATACTTATATACTATCCACATAACTCAATACCAGATAAATAAGATGTTTTTAGACCATTATTTCCCAGTAGCCCTTTATCTAACTTTACTAAAACGATATTTTTTTCTTACAATATCTGAATTATCTTCCTGGCTCAAATGTACTTAGAATAAGGCAGCATATGCAGTGAATGTAAATTTTCATGATCAGTTATCGCGTATTAATCACGGCTAAATGAGAATATTACCCTGTGGCAGGTCTAGCTGACCCCTCCCTACTAGCGCGGCCTACAACCTGGACCTTTGAGGAGGAATATGCTCTTCCCATACAATTCACCGCCTCGCAAGTGTATGTGCCAAGTGATGTCGGATCTTCAGCGTTAGCAGTCAGCGCAAAAACATCACCAGCTTTGATTTCACGACTATCCTATAACATAATGTGATGGTGACATTAACAACAACATAAATAGGTGACTGATACTGAATTTTATCTATTTTCACATCCTCGAACATCATTTGTAAATTCAGGATCAAAAAAGGGCTTCCTATCGGATTCATGTTTGCCGTTCATATCTACTACGCTTCTTATTTGTATAACTATTTTATTGGCATTTATATTAAGTAGGAATAGAATTTTCGTCTACTTGATATGTTTACTTTTGATCTTTGTTCGACTTAAGATATTTTGTACAAATAATTACACCTCAGTACCTTAAACCAGCGTAGCACAGGCGTCGGGACTCCCACTACCTTGCACTCCAGCGACACGGTGCCTTGCTCCGTTAACAAAGCGCGAAGCTCTTCAACGAATTCCGGCCGCTTGTATGCTTTTGGTACTATAAACGAAATTAAAATAGTCTTTGAAAAAATTTAAACCACACGTTATAGTTACAAAATACTATAAATTATAACTATTCTGTATAGCTATAACTAGATAAATATAAAGCAACATTGTCAATTAGAACTAAATTTACGAAGTATGGTAATGTGGGTGTCGTCATATCACCCGTTCAAATATCTAAAAGTTTTAAAATTATATTGTAGATATCAAACGTCGAAGATATTTCTTTAAGAATTCCCTCACCGAGTACATTTAGATGAGCGGAACAGCTAGCTCGGCCACCTATGTTTTCTGCGGTGCAAGTCCACCGGCCCGCATCCTCCACACTCACAGCTGAAACATCCGCGCACCAGAAGTTACCGTCACGCACCAACGCAATACGCTCGGCCTCCATTAGGCGACGGTCGTTGCGGTACCACGTCACCTGAACAAAATCGTTTATTAGGTTTATATCTATTATTTTAGAGGTCTAACCCTAGAAATAATATCAATTAAAAACAGTAGATTTCGGCTTATTTAAAATCTCTATATAGGCTAGATCTAGGCTCTAGGACGAAAAAAATATTATCATCCACACGATAGTGTACTAACTACCATCATTGTAGCTGTTTTGCAGAAAGGTAACATTGTGTTAATAATAATAAAATAGATAGATAGTGTATATAAACAGATATTTCACTACGCTTTATTAATTTCAAATTTAAGTACTACGTTTCACACTTCAAATGTTTTTTCTAAAACCTGTAAGTAGATTTTATAACATATTTGTGCTAACTGTACATATAGATTAAAGAATATAATTATGAATCACAATAATAGATTGTTCACCAAGGGTGGAAAGAATCAATTCCCGAGGTAGTTAAACGCCCGAAAGCAGCGAGGGCGGCTATGGTCCGAGTTGAAATTAATTCTTTTACACGAGGTAAACACTCTATTTTTCTTTTCGAATAAATGAGGAAAATACAACTAGTAGTTTATCTGATCTAAGTATTTATTGATAATATATCATAATTTTAAATATGGAATTCACCGCGTATTTGTTGCGGCTTATTCCGCTCAAAGAAGTTTGCGCCAAAGAGAATACAATATCTACTAGTTGCGCTAAGTAAGTTCACACTGGCTGTTTAGAAACTCGCATGGCTTCAGAATTTTTTTTTATTTATACATATAATGTCACAGCTGATAATAATTGTATTTTTGAAATTCATTCCGGCCCTTGGGTGGAAAGTAATTTGTATATTTGTATATTGTTTTTCCCGCTCTAGGGAGAGAAAAAACATTTTCAACCCTATAATCAGATCAAAACAACACTACTTTCTCAGTACGAGGAATGAAAAGTAGGTTTTCAGCTCTGACACTTTGAATATTGATATTTTTATAAACTTTCAATTAAGTAGTGTTAGAGGTCAAGCAAGAATTGATCACACTTTTATATACATAATATCTAGCCTCAATTTAGCTTTGTATTTTATCCATTTTCTTGACTAACAACAATAGAACGTTCATCAACAGGAATAGAGTTTCTTGAGACACCACACTATTCCAACATCCAAGAGACCATAAAAAATATGTCAGGGGATAAAACTTATTTATCATTCTACGTACATATCGTTTTGTTAATGAACCTTTTTCTGCCGTAAAAAAATATTTCCTTAATATTAAAATAATAAAAAGGATAGTAAAAATACATCTCCTCGTAGTTATCTTTTATTAATAAAACGACGGATGTAAAGATTTAAAATAGAGAAATTATGTCATTATGTCTGACGTTCGCATTCCCGAAAACATTTCAAGGTCTTTTTCACTCCCTGTGTTTATTGGTATTTACGGTTAAGGTTACTATTCTTAAGAATATTTTAACACTTTCACAAAGGAAAAAGATAGTTTTTATTTTTACACAGAAAAATCTAAGTTTTCTATATTTTTGTAATTATTATACATAAAAATCAACTATGCTTGAAAATTGCTCTCTAGTAGCATTGTAATATTTTTAAGGAACTTTGTCTTAAGATCTCAAAGAGAGAGTAGATTTCAGTATAGATAATTTATATCGGAAGTAACATCCTGGATACGAAGTAGCGTTCTGTAAAATTTACTTACCCTACATTCTGTCGAACTGACAATCTCCACAAGAAACCTGGTTCGGGTCCCCACTTTCACGGTGAGGTCCTGAAGACGCCTTAAAAATGTAGGCGGATCGTCGCCGGTCGGCATTTCGTCCGGGGTCACCTCCACACGTACCCGGGTCGTGTCCTTACCGGCAGCATTGCTCGCCTACAAAAGTTAATACTGAACAATATCGGCTACTAGAGGTAATACTTAAATACTTTGCATAAAATTTAATTATATATTTGGGAAAAGAGATTTTGTACAGGCGGCCTTTAATTCAAATTATTTTATGTATGCGGGAAGCATTGAAGGTTTAAAAAATTTTAATTTATTCTACACAAGAAATCATGTCGAGGTGTGAGTTATGTTCGATACGAATGTCCTTAGGAAAGCCGTGAGTCGTAAAATATACTTTTAATGTTAGTTTCGACAAATGTTTAGATACGAAAAATCCCTTATAACGGTTTACTCCTTTTCTTTAAAATTATACTAATCGTCACATATTACTACACGTCTCTCATCACAAAAATAATATTATGAAAATAGATGACTTCATATTTAATTGAAATATCAAATAAATAACCCTTAGGTATAAAAGAAAAAAGTAATATTTTGTAATCATAAAAGTTATGGCAAAGAGTCAATTGGAGATGAATAAAATGCACAAGCTATAAAATGCTTTTAAATAATCCGTTATGATACTTTTCCAGTAGTCACATAATTTAAGAGCGATTATTATTCAATTAATATTTTATAAACAATTTTGATATCAAAAATTATATTATTATTTATTATGTACTGCCTGATCATTTACCAGTTTGAACACCATAAACGAAACAAAAATTTTTACATTTAGAAGATATGTTTCATAATATGCTCATATGAACGATATCGGAAACCACTTGTTAAAGATGATTTAACTCGGCGAGTCCAAGTCTCCAAATTGATCTTAAAGATATGGGTGTGTTTTGACAAACTCATTAAACCTTATTTACAAAGTAAAAGTAACCATAAAATATCAAATCAAATCGAGAATAACACACTAGTTTAAGAACTACTCACTTGCAGGGTGTATACACCGCTGTCCCCGGATCTCGCAGCAGTGATTGATAGACGAACGCCACCTGCGCTTTGTAAAGTAGTGAAGCGTTCGTTTAGTTTCGCTCCCGCACGACTCCTGAAACGTAATGTGAAGAATAAAATTAAGGTGAAATCCAAAACATTTTTACATTTACAAATAAACACAATATAATAATAATTCCTTCAGCCCTTCACGAGAAACCAGTTTCTGAAAACCTAGATTCATGTGTTCGAGCATGCATGCAGAGACAAAAGGTACATATTAAGTTACAAAAACTAGCTTTATTCTTGAGATATGTAAGAGATACGATTAAGAACAAGTGTTTTAACATGTTAACCTATTTTAAAAAACACTTAGAAGAAGTAAATATGTTTTATTACCGCTGTCTCATAAATATATATGTACATACTATATACACATAGACGTAACTTCTTTATCCATTCAAAAACAATTTTAGTTACAAACTTTTTGCTATTGTAATATTTTTCTCATAAACATATAATTGACCTATGTCCCATAGATAAAAAATACACACTCCGACGAGTTCATGATGACTTAAATACAGATGATGCAAGCTACAATGATGAATGGAAACAGTTGGCATGTCATAAGTTTTCCTGATGGAGCCAATATATGTAACTAGTGTATGTAGCCCTAAATACCGATAGAAAGGATGTTAAAACAAAAAAAAATGAAAATAAAGAAATAATTCATGATAAAAATATTATAAATAGATGACTGCTACAGATAGGGTAGTCAATAATTTATTGATTATATAAGTTATTTAAATAGGAACTGGGACAGAATGAGTATTGCTACAGCAGGATGCTTCTAATAATAGTATATCTGATCTGGTAAAAATAGATAAGTTTATCACGCATCTTTGTACCTGGAAATAGGTAAACCAGATTCATCATAACAATATTACTATAATAATTCAATAAGGTTTAATTTTTATAACAAAACTGAAGTTAAAACTCATGACGTAAGTTTACATAAAACTATCAATAAAAAGAAAGGAGATGTCATGTATTTCTTAATAATATATCTACTTCACGACCCTTGATTTCATAATTCGCCGCCGCCCGCCCGTCACCGAAGTTCTTAGTCTAAAAATAATTGCATTTGAGACGTCAATGCCGCGGCCAAACGCGTAGCACAATTACTTTGTTCCTATTCGCGTACATTTACTCATTTTAAATTAATCGAATCTGTTTCAAATATATAATCGATACTTGAACAACAAGAAAAAAAAAACATTTTTCTCATCGCTAAATGCTCAATTATGTTAATCTCAGCAACGACAACACCGTTTAAACATTCTTGTGTTAAATATTTAGTAACATAAAAAGTTCGTCGAACTCTCCTTAAATAGAATTTCTAAGTAGTTGAAGGAAGAATATAATGAAATAGCAAGTTAACTTAATTTATTGGTACTTATAGGTAGACAACAAAAGAAAAACAGGCGCGGAAGATTATTTTAGTTAAATTTAGTAACAACATTATTTTATGTAAACATAAAAGTCATTCAGATTTATTAACATTAGAATACAATCGCAATATTTTTCTGGATAAATGAAACTCTATAAATTGCATTATAATATGTATTCAATATTCTACATTTGATAAAATATTTATGAGTAGACCTCTACCTTTACATTATAATAAGTTAGTTTTGAAGATGATAACTTACATTAATAAAAAGGAAAGTAATTAAGGTAACAGAAAAGTTAAAGAATGAAAAAAAAATCAATTCACATGAAATGAATGATATCAATTAAACTATTTATAAGTTTGTTAAAATTATATTAGTAACACGGAGGCACGTCTGCCAGTTACGTGTTTTTAATGACATGATCATGCCTACAGATAATCATTGGGAAATATATTAGTATTATATTACATATAAATTATTGTGAGATATTTAAATCTCTTTTTTGTTTCAATTGTACACTTTTTAATGATTAGATTCTCACAAATAAAAGTTAAAGAAAAGGTCTTTCATTTGAGATTAACTATCGTTTTAGTGTCAAAGCTGTTAGTGCTAAATATTTGTCAATTTATAGCTTGTTATAGTTTTATAATCAACTACATTTATAGTGCATCTTCCTGTCAGTTTATAGATCAATGCAATCGTTCCTCTTCCGCGACCTACATACGGAATGATTGTTTATCCTACGTAGTAATAATAACTGTAATAAGAAACATGTGGCCTTTAAAGAAAATTAGGCTATGTTAATACAGATAAAAGTATCATAAAAAACATATTTCTGTCTATGAATTATATTAAATCAGAGGGAATTCCGACTTTTAACGGCTGTGGTATGTGAGTAAATTATAGTCGAAATTTACTAGGTCATTCATGTCACCGATACGTTATTTAAGTTTTATTTAAATGTAATGACAACTATAATTAACAGTAGTTGTTACTAATAAATATTATTAGTATAAATGTTCATATTATTTTGTTGTTAAAAGCAACATATGTATATTTGTAACAAACACAATAACCTCATAAATAAGGTACCACAGAACTTTAGCTATATAGTAAAGTTATTTCTAACGGTCCGGACGCAGGCATAAAGTGAGATGATTATAAATAGAGAACAATCAATACTGACTACGCCGAAATGAATAACAATTTCTTTAAAATATTTATATCAATTTATTGTAATGTCTGAAGCCCCTACTGTAATCTTGTTTAATAACCGACGAAAATTTATGAATGAAAAACTGATAACTCTCCATATGAAGTGGAATTTAAGTTGGAAAAATTGGATGTAACTTTTAATAATTTTTTTTTTGGGAACATTACTTAATTTCTGATACATTTACTCTACATTCTACACTTTTTTTATTACAAAATATATATTACATCCTGCATAGTATATAATCATGAGGAACTAAATGTATTAATTAACATAAAAACTTACCTGTGCATTGACGACATTTGTAAAGTTATTTTGTAAAGGTAGCTTTAGAAATTTAATTATTAAGTGATGCTAGCGAAGCGAATGGAACGCTATACTGGCGACTCAGGTCATTCATGCACGGAGATGATCTCTGCAACCGAATGTCCGATCGACTCGAGGTTTTTTTTGTTCAATAACTCAGTTATCTAGGGCGTTTTTATAAAAGAAAATTTAGATCTGACCAACAATTTCAATTTCAGCATCGGTAACGAAACTCTGAGATCGCTTCACTCAACTCACACCGAAACCGTTTTATCGAGCAAAATAAAAATGCAAAGGTGCATCTCCTCTCGTAGTTTTCTTTTTTAACATAATGGTTTGAACAACTATAGTAAAATTTAAATGGACCTGACTACCGTAAAGTGTTAAATAATGTGTTCTAAATCTTTTATTTGGGTCTTAATTTTTTTAATTGTCATCACCCAACATACAGACAAGTTCACTTCTACTGATGACGTATAATTGGCTGCGAATATGGCATTTGCAAGATTCGCAATATAATTGGATATACGCCAAGTAGTTTATGATTAAAAAACATTTTTTATTATCGACTTAAGAAATACGATGTTCATAAATTGACTGCATTTTTACGCACGTTCGTTCTCTATAGCTACATCTACTTACAATCAGATTTGATAATTCTCCTCGATATAGCGATGTTATAATGAATAGGGTTAGGATAAGGGTAACATTACTTTTTTTTAGTGTATTAAATTCTTAAATCGAAATTTAAGAATTTAATACACTTTTTTCTTTAAGCATTATTTAAATGTGTGGAAATGAAGTACATATTTATATAATAGGTATTAATATACCTATCTACTGATAACAACAAAAATTCAACTGGTACATATACTCGTAACTTTAAAAGCAAGTTCTGAATTAATACCTAATTTTGGTTATGTCACAATAGAATAATACCTGACATAATTTACTAAGGTGATACAGAGAAAAAAATTAAATATTCTGAGTAGAAATCATACCGTACCTTACTATTAAAATAATTGTTTAAACGACTTGTAGAAAACATAAAGAAAGAAACAGCTCTGTTTAATATATTTTGAAAAATAGCTTTTCCTCTTTTTAAAATTATTAATGTAATTCAAATTTATAAAAAAATTGGATATAAAAAAAATAACATTACTAACAATAATGTATAAAACGCATAAATTTTTCAACTATAAGAACTCATGCTTACACAAAGATTTAAAAGATTTCTATGCGTTTACTTTTTAAAAATTCCGACAAGCCTTTATTCTATATCACTTTGAGTCTAACAGAATGTTTTAAAATGTATATTATTGTGTAAAATCAAGATAACTTCTTAGAATGAAATCAAGTTTATCAATCACATTAAAATTAGGAATATTCCAGGAACACCTTAAGCACTTAAGGTGTTAATGAAAATACGTTTTTATTATTTAAGCAAAAGCAATTTAACCAAGCGAAAGTAACATTATAGATTACACACATTTGACGTAAATTTTTTGTCTAAAATGTAACAGAAAATACATTAATAATAGCATTATTAAAAAAAAAACAAGTGGCCGAATTCGATTTATCTGATGCACAAAAAAAACCGTAGAAGAATGTCTGTACAAAGACGAAAAATACTAGAAACTGAGTTAGGTTACAAAGAATTCAAACAAAAATCTTTTGGACGTTTTTTTTATTATTCTTGTTTTGTTTGTACGGACTAAATTTCAAAACAAATGGGTCAATTTAAATATTTTTTTATATGATGGTGTCAATTGTCAAAGTATATACTTAACTGCCGGTAAATTATAGAGTTCCTGCGGCATTGTTAAAATAGTGTAATTTTTTAAACATTTTTATTTCAAAAAACTTACTTTGTTATTCTGATATTTTTTTCATTTTTGTTGTTTTCATCTTTGTTCCGACTAATTTCTTCAACAGCTTGATCTGTTTGGACTTGAATTTCACTCGCAAGTAAGTAACGCCATAAGGAATAAATCAGGCCAATTTTTAACCGACTTCAAATAAGAGGAATGCTTCAATTCGAAGGTGATTGTTACACTATTACTCCTTCAATTCAAGGCCATTCAATATTATTTTTAAAAGCATTGTCAAATTACACTTCCATTGTCTTCAAATTAGAATCTCGTATAGAGATCCAAGAAAAATAATTAAAAACTCAAGAAATGAAAAATTATTATTGAAACAAATATCTCAAAGCGGATATGATTTGTAGGGTAAAGCCGCAGTCAACAGCTAGTAATTAAAAAACAAAGCGATGAATAAGAGTGTCTTTGCTTTTGAATTTCTTTTTTCACGAGATATAAAAATGTTTGTAGAATAAGAAAGTAGTTGTATACTTACCTGTCTCAATACAGTTAGCATTTTTACATTGCTACTCTTGTAAAAGTATTTTTTAAGAAAGTCTTGAGATTTACGATTTGTTTGATTACAAATAATATATAACATTTAATATATATGTATATTAATCATGTTACTTATTAAGTTATTGAACTTAGTAATGTGCAAAAAAGTAAGCAATAAAGTATTGCTTAAAGTTTTGTAATTTTACATACCGTTTAAAGTTTAATACTTCATTATTATTAATGAAAAGAAACCGCCGCAAAAAAAATCATTATAAATTCCATAAGACAAAAATATAATTTACTTTCATTCCTAGCGACTTGTCAAAAAATAAGAGTAGAATTAAAAATCGTCGCGACCTACATGTGAAACATTTCAGGGTGAAGAGTAAACAAAAATACCTTCTATTTTACATTCATTCTACGATACGTAGCTACTCTATTATTTTTACGATTCTGATGTCACATACACTTTTTAATGGATTGTTTACTAGATGAAACTGAAAAATAGAAATCAATATATTTACAGTATGATATTAAAGCGTCGTAACTATTTCAGTAACGGATTTAAAATGCGCTATAGCTACACTTATTTCTTAATTTTGAACTTTTTATATTACATGAATGTAGATATATATTACCTATATTAGATATCAAACAGAAATCTAGATACAATTAAGTCAAGTAATTTGTGAAAAAAATGTAAAAAACTAAGTTTGAGTGAAATTAATAGATATCTATATATGTATATTATATATTTTGGAGAAAAGTCTATGAATCCTTTTTAAATGCGTTGTAGTTAGAATAGCCATCGTTAAACTAAGAATATTTTAGTTTAGTTTAAGCCTAATTATTTTCACAAAGACTTTTCAGTTTTTTTAGACGTAAGCCGTTACTTTTTTAAATTCACACGTTAGAATGAATTACTTTATGAATTATATTTAGTTCCTTTTATTTTTGTTGATAAAAATTAGTCACAAAACCACAATAATTATTTTACAACAAACTCTAATAATAATTTTTAAAAAATCCTTCAGTTGTTTCGAATTATATAAAAAAATTACATAAGAATTTACGCACTAGCTATATAATAGTAAATATTAATAAACATTTTATATATATTACACACTACGTTGGCACTAACTCCGTACACTAGGCTGTTTGTCATTACTAAAAGGGAACCCTGGAGAGGATATACTCTGCGTTATCAGTCAGATAAATACCTGCTGTAAACAGAGGATCCCGACCTCACGACGGGTTTCCCTGAAGCATCACCCTTGCAACAATTGCTGCCCATGGCGGGAGCACATCTCGTTTCGAATCGAGTTCGCGATAGCTAGGCGCGTACTGCGCCAGCGGCAAGATATTTTTGTATAAGCGCTACTAGCGCCGCTATTTGTTTACCGTTATCGCCTCAAGAATTTGGGGGCTATCGGAGTTACATCAAAATTTCCTAGAAATTCTTTTAAAACAAATATTTTCATTAAATAAGAAATCATTAAAGATTTTGAAGAAGCATCAAAGTTGTATAAACGTCGACGAGATTTCCCGTTAGGATGTCGTTGTTATCTCTCCATAAGCGCGAGATGGCATAAGTACCTACTATATCCAGAGGACTAATATAGGGCAACAATTATAAACCGTGTACTCGAGATGGCGCTGTAATAAATTTTAAACAAAATACGTATACAGTCTTATATACTTGACATCGTCAATGCTTGATTTACAGGGAAAATATGATAGTAACTTACGAAATTAAACGCTAACAATGTTACATATGTATATCATATTCGACATTGATATTGTTATTTCAATATTTTACCTAATTACATATAAGGACGGAAACAGAATTCCTTTCAACGCCATGAAAACATGAAAAAATAAGTTGAACAAAAGCTTTAAAAATCAACACTTTAAAAATTTAAACGAAAATTATTTGGAAATTATCCAACAGAAAGTAAAAAAAAATTTAAACTTGTATTAATTTACAATATTGTTATGAATACTTACATTTATATCAAAAACATTATATGGCTAATATTTTGTTTCAAGGATGCGCATTCGACCGAATTTTATTTTTACTCTTGATGCATGTTGCACTCAAGCATTATAATCCGATAGACGTAGGTCGGTAAGTACTTATACATATTATTATACATCTGTTTCACATTATATAGGTGGCAAAGCAAATAGTCGGCCTTGAGAAGCTTTTTAGTAATTAATAATACTTTTCCCTGTACAAATCGTGCAACTGAACAAGTGTCGAATGTCTCCAACACAGCTTCCTGGTCTGTATTTATACATCGACATGTGAAAAACAAACAACGCTTGCCGGCGAGACAGCCGCAATATGTACTCACTTCAATATCATGCTCTGTATGACGGTGAGTTAGGGCTCATTATCATAATCATATCACTATTATAAGTTAATATGAAAATTTTTGAGCTTAAAAATCCGTTCGTAAACACTTTCATTTAACGGAATTTCACTAAACACATTGTAGAATTTTAGTGCGTGCTGGTTGGTATAAGTTTAGCTGAAAATAGCACATACCATTCGAATTGGAAAGGTGACGAGCCGGAGGGCAGTGGGAGGTCGAGGCTGGCGTCGGCTCCGAGGGCCGCCCTCAGGACGTGGGGACCTGCGGGGAACGATGGCGGCTCCATAGACTCCAGTCCTCTCGGTCCGCGCGCGCCGCACCGTGTGCGCGAACACTCCCGTTCGCTTTCTATAAATAATACCAAAAAATGTAACACGCGCGGAGCGAATTTCGTACGAATATTTTGCTAACATCACCTTTGTCATCTAACCTAAACAGCTGATTCGGATTAACATCAATATTATACATATTTAAAAAAATAGCATTACATAATAGGTATAACAAGACAATATTATGTAAATACCTATTATTACGGCTCCATTTTCATTTATATTTTTTTACCTACATCATGGTTAATGGAATACGGCGTCCAAGTATTAAGACGAGTTTAACCATCTGGTTCATGAGGAATAGTTAGTAGTATTTTTATGTACAACGTCTGATTGCGTTTCAATCTGGTTCAGGTTTTACGCTTTTTAGGTTTGTATCTCGAGAAACCAAAGTATAAATTTTAAATTCCATATAACAATATATAATTCTTAGATGTCTAAATAAAACGCTTTATTATGTGGCAAACACCACACTAAAACACGTAATACCTACATGTTACCATTTTAAAACGAATATAATGTTTGTTTTTTTACGAACAAAATATATAAAATATGCCTAAAAATCTATTCTGTTCCATTTCACTTCCAAAGCATTTATTATTAAGAGTTAAATGAAAACTTATCCTGAATGGTCACCTTAAGAAGATATTCACAATTCACTATCTTTAAGGGTAGGGAGCGGTGTGTCGAACTTGAACCCACTAATATCCCCCGGTGTTCCTAATCAACTTTGTGACGGTGCTATGGGATCCTGGAAGTAAATTTTCCCCCAGGACCGTTTATGGGCCGCTAGCTCCACTTCTGAGGGGGCCCTACGATGTTGAGACTGACTGCATTGCCGACCCGGGTGTCCCCATGTCCTGACCCAGCTGGTCACCACCAGGAAGGTCGGCGAGACTGAAGGAAGGCCTCCTCGTACGCATCCTTCTTCGCTTGCGGAGTGAAGGAGCGAGATTTTCGTTGTCAATCTGCCTTTTCCTTCTGTGTAATGACGTCCTAACAGAAGGTGCCAACTTCCACCCAGGCCTCCTTTCTGCAAAGCATCGCGTCGATGACGTTCCAAAGGAAGAGATTGGGAGCCATCACATCGGTCAATGGCGATCGCTGAGTGGCCTACGACGGATACCGCCATCATATGCTTCGCTGAATGCTCCGCAGCGCCATAATGTGGGCAAGACGGACACTGGAAACAGCTGTGACCGGTAATTAACTATGATGTGATACTTTAGATATCTTCGACCGGAAGAAACCACAGCAATGCGTGCCCCCCAATTGCAGCTCTCTCTCGTGGCGGAATCTCGCGTCTTTCTTGAAAAAGAATCGCGCTCTTCGAATGTTGGAGGAGAATGTCCCGCAGACCGCCCCATCTCCCTCCAGCGGAAGAACTGTTCCCGTGTTCTTGCTTCTAGGGCCTAGGGTGGTGTGCCAGCTAGATGAACGAACTATTTCAGTAACAGTAGTAACTATATATTTAGAATTTGTTGAACGCTCCGTTTTGGAAGTATTATACCCTTTGCGGTTCCAAAAATCAACTCACGAAAGTCACGCCGAATTCTTGTGCATTTCATTTTCACCGTATTCTGCTAAAGACATTCGACCGGAAAAGGCCAGCTTTGCCACTTTGCCTAGGCATGTCAGTAAATATAAAATATTCTTTGACATCTATGGCATGGCATGGCATTAAATATAACCAAGAAAAAGATTCAAAAAATGTCCCATCTTTTGCCAATCGGCTACCTTACATTCGCCTTTCATAGTGAATCCTGTTAACATGAAGAGGATATATCAATTCAGAATTAATCAAACAGTGGTATGAGGTTCCCAATGGAGATGAAATTTCGAGAGTTTATCTAACGTACCTACCTAATTGGTTGTAAGCTGAACATCCACTGCCTTTACCAATTGAAAAGACTCAACAATAGTACAAAATTACGCGATTCTCTCCAAGTTTAGCCGGTCAGCTCATATTGAAACAACCAATTTTGATAGCGAGTCTTAGTCTAAAGGAACATCTGTGATGCATGGTATCGAAGTAGATTCACATCAGTAGCCTTTTTAATACTTTTCCATTAAAATTATCTTATAATTTGTCCAATGAGAGTTTTGAATAATAATTCAATCATCTTGTTGTCTAAAAGATTACAGAATAATTTTAAAATCATAATAATTTCTGTGTTCTTTGCTGTCGATATTTAAAATCTGTGGTAAAAAATCTGCCGACAGGTTTCTGGCAGTATCCATTAGAAATTGTTTACAGTACTTCCTACATCGTATGTAAAAATCAGACCTCAGACTGTAAGTACAAACTAGTACAATTACTCACTTGTAGCAACTGGTACATGAGAAAGGTATCATATACGTCGATATATAATATATATACATATGTACATCGGTATCAACTATCAGATGTACACGTTTAGTGTATACAGACTACTCTATTATATATGTTTTGTCCGTCAGAAAATAAATAAGATTTGGCAGCCCTGGAATGTTGCTCTATTATGTATTATCTTCTTTAAATACTTTCCCTGTGATAATTTTGTTTTTAAATATTAGATACAATGCCATGTCTATGTATTGTAGTATGAACGCGTTTTTAAGTTTTAACAACCTCGATAAAAAATAATTAATCAATAAATATACAATATAATTTTCTACTTCGATTTCTTATAAATACATCTTAGGTGTGGAATTAAATTAAAAATAGAAGTCACATTTATTTATTCATCATACTACAGTTTCAGTTACATATATATTTTTAAGATGACAATAATCCATGCTGAGATAAAATGAAATTTAGAGACTAGATCGTTACTAAAACTTAAGTATTCAAGAATTAAAGTACAAGAAGATTAAATTAAGACTAAAACTGCTAATTGAATATAAATCTACAACACACGTAAAATATTATCAATAAAGATCTTTTTTAATGCTATGGCTTCATTCACACTGGAATTGTGGAATATTTTGCCAACGTTCTTATTTGTTGACGAATTGTAATCTTAAGAACTGTGTGGAGGAGACACGAAAGAGTCTTAATGAAGATATTTTATAATTACCGGAACAAAATGATAAACTATATGACACTGACATTTCAACATCAACTGGTGTTTACATCGTCACCATAAAAGACAAATTTAAATGTATTTTAATATGTATAAATCCATCTTAAATTACATTTGTCGTTAGCATCCAAAATAATACTGCATAATTAATTATAATGAGTGATAATCCCAAGACTTCCTACTTTAAATTCCAGTTTTAATGACTTTGAGTACTAATTGGATGTCACATTTATTATTTGTTTTATTAATAGATTATAACATATCAAATTAACTTACTCGATTTGTTATTGTACGACTGTCCAACATTATTATAGGTAAAGTATTTTAATCACAATATCAAACATTCTTCAAGTTGATCTAAGGTAATAGCAAAATATTTGTAGAAAGAGTAAAGATACATCAAAAAGTCGTGCGCAGTCTATAATTTACGATTAAGGAATTACACTTAACAATTACAGGGAATGTCCTAAAACATGCACTTTAAATTTAACATACTGATGGTGCAAACTATAATTTTACACTTTTCTTAGACAAAGGCATAAAATTGAAAACATTTGATAATTAACATCAATGTACTTTCCAAGCGAACGATGAAAAATCGATTCTAAATTTATTTTAGTGATTGTTAATCTAGTTCGAAGCCGTGTTAACTATTTTACTACTCAATATCAATAATTCTTTACTTTAGACGAATATTGAATATACATGCTCACAATCTAAGTCTTATAAGGTAGAACTTCCACAATTTTTGAAATAACTTACAATCTATACTTAAATTCTAATAAAATGGAAAAATATCGTATGTTTTATGGAAATAGCAGTTATAAAGGTTTACTTTGGTTTGTAACATATTAAATGCTTTCCTTTAAAGATCTAAGTAACTATAACTATAAAACTTCTAAGAACATATATCAATGCAAGTGCAAATTCGAGAAAAATATTACGAAAAAATGTTTTTTTTTACTTCATAAAGCAGGTATATAAGTCACTATGAAATCTTAATTTTTCTAATACAATCTACAGTATATCAAAGCTTCTATAAGAATATATAATCTACCAAACACTCATATCGCAGATGCACGTTCACTTGAATTCGTCATCACAACGGCTATCGACAGCCTACCCTCATTTAAATCACTAAGCAGAAACACTTAGGCAAAATCTATACTAAAATATATTAATAGAATATAGCAAATACTTTTTTTTAAAATATAGAATGACAGATAGATGAATTCATATATATTTATGAGAAAATAAGATTAAAAATATAAAAATAGGGATTAATATGTAAAAATTTCTCTAAATCATTTTTTTTGATCCCAAGGAAGGAATAAACAGTCGAAAAAAAACATATTTACAGTGTCGTTTATGTTAGAAGTGATGTAACTTAATTCTAGTTCTCTTAAGACGTACGTGCATGCATTCTACATATATTACAATATTGAAACGTTTGTCAACTTGCGAGAATTTACTATCAAAATTCGAAGAAGCGTCCACGAAAACAATCGGTCGACAATAATTTTTTACTACACTGCTTTATAATAACGACTCACTCTATTGACTATCGGCAGAGTGAGTTTGTTATATTCGTAGACTTTACCAAATTCAAGACACAAATCGAAACATTATATGAATCAAAGACAATGTATATTTCTATAATATGAATCTATATCTATACCTTTAACATCTATATTTAAATTTATTTCTATTTCCAATTAAACTTTTATAATAATTTGAAACACGTCATAATTATAAATAAATAATGTTCAATGAAGTTCTGGCGGAGAGTAGATTACGTGTCACTTTTAGAGGAAATAGGTGACTGTTAAAAATTTTGGTTTAAGAGATAGACTATATAGACTGTTAGAACTTCATCGAAACAAATTTAAATTCTTATCACTACAATGAAGGTCTTTTAATAATATTTTTGGGATTTATTGAACTTTAAAAGTTTTTGTAATTTGTGATAACAACTACAATTTCATTTTTTTGTATTTTCCATTGCTATTTCACTACAGCAACTAAAACATACCTAATATAATAAGATAAAAAAACAATACTGAGATCCTTTAGGCCAGTCCTTTAAAAGGCTAGAGATCAAAAGGTTATAATTAAAGAATTGCTAATAAGCAATCACTTAGTCGATAAACTACATATTATATAGTTATAATATCATAATACGCTTTACACGGAATCAGATTTAATTGAGATATTTAAACATGTGCCAGATCAGGCATGTAGTTATCGTTGAGTGTGAGTGTATCCTTGTGGAGCGTATTGTCAGTTAGTACGACGTTTCCATTGTCTTCGATGACGGTGTCTTTGATGGAGACTGTAACGTTTCCATTCTCCTCGCACAAGCACGACACGGTGTCGTCCACTGCTACGGTCACAGTCTGTCCGTCATCCTTGGAGTAGTTGACCATCATTTGTGACAAGTTCTTCTTCTCGGCCTCGGCCTTCCTCTTCCTGCGGCGGCCGTCGAAGTTGGCCGGAGGATTCCTCATACTGTCCGAAGATGATGACGTCTGGCGATGGAAATATTTGAACGTCTTGCGAATGCCGCAACGGCAGCTGCTCAAAGCATTCTCACGCCTATAAATACATTTTTAATCAGTGACTTAAATATTACGTCTATGTATTGTTAACAAACCATCCTGTATTTTTTTAAGAAATGATATATCGCATTTTCCAATTAGTAAAATAACAATAGTACATACATGTAAATAAGTTAAAATTATAGACATAATTTTTCACTTAACAACTGCGGGTTGGTAATAATATTAAAATACGTACTCAGCAATGACCCTCTCACGCTGTTCTAACTGAAGGCGCACAGCACACACCTCCATATAGAGCTCATTGGCTCGTGACAGTTGCTGCTCGTATACATAACGAACGTCACGAGCGTGTTTCAAGTGCTCACGACGCTGTGCGACAGAATCTGGTGCTGTTTTGTCATGCCTGAAGTATAACACCATTATTATATATACTCATATAATAATTATTAAGTATTAAATCTTAGTATGATATGTATGAAACCTACTTGGCGTAGAGCCTTTCCATGGCCTGATGAACTTCTTGGCGCCAGCGAGCTTGTGTGTTATTAAAGCTTTCCGTGTCCATAGAGCACAAATCTTCACCCGCCATATCCAGGTGAGCGGCAATGATCTTGAATGGTGGTCTACAATGAAATGAAACATATAGTTTGAAGAATATATATGTATAAAAAAATAAAATAAGTATGGCATTGAATATACCTGCTGCGAGGTGTACGATTCCAGCATTGATTTATGAGCAATTGCAAACTGCTAGGGCAAGTAGTTGGTATTGGGAGGGTTATAGTATCAGTACCCACACCCCACATTATAGCATGAGTTTCAAGATTTTTGTAAGGAACTTCCTGTGTTAGAAGTTCCCACAGAACAACCCCATAGGACCAAACATCAACCCTCTCAGAACAGGGCTCATGACGGATTACCTCTGGAGCCATCCAGGCTACAGTTCCAGTGAAACTCATTATAGCACTAACATCATTCCATTCACGACTAGTACCAAAATCACTTACTTTGACCACAAGATTGTCTGCAATCAATATACTGAAAAATAAATTGATATAAGTTCAAGATAAATAAACAACACAGACTTATTTAAAAAATATAATCATTTCTTACTTGGGACTTTTCAGATCACGATGAATGATCTTATGTGTGTGAAGATAGCTCATGCCAAGTGCAATATCCCTCCCCCATCTGATTATTTGCTTAGGTGTGAAGGAAACTCCACTATGGAGAAAGTCAAATAGGGGCCCATACTGACAATACTCCATTACAATACAGTAGAATGGAGACACTGTACAAACACCCCTAAACCTCACTGTAAACAGAAGAAAAATATTATGATTATACATAGTAGGTAAACATTTGAAAATGTTGATTTAAAAATACCATACCAATATTATCATGATTTAGTTTCCTCAGATGTTTTATATTTGCTTCGCTTTTATCTCTCAATTTTTTCACTGCCACCATTTCTCCTTTTAAATTTCCACCAAATACAACTCCCTGTGCTCCAGATCCAAGATATACCATATCAGTAATGGCTTCAAAGGGTACTTCCCAGTCATCCTCTGTCAAAAAAAAAGAAAAGTTTTCAAAAGAATCACTAAAAAAACAACAGTATTGGACTAAAATTTGTTTTTTTTTTGTCAAAATTGAAATTAATAATGGCTACTTAAACAAATATAAATGATAACCAACTAGCACCTCTAGTGTCTGTCAGCTGATTTCTTCAAATATAACTGTTAATTGTGGGATACCACAGCAACTAATACAAAATTTGGAGGAAATTTTGTAGACTATCATTCACTATTCTGATATTTGAGGTGTACACATAACCATAAAATTTCATAAAAAATCTCAGTAGTTTTTGAGTGACGGAGTAATAAAATTCCATCCAGATATCAACCCTTACAAACTCAAATATTTATAACATAGAAGTCTCAAGTAGGTTAATAGGAAGAATCACAAAATCCGAAAAACTTCGCTAAGCATTTTTACATTATATACATAATTATATAAATAAATCTCTTTTATACAAAGCAGCAGCTTTTAAGAGCAACATTTATAAGCAATTTCATAATGGCATTTCTTATACTAAAGTATTATAAAACAATAAAGACATCAGCACAGCAATATGTAATAAATAAAATATAAGTAAAACTAAAGTTACTATATTATTTTATTCATTTCATAAATATTTCTAGAAAACTTCCTAAAATAATATTTATAAAAGTTTCATAAAATTTTACAATTTCCTATAAAAAAAAGGCAAATAAAAACAAACAAAAGAGTTACATATAAAACAGGTAAGGCATAAGCAGATATTATATTGATATGTATGCAACAGCTCTGCAAGAAAAATCAATCAATCCCTCTTCCTCCCTCTCAACCTGCGTGGCGCATCGACCTTGGATGCGTCCCTGTAATTGCATCTAAGCGAGCCCCGGGAATATTTACGTAATGAACAAATGTATACGCCATACATGTCATACACAAAAACTTACCTTGAGATACATCAAATTCAGAAGTCTTAAACAAGGATACCACGGTAGAAAAACAATCGAGTACACCGCTCATCCAAAACATAGTCTTTTTATCACGCTCCAGGGCTGGAGATCCATAGCCTTGATAATCGTCCTTCATTGTATAGCGAGCCGCATTAAACTCAAATTGAGCTAATTGATCCATTGTTTACAGGATACCACAAATGTTCAAATAAAAGCAATCACTGGTTTTAAACAAATAATAACTAATTAGACTCTAAATTCATATTCTTAATTTCATTTCATTGCTATACACCTTCACCCAGCGAAAACAGATAAATGAATGAAGCATATCATCGAACAGCGGAAGTACAAGATGAAGTGACGGTGAGAAAAGGATCAAAGATTTGATTTGCGTGTATAAACGAAAAGGATGCCATAAATAGGGACCGCCTCAAGAATATGAAGGGACGGGGACAATTCCTTTTATTAAAAAAAAAAAATTATAGTGATTGTTAAAAATTTTTGTAAAAAATATCAAACAACATTAAGTTTTTTGTTGAATATATATTTTTTTAATTTATCCTTATATCCAACGAATGTACCACTTACTACAATAAACTGTTGGCAATACTTTAGCAAACCAATATAAGAATATGAAATTGTATGACAAGTTTTCTTTTTTACATTTAGCTATTCTAAAGTATATTTGTTATGCTTAGCAAACTCGACACATTTTAATTAATTTTTTGGTATGTCTTTATAAATATGTAAATTAATTAGCACTTAGCTTATTTTTTATGGAAAACAACTGTGAAATTAAAAATTATGAATTTTAAACCCTACCAACCAAATCGCATTAATGTTTATGTAAAATTAAGCGATAAACCAGTGTATTTCTGCCATACCATTTTCTTAATTAAGTTGATAATAATAAACCAGGGTATATAATGAAAATAAATGAAAAGTTAATATTTATTAAACCTAAGGCTTAAATGCGTGATATTGTTTTTATTATTTAAAATTCTGTGTATTACGGCAATATTTTTTGCACTGTAACAATGACATTTTCCGGGTAACACATCATGACAGCAATATAATATGTCAAAAAATACTTTTAGAATTTAGTTACTAGTGTAATTGACTCTCTTTTGGCTTTTAATTTTAAAATATTTTATAATTTAAATAAAACATTTATAAACTATACTCTATAAATTAAGTGTAAAGATAAAGATACTTTTAGTAAATCGAACTTTTTATACACCTAGTGTACTTTTCGACAATTTTATTTTGACTAAACAAATAAGGACTTCGAACTGTGATGGATAAGAAGATATCTTTAGCCGGATTGTATTCGGCATATAAACGATGGGTTATAAACAATCCAGGAGCCGCTACCGATGTAGAAACTGTCGCTACATGGTCTTCATACTTTGTTGCTGGAAAAATAAATAAATCTCCTATTGTCTCTGAACTTGTTTATTCATTATCGAAGTTACTGTCATTGTTCAATGACCGTTTAATAAAAGAAGCTTACGGAAGTGAAATACTCCACTATAGTTTACAGGAACAAATTAAATTATGGCTGACAATCATTCACTACTGTGAGGTCTTTGTAGAATTAGTTGTAAAGAATAGATGGGGTACACGAGGAAAATGGACTATAGCAACTATTCTACAATTATTTAAATGTTCTTCAGCTCTTGTTTTGCTGTATAAATATAATGACATGCCAATACATCATCCTCCTATACCTGTCTTGCAGAGAAAAAAAATAACAGAGGCAAAAGGTATCGATGACAATTTAAATACCTTCTTTACCTTAAAACGGTCTGGTAGAGTAGTACGTTGTGTAGATGGAGCACCACCAATTGCTTTACGTGACTGGCAACCAGTGAAAATCAAAGATGACATGACCTCACATAATCCAAAGGTTCAAGAATTAATTCAAGCTGAATTAATACATATTTTGAAACCAATAGTACATCTTGCTGCTATGAAAGTTTTTGGCACCAAGTCATGGAAACAATGGCTTATAGCCCTGGGGATGGATGTAGCAAGTTTCAAAATGTATAATCGACATATGAATGATTTGTCATATGAACAAAGACTAGAAATAAGTCGTCGTAAGTTAGGGTTAGTTCTTTATTTGTTACGTAGCCCTATGTACAAAGGTTATTCAAAGAAAGTGATAGAGGGAGTACTGCAGAGTGCTGCAAATTCAATACCGCTCATGTCATTTGTTAGTGGTCCAGTTATTCAATATTTAAGTCATTGGCAAGACATTTATTTTTATATGTGGGCTTCATAGTTTTTTTGGTAACTTACATATACATAATAAAATTTACAGTAAATATGTATATCAATTTTCATATAGTAAAGGGGTTGGTAAAAGATTGTTAACTAATTCATTTCATACTCAACTAAATTAGTGTTAATAAAACAGTCATTGAATAAAATTTTTATATTGACATTAAAGGTTATCATGTTAGGACGAATGTGTTATTTTAAACTTAACTATTGAGATGTTTTATACATGTTTAGTTTTTATGTAAATTTGCAAAGGAATTAAAAAATGGTATTTTTATTTGATTAATTATAAGTATATGTTTTCTGAAAGGGTTGTGGGTATGAAAATTACTTTTTTTACTTTTGTTTTGTATCAAATGGTAGTCAATCACAGAAAAACACTTAGAAATCTAAACTTAATATTAAGATTCGTAGTGATGGTTTTGCATTCCTCATGTTAAAATAATATAGTATAACATCATATTAATATCAAACTATAAAAATGGGTTTTGTTTATATTTGGTGATGTTATATGTGAAATATAACATGCCATTATCAAGTTTATAATGTAAACAAATATATATGTAAGTAAAATAATGTAATCCAATAAAAATAATATACTATTAACTAAGATGGTTTATTTTCAGAATAATCATTAACTTTATTTTATAAGATGACACATTTTTATCTAACATACTTATATTCTTAACTTAAATTGTATAAATAAATAAGGAAATAGTTATAGATTCCACTAAGGAAAATGTCACAAATATATTATTGATATAGCAAGTGGCCCATAGTGAATCACTGAAGAAAAAATCTTAAAAATTATGATAATGGTACCTATATAGGTTAAAACACCAGTGATGGGTATTCAAAACTGCACAATAATTTACAGGCTAAGTGTTAGAAGTAATTTAACAGATACATAGTTTATGAAGAAAATACAATTCCACTACTTAGATGTTGAGAAAATTATGATTACTTACACATCAAATTGAATTTCTAAGACATAATATGCAGTTAGTTACACATGTTGTACTTTTTAATGAAACTAAATATCTCTTTGGGCAATAAAAAATAATTTACAGATGTTTTGTGCTTTATTAATGAATTGTCTAAATGAAACACAATAACATAATCACTGATTACATATAATGTTAATAATAAAAAAGGCTTAAAAAGCATTTGAATAATTCAAATAATAGGCCCTCAAATTAATATAAACTGTATATAAGTAATTGTAAAATACATTTGTAACAAAAATACTATTAAGAATAATTCTTATTGTAGTCATAAGTTTTGTATCAGGCGAGGCAAGAAGCTTTTTAAATTGATACTTTTCATATATCATGTTAAATGATAATTTATTGAATTAAATCTATTATTTTAATTCGACGGATATGCTTATAGAAAGTTATTATCCTAGAGTGGACGCTTAAGGATAGCCTTTTTGAGAGTCACTCTGAGCAAACATTTATATCATAAACAATATTTATTACACAACAGTTTCCCAATAATAAATATTATATGTGAAAATAATTTTGCACTATTGTTGGTTGTATAAGACTATTTTCACAAATAATATTTGTAAATAATACTGTCTGGAATATATTCTTTTAAACACTATAGTAAAGCGCAAAAATTTGTACACATAGCTCAACAATTTGTCCATTAAAAAATACACGTCTATTTTAAATTCTATTTAAATGAGCTACCTTTTGCGAATTAAAGTCATACATATTAAATATATATATAAATATAGTTTCCAATTTAAAATTCATATTATAGAGTATCAGCGCTAATTTTAACGATGATTCAATAAAATATTTTTATTTACACAACAGTAATGACATGTTAAAAAATACAAATACAAGATATTTTCATAAGCGTAGTACAGCGTTATATTAATGGCGTTTATAACATTTTAAAGACCTTTAGTGAATTTTCCACAGAGTTCCTAGTTATTATTATAATATGTTAGTATACCATAATATATATACGACTATAAACCATGATATCATAATTACAATAGTCACCAATTGTGTCTAATAAGATAAAATATTTAAAGCAATAATTTCTGCAAATAATTGTTTATTTATATTTTTGGAGTTTACCTATAAGTCATAAATCTCCGGGTTCTGATGTGCGATAGAATTATTGACATATTAGTTAGTTGTCAAATCTAATGTCAAAAAAAACGTTTGTATGGAAAATAGAAAAGGGCTATTTTTGGGGTTTTCCTGGAAATGATTAAATTTTTTTCAGCTTTTAAACCTTTCCTGAACCTCCACGTACATTTCAAGACCAAGATAAGATAAATCCGTTCAGCCGTTCTCGACTTTTAGTGAGACTAACGAACAGCAATTTTATATATAAGTCATTTTTATATATACATATATAGATAGATTAACGATAACCTTAGTAACTATGAAAGCACTTAGATATTTAATTGGAATCATTAAAATAAACATTTTTTCTACTTTGATTGCGAGACGATTTGTACCAAATTGTAAACAGATATAACATATATTGTAGATAAGTCAGAGCACGACCTAAGATTGCGGCGATTGCACATTCGCTTCTATATTCTCGAGGAAATCTGGAAACAAAAAATCGCCTATAAAACAAAATATATAGAACATTTCACTGTGACACGGATAATTGACATAGATGTACACACACATAATTTTCAACCGACTTCAAAATGGAGAAATTTGTTGCTTTAATTTATTGATAAGATTTAATAAGTAACCATTTGACGTATGAATGTATTTGGAAATATACATATATCTATTTAACCGACTTCAATAAGGAGGAGATTTCTCAATTCGACCGTATATATTTATTTTTTTATAGTCACACATATCCAAAATAATGAACAATGAATTGAAATAGATTATGAGTACATGCGTTGAAAGAGTTTTAGAAAGAATTTAATAAGATCGTATTACATATGTTAAAATTTATGCATTTTGATATACGTATGTATATATCTTTTTTATTAATTAATAAATATATTGAAAAGAATATGTTATACTTACATTTATACTATGACTGGTTTCTAATATTATTAATGTATTTTATACATATATTTTCTAATATATATGTATAAAAAAGATTATAATTGATTAGTTTTGTTCTCGAACAATAAGCAAATAGTGCAAGCTACCCAAACAATCTTATTAAACTTGCCACTCTATATGTATGTACTGTAATATAAACTATTACACACTCCGTTGCTCTTGTAGCGATTTGCAAATAGTAATTTGCAATTAGACGAGCTAGATAACAGGCAGCATCGCAACATGTAAAAGGAATTCACAAATTGAAGCTACGGATTGTAAATTGCCATTCTATTTCGGGAAGAGCAATATGGAAATCATTGAAACGCCACTTTACATACATATGTATTAGGAATTTATTATATATAAACTATAATATATTATATATTATACACTTGCAACATTTTGCTCCACCCCTAACGACTTATAAAAATTCGCTTCGCAATTAACTAAAAATTTTCACACTATAATTAAAATATTTCTATACATTCGCAATTTTTTTACATACAATTTTAATTAATGATAGCCACATAAATTTATATCGTCTAAAAATCGCTTTTAAAATAAATGGTACTGTAAGAACTCGATCTAAAATATTTAAAGGACGTAATAATCAATATAAAAGCAGTTGCTGGAAGCTAACGTGGTAATTGGAAGACGAGATGAATGTGTTTGTTTTGAGGCAGGGTAGAATTTAAAATATATGTTTAATAATACAGTTGTATGTATGTATAATACACTTTTATTTATAATTTGTACCCGTGAATATTAAAATCATTATTGTTTTAAATAAGCGAACATTTTCTTCTCTATATTTCGTTATATATACTATATGGAGAGTCAGAATATATACATATAATAATTACTATCTCGTAACCACTATATCTAGTATGACGCATTTACCGATGTAGTTACGGTAACAATTTCAGCGTCGGATAACTGAATTATGTTCGGTGCAGGATAGCCACTTAATCAAGGCCAAGTAATTTCCCTTGCTCTGATGATGTTGAAAGCAAATTTCCATTCTATGAAAGGTCAACTAAAATTGGTTTCGAGGACGATAAATGGAGATGTTATTTGTGTATGTGAAGGTATGTGTTATTTTTGTTACCTAAAAGTACACAAGTGTTACTTCTTACCAGATCTAATTGTTCAACCAGTCCCACGAGTCGTCGCTGGAACGTTTCTTGATGTTGATATTCTTTATGTCTGGAGGTGGGCTTGATACTCCTACTTGGGACAGGTCTCGGGAGTCCAAGTTATTACGAGCTGCCACAGATTGAATACCTGGCTGGACTTGCTCATTCCTGAGTAACAAACATTTATTAATTATCATATCTACATTATAGATTACAGTCTGGAAGATGCTCATAGTCACCTGTGTCATACACGTGCGAAAACGCACCAAGTCACTACTATCTTAAATAACATATAATACCTGTACACAAAAATATATTTATTGCGAATAATAGTGACAACACTGTCCTTTGACGGAAATCGATAATTCTTAATAGATTTTCGTAACGACGTAAATTATCACTAATGAATATTTTTTTCGTAATATAATGGGATAGTAATTTGCTAAAGTTGAGTTTCAACATAGTAAATAATTATCGAGGTATAGCTAACCAAAATACATAAGCTCATACAATCAGACTTACATTCTCACTTGGTTTTCCCTAACGCACTTTCAAACGTGCCATATCTTAGAATTATCTCATACAACATAGTTTTTCTCGCGTTTTTATGTGTACAAATTTATCTATATATATATACATATTATTCGTAGTATTTTTTTTTATATTACCATTGAGAATACGGCTCAGATGTTGAGTTCTTCATAGCTCCATAGCTAGGTGACTGGAAGTGTGCACTAGAGTTGCTTGAACGACGCATCTCATTGGCACCGCTAAGACTACTCCAGCCGCCGCGATTGTTAACCTGTGTACATATTATTATAAATATATAATAAACTCAATAATATAAATGATAAAAATTACAAAGATAGATCGCATTTTTATAAAACAGATACATGAACAAAAATGACACTATCAAAATAAATCTACTTTGTTTAGAATTTCTACCGAATAGTAATAATATATATCTCATTGATTGCTGAAAAATAGTTACAAAATATAAAATATTGAGAGGCGTCACTAGGCTTAATTTATACAGAAACAAGTTAGGACTTGCGAAACGTTAAAAAAGATTATTTGTTTATATTAAAGAAAATAATTTTCGCAACATAAATTAAATTATTTTGTTTGCACGTGTTAAATTTTATTGAGACGTAGTTTGATAAATTCCTTTCAACGGAATCCTTATGAAGAATACAAAATTTAACTAGGTGACATTAAAAAGGTTATGTAAGCCTTAAATTATATCGTGTATAGAATTTACTACCCATCAAACCTCTCCGAAGAAAGATTCGATTCAAACATTTTACCTAATAAAACAAACACAATATTATGAATGACAAAAACAATTTAGTGTAGGAAGAAAGAAAAATAAATATAAAAGACCCAACCAATATAACACGTAGAGTAACTTAAAATAAAAATATAATATAAATTGTTCTATAACCAAAAACATATTTCTAGTAATAATTAGTAATTGTCATCGGAAATTAAGTTTTCTGATTTCACAAACCTTTGAGCTCACATATGTATTTACGATTTTGCTTTTCAATATTTAAATATATATATATATATATATATATATATATATATATATATATATATATATATATATATATATATATATATATATATATATATATATAAAAACAAAGAGATATTACTCAAAGAATATTTCTAAAAGTAGAAAAAGGAACGAAAGAATTCATCTCAAATATATTTTTATTTTAAAATTCTTTCATAGTTCACGTTTCACTAAGTCCCGTTTCATGTCAAAGGATGCAATGTAGCTCGCAATATAAAATATAAAAATAGAATTCTAGTTATGATATTACCAGTACTACAAAGAATTTTTTTAAATACCTATTCTCATAGAAAAGTCGTTTAGTATATACAGACTCGTTAATGAAATATTAATGTCAAAAAGTAATCAATTACTTTATAATAAGAATAAATTGCCTTTGCACAGATTTTTTTTATTACAAGCCTACATATTAAAAGCCCATCTCACGAAAGCGTTTCAATTTACACGCCCACTCTATCCGACAATCAATAATGGGATATGGTATGAGTTATAAGTTCGAAATATGTAGGCATCATAAATATTTGAAATTTGATTTATAATTACACTATTTTTAAAATGTATTAAACAATGTTGCACATACTTTTCACATGGAACCAGTCATTTTTATAACAACAATCGTGTTATTACGAAAGGCAATAACAATTAAGGTGTATGATAATTATTGTATCGATTAGTTATAAGGAACTATTGTAAATAGAAGCTAATTAATGTTTAAATATTTAGGCAGTCAATTTAACTAAACCGTCCACAATTATGATATCAGTAAATGTAATATCTATAAATGAGAATGATACTTTTATACAAAATTAATTCAAATTATTTATAATAGAACGCAGGTACAGAATAAATACCTTAGTATCATATATAACAAGGGAAATGTGTACTACTTGTTTTATTAAATGTGCTATAATTGTAACGTATGATAGTCGCATCGATTTTTCGAATCGATTGGTTTTTAATAATAGGCAGTAAGGTAGTTTAAATGTATTTTAGGTCAAAAATAATAAATATGAAGTGAAAAGAAATGGGTTACAATCAATAAATAGACAATACAATACATAACCAACATTTGTATATGTATATTTTATTCATAAAATCAATCTTTTCTAGATATTGTTTATTAACTAAGCGATTTTTCTTTATTATATCCAGACGTTTCGAATTTTAGCCGTAAATAACAGATGAACACACAATAAAGGAATAATTATTAACTTTATAATTTTATTTTTACATTACCTTCTCAGTCACTGTGGAAGCCATTTCGGATACCTTCTGCGAGGCCATCCCTCCATACTTGACCGCACTCTCGGTGGCAGTACGAGCAGCCTTAGAAACGGACGACGCGAATATTGACCAGCCCTTGATGATTAACATAATATATTAAAAAACACCAGGGTCTAAATAAAATTATAGTTACAGTCAATATAATTTAAAAACATACAGTAGCTAATGAAGATAGTGTATTGTCAACGATCTCATGCCCACTGTGGATGGGTGACATAGGAGTTGACTGGGACTGCTTCGGAGTATTCCCGAATCCTGTATAACGTCCGCTACCGTACTCGCTACTGTGAAACATATCGTACAAATAAAATACATACATTTAATACTAATTCCTAGTATATAATGTATATAATGTTAACTTACTGGTAACTGATGTTATTATCTGAGCCGCTGGTGTGGAATGTGTTATCTCCAGAGGAGTAGAAGGACTGTGATTGGCTCCAATCTGACGGTCTCTCGACTACATCCGGCTTGTAATCTGATGGACTCCAATCACGACCCTCAGCGAGAGCTGCTATCTATCATGAAAATATTAATTTACCATTCCGGTAATTAAATTTATAATTTACAATGTGCCTTATTTTAAACATATAATTCTAAAAATAAATCACGAATTGTAGCAGTTAATTGGGTAATATTCCTTCTATTCAACATACAAGAGAAGGATCTGGATTATTCGACCATTATTCAATTAAACGAACTCGTCTTCGATGCTAAATATAATGATTTTCTACTAAGGACGATGTATGAATAAATTTTCAACACAACTTATACAGACGACGAAATCATTCATTCATATATACCATATGGGTCTATATTTTCGAAAGGCTTTTCAATAACTTAAAGAAGGTATATTACTTCTATCTCTATTCTAAAGAAGAAGGTTTATTACTTCTATCAAATACAGCCTTTTATTATGTAATACGATCGTTCACCATATCTCCTAGATAAAGTAATACACCTATTTATATTTATGTATAAATTATATGGAAATGTTGGTCTTTGATGATATTACTAGAATTAAGCCCATTTGTATACCTATACAGGGTATTCGGCTCGCCACAAAACACATCTCCCTTAAAATATACCTCAAAGATTAACACAACCAGAATAATAAATAATACTGATTCAGTTTTATACATTTCTGTAAAATGTCATGAGAGATTATAAGATAATGATTATGTTATTCAAAGAGTACCTTCTTATAATGAAATCTAAGATTTTCGCGACTCGCGAGTACTAATTTAAATGAATTTAATATTTTCGGATTCACTACGCGATATTTTATTTTTCACTATAAACTACATACTCCCGACGTTTTGGCTACTTTACGGCAACCGTGATCACGGCCAGACGAGATGTTGTTTTTAAAGTTACCTAATTGTTAACATCATAAAGCTAAAAGTTATTAATTCAGTCAATCCCCAGCGGTTAATTCTTTAAATATTGGTATGTTTATTATATTTCTTAAGAATATTGTTATGTTAAAAGAAATCAGTATAGCCATCCCTTCAGGATCATAGGATAATTCTCTTGAAAATTATCTCCCATTTTAACAGCTATTTAAATTTCAATTATTTCAAAAAAATTATAATTATAATTAAAATTATTAATAGTTCTAATGAATAATAATTCATGATTACTCTAAAACTACTCAACATGTATTTTATAATTTTACTATTGAAATATAACACTTAAAGCCGATTTCTATTCTGCAGTTATTTTCTAATAGTTTATATAGCACAATAGATGCATATTAATTTGTCATTTACTAACTGAAAAGGTCCTGAATATGCTGAAATCAGTTTTTAATGTTATTTTAGTAGACAACATTAATTGTGAACTAACTCATTATCTATACTAATATTATAAAGCTGAAGAGTTTGTTTGTTTGTTTGTTTGAAAGCGCTAATCTCCGAAACTACTGGTTCGAATTAAATAATTCTTTTTGTGTTGGATAGTCCAGTTATCGAGGAAGGTTGTGGGCTTTATAACATCATGCTACGACCAATAGGAGCAAGGATATAGTGGTAAATGTGTAAAAAACGGGAGAATTTATTTCATCTTTGAAGCCTTCCGTTGCGTGCGCCGTGAAAACGGTTCAAGATACACAAAAAATATGTATTAAAGAATAATAGCTCTTTTAATGATCTAAAAAACAGTCCATGACAGTATATGTCTATCTTTTAAGATTAACTCACAAAAACCGTTTTTATGGTACCTAATTTGGTCGAAATAATATGTTTAAGTTGTATCAACATAATAATATTAATCTTTATTCAAATAAACAAATGAATATGTTGTTGGTTAAGAGTACTTCATTGTAAATGAAAAAAAAAACATCGGTTTTATCCTGAAAATTCTACGGAAACTCGACCATTCCGAAAACCCCGCAAGAACGGGAACTATGTGGGAAGAACCAAAAATTTGCCAGAAGTCACTATTCCACGCGGACGGAGTCGCGGCAAGAGCTAGTTAATAATATATTAAAATAATTATTATGACAGAGCCTAATGAATGTTACCAGACACTCCGTTTAGCTTTTACTAAGTATCTTAAGCTCATACCCCAAAATGTTGTATATACTCAGATATCAAATTGCCACCGAATCTATTACTATTTATGTTGATTGTTTCCAACTCAACCTCTATATTTTCTCAAACTTGGACAGTTAAAAGTCCAGTTATTCCACTAACTTAGCTTGATGTCTCCAATTTATAGAACTTTTACACAAAATATATTTCTCATTCCTTAATGAAACATCAAAGAAGCAAGCTATGTTTACAAAACCTTTATTTGATACAGATATAAATAAACCTACTAAATTTTACTCTTTTTTATTCTGTGTTATTTCTGTGTCCTTTTTAGTCACATACTAAATTTAACATTACAAATTTCTGACAAATACTAGTCTTCAGGTACGTTTTTCTTTATAGGATAGTACAAGACCTATGATGGACATAGGTAATTAATGGTAATTAATTATTATAAATGAGTTTGAGACATTAATTGGAAATAACAAATTTGATTAAAATATTCTTCCTCCTTTTACATGTAACTCCGTAATACATAAAAATTAAACTTTTTTATTGCCTTAGCAACACTAGGTGACTGTAATTATCATTAAGTAGGCACTTTATCCATCTCAGACTGTTTCTTTTCTAATCAATAATAAAACTCAACTTACCTTTTGCCTGTACATTGCTGCAGCCTTAGTGTTATATTTTTGCTGTATTTTCATGTCTGGTTTATAATCAGGTTGACTTTCAAAGAATGTACGAGCTTTGAGGTTTCCCCCCACCTGTATGAACATTAAAATAATATTGTCATGTATTTCTGTTATATAAACCAAGCTCAAATTAATTAACAACATTAATTTAAAGAGACTATATAAACAAAGTTCTATGACAATCTTAGTATTACCCACCATCATTTTCTCCAGCTCAATATCCTTCCATTTGTCCATTGTAACTGATCTAACAAAAGAAAGATGAACCCCAAGGCTTCTATGGACACCTGAACATTCCAGGCAAATCCAAATTCCATATGTGACCGAGACCCATTGCGGATTAAGAGTTCCGCATTCAAAACATTTCTACGAAAAAAAAAAATTTTTTTTAATTATTTATTACTACATATAAATTTCTATAATGACAAAATCTACATACGTGGTTCTCTTCTTGAGTGCGGACAAAGTTTAATTTACGTCGGGTACGCGGTGATGCCATTTTGCTAGCCTAAATATTTTTGTTATACGTAAGATCTATTATAAAATAAGCTTTTATGTTAAAATTTAATAAAAACCTCCAGATATGTTTAACAAGTCTGTGGCAATAACAACCTCGGTCATTTCAACACAAATGAAGATTGGGGACATTGAACGTCAAACTTACAAATTTTCTTCCACTTTGGCAACCATAGACAAAAATGTTTATATTTTTTTTACATTTTTATGCCCTTATATTCTAGTATCATTTTTTAAGTAAAATTTTAATTTTTCTATGAGAAATACAATAAAATAATGAATTTATACCTTCATGTAATATAATATTTTTTTCATAAATCATAATGAAATAAATATAAATTTATAATGCTATCAATGTCCGGATATAATGATACTTTGTACTTTTCTTAAAAAAAACTATCACAACAAATTGCACAGTGGCAACTACGGCCAATAAATGAGTTATAGGTTTTTTTTTAATATATCATAGTCGTTGAGTATTTTATTTCAACATTATTCTTCTATGGAATATTTTGCACATATAACGTTTTTATTTGTTCGAACGATTTTATCACGAAGAGTTCGTAACATCGCATGGCAACTCACATAAAATAGCAGCGGTGTATAGACTATAGATATTTCAATTTCCATTCTAGTACTGTACTCGTTTTGGGACGGAGGTTTATGGGCTTGTTATTCAGGACAATACGACAAAGCGTTCATCCTTAATTCTCGTTTAATTGATGCTTTCCGTAACCCAAATTAAATAATTTTTCATAAGTATAACTTGAGGGTACTATCAAATATATTTGATACGTGTTAAATAATTAATAATATAAGTTAAACCCGCCAGACTTGCGGCTTTCGCTGGCGGTTTCAGCCGAATACTTTGTTAGTGGTTGTTTGAAATGATATAATTGTAACGTGAATGAAGACAAAATGAATTCGAATAATATTGAAGCGGAATATATGGACATTGCAAATAGAGATGCCTGGCCTATCATCTATCATGTATGTATGACGCGTTGGTTTGTGTGTGCCACGCACGAGTAACTGAGTTCTATGAGCGTCTTACTCAACTAATAACATTAAGTCGTTGTAGTAGTAAAGCGAAAGCTTGCACTTAGTATGAAGGAACATATGTATTGAACATTGAATATTACATTTTGCATACTTGCATTTTTAGAATGTTCAAAGAGAAAAGTTAATACAATAAGAATGAATGTATAATAAACGTTAATGTTTTTAAAGCATTTTTCCTTTTATATACAGCTAGAAATTTCTTATTTTTATTATTTTGTAAATAAGCTAGAATTTCTTCATAGTAATAAAATTACAAGTACAAAACTAAAAACAAACAGAGCATAATATGAAACAACATTAATTAAATTATCACAAAATTCTTACTGCTTTCTTATATAAACCATATTTGATATTTGTTATGCATAATGTAATGAAATTACAGAAAATTGGCCGGCAATGTCAAGCATATCCATACACTTGTATTGAAGCCAAGAAACCTCAAAACAAGGCGCTAAACAGATATCGGGATGTAAACCCATATGATCATAGCAGAATTGTTTTAAAGAGATGTGAACAAGATTACATAAATGCTAATCTAGTGAGGGTAAGTTAACTATTTACTATTTCTTTTGAATGGTTATTGTACATTTTTATAGAAAAATATTATGAAAGGATATCAAATAAAATGTGATTTAAAATGGATGGTCATGTCTTGAAACAAAAAAAAAACAAAATGATAATATGACTATAATAATGCATCAATTATATACCATTAATTTGCACAGCATTGTATAAATTTATTTTAATATAAGACTATAAACATCTAAGAAGTTAAATATTAATATTGTGATAGCAATCACAAACAGTTTGCTTGAAGATTTCAAATGAAATTTAAACTTTTAATGGTGTGTAGTAGATTGCATAACCATATAGACTAGTTTGCGAAGGACTACAATCAGTTGAAGGTTGGGTTTATATAAACAAAACTAGAAATTATATTTTAGGGGCTTACTAAAATCTAATATGGTTCTGTTAAAATTATTGCATGTTAAAAGTTATAATAAATAAAAAGAGTATATTATAAATTATATTTTCTATAAACATATCTCGCAAGATCCCTGGTTACAGCAAAGAGTTTTTTTTTGTTGGACATAATGTTTAAGGTCCAAATGTATTTCATTTTTATCTTGAAATGTAACACCTTAATATATCACTTTAAATATATGGAGACAAGCACCAGACATATGTATATAAAATTGCCTGTGAATCTCTCATACATAGAGATTGTCAGTCGTCTTATATTTGAGATTTCATTTGTACAATTGGAAAATCAGCAATTTATGTTAAGCTAGCTGGCTGTCAATATGAACTAATTCTTCTAAAATACCCTATTGAAATTGTGTTAGCTGAAGAACAATAAATAACAGAATTAGGTAGCATTTTTGAGCCGACCCCAATTGAAATGGTAAAAGGCTAGGCAGAGAGAGAAAGAGAGGTAGCATTTTTGGGTAATAAAGTGATAACAAGATTATTTTTTCCATAAAAAAATATAATATTTATCCTTATGTAATATAATGTATTGATACCTTCCAAAGAGAAAAAAAATTGTGTTTGGATATGCATTGCAACAACATTTACAATACTAAAACAAACAACATTAGCTTCCATACTTTAAAATAACATGACCTGAAATAGAGACCATATTATTCTATTTGTTTTTAACAACAATATCATTTCAACATACTTTCTAAATGGTTATTTAAAATATACTATTAAATTTAGTATGTATATATTTTTATAACACATTTCTTGATGATATGTTTTAAGTAACAAATCCCTTGAAGAATGTTTATAATATATTTTTTATATAAAAAGTATAAAATTACTGTGATTCATATCTTTTTGCGGGATTGCATACTAATATTACTGTTGTATGGAAGGTCGCATTAAACTCGAGACATATACTACATATTGTAATAACGAAAGCACAATGATACAATAAGATTTTAATCAAATGAATTCCTCGATTTCATTCACAATTACGTAAAAATTTTGTAAATATAAATCGTCGTTTGTTATTTATATTTTATAATTTATTTCTCAAGTAGCTTTCATTTATAAATTCCTTATATTTATTTATAGTATTAGCCACGCCTATATCTTGAAGTGTCTTTTTTTATTACTTTTCTTCTTTGTTTTATTGTTCCATATAAGGACAAAGGCATGCTATCGGTAGGTCTCTCGTTTCACGGTCACTTTGTGAATGAGTTGCATATGAGATACATCGTTATCTTGCTCTCCAACAGGCTAAATGAACACATAAATCTATTTCAATACTGTATGTGACCAAACTATACATCGCTAATAAGACCTAATAACTATTGGTTTAATAAATAGAAAAGAACATTGATGTAGTTTTTGTTGAATGTACATCAACACTAAAAGCTTTTAAGATCGCTAATGTTATTGATCTGTTATAAAGCGTTATCATATATTCCTTGTATTCCACAAGTAGTGCAACATGAAAGACAATAAACCACAACTGCATGAGTATACGCTCTGTTGAGTTTTTTAATATGATAAATTACACATTTACTACAAGCAAGTGTTGGTACACTGTACTTGTTCGGGTACAATGACTTTCTGTTTATATTTAAATAAAGATACCGCCCATAAAAAATAAATAAACACATCATCAACGTATCTTCATGTTGTGATGATTTAAAATAATATTTATTTATTGATTTACGATAATTATATAATTATAATTTTCTTTTTTCATAGATGGATCGTGCCAACAGAAAGTATATCCTTACGCAGGGACCCCTCGCGTTCACAGTCGGCCATTTCTGGCTAATGGTGTGGGAGCAAAACAGCCGCGCGATTCTGATGCTTAACAAAATTATCGAAAAAAACGAAATCAAATGTCACTGGTATTGGCCTCACGAGGTTGGAGCTGAACAGAAATTTGTTCTATCCGACGTCAAGTTGAACGTCGAGCAAATAAGCGAAGAGGACTGCAAGTATTACATCACAAGAGTATTCAGGTAATTTTAATATATACCCAATATATAAGATGATAACACGCGTTGAAGCTATGAAATAATTCCTCGAATATTAAAAATTTAATATAAGTTCTAAAAATGAAAATATGATGTTATGATGTTGGTATATGACTTGTGCCGGCGAATGTAATGCATGTACAAAGCGGAGGTTTCCCGGAAGCCGATTATTGAATGCCTGCAATTCCGCAAGTCAGACGCAGTGGATCTCATTCTATAACATTGACATCCACACATATAGGACTCTTGAATATTTTACATTCGACAACTTCATATGAATAATGTTGTAGGTATATAAAATGTATATATGTATGATTATTAAAAAGTTTTTCGTAATCTCAAGTCATAATTGTTTTTGAAATGTTATTTATTATTTGGATGTCGATTACGGTATGTTGTGTATATTTCATTTCTTCCTTACTAGTAAATGTGACATTTACGTAAGAAATTATTAAAGTTTGTTGTTAAATACTAATTAGCAAGTTTTCTAAGGCTGCCTTTGTTAATTGTTTTTTAAATTCCTTGAAACTTCTATTTTAGAAACAACAGTCGACTGGTTTCTGGAAAAGTTATCTAGATTATATTCAAAAGTTATTAAAATTATTTTTATTTATGTTTTGCTTTGCGCCATTATTATGAAACATCAACATACAGACTGCCAATAAGCGATATTTGCTCTGAAGTAGTAACTTATTTAGGTAATTTAGTAAATGTTGTAAAGTGCTTGTTTGTATTTAAATTTTACCATTTAAGTGGATCTTCATTAAATTTTCTTTACCTATATATATCTTATAAAAAACATCAGCAAATTTATTAAAAAAAATTATAGTCTAGACTGTTGCTGATAGAAAATTAAAACATATTAAAGCTAGCGCGTTGTAATGATTTAAGCGATTGAAATTTATTACATTTCGTAAATGAGAACAGATAGTATCTTTTCCACTACATATTAACTATTGTTTGGATTTACAGAAAGATTTAAGTGCACATATCTAAAAAAGAAATACGTTCCCAAAATATTGGGGACGTAGTATTAATGAAAATTTAATGAAACTTGTTGTAATGAAATGAAAATCATTAATATTGATCAAAATTTTAATATGATATATTTAATGTACTGTTTCACACCGATCACGTACGGTAACGTCACGTTTTAGTTATTAATATGCATTGCTTTATGCGATTATAATTTCGTATAGCATAGTTATAAAAATAACGTGCCATTATTTAACCCACCTACGAGTAAATGATTGAGACGATGGACCTGATGTTTTAATTTTGTTAGGAATTAAGAAAAGGTTGATTATTATTTAATTATATTACAGGATCACAGATATGGAGAGTTCTGAGAGTCGTGAGGTCATACAGTTTCATTACACGACCTGGCCGGATTTCGGTGTGCCGACGTCCCCGGTGGCTTTCTTGGAATTTCTGCGGCGCGTGCGTGATTCGGGAGCGTTGGCGCCCGACGTGGGACCGCCCATTGTACATTGCAGCGCAGGCATCGGACGTTCTGGAACATTCTGTCTCGTTGATTCTTGTCTTGTTATTGTGAGTATATACAGGGTGACTGGTGAATTACTATTAATATTTAAGGAGAATACTCGGTACATGATTCTCATTCGAATTATGTAAAAAAAATACACACTTAATTTTTGACAAAATTTCCGTATAAATAAATAAAGCGTGGACACATTCCAAGTGTTCCTAGTGTGGACGCGTCCGGCGGCGTGCTGATACAACACCACGCCGCCGCACGCGTATGTGTGAGTGTGTGTGTATACCTAATCTGTAGGGTGTTCACACGATGCGTAATTAAATTACATAACTTTTGGTTAACTTTACTTAGAAGTTTATTAATATTTATGTTATATTAATTTTTATTTTGTCATATATGATCGTCAAATATCACGTCCTCAAGTATCGATAGTAATTCACCAGTCACCCTGTATAATTGAATATATTTCGTTGCTTCTGTTCAGTATTTGTGCATGAACCCATCAATTTTCTACGTAGATGTTGTTATATGTTCATTTAGCTAGTATTAGCCATTGTTTTTTAAAAAATCATCATATTTCCGTGCAGATTGAAAAGGAGGGCTTGGAGAGTGTTAATGTCCAAGAAATCTTATTAGAAATGCGCAAGGATCGTATGGGTTTGATACAAACACCAGGGCAGCTTCGCTTCTCTTACCAGGCCATCATAGAAGGGGCAAAACGATTCAGTCCCGACTTCGTAAGTATAACATTCGTTCATGGAATTGTGTTGCATGAAGTATAACATTCGTTCATGGAAAAGTGTTACGTCATGTTAATTGTATCTTATAGTTATGTCATCCCATATACTGATATAAACCAACTAACCAAAACTTTATGAATACAAAGAACTCCTATTCTCCACTTATCTCATACGTCACATACCATTATAAACCACTTAATAATTAACATTGATAAGATGATATTTTGTTAAATATTAGTATATTTCAATGTGTATTTTTTATAGAAAGAGGATCAGAATAATATGGAGGAGAGTATATATTCGTCGGTTGCTGAGGAAGAAGCCCCTCCTCCTCCGCCTCGAGCTGAGAGTCTTACAAGAGCGCCAGTCCGACCTCTGCCAGCCATACCTACTAGTGCATCGCTAGGTAACAAACATATAAAACATACTAAAGCATAACAAAATGTTTAATTACTGATCACCATGTCCTACGTAACATGGTTGCCTGGCAGAGATCGCTGCTTAGCGATAAGGCCGCCAATTGTACATATAGATCAAGTTTTGCAATTGCTGTATAATTTATTTATTCTTTGGTGTACAATAAAGAATACTTACTTACAAAATGTTTCATACTAAATATTTCAGAGTAAATAATTTGTATATAATTAATGTTGTCTTACTTGCAGGCAATCTCAACTATACATGCTCAGCGGAGAGCTCCAGTTCTGACGAGGGCGCCCCCACTCCTCCTGCTCGAGACCACTCCCCCTCCCACTCCCAGTCTCCCTCCCCCTCTCCTTCTCCTACTCGCTCTCACACGTCGCCAGCATCATCCGCCGATGACGAAGACGATGAACCCCCGCCAGCGCCTATCATTGAAAGGTAAACTAATTGTTGTTTACATAAAAACATTATCTTATCTATTATAGGTTACCACGGTATATTATAAAAATTTCAGCATCGTATCTGTTATGTATATTTTTGTTATGAAAAGTATTTTCTTAATTACTCCACTACACCCTGTCGAGAAGTTTATGTGTATGTCACTGATTACCGTGAATTTATAAACTTGTGTTAGTATAAGGGTGTAATCATACTACAGCTTGTCGAGTAACACTTATGCATGTCTATGATACTTGTATGTATATATGTGTCATTTAACTATTAATTTTACTTTAAGTCCAGTAATAAATTTGTCAAAATCAAGACTTTGTCCCGAAACAACTAACGAACAGCATTGAAATCGTTCTTGCTTTCTATTTACGTATAATATTTTTATCTGTAATTACTCAACTACAAATGTTTCAAGATTGTTATCTTTACGAAGTGTATGTATTTGTTTATTCAACTAGATTAGAAATGCGACAGTTTGAGAGGATATATGCATATGTTGTTCTTTCACGCAAAAACTATGCAACGGATTTTAATTACACTTCATATGAATGTACGCTGTAAATAATAATAAGACGTAGGCATTTAATTCTTTGTATTTACTTTAGGATCAAAACGTAAGTCGAATTTTGTATGAAGTCCCGTGATTAAAGATGTCGGTATAACATATTTTATAAAAAATACTCCTTGAGAAAGTCGGAGGCAAAATATTATGTTTGTTTTTTGGCTAGCCTTTTTTTGTTCGGAAGGTATCGTTAAATTCGTCTTTACTGTACTAAAAAATTATAACGTATTTTAGGTAGTAAGTGATATGTTAAAATGTTGTCGGGTCTGGAAATAAAGATTTGAAATGTTGCTAATACATCGGTATTGAACATATCTATGTATAGAACTTATAGATAAAAATAAAATAAATGTACATAACTTCGTTGATAGCATAACCATATCATGAGGTTAAGAGTAAGATGACTGAGATAGAGATTCCTTAAGGAAAAAGTAAATTGATCAAGTTACTAGATGATATGGAACTTTAGTTCTAGTTAAGTTTATTTTAGTTTGTTGGTTTCCATATTTTCAGTTCTGACATTTGCCTTATTGATTTCTAAATATATTGTCAGAAGATAGAAATTTTCGATTTAATTTTTTAATTAATTATTTGTTTTAACCTCACAATAAAAAGACAAAATTTAGTGTGCATTTTTGATCTCCATAGTATCAAATTAATTTCAGCTATACGATAAATTGTCAGCGTAAAATATTTTGTTATGAAAAAAAAATGTTAAATATATTTCCACGGTTTTTAACGTTGCACTTTCAGGTAAGTGTAATTGTTCTAAATATATTTTATTGTTTTGGGTAATCAGAATTTACTCTTTAACTTATATTGAAATTCCTACTACTTTCTATTGAGTCTTACGTTCACTTATGATTTTGAAACTAAACGTGTTTGAAAAAGAACAACTGAGATTAATGATTATTGAAGATGAAAAATACGTTTATTCATCTTCAATAATCATTGATCAGTTTTTATTTATTTGGATGTTCCATACAATGATTGTATCTTTATATATATAATTCTTCTGTGAGTGTGTATGTCACTGAACTTCTCTCAAACGACTGGACCGATTTTGATGAAATTTTTAATTTATTAGTAGTTGTTGATACAAACGTTTTTTTTTTTGACATTAGATTTGACAACTAACTAATTTGTCAATCATTCTGTCGCACTTTAAAACACGGAGATTTATGGCTTTAATAGGTAAACTCGAAAAATGTAAATAAAAAAACGTAACAGATATTCCTTGATTATAGGGCGACACGAAGTTCGCCGGGTCTTCTAGTTATATATATATTAAGCGTGTTATTGTATCAGTTGCAGCGAGGTAGTGGAGACGGTGAGGCGACGTCGCACTCGTGAGCTTGCTGAGCGAGTCTCCGGTATGAAGAAACGTGCAAGACATCACGAACGATGGACGACACTCAAGAGGTCCCTGTACACACCACTTACCATTACCTTCGGATTCATACTAGCCGGCATACTTATATACACATACGTCAAACATTAACAATACCATTTATATATTAAATGTATTTATTATTATTATTATTATTATCGAACGGTTCGGCATCACTCGAATCAATGTAAATTAGTTAATAACCCCCTAAATGACTAACTATAGACGTTTTGAATTATGATATGTATTTAATCTTGTTTACTTTTTAAATAACCGAGTAAATGATGATGATGATAACCCACCTTATGTAATGTCAATTAATGACCACGGCATATCCGACTTGACTATGATCAAATCTCGATCATTCATATATGCATACGTTCCATATGCATTTGCATAATAAATTAATTGTGATCCAAGTATTTGTAAATTTAGATTTTTTTTTTAATTAATTGATTGGTAAAAATATATATATTTTTTTTTACAATTGCAAATATTCTAAATATACTTCTAAGTGATTATTATGACGTTAATTTATTTTATAAAATTCATTTCGGACAATTTTGTCCAATGTTTAATTAGATGAATAAATTTATTTTATGATTTTATTTTATTTTCTTTTGTGCGACAGCAACAGTGTAACAGTATGGGTTATACTTATTGAAAGAATCGAACATTTTTTAATCATATGAGCTTATTTTCGTATGGTGTACAAAATAGATAATAGTAATTTTGTAGTTGAATTTACCTGTTGATAATCACCGAAGATGCATCGAGAAAAAAATAAAAAAACTATTGCCACTAGATTGTAAATGATAATTGATCTTATGACATGACCATATTATGTGATGGGGATTCTAATATACTAGTTTCAATCGAATCAGGATGTAAGCTAGGATTGTAACTGTTTTATTATAGGGCAGCTAATAATATAACAATATATCATCGTGAATAATGTTGTCCAAAGAAAAATATCACGGTCCTTATAATTTTTTACAAGTTGTTTCTCTCGAATCATCAGACTGAATCTTCTAAAACTACAAGTTCTTAGGACGAGTGTTTACTGTTACTATGAATTTGTCATTTATAACTATAATGTAAGGGAAAACGTTTGAGCGTAATTTTTTTACGGATATACTAGACGATGTATTGATATAGTTAATAATAATTCATGCTGAGAGTATACTCCGTCTTTGACGGCTCGTGCCTCTGATTTTTGTAATTAAACAACGATTAACTTTTATTCATTATAATTACGACTTAAAGACTTTCAATTTAATGATAAACGTTTTCGCAGCATTTATTTAACTATGTATTTTCTTCTGTGATAAAACATCGTAAAAACAGACGGTATCATTTTTAGTGTAGTGAAAATTTTTCTAATGAAATAACTATATTGTTCTCCCACTCCACTTTTTATGAACATTGCACTTTCATAGCATATTTATTTGTTGATTTTTTGATACAATATCTAAGGCTTTTTGACGTGCATATAGTCATGATTATGCTTGCAACTGTTGACACCAATTAATATAAAATTACAATAGCTTAGGACGATATTATAAGTAACAGTAAGGAGGAAATAGTAAAGTAGATTTTCACGTTAGTTTATCAGCGTGCACTAAATTTAGAGGGGTTAGTAAATTTGAACAGCGGTTTATTAATTTCAGGTTAAAATCGGAGAATTCCCCTCCAACCGAACCACGCGAAGACTGAAGAGCTTAGGTAACATTTTTCGAAAAGCTTATTTTTAATGTTGAGAAGATAAACATATCTTAATAATTTGAATGTCTGTTTACTCCAAACAAATTGGTACGCAGTATGAAAAGCGTAACATGTTGATTAATCTTGAAGTATTTTATAGGTTACGAGAACCATAATTACTTACAAATAGTACATAGATTTCCGTCCCAAGAACATTTTATTTTGAGAACATAAAAATACAAAGGCACTTCATAGCGTTAAGTATTAAAGAAAATTACCACACAGTTCGCAACGCAATACCCACAATACGTATGTAAGGCTAATGATAAATAATAGATTTAATTTTTTTTCTCACAATATTGTATCAACAACGGTGACAATACATCACATAATCAACCAAATATTTCTTGTGATTTAAGAAATTTTCGAACCACAAACATGTACACTGCCGGCCAAAAGTTTGAGACCACCCTCATCAAAGTATGAAAATGAAATAAAACTCAAAAAAAAATACGAAGTAAGAGGTTTAATTAATAATTAACATACTTATACATTCTTCCTACAGATACCTCAGGAAGAAAAAAAAATTATTTACATCAAAAATGCCGTTAATATTTAAACAGATTTTTCATCAAAAAACCCTCCCTTGCATTTTATTACTTTTTTCACGAGTCTTGGCATACGACCAATCAATTTGTCGATTGTTTCTTGTGAAATATTGTTCCAGCTTTCTTGTAAAGTCCTCCACATGTCTTCTTGCGAGGAGGGGCAACAACTGCGTACATTTCTATCAAGCTCTTCCCACAAAAGCTCGATCGGGTTGAGATCCGAGCTCTGAGGGGGCCACAACATGTTTTTTAACACTCCTTCTGTTTCTTTATCTTCTAAATAACCCCTGCATAATTTTGAACTATGTTTAGGATCATTATCTTGTTGGAAAATAAAACTATTTCCAATTAATCAAACACCAGACGGAACGGCATTTTGGTGTAGTATTCGTTTGTACTGCTCCTTTTTCATAATTCCTTCGACTCGTACCGAATCTCCGGTTCCATAGCCCGAGAAGCATCCCCAGACCATAATAGAACCTCCACCATGTTTGACGGTTGGCACCACACAGTCTGGCATCATCTTTTCCTCGGCGCTACGTCGAACAAAAATTCGTCTTTTAGATCCAAATATTTCAAATTTGGATTCATCTGTCCAAAGAACTTTTTTAAAGTCTTCTTCAGTCCAGTCTCGATAGGTAAGGGCCCACTGCAACCGTTTCTTTTTGTTTTGTGGCCTTAGTAGTGGTTTTCGAACGGCAACACGACCAAATAAGTTAGCATCTCTCAATCGTCTTTTTACTGTAGTCAGTGATACAGGTTTAGACCGGGATTTGTTTACTTCTGCACGGATTTCTGGTGCTGTTAGGCGTCTATTCCTCTTGCTGGTAACGACGATAAATTTATCCTCGCTAGAAGTGGTAGCTCTCGGCCTTCCCGATCGCAAACGATCTCGATAACTGCCAGTCTCCTTGTATCGGGCTATTGTGTTATGAACACAAGTCTTCGACAACTTAAGTTGAGAGGCAATCGCACGTTCAGATTTACCTTCGTTGCGTAAAACAACTATGGTACAACGAGTTTCACTGCTAATTTCGCGCACTTTACCCATTTTAAGTGGTTTCTTTAACAGTGACGAGCTCAGACTAACCAAAACTTAATTTTATAAAAACTCAGGTAAAAAATATGTTATAGAAAGCGAAAATAATCCTGAACATATGTTTTTTAGAAAGCTAATATAATCCTGAACTTGAAACAAAACCGAAATTATTAGTAATGAGCAGCTCATAAAAATATTACAATGACTCTACCATCTGGTCCCTGCGCGGCACTCATTAATGTTTTGTAACAATAGACCTTTATAATATCATAACTTATAAATATACAAAAAGGATGATAATAATTAGTAGTTTAATAACTATAGAATACGCAGATATTCAAATCAGCTATTTGTCATATGCACTTTTGAACTATTTTGTTGGTGAATAAGATTTTTACAAGTGGTCTCAAACTTTTGGCCGGCAGTGTATATTGTTGGTCAGGTTCGACAGATCAGCAAATCATTGGTAGCAAAGAAAACTAATCTCTTATGTCGTCAAAATATCGCATAAATTTATGTGACAAAAACAATAAAACATGACTATTATTTTTTTCAACGAACTTTTCTATTGAACTTTGTGTAAATCACTTCAAGTTAATGTTTAATGTCATTATTATTTGCGTATTTACTATCACAATAAAACTTGTCACTTGAAAACTAAGTAGCTTAATTACAATGATGTATTTATATGTACGTCACAATATTTATGTATACTGTCATATACCTACTATACGTTTAGATCAATACGCTATATAATTTACTTAATTTGTGGCTATATATCCATCTTACATTTTCATAGTACTACCAGAGTACCATCGTTAAAAACTAAAAAAAATGATGAAATTGTTAAAAATCCATCTTTTCTTTAACAAAACGAACAAGGAATGTTTTCTTTTGCAAAACTTGACTTGATGCATTTATACTTAGTAAACACACACTGTAAGACGTTTGTCAGATTCTTTAAACAAAATATGCCATTTTAACATGGATTTTTTCACTTGATCCGTCATAAAATAAAACTTTCATCAGAAATTGCTTTCTGAGATTAAGTTTAAATCCTATCCTTCAAGTTTAACCCTATCATCGTAAATAACTTATAAGAAAAGAAGTAATAATACTATAACATCGCTGATTTCTACTTGTATATGTCAAACGTGTAAATTATATTAAAATTATTATAATCAGAAGGTATTCTTTATTTTAAGAAGTCATAGTTATAAAGGATTATATAAAATGTTACATGAACTTATGAATTATTGTCTATCAGATTTTTACAACATACATACACATAGTAATTGGATATTGTTTCACTATAATAATAGTTAATAATAATAAAAAAAACATTCAGAAGTATTAATGTGCGAATTTAACATTAACTCATATCTTGTTTGGATTGTATCTTTTCTGTTTTAGTCGAAGAATCGTAATTTTTGTTTAATGTATTTTTACCGAACATGTATAACGCCTTTAAATCCTAATGAAGATATCATTCTGGGTTGAACATCGAGTACTAAATATTTTTTTAGGTGCATTGTCTTATGTCTTAACCATGAATAAAAATAAAATAACTAAGTAGGTATACAGTTTACTAGTTTTGAGTTTTTCGTATACCAGCTTAGTTAGGTTTGGTTAGGTTTTTCAGAATAACCAAACTAACTTTTGCAGGGAATTCTGGCGGCTGACCAGTAGGTCAGTGAAGCTTATAAGAAACCCACTTCCTTTATGTACAAGACATAGACTGTTAACGGTAGCGTTCTGCACCATGCACCTTAGATAACGTCGATTAAAGTTCGATACAATGATTACCTAAAATGATTCCTTCATTGTTTGCTAACTAATATATATGTACATTTTTGTAAGACGAATGTAACGAACTAGAACCTTAGGTTATTATAATAATAAAATGTAATCTACACGAAAACAGCTGCTGTATTATTTCTTATATTTTCCCTTTTCTCAACTGTCCGCAAATCTTATCAATGCCATATATAGATCTAATTTTGTCAGTAATGTGTATTTGATAAGCTTTCATTAGTGAAAAAATATGGAGCAGGGAAATAGAAACGTTTTATTCAGATATAAATTGTGACAATTTTATTGATTTAGTTTTTATTCAATTTATTGCAATAATCAAAAGTAAAATGTTTTAGACATACCTACCTATATAATTCTGAAATGAATAATGAGTGCACTTAAAGAATTTTATAAAACAACAGGTCCTTACTTATATAATTTGATGGAATAAGTATTTAAAGTCTGTCAATATTGCTTACTTCTAAATATTAATGTATGTTTGATATAAAAACGGGGGAGGGAGGACCCAAAATATGGTTGAGTATTTACTATACAGAGGCGTTGTTGGAGCCATAAAATATTTACTACTCAATAGTCGACGGATATATGGCATAATTTCAGTTAAGGCTTCTTCGTATTTTTTAAAAATATTAAAACGAATCCAGACTTCTATGCCCAAAATTATTTATATGAATATAATTATATTCCCCTCCCCAGGAGCGTTTAACGTTTAGGGCCACATTGTTGGAAGTCGTATTACAATTTTCGCTTCCAGAGACTGCGCAGTGCCGTGCAAAACAAATATCCATCAAAACAAAGGGATAATTAAAAGAACTAAAAGTTTTCATTATTTATTCAAAACAGAAATATAGCTCTGAAGACATTTGTAGATTCACATTAATCATTGTATTTCCATTAATTTATTCTAACTAAATACATTATAATGGCACAGATAACAACAGCTACTTATATTAATGTTATTAAAATAATCTTCGTAAACTTTTAAGGTATAAGGAATAAGAATTGACAAGTTAACAACATTATTATTAATTTCTACAAATTTTATTATTATATTTTGACAATTCGTTTGAAAGACCGTGTAAGCGAACCGGGCTGCTCTATCAATTTTCTTTTGAGCGCGCGACAACTGTGTGTTTTTCATTGAAATATTAAAATCTTACCTATTTTTCTGGCTGTCTTAACATTTTTAATGATACTATACACATCTAAAATTTTATTCTGTCACATTCAACAACTAACAAAACGTACAAAAATACACCAACATTTAGATACAGAGATAGGTTTTGATTACTAAAAAACATTAATCACTAGGTTTATAGAGTATTAAGTACATATATTATTAATGACGTGTACTTAAAATCTGGCCTAATTTTTTCAAACGGTTTCATCGAAAACCTTAAATTTAATAGTTCAAAACTTTTCAGACGATCAATTCAAACTATAAACTTGTTACTTCTACAGATAATTTAAACACTTCTTGAGACCTATGTCTTGACGGAAAAACGTACTTTTGAAACCTATCATTACATATATTATTCATAATATATGAGTTGTTATTCTAAATTTTTCTATTAAATAAACATTCATAATTTCAAAGATTTAGTCTACAATTTTATGATTATAAATTTATAGTTTTGACGCAAGTCGAACGATAAAGCCACAGTTTTTATATACTTTTTTAATCAACTTTACTACAACAACAAACACGATCAAGAAGACTTATTTTTATGTCATTCTATTACCATTTATACGTAATCCAAGTATTAATTGTATAGAGATTACAAAATATCGTATATATACATATATATTTTCTTTGAAATAATTAGTTTAAAACCATATTACGAGACAGTGCTCTTGTACAAAATTATATATCCTTAATTCTATATATAATTATTAACTTTTATTTATTTACAGTAAAAAAAATATTGAATTTTATTAGTGATTTAGTAAATAGATTTCGAAAAGTAGATTTTTTATTGTAATAGTTGTAGTCTGTAAACTATTTAAATATTTAACCACAAGGGTAATTTCGAAATGTTTCAAAAGGATATTTCAAAATTCGTAGTTAGGGTTTTTACAAAATAACTGACAATTCATACAGTAACAATAGGGTTTGATACCAAGAACAAAATGGACGGTGGAAATTTTTTGCTCGTTGTATGCTGAGGAGCTATTTAACAAATCTTAAAACATTATAACAAGATTTAAAATTCAATTTCAACTTCTAAACGACTGTACTACTATAATTATATCGAATTTAGCGTCAATGACAATACTCTTATAAAAATAAACCCGACATCAAATATTGCTTTCTTTTTTATAATATAATAACTATGCAGAAAGTACAATTTAACTAAAAAATATATATATTTAGAAAATATCTAAATACTACTCGTCGTTTTAATAGAACCATTATTTAATAATCGTTACTCATCAATTCACCTTATTATTATAACAATATATGCATATTTTATTTACACTTCTTTACAAATAATATATGAATACTTTTTTATATATACCAAATTTTTTTTTGTCTGTTCAAAGCTTTTTTAAAGCATAATTTTAGCCTATTTTTATAGTTTGCTATAATGACAATGTTATAATCACAATAGTTAGGAGTCATGACGTCATCCTTATTTACAATAAGTATTAATCAAGCAATCTACATATAAACTTTTTGACATTTATTAATTTTTCGACTACGTTTATAACAGATTTATATAAATATACTTACATGAATAAAGCTCATACATTACAAATCTAAACAATATTTACTTAAACTAATATTTTACGTAAATATCTAATATTACAAAAATGTGAGAAATGTGAGCAATTGAATAAATATTGACACTTTGAAACAGGAAAATTTTTCTCGTAACTAGACAAGATTTAAACGATTAAAAAGAATCGTTTAAAATCACAACAAATTGAGACATTATGACAAGTTAATATTAAATTTACACGGTTTTAAAAGTTGATTATGTGAAACATTTAACTGTAAACGTGTATTGCAATCGATCGTAACAGTAAAATCAGCTTTAAGCCGATATATCGCGCTATGTTAGCGGGCCGGGGTGAGTCATACTAGTGTCGGCTGTGGATTCATCTGGCGCTGGCCGTCACGTCTCCGTTACTGTCGTGATATTCATGGAAGCACGGGACTATACATAGATTGGTGCGACATTCCGGGCAGTGGTATTGTGTTTTTCGTCGTAGTATTCTACCGCATTCGTCGACCGTGTTCCAGCAGAAGTTGCATGAGAGCGGTGGTCCGGAACGCACTGCGGGCGTGTGTGAAGCTCGCTGCGTGTGTGTCGCGTCTATGCTGTCCGTGAGTGATGTCCGTTGTGTCTGCGCTGCCTCCGCCGTGTCTGTGTATGTTGCTGTCGATGTGCTGCCGGTCGACGTCTGACGATCCACCACCGCCACTGCTCGTATCAACAGCGACCCCACCGCGTGCTCGGTTCTTGGTTTGCGATTTGTCTGTGAAATCATTTTTATAATTTCGTGAATGATCACAGTATGTACATGAAAAGAATATCCTGTAAGCTGCTTTGAATACGAATAAAACTATGTTCTTTTTTTCAAATTGAATTAGTGTTTTATTCTTCCTAAGCTTTACCGAACAACGATAACACTATTATATTTATTACCAAAGAAACAAAGTAATAAAAAAAATACGCTATTCACCTACTGATGAACCATACTAACAAAGTTACCATAACATAGTGTATTGTGTGTGATAAATAAGTTTTCGTAATTAATATTCTTTATTTATTACAAAGATCATGCCAATTCATATTTACCACTTTTTACCACGTATACTGAAATATAGTACTAGACCAATAATAATTTCCAGGGAATATTTTATATTAATAATATTTAGCGGAGCAAACCTTTGAAGCTGAATACTGTGGATAGGACTCGTGTTTCTGTAAAATGGGTGCGCCGGTTGAGGGCGTTGGTTCCGACACCTGTTTCCTGACCTCCCTTTCATCCGGTTGAACTCTATTTTGCCTCTTGAAGTACTTTGAACGTCGCAGACGTCCCCCAGACGGTGAAGCCAAATTACCTAAAACAATATGAGATAATATATAAAAGAGAATTAGTAACAATTACATCAGTAAAAAAAGCTATTTTGGAGGTCTTTAATAAATGGAAAATGAAAGCAATTACTTATTAGTATACTAGGGATGAAACAACACATAATAATTTCTAGTCATATTTAATGTAAGGTTAACGACGATTATTGTACTAGTAGATGTATGTGTCACGTACCAATATTCATTTAAAATGGTTTAAGTGGTCAAAACGTAACACAAAGTTTAATGGATAAAGATTTAGATGTTGTTTAAGGATTGTTCAATCTTATATATTTATTTAGAATAAAACTTATTCATGAAACGTTCCTTATGTTCTTGATGTATTACATAACGTGAAGGTGAAGAATTTGGCAATTATGAACATAATTATTTAACAAAATATGTCATGTGAATTACAAGAGTAATAAATTATTCCATACAACAATAGTTTTGTATTTCAAAAGGATAACGCCCATTCGATTAAAAAAATATAAGGATAATATAAAAATAAAATATTCAATTCTGCAAAATTATTTATTATTTCTTACTTAAACCGATTTTTAATTCAGTAAAGAACTTTTGCGCTGTCTTTTAAATAAAAAATAAACATTTCTGATTTACAACGCAACGCATCAAGAAGGTAATTCATGCATATATCACGGCTACATCGAGGTATAGTGTCAGTTTGGTAGACCGACTTAGCAGTCCCTTATTGTATATTATAAGCCTTACATTAATCTCCAGATTGTAAATTTTACAATAGGGTAATATTTCAATAGAGACGTATGTAAAGCAATTCTCGCTATAGAGTGGTTAACAATACCATTTGTTGAACATCAACTTAACATTCTGTAATATAATATACACTATGTATTGATTGTCATTATATTTGCAGCCTACACCTAGTAGCAGCCGTAACGATAGGTGTGTACACTGTACATTGATTTATAATCTTACTTATTATGAAATACAATTAACAATTTTGAATAATTGTTACAGTACTCATCTATTTTATGCGTGTCGAATTCACATTTATTAATACTTTAATTAAGTACAAAAGAACTTATACAGTTAAAGACACATTATATACAATCTCTATGTAAATCGCAAACTCCTAAACATATTTTTACAATACATTACAAAATTTTTACAATATAATAAAAAATCTGATATTTAAAGGATGGTACTCAATTTAGTAACGAAAGATCTTGGCCCATATAAAGTAAATAAAGTTAATGTTTCAAAAGTTTAATACTGTGTTTCTTATGAACTAAATTCCCGGAAGACCTTGTGGCTTTCTCAGACATATTCACTTATCACGCGATCATTATGATACGAATCATTTCGACTAAAAAATTGACAGCTTTAATTGAACAGACGTCCAGCGTCTGACATACAAAAAGAAAAAAATATTTTATGTTATTAACTTGTCCACAGTTAGGTCTACCATCAAAAAAAAATTGAGACACTGATTAACTTAGTCGCTTTCTTCTTAAAAAATCATGAGTTTGTCTTAGTGGAGTCTCTCTTTAGTATTGTATGTATATGTATAAATTTAAATAAAGCGTATGAAGTTATTGCTGGGCACATTTTGGACATTTTACAGTAGATTTATTAAATGAACTCAATGTTAACTTAAATATTGTTCAGCTAAAGTAAAAGCGGACCAGTAGTTATATTACAAACCGATCTATTCAATAAATATTGGCTACATGAATAGAACTTTACGTCATGACTAATATGGCAACCATATTGAGATAAGACTAATTTAACTTATATTAAACTAAGACAAGTATACACTAATATTTATAAATGCAATGTCGAGAAAATATTAACATAAAACTTATTTTGCAGTCAGTTGTATGTTAATAACTTTAAAACATACTACAAGAGATCGCTCTGTTGTGATAATATTTTTACACATTCATTTTATATAAAGGTAAACGGTGCCGCTATTGAGACTCTAAAAAACAAAACATACAATCTATAAAGTTTTTTGTTTTGTCAGAGGTCAAAATGTTTTGTGTTTTAATTATTACTTATATCATATACATTATTCAAATAAAATTGAGTTAGAACAGGGTACATATTTAAATGGTATTAAATAAATATGCAATTATTTATAAAGAAGAATTGTCTCTTTCACATAATCATAGACAATTACATCTACCGTATACATATTGGATACATTGATAGAACACATTGGCATTGTTTATAAATAAACTCATACGAATATACGGTATTTGAGCTCATTATGACTTCTTGTTAAGATTTCCGATATTCGTATGTTAAATACAAACATTATGAAAAAATATAAGAATGAAATGTGATAAAAATAACACGGAGTATAATTTTACAGCTTATCCTCATCGAAGCTATTTACTATGTTTCCCTAGTGAATACTTCTAAAGTAAATGCACATATAATTGGTACTTTCATACACAAAATGTATTTTAATATGAACCGTTTTTCCGTCTCTATTGTTTCTATCTTTCATTATACATACTATTCATATACCGTCACAGTATTTGAACATTATAATACGCATCTACTAAAGGAATTAAGAAAAGAATTATACTTTCAGAGTATGACACAAACAAAAAGAAATTCCCTTCCAAAAACAAAAAAAAAATGTAACAGCTATTGTTCACCGAGGTCTCCCATATATTCAAAAAATATTAAATGCTTTTCGATCATTGTATAAAATTGAAAACATTACACAATAAAGAAGTTAGGTACATATTGAAATTGAAAATTATATAAAAGAAAAAAAATTACAACATACCATGTGTATAATTAATGTATATATTATATATATTACTTTTATTGTTAATTATTGCTATTAGGTCACAAGTTTGTATTCAAAAATATGTTTTTTTCTTTAAATGAGTCTTGATGGCTAATTGGTATTGTATAAAAATATTGTAGCCAAAAAAGTGTCAATTTGTATTTATATATAAATTTAAAACTGTCATTCCAGCATATCAAACCCAATTTTCCCTAAACATAACCTATAAAATATTCAAACATCCCGCACCTTGCGGTTTCAACTTTCCTCATTTACTCTCCAAGAAAAATTGTGTGCGAGTTTTGTTTTCTCAACAAGTGCGTCCTGTGAAGCATTACATATACAATCAATAGATAATCTTATAATTCAATACTATTAACTGGCAACTCCTTCATATTCCAAATGACATTAATTCATTAACGGCACCAAACTGGCTTTATATTTCTCGAAATCGACCCAGCGACAAAATTATGCTAATCACCTACATTAATCATAATTTACTCTTATATTAAAGAAACTGGTCATGAAGTTAAAGACCTTTATAAAAAAAAAATGCTTAATAAATTCGCTATCACATGATTTTTACATAATACTAACAATAAATGCAGTTCTTTCAATAATAAAAAAAAGCAGATACCAAACAGGTATTTATGAATAAAAAACTTATCGTTCTACTGAGATCTATCTACTTTATGGACGCCTGCCGCTATACGCCCATTCAAATACTTAATATTATCTACATATACAGTCGTTTTTACTAAGCGAGTAATACTGGACACAGTGGTAACTGATATTTACAGGGGTACATGCATGTAAACGTCGTAGTGCATATGAGGGCGCGGCGCCGGCGGGTGCTGGGCGTGCAGGTGCGCGTGATGCGGCGCGGGGCGCAGGGACAGGGAGCTGGCGTGCTCACCGGTCACCGAGGGTGGCGGAGGCTGCTGACCCCCGCCGCCCTGGAACTCGGGTCACAACGAGTACGACTCGGTACCTTGCACCCCGCAAGCCGCGTTCTATTGCATCGTGAAATTAACATTGTTTATAATGCTCAAGGAAGAGCTGTTGATCTGTGGGAAATCCATCGGTCGCGGATCTATAAAGCTGACCGGGACGGGAGGCGGTTGGCAGAGGAGCGCCATCTGCTGTTCCAATTGTGGAGGATCTTCCTTTATTTCGGGAGGTGGTGTGATATGTTCTCTCTTTATGCGATTCTTGATACTTGGTCTGTTGTTCGGATAACCCTTCTTTTTATATTCGAGCCATAATGTTCGATTGTTAACACCAAACATTCGCGCTGCTTTGCAGAAACCAATTCCACCTACGCGGACCGCTTCCAGGGCTTTTTGAAAATTTTCTTCGGCCTGAGGGTTAGTAGTGCGTCGTCTCTTTACAGGCATACCCGAACTGTGAGCCTGACCGACTTGATCGTTCATCCCTTGGAGTACACTGGGCCCCGGCACCGGCCCCGTAGATCCCAGTGAGTGTCCGTAGTGGCTCATGTCATCTCCGTGTTGATGTATCACGTTATTCACATACATGGCCTGTTCCGGCTGTAAACCGCCGCCGCCGATACCCGCGTTCGTGTACCGAGGATATGGATGCTCCATCATATTCCACTGGGCTCCTGGGAAGAGAGATAAATGATTTTGTAATACAATCAAATCATAAACATAATAAATATACTAAAAAAAAACGACTATTTCATTGATCTCCCTTCCCTGAAAAACGAGTAATTTTTAAAGGAATAATTCAATGCTTAATTTTGTTTAACATTCAGTTATTGTATACTTAATAAACAAATGAAATAGTAGTGAGAACTATGTTTACAATTTTGGTTAAAATGGAAAAATAAAAAAACCCATACAGAGATAAAAGTATTAGTATATTAATATCACTTAATTAATTTTAATATAGAATTTATGTGACACTTTTACTCTTGTTTAAATAATCAAGTATAGAGAGAAGAGAATTTAAATAGTGATCTTTAATGAAATAAATAAATCATATGGATAAAATCAAACAATTAATGTACATTTATAAAGATAAATATAAATAAAGCCAAGCATAAAAATACATATATCACAATACCTAATAGTTAAAAATTTGTTTTTTTTTTTTATGATTAATTTGTATTAATAACACCATCCAAAATTACAATAGCCTTTCAGAACATAGATACTTATGATCAAATTAAATCCTAGTTGGTAAGGTGAAACTCACACAAACTGAATAATGTGTAACTGTCAACAATAGTAATCTTGTATTCTAGTATTCTCAAATATAATGTAATTGGTTATTATAAGTATTTATTTAATAACCTGCTTTTGAAGGTATTCTATGTGATAAAATCATTAAAATCTAAGACATACACATAAATGATGTAATAATAGAGTTTAAAAGGCTACAAAACAGAAAAGAAATTGTGGGTGAAAATATACAAAGCATCAGTAGTGTGAATAAGCTTTTAATACTAACCTTGGGACATCCCAACAGCATTTGTGTCTATTGCAAGTTGATCAATGTTAATTGCTGATGCATCCTCCGTCTGAAATTAAGATATCATTACTGTAATAAACACAAAAAAAATCTATATCTATATCAATAAAAAGTTATAAATTAAATATTAACAATACTTTGCAATTTGGTTTAAATAAATAATTATGTCATTCAACCTCAATGACTAGTTGCAATGATAATATTCTAAAACTGCTTTTCAAACTGTTTACTCTATTATCTTATTTTTACAAGTACTGAAAGTTTTTCTATTTGTAGAATTCTAAGGTTTTATGTAACATTTTTAATAATCTAATCCAGCATACATAGATGCAAATAGATATTTATCTTTGGCATAAAACTTATGGGAGTTTGGTTACTTATAAGCAAATTATATTTATGTATTATAATATAATACATAAATACAGCGTGACTGGTGAATTACTATCGATACTTGAGGACGTGATTTTTGACGCTCATATATGACAAAATAAAAATTAATATAACATAAATATTAATAAACTTCTAAGTAAAGTTAACCAAAAGTTATGTAATTAATTACGCATCGTGTGGACACCCTAGCTGCGTTATCGACAAAAAACAGTTAACAGGTACAAATTGATTGCGCCCTGCAAGCGATCATTTCATACGCGCATACGCACGAACCATGTCCAAGTATTCTGCATTTGTGTATTGATAAGCCATACTTAATTACTAATAAGTAATAACGGGTCTCACGCACACACGACAGATTAGGTATACGCGTAAGATCGATCGCCAGGCGCGAGCGCGTGAAGACGGACGTACAGACCTTACGGCGGCGCTCGCCTGACTAATTAGCCACGGGACGGGGGTTGGGGGTAGCGACACACGTCCACACTTGGAAAGTGTCCACACTTTATTTATTTATACGGAAATGTGGTCAAACACTATTTATTTATACGGAAATTTGGTCAAAAATTAAGTACCTAGTTTTTTTACATAATTCAAATGAGATTCATGTACCAAGTATTCTCCTTAAATATTGATAGTAATTCACCAGTCACCCTGTATAGTTTGCTACAGTGTATAATAATTATACATAAACTGTTGTTGTTGTACTAAGACAATCAAATGCTATAAAAATCTATTCAGTACTTTTTAATTTAAACAATGTTCATTGTACAACATGTGTCCATAAAGAGTTGTTAGAGTCTTATATCTATTTAGGAATCACTTTCTCAAATTTGTGTACAGCTACAATATATGTACTAGAAAATGATACCTTTCAAATTAATGAGTAAATTACTAGTTTAATTTAACACAGTGTATATACCTGCTGTGCAGTTTCAATTCTCTCATCCATTTCTCTTTTCTTTTGTATGTTAAGGCTGCTTAATGTTACCGCATCACGCATCATATCAACATTCTGCATGAGTTCTTCAGGATTTGCCAGTGAACCAGAAGAACTCTTTCGCTGCCTGAAAAAGCAAATGGCATATTATTATCATATATAAAAGACCAATTGTAAACCAAATTATGTAGTTTCATTCAAATAGATTCATTTATACATAATTTAATGCAAGTTTAAGTGTAAGAATGTTATATATATTATAAAATTCCTTAGTATGAGCTTACCTCTTCTTCCTAATAGGTGATGAGGGTGACACCGAAGGCCTTTGTGTATCACTTGAAGTTTCTGTTGTTGGGAAATCTGTAGGAATTCCCTGAGATCTAGTTAAGGATGTGGAGTCAGGCATCTCTGTCAGTCCCTTTATTTTTAATATTTTTGCTGTTTCCAAAACCTATAAAAAATAATAAAATCTCAATGGTTTTGCAAGATTTACAAAAACCTATGAATTAATTATGTAAAGATCAAATATTATAATCACCTGTGCTAGTTGCTGCTCTGTGACATTTACTTCACCATAATACATAAAGTCTACCATTGTGCGTAAATCATTGAATGTGATGTCTTTAAGAATAACTATTGGATGGTGAGTTGGATTATCCACAAAGAGTGACTGAAAATAAAAATCTAATTAGATAAAAATATAATCCCGATTAAAACAGAAAGTCAGAAGAAATGTTTTGGATTATAACTTATTATTAGTTAAATATATTTTATTTTTATCCAACAGATGTTATTTATTTCAATATAATGATAAAAAAATGCACTATTTAATTTAATAATTCAGATAAAATACTGTAAATTGCAGATTGCTGTTGACATTAAAATAACAGTGGAAATACTTACATGAAAATATGTACTACATGCTGAAAGGACAACTTTGTGTGCAACCAAATGTTGGCCTTCAGCTGCCAGAGTTACATCCACAAGATCTTTGGTAGCAAGTAAATTACCAAACATCGAAATGAAGTTCGGCTGGTGGTTATTCCACCGAAGACTGTACTGTTGAGACATCTGGAAAGTAAATTTTTAAAATTGTCACATATCAATTCAGAATATGAAAATCATTCTGGAAGTTGATGAAATTTTATCCAATTTAAGACAAAAAAATAATTTTCTTTTAATTTTTACCTTGGCATCAATTTGGAGGAAATGATTAGTAATGTTGGCAGCTTTGAATAGCAGTGTCAGTTTATCCTACAAAAAATAAAAACCCAATGAACATTCCTCTTAAAATGATTATTATAATAATTATTTCCCGTTAACATTTAAAATTCTTACCTTTTTGGAGATTTATAGTTAAACCAAATAGAAAAACATTTTTACACTTGTCTTCATATCCTTTCTTAGGGATAAATTTTCCTTAAACCAGGTTTCTGAAATGCAGAACACTCATTTTATTATTTGAAAATGCAAATAAATATAGTTATAAATTGCAAGGCAGTTATCGTAAATACATAGCATATGGTCTTAAATAAAAACTAAATATGTATTTAAATCAAAAACAAAAAAAAAAACATTTGTTAAAATATTAGATAGTCGCATGGCAGAAATAGCAGATAGTAAATAAAAATATTCAGATTTCGCATGTAGCATATTTTTTAATTATTTAGTGTGTTGTTTTTTTTTTTTTGAGATAGTCATCATTGTAAAAAGTTAAGATTGTATATAGTAGATTAATGGAATAATTTAAAATAAGTAAAACATTGTCATTAAGTCCTTACAAAATAAGAAATCATCTTACTTTTGCAATCATAAATATATAAAAACTATCTTTATATAAAATTTTCATTTATGTATAAAATTTTTGTTTTAGTTACATACTTTAAATAGCTTAAAAATGTAATACAAACTTTATAAAAACAATTTAAAAATATTAAGTTTGGACCTACATCATTTCCTTGGAAGGCAAGTTGCTTAACTAAATTACCAAGCCTTAAAGATAAACACTGTTTTATTTATAGTTTTGATTTGAACTGCTACATGTATCATAATACTATAGATGTATAAAATATATAAACATTGATCAAATCTGGAGCATAAAAACATATTATTATAATTTAAACACTTGTTCTCTAACAAAGCCGCAATCATTCTTATTGTCGAAATTTAAACAAGTGAACAATGTTATGACAGTACGGCATCAAAATTTATTGACGACTTATAGATGCAACTTGCTAGTCTCAAACGTATTAGAATATAATATTAAAACATATAATTTATAGATATTTCACTATAAAATTATTGCGCATTTATGAGTCCAAACAAAAAATATATCTATACTCAAATTTTCACCAGCGCAGTTGCCGTGCAGAATGTTAAGTTATCTAAAACAGTTTGATCTTCCTTATCCTTTAACAGAAAGATTGCACGGCTTGTAAAAATTATATTGTATTGTTTAAAAGACACTCACCGATGATTATATTTTATTATTCTTAACCCACGCCACAATCGCCAACAATGACGACCAAAGTAGAAAGAACCCACGCCAACAAATGTTGCCATTAAATTATATTAATATTAATTTTGATGTTATGAATATTATATCAAATTAGAACTACTGAAATCCCTTATGAAAGGTTTTACATTAATTTAAATCACATTTGAAAAACATTTTATAAAAGAATGTCCATACATATAATTACAGTGAAAGGTCCTTTCCTATTGCTTACAGCTACTCCTAGCTTTAAATGAAATTACGAATTTAATTATGAGTAAATTTTTAGTACACATTTCATTGTAATAGTAAAACTGAAACACTCTTAAATTTCTGATTATTTATTGGGTAATTCATTAATAATTCAATAACCAAAATTGACTTTTATATTATTCTGTAGAAGGTAAAAACGTTGATCTATGCAAGCAACACATTCTTTTAAAATTATAATTTTCTTTGTTAGTGTAGAAAAATACCAGAAAACCTTTAATATTATAATGGTTTACTTGAGAATGTGATGACATTTAGTGAGAAACTATCAGACCCAAGTAATGACTAAACCCGAAAGGGGAGTCATTCTTCTTGTCTTGGCCCAATAGCGCTGTCAATGCTGAATTCAAGAGGTTTTTGAACTTTAAGAATTTAATTTGTCTTGACATGTAGTTTTTAGGACAAGAAATGTCAAAAGTATAATCTCATAATTACTTAGTTTGATACAAAATAAACAAAAAACAGGCCAACGAAATAATCACTTTAGATTTTAGAATATATAATATAACTTACATAATACATAGTAACAATGGTTATGGTAAAACTCTATGAAAATAGGGTGATGAAGTGAATAGTTGCTGGTAACACAGGTTTTTAAGCAAATTTTGACGATAGAACCATAACAGTCTGTAGTTCATAATATTATACACAACAACAAAAGAATATCATAATTTTATCAATAAAACAACGAAGTTACTTAAACAGGTATTTAATATTTTTAAGTCTTTCCTTAAAATAATATCAGAAGGTGGCATTGAAGTATTAATTTAAAAATTATTTAAATGCATATTTTTTATGCCCATTTAATATTAAGGTTTTGTAGTTATTTTTAGATCTACTTTACTATTTTTTAGCATGCATTTGTTATTTATGTACTGTATTATTCATGTGGTATGACCTTCATAGTAAAGAAAGGTCATAACTCATACTTACTATTTATGTAATGTCCTTTTAGAGATCTACTAAATTGAAATTATTTGACAATATTTGATTATTCAATCTTTGTTTTCTTTGAGTACTATTGTATCCTTTATGACCAGAGATGATAATGCTATTTTTAGTTACTATATTTATTGTGTTGATATAACATTTTCCTGTGTATGGCTTTGAACATTGTGTCTTGGAGCAAAATTTTATATACAGCTGCGTGCAAAAGTATTAGGCACCCCTATTGTTAGTCACTATCTCATTATATTGCGGTCAAGTCTGTGTTTTATGGTTTAGCTATTGTATTAGCGACAATTTTTAACCAAATTAAGATAAAAGAAAATATTTATGACATCCAGGTGTGCTCCTAAGCGGTGTTTCTTCGAATTTGCTTTTTTTGCCTTTCGGGTTATAGTGTGTTATCAGTGCTTGCAGTGAACATACACGTCTTCTACGCAACTATTCCTATCACAATTCTAAAGACTAACATTTAACGTGTTAGTCATGCCGAAAAAATCTGAACTTAGTGCTGAACAGCGTCTAAGAATTAAGATTTTACTTGAACAAGGCATGTCTCAGGTTAAAATAGCCCGAGAAGTGAAGTGCTCGCGATGTGCAGTTCAATATGCTATAAATCGCTTCAAAGAGACTGGCACCCATGAAAATAGACCAAGAACAGGCAGAAGAAAAGTTACTACTGAACGGGAAGATCGATTGTTGATTAGGCAGTCTCTACAAAACCGGAAAAAAACTGCTTTAGAGCTCGCTGCAGCATTATCTGAGGCAAAAGGCAGCTCAGTGAGTGTTTATACTGTGAGAAGAAGACTTCTTGAAGCTGGATTAAAAGGATGTAAAGCAAGGAAGAAGCCGTGGCTGTCAGAACACAATAAGAAAAATCGGTTGAAGTGGGCACTCAAACATAGAGATTGGTCAGTGGAAGATTGGTCCAACATACTGTGGTCAGACGAATCTAACTTTGAGGTATTGTTATTTATTTTATGTACAATATTAAAACACATAAATATTTTTAAAATAACGTACTGCAAGAAAAATAATAACTTTGAAAATAAATGTGTTTTTTTTCGTTTGGCATAGGTCTTTGGAACACCCGGTGTGACTTATGTTAGGCGAAGGGTTGGCGAAGAATACAACCCAGAATGTGTGGTTCCCACTGTTAAGCATGGTGGAGGCTCAATAATGATCTGGGGCTGCATGGCTGCCGACGGAGTGGGCGAAATAGTGTTGTGTGAGGGACGAATGAATAGTGTTAAATACACTGAAGTTCTGGAAACAGCACTAGCAACGTCGATAACGCAAATTTTCGGTGATACAAACACCGATGGCCTGAAATTTCAGCAAGACAACGCCACTTGCCACAAGTCCGCGCATACCATGAAGTGGTTTGCTGAAAATCATATTGATCTTTTGGACTGGCCACCACAATCACCAGACCTCAACCCGATTGAGCATATTTGGTCCATTTTAAAGAAAAATATCCGCAGGCACTCGATTAGCAATAAACAAGCTCTATTGGCCGCGTTACAGCAGGAATGGAAAAATATATCAAGAGAAGAATGTTTCAGGCTGGTAGAGTCAATGCCAAAAAGAGTGGCTGCGGTTATTAAGTCAAAAGGTGGACCTACAAAATATTAATTATTTTCTTAAAATAAACCATTGTAATCATAAATGCAGTTTTATTTACACTCGCTATGCTAAAACACCCTAAAACTTGTCTTACTGTAGGGTGCCTAATACTTTTGCCCGTGGCTGTAAATATTATCTATAATTTGAATTCCTTCAATTAAAATTTTAGTTAATGTAATAAGTTGTTGTTATAAATAAAGATAATTTAATACTAAGTTTCCTGTACTGTAACAGTTTATATGTGTGCATAAAGTAATTTACAAAAATGTTTTATAGAAATCCAAGAAAAATAAGATCATCAATTCACTTTCAAGTAGTAATAAATGCTTAAGGCTGAATCACTTAAAAAATTACATTTAAAGCCTATTACAATAAAAATTATATTTTAATTGCTATGTATGAAACAATAAAAGCTAAATTGGTTTTTTGATATATAAAGTAAAAAATGTTGTTTTAGAAAACTTGAATTGTACATATTTCTAATTGGATGCATTGGAAGATGATTTCACACCTTTATTTTGCTTGTAGGACAAACTGATTAAATATAAGATTTACAGTGACTTTTGTATGACCTTGTTTTTAACTGTATCAATATTCAACAGATTTTGCTTTAATAACTATTCAATTGATGAGTCTTATTAAAATTATAAACCAGAGCAGTTCTTTACATCCAAGGAAATACTTTTGTAGTTAAGATCTTGAACTATCATCCATTGTGATCATACACAAATAAGAAATGCAAAATATAACTATTACATATATCTCAATAAAATTTCAGTCAATTTTGATAATTTATCTCCTTTGAAAATGTTTGGTCACTATTTATGCTTATAGCGACTGTAGCTACTCCTTCATTCTTAATAAGCTTGATTGATTTTGATTACCTCGAAATTGTAACATGAAACACTTGTACCTAGTGATTGGAGATCTTTGAGAACATTAGCAATACAAACTTAGTGTTTTGCAATTTTATTTATTTATAAGAAGGGATTTATGTGTGTTGTAGAGTTATTAAAAACGCTTATAAATGAAATCATAACATTTATATCTTATTGCTAATACTTTTTCCTTCCATTAATAAATACTTGGAATATGTAGCAATGTTATAGTTATATAAATAGTTATCACTTTGTTTATTCAAGTAATGACTTGTTTGGTTTTCTGCTCTCCTTTGTTGTTTATAATGAAATAATTACTGGACATTAATAATTATATTTGTTTTAAGATCCATTCAATTTAGTATTCCTACTTCATTTCACGATTTACAGCTGCAACAAACAGTTCTTTAAGTTTTTGTGTTTAGTAGTACCATTGTAATTTATTTTAAACGTTATTATTGTATCTTTGCAGGCAGTAGTACAAGATGAGTAAACTTTGTAGACAAGTGTCAATTGAATCCCCTGGACCCACTCTTAAAGAATGTGTATTTAGTTTTGATGTACCCGTGCCAGATGTTCCAATGTATGGTGCAAGAATAAGAGTTGTTTATGCTGGTGCTTGCTATAGAGCTAATAGAACTCGATCAGCATCAGTTTGCAGTACTTCCTCCATTTCCTCTATAGGAAGTTTGACAGGGGAGATGGAAAGCTTTGGCATACATACATCAACACCAGCACATGTTGGCTTACGAGATGGTGCTTTGTTTCCTGGGTATGAAGTTGCCGGTATTGTGGATGCTATTGGCAAAGCTGCAGAATGTACAGATGACATTAAAATAGGAACAAGAATAGTTCTCTACCCAAATGAAGGTGTTCCGCATGGATATGCTGACTACATTGTTGTCCCAGATTTCCACTGCCTAGTGAAAGTACCAGAGAATTTGCCTCTGAGTATTGCGGCTATGTTGCCAACTGGAGCTTTACTTGCCATGAATACTGTTAATACTGCTATTGAATGTCTCAACACTATAATTGAGGGACCTGGCAAAAAGGAAAAAGCAACTGTTTTGATTGTTGGAACTGGTGGACTAGCTCTTTGGGCGCTTCGTATCGCATCGTTCTATTTCCAAAGATTGCCCTATCATGAACGAATTCGTATATCAGTCGCAACGTTGAAAGATGAAGGAATTGTTTTGGCTCAAGAAGACGAAGAGTAAGTAAAAGAAATATTTATAATTATTTTTTAAAAAAATGTAATTGTTTAGATTTCTCTTATTAAAATAGTTTTGTTCAGATAAATTGCACTAAATTAATAAAATATCTAAGTTGTATATATATTAATTTTAGTTCAGCCATTTTTCTAATTATTTTTTTCTAATCTAATGTTTCTAGCCAAGGTATTAGATCAGTATGTTGGTTTACAATCCACAGAGATATTTTGTTGTTGCAGATAAATGTGTGTTTTTTTTTAAATAATAGTAGTAGTTTATGTTTTAACACAGAAGATTACGAAAAAAATAGTAAACAGAAATAATTACTCGAGACTATTAAAATCCTTCTTCCAAATCGATATAATACAATGATCCGAAAAATTTATATCTCGGGTTGGAAAGAACAGCAAAGATTATTTAAGTAAATTTTTATTAGTAGCTTATTTGTGTTCAGGGGATGCTTCTAAATGGTTATTTATTTTGATTCATTTTTCTTATTTCTACTACTATAATTCTATGTAAGAATATTATAAAGTGATAGTTGTGATAATTTAAAATGCCAATTTGTTAAAGTGCGGTAATTTGCGGTTATCGTATGTATAAATATTTATTGTAAGATCCGTATGCTTAGCTAGTTTCCATTGTCGCACTAAATATCTGTTTAACATTCAATTACCTACCTTCATGCCATAATGGGCGAAGATTTTGCTTATCAACGCTTCCTATGTAGTGTGACGATCCAAGTCTTTTGGACAAGCATATCAGATTCCTAAAGAATTCTATCGCCAAACCAAATGAGTACTGTTTCTGATTTTTAATTCATAAACCGTAACTAATACTATCATGTGCGGGTAACTACTGACGATAATCCATTATGCAAACTAGTAGTGAGGGGACTGTTGTTGTAAATAGGTACTGTTTGCGCATGTTGTTTTGATCTGAACTACTGTTGTGTCGTTAGTGTGTCCGTGGTTCAATGGTCGGAGGATCTCTACGAGCGTCAGTTGGTGGAGCGTACTATAGATGCGTGCGGCGGCTTTGTCGACGTCGTGCTTAATTTTGGAACTACCTCACGTTCGCTGCATCGCTCCTTACAGTGTCTAGCCCCGGTATGAATTTCTAGACCTTACTGTAAATGTTATTCATTCTGAATTTTATACAAATACATATAATTGTTATCATCCAGGGCGGTATGGTACTTGTGACGGAAGACGTGGGCGATAAACTTCTACCTAAATTTGCTAAGAAAGCCGATGAAATGAACGTCAACATAGTCGCTGTTCAGAATGGCACCATCGAACAACTCAGGGAACTGGTTGAACTTGTAGCTAACGGGACTGTGAGTATATACAAATTACTTCAGTATTAGTGTTAATGCCATAGTTAGTGAATATAATTGTAGGAACTCCACAACTAAATGCCATCTCCATTTAAAGTTAAAGTATTGACATTATTTCTATGTATGAATTCGCTGGTTTCCACAACTTCTTTCGTCTTTTTTTCCTACTTGGCTATTACTGTTAACCCTATCGGGTTAGACAGTTCCATTGTAGATAGTTTTTGATGCTCACGTTTATTGCAATTGTCTCATCTTTTCTTTATAAACATTTTACTATCATTGGAAACAACAGTAAATAAATGTTGACACCATTAATATATTATCTGATGCCAAGTAGTACAGAAGCAATAAAAAATCGTGACTATTTGCCGATTTGTTATAAAATACTAGTTCTTGCCCGCGACTTCGTCGTCGTAGATAGGATTTGTCCCAGAAAGAAATTTATAAAGCAATAGGTGTATGTCTATTCTTTTCATATAAAAACTAAAAACGATTTTTAAACCTTGAATCTGCAATAACTATAAATTATAAAAAATAGCTCATTCTTATGTCTAAACTATGTACGTTACTGTAAAGTTTCGTCAAGATCCATTTCGTAGTTTTCTCGTGGAAGAGTAACAAATATTTTTCAAGCTCACAAACTTTGCTTTTATATACATCAATAGATACACATATGTCAAGTGGTACAATTAATAATAATGGTTTTATTTTATATCAGATCGAGCCTCCTCCACACTCGGTGTTCCCCGCTGAGGAGGCCCAGGAGGTTGTCAGGAAGCTTTGCAACTCAGAGATCAAAGGACGTGCCATTCTTAAGTTCCACGACATCGACTAATTGTATGTCAAAGATTTTTATTGTAGCTCAGGGCCAATATCACAGATGGAAGATTCATCCTAAATGTCATTTTAGTTTTCGACATTTACTTATATTCATAAACAATTTTATTTTTATGTTATTCCTTTTACCCGAAACTTTTTTATTTTAATAATTAAGTTTAGTCCGTAACCAGTTCGGTTAAATCTGATTCAATATGGGATAGCATCCATTCATCGTTATAGTTGATTTACATTACATTTAGATTGTATTTGTAATCGATCAACCATTATCATAAAAACTTTTGCCACTAGTAGCGGTACAAAGGAACGAACTAGTCGCATTTATTCATATAGTATATAGATAATAAGCCATAATAGTTGTAACCAATATGGAACTTATTTTGTACTCCTTTATTAAAAATATTTACAATACTCAATCACTAGGTTAATTTTAGATTAGAATGCCATTTATATGTTTATCGGTTGTGCATCGTCTTCAAAGATTTGGGTTCATTTTTAAAATGAACTTGGATATTTTATATAACGGTAATATATTATAATCGTTTAGAAATTAAGGTCAATTGAGTGTCTATTATGGCGTCACACAAACGGCGTTAGATTATAACATTGATATTCATCGTCTTCAAGGACATGTGGTGTATGAGAAACATATATAAATTGTATACTGTGTTTGTACCTCTATATTATTATTAACTTCTTGATATAAACTCTACTGATTTTCAAATATTTTTGTACTACAGTTGCACATGTGGAATTAATTATGTTATCTTTTAAGCCGTCCTTCAAATTGATTTTTATTTATTTATTTTCAATTTATTTTCTTTGGGTTAAAACACAAGTTTTCAATATATGTATTTTTATTCAATGTCTGTACAACTTTTCTTGTAACTTTTAACGGATTCTCGAGACGACATTCTCATAAAATATGTCAATCGTTTTATACGTCTATGGATTTTAAGTCGTTTTTAAAAACGAAGTTAAATCATAATTAAGGAAAAAGTAATTTTTAAATTTGTATTGCTTTTTAATTTCCTTATATATTCGCACAAGAATTTCTGTATATTGTTGTAAAGCTTTTTTCGAAGAGATTTAAAGTTATTTTTCAAATGTTATTGGATTGCATAAACAACATATGTGATAGTTTGTTACTCATATTAATGTGTTAGATATTTAGTCCGGCCACAAAAAGTTTAGGTTTCAGACTTGTTTTATTTTGGAACGTATGTAACTGTCTAGTCATTTAACATTCTAAACACATTTTCGTGTAACATAATATACAATAGTATTACCTGTTTTAGAGTATCTCCTTTATAAACTTTCATTGTAATAAATGTTTAATACCATAGATTCGTTTTTATTTCTAATCACCATGGAGTACAAACACTTTTTATGTATAAGCTTTATAATTTGTATAAAATGTATAAAAATTAACTACATTTATTTATATAAAACAGTTGAATGTCGCCCTTTGTTATGGTTAACCGCTCGAAGTTTCTGAAACAGATACAGCGATTTCATATTGTCAATGTTTTCGTCAAGGATCATCGGCTTCGTGGTTTTCGGTGTGTCCATGCTCTTTATTCCCCATATATCTATTACGGATCGTATTTCTTCGTTGGTGGCAGCATGCAGTACTATGAGTACAGAAGACGAACCCACTCCGCCTTTCTTTATATCAGCGCTGGCTCCGCACGACCTTATAGCCACGTTGTCCACGTGGATGTATTTGATAATATAACCCGGGAAATTGTTCTCGTAAACATATATTTGTCCTTCATTAATGGAAACCGGCCGATTTTCTACAACTGCCGAGTCCATGCGCTTCATTTGATGACTCCACTCTCCAACTTCCAAGGGCATCTTAGTCTTCTCGCAGAAAAGTCTCGCTTTAGCGAAATTTAAAATAAGCAATATAACTAATCGATACATTTATGCGGGCTGCCGTGTTTGAACTGAATATTTGCATTGCACCTGCCTCGTTCCTATTGTTGTTTTAGAACAATGACCACTTAGACTGTGATAAGTGTCAGAGTTTATCTTACTGTGCATTCTTATCAAGTTACTTAAAAAATTGGAAATTTAGTTTTATGGAGTAATGTTTGGCAGAAAATTCTAATGAATTGAGAATTATAATTGGTGTTTTTTTTAGGTCCATATTGAAAAGACGTAAACAACCGAAAGTTAGCACTTTTTAATGTTCTCGTTTTTTTTTATTACCAAGAAAAAGTGAATTTCAAGTGAGTAGTTTAAATTGAACTTTAGAAAATTCATGCAATTTAGAAATATGGAACACTCGTATGGATAAGATTTACTCACCTTAACGATATGAAAAATAATTAAAATATATATGTAAAATATAAAAAAATAGGTTTTACTTATTTTCATTCCGTTTTCTTTAGTTAAATAGACTTGATGAAGTTACTGTTACAGGATAATAAATAAAATACAAATTGATTCAACGGCACATTTTTTATTAAGAAATCATAATTGGTCCCTAAGGTATAAGCATTTAGGGCGTGTATATATATGTATATATATTTTTACAATTGATTTAAAATATAAATTAAAGTAAGGACCAAGTTTATCATTACAATATGATCGATGAAAAAAATTCAAAAGGAAAACATTATAATTTGGACCATTAAAGTATATACGCTATTAAAAAGTGCATTTGATGATTTTTTTTAACATTCGTCTAAGGTTCTTTGGCGTGCTTTGTTATTACTGATATATATATGTATATGCTGCTAATATATAAAGTGCACCCCAAGTAAAATACAGTTACAATATCCATAATATCTTTAACACATAATATCACTCTAATATTCATTTTTTAATTAACTTAAGTTTTAATGATATCATTTAAGAAATTAAGTGATTATGTATTTATATAGTGTGTTGAGTTCCGTAAGACGTTGCGGAGATTCTATATAAACATCCATTAAATGGATTTTTTAATATATATTTATATCTTAATATTAAAACGATAGTCTTCACAAGTAAGCGGAGCCGAAAGTTTCTTAATAGTTAGATATTATGTTCCTATATATATCACTGATAGTTTTTAACATTTTTATTCTTTAAAACTGGAAGATAAAATGGAATTAGTTGCTTTATTATAATTTTTTTAATCACACAGACAAAAACGTCATACAATTTTGTCAACTTACCCTATATTTCACTTAAATATTCTTTTTTATATACTACGGTAAACAGGGACGGAGATTTAGACACGTCTTACGGAATATCTAAGGCACTTCGGTGCAATATAGCGGTGCCAATTTATAAATTCATTTGTTACATTTTTTTTACCTTGTCTATGTAAAATATATAATTTTTAACAAATTGAGCAAGAGCTAAACAATTTCTCGTTATTCGCACTTCGTCCCGAACGTCTTAAGTAATGTGTTACATATGTTACAGAAATTACAATTCTTTTTAACTAGTATAAAATATTTGTAAAATTATAAAAATACATTCTCTTATAAAATATGTTTTAAATTTTTTATGCTGCGATTTAAGTTACATAACGTTTTTATATTAAAGTACATAATGCTGCCAATACGAAGCACCAAAACACATATATAAGTGTAAGCGAGCTGCAACCGTGCATCAATTTTTCTTAAGCATACTTATATATAATATATGGACAATATTGATGATTATAAGGCTTGATAGATGCCAAGTGGCAAAGCTTGGTCTTCGGACGATTTACAACCAACAACCTTCAATATGTAAGTTTAAATACACAGCAACAATGATATAGTTACGTAACAACCACCCAACTATTAACAGTTTAATTTTTGTAAGTCCCAACAATTGTAAAAATAATTTCTAAAACATTATTATTTTTATATATCAATAGATGTAATATGGTTGTAACTTGTATGTATACCTTCTCACATTATTTGAATGGTAAGTAGTGTTAAGGTTGTGTAGTTAGCGTTACTTTGTTCATGTTACATGTGTATTGTAGCTGCGGTATAGCGAGCCTCACCTCTGCGCCAGTTCCACTGCGAGGGACGATACTATAATACAAACAACATGATATTATAAAAGTAAACCATACAATATATAGTAGTAGCCCTTTTGCTGCATTTCTAATAACAAAATAAAAGCAATTATCAACTAGATAGCTGATGTAATTGAGAGTACATAACTAAGTTTCGTAACACATTTATTTTTATTTATATAAAAAACCCGACTAATACAAGCGAACTAAGTCTCTTGAAAATAATACATAAGAGAAATTTTTTTTTGTTACATAAAATTCAATGATTTTTTTGAGATTATTTTTATGTGAACGGTGGCAAACGAGTAGACAGCCCACTTGATGAAAGGTGGTTATCGTCGCCCATGGACATCCGCAACATCTTTGTTGCGGATGCGTTGCCAACTTTGTTTTTTAGGGATAGGGAGGGGTGGGAATAAGGAAATGGTAGGAATAGGGAAAGGGCAACCGGCTCTCTCACTCATCAGACTAAATGCAACCAAAAAAATTAAATGTATAACTTATGTTTAAAAAGTTACTTAAATTTAAGCATAAATCCGAAATTAGTTATATTTAAATGGAAATACTATAGTTAGCGTTTTGTTAAAGTCAGTGGTGGCTCAGTGGGTTATATTTAAATGGAAATACTATAGTTAGCGTTTCGTTAAAGTCAGTGGTGGCTCAGTGGTTAAAAGGGTCCGCCTCTCGGCCTCTCGTCGCCGAGGGCGCGGGTTCGATCCCGGCCCGGGCAAGTACCAATGTGATGTTTCCGAATCATATGTACTTTCTAAGAGTATTTAGACATCACTGATTAATGTTGATTCCCAAAAAAGGGTTGATGTCAGGCAGGCGGCCGGTCGTAAAAACAAATAGCCAAAAACTATTCACAACATGTAAGGCAGACCCTGGCTATAGCTGGGAAATTGCCAGGTAGTTAGAAGAAGAGTATAGTTAGCGTTTTGACTTTATTAACGAGTTTTTACAGACATGTGGCATCAAATTCTTTTTTGGTGAAAATTCATTATAAAATGACGTATACCTTGATGAGGAGTTGTCCGGAACGTGTGTGAGGATTCTTGAAGGCGTACAGCGCCCAGCTCACGAGACTGCAGACTAAGGCTACAGCGAGGAAGGCTGCCACCACGCCTCCTACTGGCGACCTCGCCTCGGTATGTACCTCCTGGGCCCTGCGCGCAGTCACACGAGCCTCCGTGTTATCTACGAATAACCATACACTATTAGTACATTAATTATCAATAATCATCCGTACATAATATGTCCAAATAACTTATGTGAGATTCCACTGCTCTTACAGTTGGTGAATCGTTACAAGAACACTTAGATCTATGTATATTGTTTTAATAATTATTATATTGTTTATATGCGTTTGTATTTATCGTTTTTAATATCACTATTAAATGTTATTTGTTAGTTACATAGGTGTACAACTTTGCTTCCGCCGTTTTGCAATAGATGGTTGTAGCGGTAAGTGGTAGTCGAAATAAATAGATCGTAGATGTTATGACATCTACGATCTATTTATGATGCAGACACAAATCGACTAATATTTAGATGGCGTTATGTTTACAAATGCCTAAGCTGATTGTATGCAATCAGCTTAGGCATTTGTAAACATAACGCCATCTAAATATTAGTCGGTTTGTGTCTGCATCATAAAGTTATTCTCGATTAAACTTGTCAGCTTACGAGCCAAATTCTCGTCATTTGCGGGAGGTTTTAATTTTCTGCTTTAATATGAAGAAATCTGCGGCTGAGGCTCATCGAATGCTCTCAAATACCTATGGTGAGGCTGCTATTAGTGAAAGAACGTGCCGAGAGTGGTTTCAACGCTTCAAGAACGGTGATTTTGATGTCGAAGACCGGCATGGCGGTATTAGAGAGAAGGTTTTCGAAGATGCAGAATTGGAGGCATTACTTGATCAAGACTCGTGTCAAACGCAACAAGAATTGGCAAGATCATTGGGAGTGACGCAACAAGCCATTTCAAAACGCCTGAAAGTCATGGGAATGATTCAGAAACAAGGAAATTGGGTGCCGTACGAGTTGAAGCCGAGAGATGTTGAACGGCGTTTGTTTGCTTGTGAACAGCTGCTTGCAAGGCAAAGACGGAAAGGATTTCTGCATCGCATTGTGACTGGGGATGAAAAATGGGTTCATTACGATAATCCCAAGCGCAGAAAATTATGGGGATATCCCGGCCATGCTTCCACGTCGACGGCCAAACCGAATATTCACGGTTCCAAGGTATGCTCTGTATTTGGTGGGACCAGCTCGGCGTAGTGCATAATGAGTTGTTAAAACCGACTGAAACAATCACAGGCGATAGTTAAACGCATTAATTGCGTTTGAGCTGAGCATTGAAAGACAAACGGCCGCAATACAACGAGATACATGATAAAGTGATTTTACAGCACGACAATGCTCGACCCCATGTTGCGAAAGTGGTCAAGTCATACTTGGAAACGTTGAAATGGGAAGTCCTACCCCACCCGCCGTATTCTCCAGACGTTGCTCCCTCGGACTATCACTTGTTTCGATCAATGGCACAAGACCTGGCTGACCAGCACTTCCGGTCTTATGAAGAAGTTAAAAATTGGATCTATTTGTGGATCGCTTCAAAAGATGACCAGTTTTTTCAACGCGGGATTCGTATGATGCCCGAAAGATGGGAGAAAGTGGTGGCCAGCGATGGACAATACTTTGAATCATAAATGTATAATCAGTTTTTTACAATAAAGCCTCGAATTTCGGAAAAAAACGGCGGAAGCAAAGTTGTACACCTAATATGATGTACTCTTATACAATTAAACGTTTTTTTTTTAAATTAACAATTATATCTTCCATTTCGACTAGTAACTGTTATTTATATGGCAATGTTTATTTCGTAATAATTAAGCTAGCTGCAATACAAATAGTGAATATGTTATTGAAATTGTTGTAAAATTTTTCCTTTAACTTCTGTTCTAATATTCTAAAAGTAACTAAGTGTACACGTTGTTTTTAAAAAATAAAAGACTAGTGTCTTAATCACAAAAGTGCCGCCTTTAATTTCATAACATCAATAACCACCTTGTTTATTCAATTTATATGAAAACAACTAACTGTACATATCTTTATAACACATATACAACAAATATGTAACTTACCGTCAGTTAGTACAGCGGTGTCTGTGTTGTTATCTCTTGAATCAGTCTCGTAAGCCGTGTTACTACCCGCGGGTTGGTCTACATGAGGGCTGGCAGGACAGGATTGCACCGAAGATATATTGAACTTTTCACAATCTGAAATTATTTTTGTATTGTATAATATTTTTTTTACAAATTAAAACTAATATATGAAGATCTAGAGGGCTAGAGCTAGTGGAGACCGAAATATAATACAACAACAACTTACTTCTTAGCAGCCAATCTTGTTTATTCCTATCTGTACCGCTGGAACACTTCTTGAGTTTTTCGCACCATAGACACTTAAAAAAAGAATTAATATTATAAATTCGTTATATAAATGAACAATTATAATTAATTATTTAAATAAATAGTAATTGTTCAGGAGGAGATTTAAGATATCAATTATTATACATACATTGAATCCAGTGTTGTGGTTGAGACAGTCGGTGCAAGTGTCGTACTGCAGGCACGTTGGTAATGCTATCAGCTTTAATATAGTGTTGTTTGTTATCTCGTGGGTCAGGAACGATATTCTGTGATACTCGTAGATGGTCTTACGGCGGACGTCTATTATAATATAGATATAATTAGATATAAAAGTACTAAAATATTTAGTAAACTATCACTAGTTTTAGTGGTCAAACCAAATGTAAATCCGCGTTACTCATTTAAGAAGGTACATTTATTCTATATTGGGAAAAGATTTATGAATGTAAAGTTCTAAGCGGTTTATATTAAAGACGACGCAAAATTAGTGGGAAAACTTCTTTACTAATAATATGTTAGAATGAACTAATACTTTCGGATGATCCTACGGCTTTATTATTATTTTATAACAACATAATCATGGCGTTTCTAGAAGAACTTCTTCAAGAAGAACTAGAATTACTGAAAACAATTAAAATATACATTTTCGATACTCTTCAATAAGTAATTTTAATTAGGAGATGGCTATGAGAGATTGAGACATATAGTTAATCAATGAAAAAGAGTATCAGGAGTATTAGGATAAATGTAACGTTTATTATTTTTCATCGAGCTAAAAAATAATTATGTTACATATTCTATGGTTAAAGGGCCCGCCTCTCGTTGCCGAGTACGCGGGTTCGATCCTGGCCCGGGCAAGTACCAATGTGATATTTCCTTGCATATGTACTTTCTAAGAGTATTTAGACATCACTGATTAATGCATTCCCAGAGAGGGTGATGTTAGGCAGGCGGCCGTAAAAAAAAAAGCCAAAACTATTTGCAACATGTTCAGGGCAGGAAGAAGAAAAAAAAATCTATCTCTATGTTTTGACATTGACCATTGAATGGATATTATACTGACTATCCCACTACACAGGAGCACACATATGGGCAATGTTTAGCAGACGATACTGGGGATGCTTTGAAGAATCGCGCAAAGAGGAGACCGAAACGTCCAATGTGTTCTATCTCATTCTCACGCAGGCTAAATCCTATACATTTATATGTTTTTGTCTCTTTCCACTTATTTTTTCGTTTCATCGAGTTTGAATCATAACGATTCTAAAGAAGTTTCACTTCAAAAAGTTTTCTTAGTATAATTTATTTCGAATGCCCTACCAACTGCATTAAAACTATTATCCTCTACACTAGATTCAGTCACGCTAAACTCGTATATAATATGTATATTCAACATACAAACACAACAAGGTCATATTTGCCGTGCATTTTTGAGTGATCCCAATTATTTACTTGGTTAACAATTTATCAGAATGATTCTCAATACTCACAGAATAATATTTTATCGTTGAGGTAAGCGTCACTTATTCCAACTTTAACTGGATGTTCTACGTCATTTATTTTCTGTACGGGTATCGGTATATCTTTGTAAGCGAATACGATGTCGCCATTTTTATAAAGTGTCACAGCGAAAGTGAATTTCTTTGTATGATCCTCTTGAAGTGTCGCCTTTTCCCAGAAAACGCTGAATTTCTCACCTTTAAAAAAATATTATATTATAGTTATGTAACAAGTTATATAACGTTAAATGCAAAATACATATAAAAACTTCAAAGGAAAAAGTGGTACAATTACAGTTACTTTAATGATAAGGCGAAAGAGACATATTGTATCATTACTTGCCACCATTGTTCCCTTGTTAACTCCAGTAAATTATAAGTTAAAAAAATATAAGTGGCTTATATTGATTTTATGCTATTCTTAAATTGGCGTGTAACTGAAACATTATTTCTTATAACTACTTATAATAATCACCACGTACAGTTCGCAGATGTTATATTACATACGTCAAGTTTTATTTCCAAAGAAAATTGTTTAAAAAACTAATTTACAACTACTTTTTAATCGAAGCCTCAGTCAAGTAGCTTTTAATAGTAAATGACTTCGTTTTAGTATTTTTAAATCAATCATATTTGACTAAACGTATGTGTACTATACTTTTATTTGTAACAAAAAAAATATTAGTCTTTTCGTTAATAGCACTTATCATTCTTCATTACCGTTTTAATTGAACATATTAAAATTTATGTTACTTAGTAATAATTTTCGCTGACTGTCTAAAAAAAAATTCTGATCTATATACTGAATTACGCATCACTTTAAACTATATAGCGTACATTATTGTGATGTCTGAGCTACATTAATGTAAATTTTCATCAAAATCAGTTAAGCAGTTTCTCAGTTAGAGCAACAAACTCACATACTTTAACATATATAATGTAAGTATATATGAATGTATAGTGTTATTATATGCTCACCATCGTCATACATCTTGACCAGACTGTCGTTTGTGATAGTTGTATCGAAGTTAGCCATCAACGGCGCTATGTACTGTGTAGCGGCCAGCCAGTTGTGAACGTGATCCCCCGTATATATAAAACCTCCGGTAGCAACTGTTATATTACGAACGCCGTGACCGTAGAACGGAAAATCAAAACTCAGCTTTATAGTCTGGAATATATAATATATTCATTAAAACCATTTATGTACCTAAATTTAAAGTAACTGTTCTTTTTAAATTTTATATCTAAATAAATTATGTTGAAATTCATGATAACGAGGATACTTAAGAGTATATACGAATGTCATGTCTGTTATATTTGTCATCGATTGACTTTGAAAGTTTAAACTATGTGTCGCATTATAGCTGTTAAGTGAGTAACCATATATGTAGGTATACATGTATATAATATATTTCTTTATTTCGTGTATACTCACAGTAGCACGTCGATGTGAGTCGCTGAGAACTCCGTGTACTTCAGACTTGGGTTCTGTGATATTTGCCCAATACTCTTGGAAATATGTCACGTTACCGATAAAAGAACTGTTGTAGAAGTCATGGTTGTCCTGTAAATTATTATCATATATAAAACAACTATTAAAAACCCTCCGTCCTCATTTGATATTTATCTTCAAAGCATGTTATAATTACAATAATATTATTAGATAAATATACAGTATGATAAGGATATTAACTTACATAGTTTAATGATGTCAAGTTCTGTTCAGCCTTGATAGTTTCGGGTGTTTCTTTGAAGACATTTGGGAAACCTAAAAATATATTTGATGTTAAAAAATAAACACTATGAAAAACATGTAGTGACATACAAACTGACTATTACTAATGTTTTTGTCGTCCATAATCAACATAGTAATAGTATACACTACACACTCTTATATCTATCCTAAAACATCTTTTTTACTGTCGTCTATAATTATTTCTTAACTTTTAATAGACATACATACTGATGAGCCCCGTAAAGCCTTTGCTATATATACAAATAAAACATTGTTTTTATACTTTTATTGAATATCGTTCTTTATTTTTATATAAATAACTTATTTTAATTAATGTAATAAAGGAATGAATGTATAGTGTAAATATTCAATCAAGTCTTTATTAACACCTCTATGCTTAACTTGACATATTAATTTTTATTTGAAACAAAAGATTACATTGTTAGATTTTTTTTACATCGGCTCAGTAGTTTTACAATACACTTTTTGTATTTTTTATATTTAGCTAAACCAATACTGGGAATATACAGGGTGACTGGTGAATTACTATCAATATTTAAGGAGCATACTCAGTACATGATTCTCATTCGAGTTATGTAAAAAAAATAGGTACTTAATTTTTGACCAAATTTCCATATAAATAAATAAAGTGTGTACACGTTCCAAGTGTTCCAAGTGTGGACGCGTGCGGCGGCGTGCTGATACAACAACACGCCGCCGCGCGCGAGTGTGTGTGTGTTGTGTATACCTAATCTGTAGGGTGTTCATACGATGCGTAATTAATTACATAACTTTTGGTTAACTTTACTTAGAAGTTTATTAATATTTATGTTATATTAATTTTTATTTTGTCATATATGATCGTCAAATATCACGTCCTCAAATATCGATAGTAATTCACCAGTCACCCTGTATATGTATAAATAACCATCATTCTTGTTAATAAATACATAATATTTTTCTCCTAAGTACTATTCGTTAAATATAGCATCAGTTATCAGTGACCTAGTTCGACATTACATTACCCTTTTACATTTTATATCATGAGATGATAATTTGTGCAGGAAACGTTTGTTAAATTTAAAACAGATATAACATTTCGATGACTCCACATTTCCGATAGTTTAATATTAAATATGTATGTGAAAAGAAAGACGTAATATGTTGTAAGGGTGTACGTTTCATATGAATATATTTTAAAACTCACTGTCATCTGGGAGTATGGGGTCGCTAACTTTTGGCGTGTTACCGGTTACGTTCACATGTAGTACACCAGAACCGTTGACCCCGAGTAGCGGTACCTTTGTCACCACAACCGACGGCGCGGACGTAGCTGTAACATGTGCGATCGTTTCGTTTATAATACAAACATACACATTATAACTATTATATATACATAATCTTCAAGTAAAATTACAACAAAAACAAACGAATTAGTGTTATAGAATCGAAGGAATCGAGGACGTTACAGTCTTTGTAATTGTTAAAAGGAAACTGCGTCCTTAAACTCTCAACAATTGCGCACAGAATAGTTCATCTAATTGTCTTCAATAAACAAAACTAGCACGATACGTTTATCGGATATTATCATTATGAATAAAACAGAACGTTGTATTTTCCTCTATTAATAATTCATAAAGTTTAAATGTTATTCATAGTTTTTTTATATAAAATCGCAAATGCAAAAGTATTATACTTTTATATGACATAAGATTTCATCGTCGCACATTGCTGAGACGTATGCATTGCAAACAATATTGTTGAACTTCTGGAAAATGGAATACAATAAGTTTGTTTATAAATACACTTGATTGCGCGGTGCTTAAATTTTCTGGTACCATTATTGTCATATATTTATGAATTAGTCTCATATCAAATATATATAAACTAGAAAATTTGGATAAGCAAAGCATGGCTGCATATTATTGTTTATAATCAGACGCACGAATGATTATTTATTTTAAGCCAATACAATAACAAACTGTATCAATACCTATTTAAATAGCAGAGCATAAAAGAATATTTATCATATTATATTATAAATGCTGAGCATTGTGTAAGTAATATGAATAACTGTTCACTGTTTGATATTAAATTTCGTTACTGTCAGCTAAATATACAAATGTTTTATTACTAAGGTATTAGTTTATTCGCAAGCACAATAAACAATATAAATATATATACATATGATATTATTATAATGAAGGTCATTCAAAGTTTGCCTTATCGTTGTCCAAACAAAGACGTGTTATCAATGGTAGTGGTTATAGTTATATACATATCTTGGGTTTTTCTTTTTAATAATATTTATGTATGTTATGATTCATTAACCTTAAATAAATCTTCGTTATTTACAGAAATTTATTGACCAATTTATTTTTTTTGGATTTTTTAGATCAAATGTTTCGGGATTCCTGTTCAGTATCATCTCCAGTTGTAAATATTTCTTTAGCCAACAGTTGTTTGTAATATTCATATTTAACATGACTGTTTCATCACTAACATGGTATTTCCCGATGGGTAAGTTGGTATTTCAATTATTATTAATTAATTCTATAAAGAACTCGAATAAAATAAAACTGCAAACACGTTATTAATTTTAATTCGTTATTGATCCTGAGTAATTTAATTTTACATTCAGCATAAACATGGTTACTCTATATTAATAAAGTTATTCTTATTATTTAGTGAATGACGTTTCTTTATTAATAAACTTAGAAAGTGACTATATCAAGTGATATGTGTCAATTACCATCATCATACATTTTGCTAGAATTAACTATCGAAACTTATACTCTAAGATAAAAAGCGAGTGATCTTAATTATTTATAATCATATACTAGAAAACGTTTATTTGATTTTAAGAACAAATTTCTTAAGTACATTTTTTATGACATACAGGTTTTACGTTCATCTTTACCTGTTGTTATGTTATCCACAACCAAACACATCGGTATTAACAATTTCGTTACATGCATAACCTTCAAATAAAAATGCTCTATCCCATAATAATTTTATCGTTCTCTGTATCAATCTAATACTAAGTCAACTTATACCATGTATGCACGTTATTAGAACGAAAGTCTGCCATTAATGTGAAATTACTAATTAGTCGTATTTGTAACAAACTATTACAAATTGCAATGAGCATGCTTAAAAACGAAATGACGCTTTATTTTCCAGCACGTTCGAACAGGTTTCGAACATTGAACAAGCTTATTTCCATGCATTCAATAACTTTCAATTTGACATTTACATGTCCATAAAATTCTGCATCTTTTTTATCGTATTAATCTGTACGTCTGTGTGTTATAACATATTATTGATAGAAATATCAAATTCATATAGCAACAAAACCTACAATATCTTGAACAATCTATCATCGACAAAATCGCCTTAAGCTATAGGTACGGAGACCTGTGGAACGTTTTAGTTATTACAGATAGCTAATTAAACTATAGCTTCTACTATGATCTTTATTTATATTCAAATGAATGAATAATGTATGTAAAGTGTTTTTACTGATGTTAGTATGCCACTAGATTACTATAGTTGAATTTCTCGGGTCATTCCTGTAGAGTCATTTTAAATCCTCATTATCATCACTTTTTAATAAGCTTCATTATCTTTTATGCACCAATTTTACAAATTACTCCATCTTTAATAACATTATTCCCATAAAGTCTATATATTTATTTCTTTATAAACTGTTAGGCAAAACAATATTCTTGTACTTATTCCAGTAAATGTTTCTATTAACTTTTCCTCCTAATTTAGATGAAATAAACTCGAGATATTTCATCAGCATACGATGACAATGTCTTTAAAAAAAAAAAAACTAAGTATTTTTTTTTTCAAGCCCTGTAAATTATAAGATAAAGAAAACTTAATTAATTATCAATATAGTGAATATGTTGTTTTTAATGTATTGTCACTTTAAAACCATCTACATGAATCTTTAAGACTCCTAATTTATTCTTCCTTAGTAGTCGCTTTATATTAATCAAATTTATTTCATTTAGGTTATTGAGATAACTGTTCAGATATTAATGAACAATTATAATTTATGTATACCAATAACAATTAAATAAGTTAACGCATGATTATTCTTTCAGATTAATAAGTATCATTATACATAAAAGTTAACTTTTTTAAATATAATAGTTATGTGTTAAATAATATTTTACACCAACGTCATACAAACATTCTTTTATCTGTCCTTGATATGTTTGTCTATAAGAAAGAGTTATTTAACTCATAGCAGCTGCCTCAACAATGGGTCTTTGATATATCATTATTTGGATTGTGTTGTACGTGTGAGTTAAACTTTGTATTAATTAACTATGTACAATTTTATCATTACTTGTCATATATTTCGGAGTATTTCAGAATATCTTACTTCTTAGTCCAAAATTTATTATGACTATTCAACTGGTGACATACGTCAAAACCAATATAGAATTTAGATTTTTGTTTACACTGCAGTCAAGTAAAGGTATTCGTAAGCAATATTTTCAAAATTAAAATCAATCAATTCATACTTACTCATTGACATCATACAAAACTTGCGAAATTATTTAAGGTCTGTTCAGTGTTACGGCGTCAAAGGTTAATAGTGAACCTTCAAAGAAAAACCTCATTTCATTCGTTTTCTTATATTAATATGCATATATCTTCCTATATAGAAAGACGAAATAAAAAATAAAACATTTCTGTTTGCTTCATTTTTAAAGCTGCAACCTGATTCGTGACCTTGAACGTTTTTATTGAATGAAATATAATCGTATTATAATAATTTGAATGCCGGTTAAGTGACCATAAAAGTGGTTTGGTTTTGAAAATCAATAAAGACGGATTATAAGAGATTCTTTTAACATCCGTAGGGAAGGAGTTGTTTTCCAACTTTTTATATTAAATGTTGCGCAAGACGGATAATAATTACTCTCAATAATTGTGGTGATTAAATGGACGACCAAATACTATATCTTTGTAATTTTATTTTTTAATATGAACAAGTTAAAAACCGTTCTTTGATCATTCTGCAATAACATAGTTTTTACTGTGACGTATGTGGTTTCAAAACTAGACACTAGAATAATCTCGAATGCTCCTTTGTGTGTCACGTATGTACAGGTCATGAATAAATGAATAGCGTATGTTTATACTAACGTAAACGATGAACAGTACCCTTAGTAAAAGATTGCATCCTCATACATAATTTTTCATTTATAATTATTATATACCGATACTTACATATGAAAATCACAGAAACTTTATAGATATATAGAAGACCATAGATATAATTTAATGAATTCATTATACAGTGATTTAAGACCATCTTTACGATATGCAATTAAAAGGTCCACCTAAATTACTAGGATTTCTCTAAAAGCGTCGTTTAAAATCTTTTTATGTTATTATAACTGATAAATTTTCAAAGACATTCCTTTAAGTGTCTTTGAAAATAGTTACCGAAAGAAATATGCAAATTCAATTTATTATTGAGGAAAACACAAAGACATGAGTCTTTACTCGTTATGACGCTGTGTTTATATGATGACATCATTGTTTTTATATTCAAATACTAGCTTTTGCCGCGACTCCGTCCGCGTGGAATAGTGACTTCCGGCAGATTTTTGGTTCTTCCCACATAGTTCCCGTTCTTGCGGGTTTTCGGAATGGTCGAGTTCCCGTAGAGTTTTCAGGATAAAACCTATGTTTTTTTTAATTCACAATGAAGTACATACTCTTAACCAACAACATATTTATTTGTTTATTTGAATAAAGATTTTATAAAATTATTTCGACCAAATAAGGTACCATAAAAACGGTTTTTGTGAGTTAATCTTAAAAGATAGACATATACTGTCGCGGACTGTTTTTTAGATCATTAAAAGAGCTATTATTCTTTAATACATATTTTTAGTGTATCTTGAACCGTTTTCACAGCGCACGCAACGGAAGGCTTCAAAGATGAAATAATTTCTCCCGTTTTTTACACATTTACCACTATATCTTTGCTCCTATTGGTCGTAGCGTGATGTTATATAGCTCAAAGCCTTCCTCGATAACTGGACTATCCAACACAAAAAGAATTATTCAATTCGAACCAGTAGTTTCGGAGATTACCGCTTTCAAACAAACAAACAAACAAACAAACTCTTCAGCTTTATAATATTAGTATAGATAACTTATAAAATTTAATAAAAATATAGAATTTAACATCGACAATAATAACTAGTTTAAGAAATATATTAATTCAATTATAGAAATTTTAATTGCGCAAAAGTCACCTTAATTTATTTATCAAGAAAAGGATAATATAACGTAATAACTAATAATATAATCGTTAAAATACTTTTTGGTTATGGCGTTGTATTTATACTAGTTTTTTTTTAATATCAGTGCTCAATGCATTATCATTTTCAGAACTATTAGCTTTAAATTATTGATTGAAGAAAATTTATCGTTTTTTATAGAGTTGATTTTTTGGTCATTCTAACTCTTAATAAAAACGGACCTCATCTACAGTGAAAGACGATGACGTAGAGAGATGACAGAATACATACGGATCTTGAACATATCACAATTCTATTCATTCAATGAACGCTATTATGTTTGTTTTAATACACAATGTTAAAAATGTGTACACCAACAGCTTTGCATTGTGAAAAGCATACGTATATGATCACGTTTTAACATACATTTGAGAAGGTCTGCATAGTCAGAGGCTTTAAAAAAGGAATTTCCAAAGGTATTTTCCTTATTGAAGTTATATTGTCTTTAATAGTATTAGTAATACATGCCTCTCAGGTGACTGAACGCTACTAATAATTTGTCTGTATTGGAAAATAAGCAAATTCTGATTATTATACATAAAACATATAAAACTAATGATTCTTATACCATTAATAGATATTTAATTATTTAAAGAATCGTCATCACATCTTTAATTCAAATCACTTTTGCAAAAATTACAGATAGAAGCAGTAGCTTAGATTAAAGAAATATTGCTTATTTTATATTTATCCCTACTAATATTGTAAATGCGAAAGTAACTCTGTCTCTCTGTCTGTTACGCTTTCACGCTTAAACCGCTGAACTGATTTTAATGAAATTTGGTACAGAGATAGAGCTGACCTTGAGAAAAAACATTATAGCTTTTATCCCAGACTTTTGAAAAGTTCTCTTGGAAACGTGATACAACCGAACTCGACGCAGGCGATGCTGCGGGGGAAAGCTAGTAATGTATAAAAATAATAATTACAAATATCGTCAGTTAATGAAATTTGTAGTTTTAGAATCGCTACAGCAAAGATCTGCACGCAAATATAAAATAATAATCATGACACAAACAAACACATAAAGAAGATATTTCGTTATCATTATAATTTAAATTTTCTATATATCTGTACTTGTATATATTTAGTCAGTTACTAACCTTCAGTTTCATTGGTTGTTGTTGCAGTGGTAACATTCGGTACATAATTGGATTCGCTGGTTACTGTACTGAGGGTACTAGTAACGACAGCTGGTTCAGATGAGACAGCGTAGGTACTAGCATCTCGACGGACACGATGTTGTTCAAATGGCAAAATTTCGGGTTTAACGCCATCGTAATTAATGGAGCCTCTGTGTACAGTGTACTCTGGTTCGGCTGCAACAATTATCATCTCATAATATTCATATGTACTACACCTGTCTTATGTATATTAAACTAATAAAATAACTATATGGCATGTATAAATAACATTAAAGTTAAAAATGTGTTATAAATAGAAAATTGGTTCATGTAACTAGTGACAGTTCAAACCAATTGTTATATAATTGCTGCTTCAATTACATTTTAGATTACTAAGATTAGTTTTAATTAAAATGACAGGAAGTGTCTGTTTATATCGTGGTATCTAATTTGAAGAGACAAAATATATATTTATTTTATATCTATTTCCTGTTCATTTTACTAAGTGACAATTTGATGTTAGAAGAGATGTGTAATTGTTAATACGTGTGAAATGGAATGAAATGAAAAAAGATGGTTTATGAGTGGTTTCAGTAAGGTTCAGTATACTGAGAAAAGCAATTCTTCACATGAGTTAATTAATATTACAATTAAAACATTGATATGGTTTGATATAGTCTCCTCTACAACAAACAGAAGATATTTATATAAGACTTATATAAAGTAACAGTCAAATAACTATTCTCAACATCGATAACATATAATTCATAAAAGTTATGAATAGTGAGATTACCATATTCCCTTTTGTTTAATATACTTTTTAAGATAATGAAACAGAGTATAGAATTCGGTCATTATTTAGAACTTATACTTATGATTTCCAAGTGAATGATATAGAAAAGTATTTTTTTTAATATTGATTGCAAATGCAGTTTTAACTTCAGTATACATACAATATAAGAAATAAATTACTCATCTACTGGCCATTTGTTTCTGTTGACTATGGGCATACAAAACATAATGGTTATTGTATCATTTAACCTGGTTAAGGATGTAAATCACATAACTCCAGGGAAATACCACTAAATACTAGATATGGAAAATACTAGATGTAAACACACAAATTATAAGTGTAGAAGTACATTTGTAGCACTTTGTATTAACTGCTGCCAATTGTATGTTTATTTGAGAAATACTATGCGAATTAAAAATGAATTTTAATAGTTACAATTTTTCTACTAACTTGATTAAACGGTTTTCACTTTAATGGTTATTAAGTTTCACGTTTAAATCTATCATGAAGGGAAAAAGGAAATATTTATAAGACACAAGGTTTTATAAATTATTTTCTTATCCTTAAATTTAAACAACAAAATAAGTGATAATAAAATTTAAAGCAACATAACTTGTGAGCAATAACTTAAAAACTTGTATGTATGCAGCTTCTAAGTTGACAATTGGATGAGTCATTTCAAAGCATTCTTTATCTAACCAATGATGGGTACATTAAAGTGATAAAATGTTTGTTTTTAACCAGAAATTAAACAAAAATAATGTAGATGAAAATAGATATCCAAAATAGGTAAAGTAATTATTTATGAATGAATAGAATATAAAGTAATTATTTACAAATGAATAGAAAGTATCCTTAAATAATTCGGATTATTTGCTTTATTGTTTCTTATGATTTTTTTCTTAATTCTATGGCTTCATTAGCAATTATTTGTTGGACGAATTATAATCTTGATTTTTATTTGTTGGACGTTGGCGTTTTTATTTGTTGGACGAATTATAATCTTGAGTATTGTGTGGAGGAAATATGAAGGAGTATGTCGAATGGAATAATGGCGTTTAACTCATTGTTTCTTAAATCAGCAGAACAGTCACAATTATATGCAGATGGTAAAATATAATGTAATAACCAAACTAACTTACCTGTTACAACGTAATGAAGCGATAAAGATACAACGAATATTGTCTTTAGAATTATCATTTTAGTTTTCAGTTGCATAAAATCCATTTGAGAACCTGTGTTATGTTATTGTTATATAATTGTCATTTAGTTTGACGTTATCCACGGTGGCACCTTCGAAGGTATTTTTCGTTTTTTTCTAGTGCGCAACCTGAATCAACAAAGCGAAAAATGCTTGTTGGTTCTGTCTAGTACTGCGCAGTGTAAAGAATATTTTTTCGTTATCACACTTTATTTTTAATAATTTATATTAATTAAAACTATTTTTAAGTAAATACGCGAAAACTACAAAGATCGCGAAAAGATTCTTAAAATTATGTTATTTATAGTCTTGTTCTTGAGAAAGTGTGTTAGATTCTGTACACAGTACAGACGTACAACCACAGAGTGCAGAATCAAGTAACAGACTGTGGGTAAATTAAAGAGTTGGAGTATAGACTATGGAAGACAAGGTTGTCTATGCTTCGTTTGTTTTTGGTATAAAATCTAAATGAGAATAGACTGTGCAATTACTTATAATTAAATAACTAAAAATAAAAAAATATATAATACTATTTAATCGTTTCCTTATTCTTTTAATAACGTACATTTTTTAATATCTAAAGCACACAACATTGTCTCGTCCTACTATGATAGTTTTTTCAAAACACGTAATAAAGCAAATAAATTTGTAATTATTATTACCTATAACTACTGATAAGTGGTTGTTTGGATAAAATACACGAGTCAATAGAATATGCCATAAAAACGAGTGTTATAAAATATAAATAAAGGATGTGAAAAGAACAAAAAACTATCCGCTTAACAATTTGTTTAGCATAAAAGTAAATCTCTCCCATAGGTGAGTATCATTTCTATTTAGATTCTTCGTAAATATTTTAATTGTAAAAGCCTTACTCAATATACTTAAAAAAAAAAAGAGTTGCGGTCTAGCTTTAAAGTTCAAAATTTAACTTTTTTAAAATGCTATGGAATAGTGAAATATTTTGCTAATGTTAACGTTTTTATTTCTTAGAAGAATAATTGTAATCTGTTTGGAGAAAACAAGAATACATATACTTTTAGAGATACCTAATATATACAGGGTGACTGGTGAATTACTATCAATATTTAAGGAGCATACTCGGTACATGATTCTCATTCGAATTATGTAAAAAAAATAGGTACTTAATTTTTGACCAAATTTCCGTATAAATAAATAAAGTGTTGACACGTTCCAAGTGTTCCTAGTGTGGACGCGTGCGGCGGCGTGCTGATACAAAACCACGCCCCCGCCGCGTGTGTGTGAGTGTGTGTGTATACTTAATCTGTAGGGTGTTCACACGATGCGTAATTAATTACACAACTTTTGGTTGACTTTACTTAGAAGTTTATTAATATTTATGTTATATTAATTTTTATTTTGTCATATATGATCGTCAAATATCACGTCCTCAAATATCGATAGTAATTCACCAGTCACCCTGTATAAAATATAGACAACATTTTCTCTAAGATTAGGTATACTAAATTAATTCATTTGATTAAAATTTATTTTTTCGGGGAATTCATGTCCTGCTGAAAATATAAACACGATTTCCAAACTTCTTGATAGGTTTTAATAAGTCAATTAAACTATCGCTACACTAACACGATTAATACTTTACAACTAAAACATCAACAAAGTTGTGGTCGTTTAGTGGTAAGTCGTTTAGATATGATAATAAAAAAGTTTGCTTGTATAACCTTTGACATATGAACTTATTGATAAGTTTTCACCGCTGCACTTCTCTGAATAATGAAGTTAATATTTTTCTGTCTTTGTTACTTAAAGCAATAATAGATGGCATTATTTATACGCTTACCACAATGGATTTCAATTTTCAACAATATAAACAACATAAATTAACTCTATCCATTTTTGGATATAAAATTGTTATTTATTATTATTCATTACCTTTTAATTGCGTTAATAAAATAATAATAAAAAGTTTAATACTTTTTAAACCACGTATACCGCTCATTGTAAAAAAAATATATATTTAAACTTAAACAAATTCAGTTTCCGTGAGTTTAAATTTTGTCAAGACTATTAACAAGTCAGAAACTTCAACCCGCAGCGTCGGTGAAGATTTTAGAATAAATGTTTCCTATAAGGACAATTGCAAAATAAGTCTGTCTTAAGCCTGCTACCTTTTTATAATCTAACCTTAAGATTTTCTGTAGAACAAGATGTCTATTTATAATAATTTTCTTCTTATATAACTAAGCGGAATAGATAAATTTTATAAGAAGGATAACAAAATTTAATCTTATGATATTTATAGTGAACGTTTATTATATCGCCTCATATATTCAAATTCGTTTATAGCAGGTCGCATTACAATCGGCCGACGAAGTAGTCCAAAGTAATAAGCAGAGCAGCCAAGGACAGTATTGCAGCAACGGCTCGCACCCGTTGTCGATGTTGATTATTATCTGATATATCAGAATATATTTTTGATATTTCTGTTTTGATTAATGATTTAAATATTTTTTTAATCAGTGTTTAACATGTGTATGATTACATATATTTTGTTTACAGTACCTACCTTTATAAACAGAATGCAATTAACTATATTAAAATATATCTAGATAGTGCTGCACTATCATTTCCCACCTTGGTTAATTGGTTCTTAATGAAGTTATAAGCGGCGAACGCACTATTTCGGTAGCAGCCCATTTTTCTTGAAGAAACCCAAATTATAATTTGAAGGAAACATAGCCGCAGGCAAACTATAAGTTTAGTATAAATTTTAAATTTCTATTCCCATTTTCCAATTATTAATAACAGAACCAGTTAATATCAAAAAGAGGTGTTAAGTTTTAAAACCTGAAATAAAAACCTATTGCAAATAATTTTCAATTATGTCTATGATCTGATACAGTTTCATGAAACCATAACATATTTTTTTGGTTTTATTTTGAACTAGATAAGGCAGTTTAACCTTTCTCGTTTTAGGTTTATTCACTTAATTAATTAATTTAAAAGATATATAGACACTGCATTTTAATCAACTACGACGTATATTAAGAATGTGGTTATGTGCAAAAGATGAAAAAAGGTATCAAATTGACCGAAACCATTAATCAACTTGTATTTAACTGAATACTAATTCAACAGAAAAGGGTGTAATTGATTAGCCAAAAATCAATAATTTTGTTATTTACGTTTGAAATTAAACTTGAAGATTTAGCGTATGGATGCAAGAGTGCCCTAA